ATGAGAATGAGAATGAGAATGAGAATGAGAATGAGAATGAGAATGAGAATGAGAATGAGAATGAGAATGAGAATGAGAATGAGAATGAGAATGAGGCGGTCGGGGCACCTGACCCGCAGTCCCAAAAACTCCTAGCTTCTTCAGATTTAAGTGGCGAGTAGCAGTGCGCAAAGTGGCTCCGGGGTATTGCGATTTTCCGAGCCTCATTCCAATCGTTCAACTCGTGGCTGCGTGACTCAAAAGTGCTTTGCCTGCGCCTGACCCAAGGGGAGGTGACTCAGTGAGCAGACCTGAAGTCTCATGAGCTATTTGAAGCGTCCTTTCTGCTCATCGACTTTGAGGTTCTGCAACAAACTCACCAGGATGGCTCAACCTCCCTGGGCCATGCCCCCGGGCACCACCCACCAGCCGCAATTGAAGATCTACAACTCCTTGACCCGGTCCAAAGTCCCCTTTGTCCCTATACAAGAAGGACACATCTCGTGGTATGCCTGCGGCCCGACGGTCTATGACGACTCGCATCTGGGCCACGCGCGCAATTATGTGACCACGGACATCATCCGACGCATTCTGCGAGACTACTTCGGCTTCAAGATTCGTTTTGTGATGAACACCACCGATATCGATGACAAGATCATTTTAAGAGCGAGGCAACGGCATTTATATGACGAGTACAAGAAGAACCACAGGTACTGGTCCGCCGGCAACGACCATTCCTGTGCGGATGCTGACTGCGACCCTAGGTACATCGACGAGCAAGTCCGCCAGGACGCCCGGCAGGCCTGGCACTACTACATCCAGAAGAACCTCAAACGCATAGGATCCAAGGAACTGGTCATACCCGAGACGTTCGACGGATTCATCGAACACCTGTATGGAGATGTCCTGGCGGGAGGGAGCCTGGAGCCCGGAACAAAGCCCGGCGACAAGGAGGCGAAGATCAAGATGCACATCAACACCGCCCGCAACGCGGCGAAAGCTCTGATGCAGGATCCCAAACTCCTCACCCCGCATGAATTCTACAACCGTGTGAGCGATCCCATGTGCCTGGTCTTGGACGAGCAGTTTGGGAAAACGATCCGCGGGGACGACTATGCTGTTTTCACGAAACTGACGAAAGAATACGAGGCTCGGTTCTTCCAGGACATGCATGATCTCAACGTGATGGATCCGGACGACCTGGTGCGAGTCACCGAGCACGGTAAAGAGATTGCCGAGTTTGTCAAGAAGATCGTCGACAACAAAATGGGTTACAGGACGTCAGAGGGTTCGGTTTATTTCGACATAAAAGCATTTGAGGCCGCCGGGTACCCTTATGCCAGGTTAGAGCCATGGAACAAGAACGACAAGGAATTGCAGGCAGACGGAGAAGGAGCTCTGTCACAGAAAGACGCAACTGTCAAGAGGTCGGAGGCCGACTTTGCCCTTTGGAAAGCATCAAAGCCCGGTGAACCAAGCTGGGAGAGTGAATGGGGACCTGGTCGGCCTGGATGGCACATTGAATGCTCAGCGATGGCGTCCGGGAAACTCGGTAAGCAGATGGACATCCACTCTGGCGGAATTGATCTCGCTTTCCCTCACCATGACAATGAGCTTGCTCAGAGCGAAGCATTCTGGGCAAACCATGGGCAGTGGGTGAACTACTTCCTTCATATGGGTCACCTGTCCATACAAGGATCAAAAATGTCGAAGTCGCTGAAAAACTTTACCACCATCCGAGAAGCTCTCCACGTCAGAAAAGACTGGACTTCCAGGAGTTTGCGGATCGTTTTCCTGCTTGGAAGCTGGAGAGACGGGATTGAGATCACGGACGACATGGTGATCGAAGGCAGAAACTGGGAGGATCGTGTGGATAACTTCTTTCTCAACGCCATTGACGCGATAAAGGACACAAAACCATCGGACGACCAGCGAGCCGGCCTAGAAGATGCCGTGCAGGATGCAGAAGAGAAGGTCCGAACTGCACTACTCGACTCCTTCAACACCCCGGTCGCCATGAACACGATCTCACAGCTCATTAACACATACAACAACAGCGCCAAAAATTCCGAACTAACGCCCGCAGATCACCGCCGGGTCGGGCTCTTCGTCACGCGCCTAGTCAACATCTTCGGTCTGAATGGCTCTGAGCCAGCAGACACCGATCAGGTCGGTTGGAAAGGTATCGAGATCCCCGACGCCGCAAAAGAGTTTGTCTACCCGCTGGCCAAAATTCGAGACGAACTGCGACAAGCCGCCATTGCCAAAACCATCACGGCCGACAAAGTCCAGGAAATCGTTTCCACATCCCCCACGGGACTCGAGGATTCGCCTTCCGTTGGAAGACCTCGGCCTTCGTATGCCCGTGCACTGAGCGAGTTCAGCAGAGACGCCCTTCAAACAGCTTCTTCGCCCCCTACCACGGAATCCTCGCTTGATCTCAACAAACAAATCCTCGCACTCTGCGACCGAGTGCGAGACATCGACCTCTGGCAACTCGACATATTCCTCGAAGACCGAGAAAACGCGCCCGCGCTTGTTCGCCCCGTCACTGAAGGCCTCAAGGCTGCCCGGCGCGAAAAGGAAGACAAGGCCCGCCAAAAGGAAGAAGCCAAAAGACAGCGCGAAAGAGAGGCGCAGGAAAAGCTCCAGAAGGCCAAGGTCAGTCCGACCGAGATGTTCAGACCACCGCATTCGCTGGATTATTCAGCATGGGACGGGGACGGCGTGCCGACAGCGGCCAAGGACGGGGCGCCTCTGACTGCAAGCAGGGTGAAGAGGCTGAAGAAGGAATGGGAAGCACAGAGGAAGGTGCATGAGAAGTACCTGGCCACGGTGCCGCTGCCGAACGGTTCGGGTTCACCGTCTGCTGCTCGCTAGGAGTCAGTTCGCAGTCTGTGGAACCGGCCTCTAAGCGACTTTGAGTAGGAGATATCCCCTCGCGGGCTCTTTTTCCGATGTAGGATTGTATTAGATACCCAGCTGCGAGAGACCCCTCATCCATCGATCGCGGCACACGTGTGACGGCGAGGAACAGAGCGGCGGGAATGGAAAGAACACAGCCCTGAAAAATCACCACTGGAAAACTCTGACTGTTTCTCTCGTAACCCCAATTGCAAGGTCACAGCTTTCCCTCCCCCTTTAGCCCCTGATAGAGCGCCATGGCCGCCAGGGTCTTCCCATCTCTCCACGCGACCTTCCACACCTCGTGCAGGCTCACGATTTGCAGGGTGATCTTCTCGCCGTGATCCCTCAAGCCGGTCAATTTGCCCTTGAGCGCCTCGATCTGGGCGCGCGGGAGGGCCTTGCGGGCGAGGAAGATGGGGATGAACTCGTCGGACCCGCCTGGGGAAGGGTAGATGGCGGCCTGCAGCTGCTCCTCTTCTTCTTCCGGGTCGTTGTGCGGAGCATGGGTGACGGACGAGGCGAGCCGCGTCATGTCGACGAGCTCGTCGCTCGCGATCTCGAGACCCGTCTCCTCGCGGATTTCCTGGGCCGCGGCGCCCGCGAACGTGCCGCTGTCGTCGATCATGCCCGCCGGCAGTTCCACGAAGCTGAGCGAGCCGGCCGGGACGCGCGGCTGGGTCGTTAAGATCGCGTACTCTTCCTCTGGCCGTGGCTGCTCCTGGGAAGTCGTCGTCGTCGTCGCCCGTGAGGATGATTGCTCGGGGCAAGGCGACGGCGACGGCGACGGCGTCAGGATTATCAGCATGGCAACACTCCCGCCTCGCATGAACACCGAGCCGGGTAGGGACTCGCCCTGGTCATTGGTCACGGTGGCTTTCAGCTTGAGGAAACCCAGGCGGTGGCCGGAAAAGAAATCGACGGATTGGACGTTGATGGATCTCAGAGAGTAAGGCGATCCGTGGAAGGGGTGGGAAGCAGAGCTGTGCTGGAGCGAGAGGCTCCTCTGCAAGGTGTTCAACCAGGTCTTGAAGGCTGGGAAGTTGAGGAGCTGGTCCTTGGTGAGTGTGGAAGGGTGAGTTACTGGGATGCTAGGGTTGGTGTTGGGGAGAGTGAATGTGGTTGTTGTTGACGACAACGACGACGACATGGTTTTGGACAGTTGAGCAGGTTGTGGGTGTACAAGTTGGCGGGAGAGATGCTTCAGCCTTGAAAACATCGGCAGAGCACACGGCCTAAATGTAGAGACTCTCGTTCTCGACGATTGATGGTGTGGAGGAGGCGCCGTGAAACAGTCAAAGCACTCATATTGAGTGCTGGAAGTTGAGGAAGACCAATCACAAACACACAGTCAAGTTCAACGGGAGGATTGGGACGAGTCAGTTAATAACCATTGTCTGACGAGGTACGGTAACGTTAGTGTCATGGAAGAAGCGCTCCGCAGCCCTGAAATGACATTGTCACGAATAGTGAATATTTGAAATTCTCTCTTGGAATTCTTTCTCGTCCCATGCCATCCATCACACACTCTCCTATCAAACTACATCTTACACACCCTTCGTCCTTCGTCCTCATATGCTCCCAGAATCGACGAGAATGACAAAGACCAAGCCTGGCGACGCCAAAGAACCCACCACGACATTCACCCTCCGTAATCCTCCGTATTCATACTTCCACCTCCGCCTCCACGCCATGCCGCCCCAAGCTGACCAGTCACTGGACGAAATCACCTTGCGCTCATATCTCACAGCAGCGCTTCAGCAGTACCTCGGACTCACCGGCGCTGCCATTCCCGTGGACATCCTGAAAGTGGAGAGTCCCAATGCCTGGATCCGTGTCCCCTGCGACGATGAGGTCGCTGTGACAGCCGCGGTGAGTCAGTGGGTCGGATCCAAGGGCGTGAGTCTCGGCATTGAGGCGCGAGGGTCGTGGTTGGGTGGTGTCGTTGCGAAGGGGGCGACCAAGGGGTTGTGGAGTTTGGGAGGATGAAAGGATAACGCTTGTTGAGAAAGCACGACGAAACCTCCACCGGATGGACCTCTGGTTTTGATGCACGTCATGTCTACATGCAAGCTACGTCCGCCTTCTAAGCTCTGGGGGATACGCGGCCAGCGCAGCTCGCAGGGGGATTTCATCCGAGTCGCTGTCATCGTCGTCATCGTCGAGCTTCTTCGCCGCAGAGACGTCGGTCCTTGACTGGCTCTTCCGACACAACCACCCAAAGGTCTTTCGAGGCTCTGCTGTGTCAGTGTTAGCGAAGGTGGACCGGTTGCGAATACGGTCACGGAGAAGTACCTCTCTCCGCCTGGGCCAGCTGCTTCAACGCCGCCTTTCGGTCTCGCTTCGCCTGTTCCTTAAGCAGCTTCTCTTCTTGCTTTCGCCTCTTCTCCGACGCCTTCCAAGCTGCGCGACGTTTGTTGTATTCTTGGACCTCGAAGTCGTGTTGGACCGAGTATGGTGACACCGACATTGCGAGGTTTGGGCGTGTGGAGCTATTGGGACTGGATGTGTACCGTGTACCGGAAGGTGATTTACACAGACTTGCTGTGGGCACGGGCGGTACTTATAACTCCTAGAAGGGGACGGAAAGCACAGAGGCCTGCGGACCGGTCCTGTGATTGATATGGGAGAATGCATAAGCATCAGCTTTACGGCGGCTAGATGGCCCTGGAGATGCGAGACCAAAGCGACATTGTCTGATGTTTCTGTCGCTGGCGCTCGGCCCGAGGAACGCAGAACCGGCAATGAATGACTCTGGTATCGCGACAGAGGCCAACTTCATCATCCTGCCCGGACGTCTAGTGCATGGGAGCCGCTGGCCTCGCCCAAAAAATCGATATATATTGCATCGGTGTCTTGTCCGCGGACGGGCCATGTTTCGCCGACTCATATTCGCGAAGGGGCACCGCGACCCTAGGTTCAACCATGGTGAGACGACCACCTCGAACGCAGTATATGGTTGTGCTTTCTCCTAACAGATGTCGGCGGTGTTACAACACTGTCTGGCATGGCCTTTGAGGATGCTGATGCAGAGGCTGGCTGAAGATGACGCTAGCCGATGCTTGTGTGGCTTCAAGCTCCTTTTGCTCCTCACGAAGCGAAACCTTGTCATGGCCTTTGGGACCGAGTCGGCACCTTTGCGATATTACTCTGCATCAACTCCTCCCGAATTCTAGAAGTCGGTCCTCTCACCGTCAACGACGAGTCCCGACTCTTCGCATCCACGCGGCGTGGCCGAAATGCACCGTCGCGAAGTTTGCTCAACCGCACAGCACAATCCAAGGGGGATTTCCCCAGGGCGAGACCGTGTGGACAATCGCACAGTTTAATAATGGTCTCGGCATGTCTTTTTAGTCGGTGCTCTGTGCCAGATTGACTTTGTGTCTTCTCTGCCAGATCCGCTGCTAGGACGCTGCGGACGACAAATTTAGCCCATGCCTCAAAAATGCCTTCGACCGAGAAGAATTTGTTGAAAGAGCCCCAGCTCCATGTCCAGAGCGTCAACTCGCCGAGGGATGACCTCGCCCAGCCGTTTGTGAGCCAGGACCAGAGCGAGCCTGTCCCACTGCATGTCCTGCCGCCCAAACCGTTGCGACCGCCACGCAAATACTGCACCGTGAGGAACGGCATCATCACGTTCGGGGCCTTTCTGGTCTACAGCGGGCACACGATCAGCGCCATCGTCTCAGGGCGGATTGCTGGAGCGGAAGATCGGCGGCCTCGACCCCGTCGTCGGCATCGAGGTCCTCGCCCAGGGCCGGTGCGCGCATATTCGCGCTGAGCGAGAACCCCGGCGGCCAGCACCTGTTGGCCACCCACGGCATGCAGTACGGTGGCATGGCATGGATTAATGAAATGTCATCTCCACTCTTACGACCCCGGTCAATGTAGAGGTGTGCCAAAACGAGATAATTTATTCCTTGCACGAACAGTACCAGGATACACCGGGGGGTAACATGTTTCGCATCATGCTTTTGGGAAATATGCGTACTATATTTGCGTCCTGCAGAGGCTCGCTGCGATCATGCTGGGTGGGTCTTTGGGGGACATGTCAGGGCTCAGAATGCTCTGATGCCTATATCTGGAAGTGATGGATGATAGGTTTCCGCACAGTCCGCGGCGAAATGAGAGCCCGAACACTAGAGGAGCCGCTGATGAAGTCCGGGAGACAACACATCATAGTCGATGCTCGGGCGGTGACCCTTTGCCTTTGGGAAGTGGGAGCCTGTGGAAACCTCCAATTGTTATTGTACCGACGACACCATCCCGTCTAATCTAACCCATATAATCTCGATTGCGGCCGAGGTCTATACTCGTCGGCGTTATATATACATGATATATGTACATATGTATGTATAACTGTGTAGGCGTACATGTGTATAAATCTATACTCTCCGCATGAGTCGTCGTCCCATATCCTCATCCTCATCCTCGTCGCCGCCATCGTGGTCTGGCCATCGACGGATCCGGCGTTCCTGGCTGGTTCTATCGGGATTGAATCTTCGAACGTGATTGAGCGGGCGGGCAAGCATATACGCGCCGAGGATGGTGTCCTCTGCTCTCTCGAAAAGCCCAGTCCATTTGCTTCCCGTTGGGGATACTCCACTGCCTTCCGTGACAGGCATCGCAAGTGTGAGAGTGAGACCCGACCGTTAATGAGAGTGTGGATGTGAATGTGGATGCGAACAACTCGAACGGGAGTTGGGACGGTCAGTAGAAGACTGTCGTTGCGCTCGCGAGAGATGCCGACACGCAAGCCGTGCTCTCTTTCTGGCGGATTGATGGCTCCGCGAAAACGGGGGACAGGGTCGCAGACCGCGGCATTCATTATAAATGCCGAGCCCAAGCGAAGCGTTTGGATGACCCGACTTTGGGTGGTTGGAGTCTCAAAACTGCGTATTCGATCTCGCAAGAACCAGTGTCTCGTTTGTGCCATAAGAGTAGTTGCATTCTTCTGGCCTTTGACCTTGCCTCATGATCTGTCCTGCAGCAGAACTCATCCTTTGACCATCGTGGTGGTTTATCGCCCAGATTCCTTGAAGCAGGCAGGGCTTGGGAGGTTGAGGCGCATGACGAGATATCATTCTTGTATTCGGTCCATTCGCCGGTCAGAGGTAGCGCCAGCGACGACAATGAGCGGTCGGAGCACTTCATCTGCGATATACAAGCTCGTCAAAGGATATTGTGTTGGTAACTGGCCACACGCAGTGCCTTTCGGGTACCGGAGTGGTGACAAGGGAGACCAAATCACACGCTCGACGTTATCGTCGATGGCGGCAGACGTTCATCCACCCGGAGAATAGGCCATTTTCTCGACCGCACTATTCTCATGTACGATTGCTGTTCGTTGGTGGGCTGCGGGAGTTCTTCTGTGAACTCGCGGTTTGCGACGACGCGATGGAGCGCGGCAGCACCAGCCACCACGATCCCAGCGATCAGGATGCAGAGGAAGACCACGAGTCCGTCTGACAGGCCCATTGTGGTCAAAGGTTAGACCAGAGGCTTTGCGAGGGTGGCTCGGGATAGGACTCCGATTGACAGTGAATTTCTAGGCATCAACGGGCGCCAGATGGAAAGGAAAGATGAGGAAGAAGAACTCTTGTGAGACTCACCTGACGCGACCTGGGTATATACATATCCCAGCAGGGCAATGTTTGCACAGTGTCTCGGCACACTGACTCTCCCGTGGACACCGAACCGGATGGCTAGAAAGGATTACGACGCAAAACCCCTCGAGGATGCAGGATGCCTGATGCAGCATCCCCAGCACCGCCAGCACAGACCACCACCACCCGTGCATAACGAGGACGTTGTGTGGGCAGGTGGAGCGAGGTACCCAGCGCGTCCGTATCCGAGGGGCTTCAGCTGTTGGAGAAGAGCCAATGAATCCATCCAGACGCCCAACGCGTAAGCGCAGAGTTTTCCGCCTTGTCGCAATGCCTGCACGGTTTCAGTATGGTGGTCTCAGATTGTGCACACCTGGACCCGGCGAATATTGTGCTTTCACCTTCCATCGGCTTTTCAATTCGCTCTCTGCCAGTCAGCCGGGCCACTCGGAGAGCCACGAGTTGCGACTTGTGGAGCAGAGTTCGTTAGTTTCTCAAGGCGGTTTGTGGCTGTGGGCGCGCCAATGACGGAGGAGGCTGCCATGCTTGCTGGGGAGTAATTTCAACGAGAGAACTCAGCCTTGTGGAAACATCGCGCAAGCACGGGTTGGCGTGAGGACGGTCACAACCTGACGTACCAAGTCCGAAACGGCATCGACGCGCAGGCGGGTGGACAACATTGAATCAGTTGAATAAAGAGTCCCAGTCGTCTTGCCGGGGAACTGGCTCTCCAGTGTCATTCTGCCATATCTTTCTACGACCAATATGTCCTCCGACACCGTCACCTCCGACACATGAGCTCATTCAGGAGTGAACAGACGTGCTGCCATCTCTTCAATGCCTCTGGGCGCCCTTCCCAAGATTTCACCTATCAAAGGATCGACTGTAGCAGTCTCCCCATTGGCAATTCCATCCTGATTTGCTGTTAGCATCGAAATTCTGGCCACAGGCACCCAGGACTTGGTATTGTGGAAGACTTACATGCCAGCCACTCCAGCTCTCAACAACCCAGAAGTTGTCTTCGGGCACACTCTTCTTCTCGAACTTATGGTACCGTTCGGCTTCCTGTCTGCCCACAATGTCGACTTTGACTTTCCGCCCAGTGTACTCCTCGACCAACCTGGCAACATCGCTGATGCTGGTGGTTCGTGGACCAGTCAGGTTCAATGTCTGACCGAGATACTTCTCGTAACTTTGGAGAATTTTGGCGGTCGCTTCGCCGAGGTCGTCCCATGTAACCCAAGACACAGGACCGTCGTTGGGAATGACGAATTTGATTTCTCCAGTGTCGCCCTTTTTGAATTTCTGTGGTTGGAACCCGGCGTATAGCCACCAGCTTTCTGCATAAATGCCCTCTCTCACAATCACATACCGCAACCCACTTTGTGTCAGGTATTCAATCGTCTTGACATGCGCTTGTTGAACGCCTGCTGTGCTGTCTAGGCCAGTCTGACCGCCAAACATCAAGCTTGTATAAATTACAGTCTTCACCCCAGCCTCTTTGGCCGCATCAATGGCGGCTTTATGGTGAAGCCACCTATCGACGCTGGGCGAGGGAAACGAGACAAGGAACAGAGCATCGGCACCTTTAAACGAGGCGGCTAACGAGTCAGGAGACGTGAAATCGCCTTGCCGAACTTCGATGCCAGCATCACGGGCTGCAGGCGACACGTTGCTCGGGTGGCTCGATGAGATGATCAGCTGAGATGGTGGAATCAGCTTCTGGCGTAGCAGGGCATCGAGAACTCGGGACCCCAAATGTCCCGTGGTTCCTGTAAGCACAAGCATCGTGTCTTGCCTACACGCGAAGACGGCAATCTAATGAGCTTATCGTCGAGTTTCAAAACCAAGACGAGCAAGAGGTTTGGCGAGCTGTAGTAGTAAGTTCTTCACTACCCCTCAAGAACCATATAACTCTGCGAAATTTATAGATCAAACCACGTACCTGAAGCCCCAGTGCCCCAGAGCGTTGCTTGGTAATGACGTTTCCAGACTTCGGCAGATTTGGGCCGAGATAAAAGGTTGCAGTAGGTAGGGGGACTGTCTCAGGGGACGCAAGGTCGCTTAATACTCGGCAGAATCTCCCACCACTAAATTTCGCTGGTGCCTCTTTCTGTATGCTGTGAATTCGTCTCTTTGTGCCATTCTAGACCTCGTCGCCGCCTAGCCAACCTTGGTGTCGATCTCTCAGAGACCCAGTCGTTCTGTGAATCAGGCAGGAAGCCTTGTTGCCTTGCCTCAACTAGCCTAGTAGTCCGTTTGCGGACTCGTTTACCTCTGCCACTACCGATCGCAGGCGGCGCTGTCGATGGTGGCAAGGCCAGTTCAGGAGAGTCGTCAGGCAAAGCACTGCGGCGCGGCCGTGGCCGATCTAGCGTCTGCGGAACTAGTCGTGTTGACTAAGGCGAATTCGATGGCGGAGGAGTCTGTGGTACATCCTTTACTTCCTCTTCCCTAGCGTTTTCTGTAGGAATCGGGATCTGTAGAGGTCTCTGTGGTGTCTGTGTTATGGGTCATTCTTGCAATCGCTCCTGATATCGCTGTTCCTCCATCTCTGCACGTCGTTGCCGCAGTTCCTAGCGCTCGCGGATCTCGCTAGCGATCAAGGCCCTCGCTGTTGTTTTACCGTGTTCGCGTCTCTTTATCCAGGTTCTCTTTAGTATAGGATTAGGAGCGCGCCGATAGGCAGGCCCTGTAGGTCGCGGCGTTGTTCACCTGGGCGGATCAAGTCCTGTTCCTTCTATGTCTGTGATCGCTCTCGCTGTCTATCAAATTGCGCTCTTTCAGTGTCCTCAAGGCTCTCGCGAATATATTCAATCCTCCGTGAATTCGTCATCGCCGCGTCTCATAAACTTCTTAATTGGCGGGGTCTTTAAGCTAATCACTTAGAAAGGCGTTAATAGTCTCCTTAAGGCCGCGGCGGAGGTGGTTATGATGGCCTAGCCTAGCGCGCCAGGCGGAGGATTAGCTAGCCATTGGAAAGGCTAGGAGGATCTCTACACCAAGGTTGGCTATACAGAACGGACGGCGACGAGGTTAAATTACGAGATTTGTTTGATATTCAATTGCTAACCGCTCTACAGGATCCGTGTGCCTAGCAGAAAAGGTCGCCAGCCAAAATTGGTGGCGACTATTCCTGTTTTGCATAATTAAGCGAATTCGCCGTGGTAATTACGAAGTCGTGGTCAAACTCGAAATGGTGCCCCTCGCCAAGCCCGATCACCACTTAACGCGTCCCCTTGGAGACGCGCCTGCGGTCAAACGCAGGGATTCGAGAACTGCGCTCCGTATTGATTTCATGCTCGCACAACCCACTCAGGAACAAGACCCCAGTATCGCAAACTCGCAACGATGTCGGGTCAAGCTGAATCATCGTCTGCGGCGGCAAGAAAAGTTCTTAATGCTGCTAACAGTGGTGCATCGCCGGATTACGAACTGCCATGGTAAGCCATTCCTCGCTCTCGGAGCCGCAGAACAGGATTGACCAATGTGCAGGGTAGAAAAATACAGACCTGTCTATCTCGACGACGTTGTCGGCAATACGGAAATCATCGAGCGACTCAAGATCATCGCAAAAGATGGAAACATGCCACACGTCATCATATCTGGCATGCCTGGAATCGGGAAGACCACATCCATCTTGTGTCTTGCGCGTACTCTCCTGGGCGACGCGTACAAAGAGGCCGTGCTGGAGTTGAACGCGAGCGATGAAAGAGGCATTGACGTTGTACGAAATAGAATCAAAGGATTCGCGCAAAAGAAGGTGACGTTGCCTCCCGGGCGGCACAAACTGGTCATTCTGGACGAAGCGGACAGGTATGGAAGTGACGGCAGCATGTTTACGCAAGACTGCTAACACGGGAGTTCAGCATGACGCCCGGGGCACAACAGGCTCTGCGAAGAACCATGGAGATATATTCAAACACCACTCGCTTTGCATTTGCCTGCAACCAATCGAACAAGATCATTGAACCCCTGCAGTCGAGATGTGCAATCCTGCGGTTTTCTCGCCTGACGGACGCGCAAGTGGTGAAGCGCTTGATGCAAATCATCGAGGCTGAAAAGGTGGAATACTCCGAGGACGGCCTGGCGGCTCTTGTATTCAGCGCAGAAGGAGACATGCGACAGGCGATTAATAACTTGCAGAGTACGTGGGCAGGATTCGGGTTCGTCAGCGGGGACAACGTGTTCCGTGTCGTCGACAGCCCGCATCCAGTCAAGGTACAGGCCATGATCAAGGCATGCTGGGAGGGCAAGATCGACAACGCAGTTGACTCGTTGAAGGAATTATGGTAAGTCATACCTCATTCTTGTGGGCCATGTCCGACAATATGGAAAGCATCACTAACCGGGCATGGGGCAACCCTAAAAAGGGATCTGGGATACTCCTCACACGACATCATAAGCACTATGTTCCGAGTAACGAAAACCATCCCCACCCTTTCGGAACACTCCAAGCTCGAATTCATCAAAGAAATTGGATTCACTCACATGCGCATTCTCGAGGGAGTCCAATCTTTCCTGCAACTGAGCGGGTGTTTGGCGAAATTGTGCAAGATCAACATGAAGCCGGAACTGTTTGAGGCTCCAGCATGAAGGAAGAGCAATTAATCAACGGGCCGCAGAGGCCGCGGCGTGCCGACAAGAGCGTCCCAGATTCCATCTAGGCGCTTTCGGACTCAGGGTGGGCGGGGACCAACGAGACGAGTGAGAATAGGAGCATCGCTTGGCAGGCCTGTGCCGAGCCTCTCAAGGCTCCGAATCCGCCAATCTTCGCTCAAGTGCTGCGGCGTTCAGCGCTGGAACGGGCAGCCCACAGAAGAACTCGCCGGGTACTCGGATGTCGGGGCCCAGCCCCCGACTGTCCGATCTGAAGCAGGAGGCAGTCAATGCTCCCTCCCCTCGCATGGTCTCCACGTCATCACCCACTGATTTGTCCCCTTCGAGGAAAGCCGTACGTCAATCAATCCGTTGCTCTATGGTTCATTTGATTGCTATGGGCTACGATGCTGAGGAATAGTTCGGGGAGGTTGCAGTAGGACGGGCAGCATGACGCGTCAGACCTATTGGCACGTCAGTCGGGCAGACAGTCGCTTGAAGCTGAACAATGCCCAGAGTCGACGGACAAAATCATACGAGGTCCAATGCCCCTTCGCTTGGATGGAATTCATAGATGCAGCCTTTTGAGGCCCCAGGGCAGTGATAGCGGCGAGGCCCTGCTGGTTTTGAGGCTGAGGTGCAGATGAAGGACCACAGACTTGAGATTTCCCCAGGTCCGCAAAAATAGACACGAATCAAGGCGATCGTTGAAAGCCGGACATTGAGGATTGAGTTTAGCCCCGATTGGGCGTCACGGGGGCGTTGAACCTGGCCCCGACGGAGTGATGGGCACTGATGGGCAGGCCAAGCCAGTCGACGAGGCCAGCGCTGGAGGCCCTGACAGGCCCTGACCGCCCTTAAAGCAATTGGATGTGCCTGTGCTAGGCTCCAAAAGGACTGAAAAGGGCCAAGTGAAATGAAGGGCTTGACCTGCCACAGAGAAATTTCCCGGCCATGGCTTGCATGACGCGTCCCTTCCTCCGACCTCCGTTCCTTGCGCTAGAGATCTTCTAGCCGTCAATGGCTAGCTTGGTCCCTTACCAGCCACTGAAGCCCCGTATAATGATGCTAAGTTCGGACATTCCAAGCAACCGCCTCCAGCCATGCGGTAAGGCTGTGCGCTCCACCTGTTGCCCAGCCCAGTGATGAGAGGTCGTCACTCGACGGGGGAAGGTGACAGACAACAAACGCATGGCTTGCCTGAGGCTGGTTGTGGGGGACAAAATCCCTATATCTTTCCCCTTCCCTGCCACCTCCCATTGCTCTTGCATCTCTTCAGCGACCCTGCCCCAAGAGACAAGCCCATCCTCCTGAACAAGACACTCGACATTCACCGACATTCTCAGTCGAAGAGACATAGCATACTCCCTACCCATTTATCGCAACTACACACGTATCAGATATCCCCATTCAGTATGAAGTCCTTCGCATCGGCCGTGCCCTTGGCGGCAGCTCTGTTCACCACCTCCACTCTCGCATGGCTCCCATCCTGCTCGGTATGTCCTGCGCACACACTCTCTCTCACCTTGGGATCTCAGTGCTAACAAATCGGTAGTGGTCTGACTGCATGGGAAGCTGGGATGGCACATCCTGCAGCGCCTCCACCGGCTGGGACTGCCTCTGCTCTAATCAAACTGCCATCTCCCAATTGAACACCTGCGTCGCAACCTCCTGCACAAACACCACCGATCAAGAGGGTGAGTCCACCTAGAGAAGCATGGACACAAAGAGCAATCGAGCTGACAATCGGAACTAGCCATCTACGGTGCCATTGCACAGCTTTGCGCCAACGCAGGATCTCCCGTCACTGCCTCCCAAGAAGCAACCTTCAGCGCTACCTCTGGCGGCTCTGCCTGGCCTTCTCAGATCACTGCCGCCCCCGGCTTTGGTCCCGGTGGCGGTTGGAACTCTGCCCAGTGGTCCAGCTGGATCTCTGCTTGCTCCACTGGCCTGCCCTCCGCTCCGAGCGGATGGAGTGGCCAAGGCCCATGGGGCGGCCCAGGCATGTGGGGTGGTCATGGTGGTCCTGGTTTCGGCCCTGGCGGCTTCGGCCCTTGGGGCACAAAGGCCAGCGGCGTCAACTGCGATCAATGGACCACCTGGACTGCTGGCTGGGGCCCTTTCTCGTCATGGACCGGCACCTGGTCTGGCTGCAGCACCACCACCAACACCCCCGTCCCTGCGACCATCACCACCACTGTCACCACCGACGGCTCGACTCAAGTCATCACCGGCACGACCTTCGGTATCCAAGCTGTTGAGGCTGCTGCCACCACCACCTCTGACTCGGGCAATGCCGCTCCTTCTCTTCGCGGCCTGGGCGCTTGCAGCGCTCTCGTTGCGGCAATCTTTGCCACCATGCTTGCTCTGTAATTGCACTTCTGGGAGTTGCATTCTTGACATGGGCACCAGTATAGTTTTTTTTTTGATACCACTGCATTGGAGACGGAGAAAATGAATACACTGGGACGGTCAGGGCCACGAGATTGATGACTACCACCATTACTATAAGCATTCACGATGGATTGTATTGTTACTGGGGAGTTAGGAAGCTAATCCATATCACTATGACCGACAAAAATATATATATATATATATTATGCTCCTGGGCATCTGTCCCTGTGAACTTGTTTCTTCCCATCTCCGTCGCCACGTGAGCTGCGAATGCGATGACGAGGCTGCCAAGAGGCCACCCACTCAACTTGCCAGTGCATCATCCAGTAGGCCAAAACCAGTTGCCAGTCCAAGTGACACCAAATAAACATGGAATTTGTCTGGTGAGGGTTCAACGTCAAGCTTTCGCACTAGGCCATCGTTGCATCCACGAGGCAGCAATCTGGATGTTGATGCGCCTCCCGTTCGTGCGGTGGTGAATCATCGGTGCCTGATACCATCCAAGTCACCTGCTCCTTCTCCTGCTCCTGCCACGTCGAATGTCGCTGGCCACTACCCAACTAGGTAGCCACCAAGGTGACTGGCTGAGCGAGTGACTCGAGGTCTCTGGCTTGGTATGAATGAACCTTGGAAATAACCACCATCTCCATCCTTTCTACCATAGCTTTTATTTATTTTTTTCCCCCCATCCTATACTCTGATTCTTCTGGCTTTCAACAAAAAAAATCCAAACAACAACCTACTCCTCATCGCGACCTGTCCGGCCATGACGACGATCCGTAACCTCGCGGTGCTCTTGGCCTTGTGGTCCCTGTGTCTCATCAAAGGCGCCTGGGCTCAAGACGACGACGTGGATGCCTGCGCTGTAAGTGAACGACTCTCGCTGGGCTTGGACCGTGCCGTGCGCTAAGATGGCTCGAAAAGCTCGATTGCGTCGCAAATGTCAACGGCACGGATTGTCAGCGAAGGTAGGGTATCCACGACATCTTGCGCGATTTAATGGGCAGAGGGCCTTTTGCGGGATCAGTGGGCTAATAGCGGCGAAAGCGAGTGGCCCTGCCTGTGTGCCAACAACATGTACATCGAGAGACTCAACAACTGTACTGTGGCTTCCTGCAATGCTACGGATCAAGAAAGTCTGTTCTGGTTCTTCAACGCTGCCGGTATGCTGAGGCTGACCGCTGGCAGTCACGTTTTCTGCAATAGCTGAGATTTGCGCAATATTCAGCGTGCCTGTGACCGTAAGTCTCGCGGCCTTGGGGAAGTCGATGTTATCGAAGATACGACGATCTAGACTTCAGAACACATTCAAGTAGAGACGACGCTTACTTGTCGCGAATAACAGATTGGACCCGAGGCCACCGTTTCTACGTCGACATCGAATCCTTTGTTCAGCACCGTGGCCATACCAAGTCAATCGACCATGCCTCCCGCAACAACTCCCACGTCCTCAAGTGCTACCGTGACGTCAATGTCAACCAGCGGTGCAAGCACTTCGACGAGCTCGACCACGACTTCTCCGGCCGCCTCTGCAACTTCCACTGGCTTATCAGCTTCTCCCTCGCAGTCGTCGAGTGACGGGACTTGGTCCAACTCTCCTGCAGAACTGATGTTAATCTTGGGCGCGGGAATTGCAAGCCTCGTGAGCATTATCTCGCTTTGATGGTGGCAGACCCGCGACAAGGATGTTCCAGCCGGGAATCGACCCGGTTTGCTTGGGAAGCTAGAGGAATCCATCACCTTCGAGAAGCGAAATCACTGGCGGTCTTTTCTGTATCGAATGCGAAGAGCAGCGGTTCATGCAGGTCGACCCGCTCGCACAGGGCAGCCAATGACCACTTTGGTAGAGAAGAGAGGCTAGTAGCCTAACGGTACCCGGGGAGCATGGAGGCTTGAGCAAGCGGCTGGCCCTACTTCTTAGGGATTGCCCTAAGGGATTTCCGTGGGATCATCCCCTTTTCACACCGTGACAGTTATGACATAATGTGGCACGAATTTGTGAATTTGAATTGTTCCTTGAGAGATGTCTGAAACTCTTCTGAGAACTTGACGCATACCAGAACGGAGTATACAGATCGTCGGAAATAGGGTCATCCGAACGGTTACCCCTGTCCTTGATACACGTCGAATACACTTTTCGAGGAGGAAAGGGAGGTGCGCAGGAGGGTGACGTTGGAGGGTCGAGTCGTGTCCCGATGATCGTTTCCCCTTTTTCTCCCCAAAGTGATGCCCAATTGCCCATCACCCGTTGTGGAAGTTTATTAGCCCTAGCAGGCCACCCCAGGAGAGAGGAAAGGCTGTCTAGCCCCGTTGGCCGCATTACGGGGCGCAGGCGAGCAGCTTTTGAGAGAGAATTGGGCACCATGATCTGCGAACCCATGTCTTTTCCTCGAGCTAGAGCCTCTTTGAGTTGCACTCGAAGGGAACGCTGAGCCCTCGCAAGTCATTTATACGAATTGGGAGAGGCGGAAAGGAAGTCCCGGCGTGGGATGCCGTCTAGCGATCAATAAAACGTAGGGGAGAACGAGGATCGCTTAGGCCAAATGGTGCGAAGTGGCTCAAACTTCGTCAAACCAGCTGGAAAGTGAGGGACGCTGATTCCGGGAGGCATGGTGGCACAAAGGCCAATATAATAGGGCAAAAGGATACGGAATAGCCTCGAGTCAGCCCGCGTAGGGCACCAAGAGGAATGATTATTCCCTTCTGTCTCTGTCTTTGACGTTCTCCCTCTCCGGGATCCCAATTTGCAAATTCGGTCGTGTGAGCGCGTTGTCGGTTCACACAGGATTGCAGTCGAGAGCGCAGGATGCTGCGCAGGCGGTTGAGTGCCCGAAGCAGCAACAGCAGCAGCAGCAGCAGCGAAGAGAGTTTGTCGAGGTCCTTGTTCCTGCATAATCGAAGGCCAGCAGAAATTCTAGGGCTCCTTCTCCCAGCAAGCGCCCGCCAACCGCAGCCGGCATCAGCACCAGGCCCGCGGCCGCCAGAAACACGCCCATCCCTCGCCCCTTTCCACCGCCCATTCGCGTCCACGTCCCAGCTACTGCCGCTGCTGCAACTGCTGCACCATCCACCATCAACACCAACACCAACACCACGGAGCCTGCATCCTTCGATCAGAGCCATCTATCACCGCGGGCGCTTGAAAAACAACCTGTTAGAGATGCACCTGATCTGACTCCAGAGATCCATCATCCCCATCCTCCTTTGTCGGACCCACGATCATTGACCTCATCCTCCGCCGACCCTGCACCTCCTGCCGACTACCTCCTATACCAACAGAAGCCTCTTCCCCCTCCTCCTGCGCTTTCTCAACCTCCCAGTGCGTACAGAAGATCCTTCCTCGAAGTGTTGCTCCCGCGACAGGGCCAAAAAAGAACCATTCCACCCGACAACCGCACCGCCACCTCACGTGTCCTCAATCCCATCAACTACGTCCCCCGTCCTACTCCAGTCCGAGTCCAGCCTCAACGACCTCAGCTTTCGACCGACGTGGGTGCCGGTGCTCGCGGCACCGGCGAAGTCCATACTCTTCTCAGCCTCCCCGAACAACGTCGCTCACGTCAACACTCTCCTACTGACCCCATCGTCGAACACAGTCCTCACCTGACTCCAACTGGCGACCGAACCAGCATCGGCCTCCCTTCTAATCAACAGCGCGGCAATAATTTTGTTCCCGAGTCTTCTTCTCAAGGTGCCGGACTGATGGTGGACCTGGAAAAGCAAGACCCTAGTGACCTCAAGCCACCTGAACGGGCGCACACAGTACCTACGTCCAAATTTAGTGTAGAGGGCCCGACATCGACGCAGCAAGGACCCTCTGTGCTAGGACAGAGCTATGGCGTCAATCCCCTTGATCAGCCTTTACAACCCCCTCGGCGCATCACCTCTCACAAGTCACTGAAGCGAGCACAATCTGCTGCGTCGATCCACTCCTCGGCCTTTGGCGGGAGAGCATACACGGATAGCGGCCATCCTCCGAATACAGCATCCCTAGAAGATGTGGAAAGAGGAGCAGCAAATGGAGATGAAGACAGCGACGTCGCCGAGGAGCTCGCTTGGGGTCCTTCCCACCCCTGTTTCCCACATTTCAATCCCCACGTCCCATTACACTCACCCGAGTACGGCGCGACACGCATCATCCGCATACGCCGCGACTGGATGGTGGTGGGCGATCTCGCTCCTACATTCTCAAACATATACCCCGAAATCCTCGACCCGTTAATGCAAGAACAAGAATTTCGATACGTGATAGAACACATCAATCAAACTCTCTGTCAAGCATATGACCCATTTTCCACGTGGAACTGGTTCGATGGCATAATGGGTGTGTTAACAGGTTGGTTCTGGGAAGATTTCCGACCCTGGGGAATCAAAGGCGCTCTCAAGGGACTAGAAGAATGGTTGGAGGACTGGAATCATACAGTCGGTGCGCGAGATGGGGTGAAAATTATCCCGTTGAGGAGGACCGGGTATATGAATCTCGACATCCAGATTCCGGATCCTCAGGTCAGGGTCGTGGGTGAGGACGGGGAGAGCCAGGGCCTGCGACCTAACACACAAGGAACTGGAACAGCGACTGCACCCCCGCAGAGTGCAACGGCTGGTGCAACAAGCAAGGCACGATGATGGCTTAATTTCGATATCGCAACCAAGCCAAGCACTGAAGAGAGGTGTGCAGGCGCCATTGGAGACGCCGGAGGGGAAACCCATTCTTTCTTTTGTCTGATTTTATGTTGTATCTGTGCATATTGGACACGTTTCAGGTCCGCCATGGGGCGCGAGTCACAGGATCCGGGGGTATCTCAGCGGGGCTTTCAGCAAGGCGTTCGAGATTCGAGAGGTCCACACCAGCATCGGGCAATGGGATTGGGATACTGGAGCGGCCCAAAAGACACGCATCTTTCGCTAGCAGAGGGTGAACAGTGGTCGGTTGGTCAGCTTGTATTGTTTACAACTCGGCAAAACTGTTGGTCAGGAGGACGGGTTTTGTTTCAGGCAATTCTGTCTTGGTATCAGTATGTACAGCGACTGGATGACACGAATAGAAGATGCAGCTTGTTTGATTTCTGCTCTTGTTGCGTTCCCAACCCTTCCTATTGCGATGCTAAAAAGGTGTTTCTCTTAGGCTCAGGATGCCTCTACCTTTGGCAGGGAAAAAGGCTTGAACTGGATCAATTGGTGCAACGAATGAGGACATCCGTCGTCGCCAATCACATCGAGGCAGGGAAGCAGGGAGCCAGGGAGGGTATCCGTGTGTGTATGCATGCATATCTCCCTTTCTCGACCTCTTGCGTCCGAGTGATGTTGAAGTCTCCTCCTCCTCCCCCCCTCTGCCCCTCTACTCTACTATCATCATCAGTTTCTCATGGTCCTCGTCCCCATCTTCTCCTCGTCTTCTCCGGTGCTCGCGGGAAGTACCCAGGTATATAGGATGCGGGCGTATGGTAAGGTCTCGTGGTAGGATACGGAGGCCTTGTCGGCGAGGGCTGTCGTTTGGGAAGCGGTCTACAGAGGTAGGGGAAGTGCGAAGGGGCATGTTGATGAAGCGTACACCCCCCCCCCCCCACCCCCCACACACACATGGACAGAGAGAGGGGGGGAGGAGAGAGAATTGTGTCCAAACGGGACAGAGGGGAGGGGAGGGAAAGGCCTTGGGGATCTAGCGTGTCTGCTCTGAGTTCATTCAAAATTAGATCATGGTGAGATTGTTTCTGGCTCGGGAACATATGAAACAACGTAACATGCCATCATGTATACCTAAACGCCTTGTAACGCGCTCTCCTGTTTACTCCGTCGGTGTCCATTTCCAGGGATCGTCATCACCATCAGAATGGCCATCATCGCTTTGATCGACACAGGGAGCTTCTTTTGTGCCGGTTCATCCTATCCACTCGACCGTGTCTTGATCGGACCAGGTCATCCACGACAGACCTTCTTCTGCCGCCGGCTCTAGCATTTGGCCATCCCAAGGGCTCTCCGCTTGTTGATGCGGTTGTTCGTCCGTCAATCCTTCAACGTGCCCGATTGTCCAAGGCTGTTGGTCCACTCGGCTGGTCGACAGGTGTGAGTCTCCGTCATTGAGAGGCTCTGCTGAATTAACCCTGACATGTGGTGGTTCTTCATCCCCCAAAGATTCTGGTAGTCGGTTGATGCCTGACTCCTCCTGGCCTGCAACGCAAGTACTCTCTGGCCTCCTGTTCTGATTATCTCCTTGTGCAGCACTCAAACGCTGCGCTTCTTCAGCCTGCCACCGCAGTATGAGTTTCATACTTCGGGCAGCTGAAATAACGTGAGCATCTCCAGCTCCCCACCATCGCATCCTAAAATCAATGACTTTTCCAAAAGTTTCGAATGCCGCAGACCATTGACCAGACCTCATCATCAGTAAGCCTCGGTCATAGGAGAAGGTCGATTGAAAGCTGTCCCGAGTGGCTGAATGCTTTATCTCTGAGCAAGTTTGGAGGCCGTTTTCTATCCAGACTTCGGCTTCTTCAAAGTCGTCAAGGTCCAGATGAAATTGCGACATTCTCAGTTTAGCATCCAGAAGAGAAAGGAGGCTGTCTTGGGTCATGTCTCTTCGATGTCGGCGAAGCGCGAGGCGATGTAGCTCGTTGGCACACTTCAGTGCTGCATTCGAATGGTCAGATCGGTATTGAACTGCGCAGAGATTTTCGAGTACCGTTTCCATGTTATGGTGGTCATACCCGAGGGCCCGTCCTACCATGTCTTTCTCGGCCAGGAAGACCATCTCTGATATAGTGCTTGTGACCTCGAAAGACCGAATCACAGCCCTTAAGACCAACGGCACCGGATGACCAGCACCATAGATAGTGACAACTCTGATCATGATCTCATGTATCGCCATCTTTATCATTCTCGACGTGAAGCACCGTACCCATGCAGCATAGCTCACCACTATCCGCAGCAATACCATCATTACAGACCAACAGTCGTATTTCGCCACTTTTGGAATGTATGCTAATGTATCGAGTAGCCCAGTTGCTATCATGGGATGGGAAAGATCGCAAATGATGGCCACCAAAGCATTGAAGGCATAATTTTCGAACTTATTGATGACGTTTCCGGCTTCACGTTGGGAGACAAGGAGCCGATCGGGATTTGCGCTCTCAACATGCCATTGGAAGAGCACCTTGGCATAATGCAAGGCTTGATCTAGAGGCTGCAACTGTTCCGGGGAATCGAGGAGGCGCAAGATGGTAGATCGAGGAGTGAAAATCAAATCCTGGTTGATGTACTGAAAGACAGCCGCAATGTCCTCGTCTTCGACAAACGGTGAGGAATCCGCATCCTCCTGTGCGGTATCCTTGGATCCGGCTTCGCCAACTTCTCGTCCAGGAGACGGGCTTGGGGTGCGATACTCCATGCCATCAGGGGTATTTGGGACCGGGGACAAAGACGCTGGATCGAGGCGACAGCGCTTCCAGTAGTGTTCGACGTCCTTGCGGGAGCGAGTCTGTCCACGGATCAGGAAAGCTGTATCCTTTCCCTGTCTCTGTTGGAGTTTTTGGAAGGCGAAAATCATGTCGGATTGCTACAGCCGGTGTCAGAACCGTCTGTCGACGTTCATCATACATAAAGGACCTGGCACCCACCTTGTTCTTCTTGTCAAGACCCCATTTTCTGATATACGTCTTGTAGTGGCACTCCCTGCGGCCCTCGTCAACACCAAAGCACTCCTCATACAGGCACGGCGCTCACCTAGCATGGAACCCCCGCCCTCCAAGAATCTCCACGATCTCGGAGAGCTTCTTCTTTTGCACCTGATAGAGGTCTGTGAAAGTCGGGCGGATTTCTTCCCATTCTTTGCGCGTGTGAGGATGGATTCGTCGTCGCGGCTCCATGACCGTCGCTGGGGAGCCTCGGTCAGGCTGGGAAAGAGACGAGGACAAGTCTCAAGACTGAAGCTGGACATGTGGAAGAAGTGTCACAGGCAGGAGCGCCTTCATGGCTTTTACGCTGTTGTGCTCGCAGCTCATGGCACAAAAGGCAAGCACAAAAGTCGTTGGAAGGTCAAGCTCGGGTGTATGTGCAAACCCACCCACAGCCTCATCATTGCAAAAGTTGTTGCGGGACAAAGGCGGTGCTGGCGCTAATGCATGGCTTGCAGCTGCGTGCAGCATTAGTGGCCTCCATTCTGAGAGAAACGGGGGCACGATTGGACAGAGAAGCGGTCGCAAAGCAGACAACAGGTCAAGAAGGAGACCGAAGAACAGGCTATCACATCCAGTGGAAGATTGGTTGCAGGACAGCCAGAGGCCTGACCAGCGACCACGCAGTCACCAGTGTCGCCCCCATCCCAGACACACCAACTATCCTGCCTGCCACGTTGGGTCAGAGGATTGATCCATTCAGCTTCTCGCAGAACAAAAGGTGTTGCCCGTGGTGTGCCGTCTCACCTACGGTACCGACTGCGAAATCCCAGCCTGATGAGCGCAGGTCTATCTCGTTCTAGTTCTCCTTCTCCCGCAGCGCTGTCTCTCTATTCCTCAGGAACTCTTCCACGGCACCCTTGAAATCGGGCGCAATGTACGGCTCGAAATACTCCCTGAACCAGTTCTTGACCCCATCCCACCAGCCTGTCTGCTCCATTGGCAGAGCTCCGCCATTCCGCTCACGCATCCGATATCGTTTGCGCTGCGGCTCAATGCCCAAGTCTCGACACAACATGTCGATGTAGCTTCGTGCCTCTAGGATCATTTCCGGCGATCTTGCGCCGCGAAGCCCGTAGCGGCGTTCTTGGAAGGCCTGATTGAAGCGGATTTCGGCATCGGCCAGGAGTTTGAGCTCCTCGGGGCCCCGACCATCCGTTGTTTCCTCCTTGTGTCTCGCCTCTGATGCTGAAGCCGGCGGCGGGATGGCAAATCTATCGGCGTCAACCCTATCGAGGAGGGGCATCGGTCTGCGAGTGAAGAGATCTTCAAGCCACGCCACGGCCCAGAGTGCGCCAACTTCGGACGTGGCGACCGTCTGACCAGAGGATATGAAGCCAGCAAATGCGAGCGTGCGGTCATCCTTCGCAAAATGGCTAGATGGGATGAGGAAGCGATAGAGACCCCATCGCGTGTGCAACAGGGCGCTGGTAGGATCTTGGGGTTGAGCAGGTGTTTGGTTTAACGTTGCTGGGAACAGTTTCCTTACCTTGCCGTCGTAGAATTCGAGGGCTGGAAGATCAAGGTCTGTTGGCGTGACGGGAGACTGTATTGGAGCAGCGCCCTTTGCGGGTGCAGACGACGTTTCGTTCTTGTTACCGATGCTGCTCAAACGCACAGGGAGGCCAATTTCTGCTGCTTCCGCCGGCTCAAAGAAGTCAAGGCCAGGCTCCCAGCCTATACTCCAGATGATGGCATCAGCTGGAAGAGTTCTCGGTCCACTGTCTTCTTCATTCACGACGAGTTCTCTGCCTTCGCATTTCACTGGTGTCGCCCGATAGACGGTGAGTTTCTCGGGGTTATCCTCGTGCAATGCATCGAAGAATGGGTGGCCCTCCACAACCAGACTAAGGTAGGTGGTATAGAAGAACATGGACTTCCGTTTGGGCTGGATCTTTGCGGAGTTCTGGCTCTTGCCATAATGTATCTCCCTCGTGATCATCCAGCTCATTAAATTGAAGAATCCCTGCACGAGCCAGGTACCCAGGATCCAGCGTCCCGAGTGCAGAAAGCTGTACCAGAAGCCGCTGGTGCTCCACATTGACGGGCTAAAGGCCGGAAACAGCCTTGTGCCAGCGATTGCCAGTGGATTGGGCTTTGCCTCGGGGTGGGAGATGATCAGCGGCGCGCCCTGGTCTGAAGGCCGAACGAGCCAGTGAACCCTCTTGTGGGAGGCGAGGAAGACGGAGCATGCCTCCACGGCCGACTTGCAGGCTCCTACCACGACGACATCCTTCACGGTGGGATCGTTGCAGATGCGCTCGTGCACGCGGCCCAGGTCGCGCGAGTGGACAGCTGTGCCGGCGTAAGCGGACACAGAAATTGGGATCGGTCTGGGCTTTGAGTACAGTCCCGACGCGACGATGAGCTTGTCGCACTCAAGTACTTCCCCAGACGCAGTCTCGACAAACCATCCCGGTGGTGATGGTGCTTCCCGCTTGGAGACTTTGACAACAACCGTGGAGAAGCGGATCTTGTCGTAGACATCAAACCTGCGAGCGTATGATTCCAGATACGCCTGTTCTCTGGCGGCCGGGATCAGCGAGTCCCACGGGTGCTCCTCATCCACCATGGAGAAGTCGGACAGCTCGTAGTATCCGTTTGGGGCCTGGACCATCAAGCCCGGATAATGGCGCTCTGTCGTCCACACGCCGCCCGAGTCCCTTGCTTCGTCGAGAACGATCAGCTCGAGCGGGCGCCCGAGGTGCTTGCAGACTTGCAAATAGGTCTTTGCGGCGACGAGGCCCGCGATGCCGGCGCCAATGACGATGACTCGCGTGGGAGCAGACATGACTGGCGACGGGTGGCTTTGTCTAGCAATCGTCCTGCTGTGCCCCAGCACGAGTCCAATATCACCTGGCTGAAGTCGCCAGCACCGTCAGACTCGACCACCATTGGACGCCTGACGTTTGCCTGGTTGTGGAACGACTGTGTGGCCTGTTGGGGTTTCCGTGTCAGAAGAAAGACGCATGAGCTGTCAAATAGTTTTCTTTCGGTCTTGATTCGTCTGTTCTCGCCGTTCTGGCAGAGATTCATACACGTCAAGGATGACGGATCGTGGCAGCCTAGACCTCCGAGCTGTCACCTAGGAAAGGTGAGGCTGTTGCAACTCTCGCGCTGCTCCATCCAAGTCGACTCGCAAGGCGACGATGTCTGATTGGCAGTGCTGGTGCGCAGGCGAAAGGCCGCAGCGGTTCCAAATACGCTTGACGAATCTCGCTGAAGGACAGTCCACGCATCTTTGTGCTCGACATTCCCAGTTTTCTCGCATGTAACATCCCTCTCATCATTAGAACGTTGCTCGGTCTAGCCGTATCGAGGACTCTCGCGAGGTGGGATCCTGAGTGGCGATGCATATGGGAGAAACAGTTGAGCCACAGACACCCACAACCCAACTTGTCCACTCCTGCGCGGCTCTTGAAGATCGATCCGGATCATCTGAAACAAGCCGTCCCCCACGGCCGACACACGGGAGTGTTTGTGATCATCCGAGTCAAAGGTCGCGCGTGCTCTTTTAGTGGCTGTCGAGGGGGGATCGTCCGGGGAGGCTGAAAGCGAACGCCTCTTCTACAAGCGAAAACAGGGATCTGGGTGCGACAATGCGAGGGTACCGAGAGGGCGAGCGCCTACCAGGGGACGAGGGTAGTTCTTTTGTCTTGCAAGGGAGACTCCTGTCAATCCCCAAGAGTGCAGGAGACAGGGGGGAGACTGTGAGAATATCTTTCGACCACTGCCTTGTCCCGAGCCTTGCTATTGGATCCTACACAAAGACCACACAACTTATCCTGGCAAAGTGAGGCTAGACGTACAGGGCTAGCTACCGATGTTACTGAAGGTCATGGCAAGAGAGAGCGCGCGAGGCCTTGCTTCAAGTGAGGATTGATATACTGGTCCCTGGTGGCTGGACCGTCACTCGATCGCACCACTCGGTGCCACCTATGATTGGGAAACAAAACACAGGGAACTGCCTCCAACCACAGTGAGGAACCTTGCAATGCTTCAGAATCCGCCATTCCTTCTTCCCCCGAAGGAACATGGCTGCGAAAGCCCGAAAAGGTACCGACCGACACGACGGCAGCTATTGTACAGAAGATTCCTCCTTTACATGCATCGAGCCATGCAAACAAGATCGTTAAGGGCCAACAAAAAGTAAAAGTCCGCCTGCCTATTTTCGCACTTCCCCCCCTCAGAATGCTTTTTGCTGTGAGCCAGGATTACCGGTTCTCACAAATCATAGTCGTACATCATGCAAAGTCGAAAAGCGTCCTGGTCGTACAAATTCATGTATCATGAAAGTAAAAGAACGAGGTATAATTCATCAGGGAATGAAAAGCCGTTGCTCACAAAGGAAAAGGGTCTCCGATTCGTAATGTGTCGTAGAGTCGTGGCTGTAGAAATCAGGGTGGTGAGATGGGGCTTTGCTTTAACCGGGGCTCTGACTGCCTCGTCGTTTGAGTCCGCCTCGAGGCAGCAGGTTGAGGCAGACGGAGAAGATATGTACGATCTGCTCTTCCCAAATCCCCATTTCGAAGTCGACGAGGCCGTATTGTTCGAGTTGATCGCACATGCTCACCAAGTCGTTCATCAAACTTGTCATGGTGTTGGCGGAGAGGAGATCCGCGGGCTGTCTCTTGGTTCTCAGGGCTTCTTCTGTGATTTCTTTCTGCTTTTGTCCCAGGGCCTCCCAGCATAAGTTCAGCTCTCGCCAGAAGTCGACGCGCTCCGCATGTCTCGTCTCGTCATCATGGTGCAGACCTGGGAACAATTAGATTCGGTGTCCACGGCCCATCGTCCAAGATTAAACTTACCCAAAGCAGTAACCGAGCTGACTAGCCACCGTGTGAGCGCGAGCAGTTTCTCGCTGGCGGCTGTTACCCTGCCCGCAATGATCGCGTCGAAAGTTGCTCTGAGCTGCTGGTGGTAGTCTCTCAGGCCCTCTTCGAGGGCTGCTTGGACGCCGCTCAGCACAGCCGGTGCTTCTGTCTCTTGTTGTTCCATGACGGGGAAGTCGACATGCCCCGCGGCGTAAGACTGAGGTATCGAGGGTCGAGTCGCAGCCACATGTCCATAGCTGCTCTGTTCTGCTTGAGAAGTCAAGTACTGCGCGGGACCGGAACCGAGGGTCGCTCCTGCATGCTCGCTCTGCTGCATGTATTGGGGCATCGCAAATTGACTGGTCATCACCTCGATTGCCGTCTGTCGCTGTTGGAATGGGATGCTTTCGTAGAGCGCCTGTGGTCCAACGGGCGGAAGCATGGAGGAAGGAGCGTACTGCGCAAACGGCTGGTGCGGTTGTTGAGAGGGAGAGGCTTGGATCTGTTGCTGTCTGGAGGCCTGCGACATGTATGCAGGCGAGTATTGCATCTCAACCCCTTGCATCGGGCTGCTGCTCTGCAAATGGGAGCTGCCATACTGCGGGTCTTGATATCCGTAGCCCGCGTAGCCAGAAAGATACGGTCGCGTCATTGAAGATCGGCCGATATCCGTTCTCGCTGGCGTTGCTGGCTGCGCAAACCTGTCCGCAGAGGGTGGACCCATGGTTTCTCCTGGGAGTGGGCGCGATGGCGCTTGTGACTGGTATGGTGGTCCATACTGGGTGCGCCGACGGTCGCTGCCGTCCATTTAAGGAGAGCGGACTCGGCTGTCGACGCCAGGTTGACAGAAACAGTCTTGCGCCTTCCGAAAGTCGTATGCTCTGATGTGATATGATGGACCTGGAAGGACAACCTCCTCCTTGACCACGGATGCCTCTCCTTTCCCCCTGCCCTGGCTTCGTTCCCTCATACAACCAATACAAGGCGGAAAGAGGCAGGAGGTCGATATCGTGATATCGGCAGAAGACTGTGTACCGGAGTCTCGTGGGGGTCGAGTCCTCACAGACAGAGAGAACTATGATATTGGAAAGAAAAGATTCGACGCCACCTCTATAGCTGCGTGAAGACTCCCAAGAATCGACAACAAAAGTGCGAAAATGGTTTCGGATTGCCGCCTGCCCCAAATAATGTGCTGGATGGACCGGCGGATGGAGTGTCCGTGGTTGGACGTTCGGTCGCTGTTCTGTTCTCTCGATTCGAGCGCCCACGTCGCCAGTCGTTGGGTCACGCACAAATGAGTACACGGCGACTTCCGCCGCACATGGACGTTCGGCGAATGGTCTCAGGATATGCTCCTCCGGGTCAACAGCCAAAGAAAACGTCTCGCGCCCAAGGGTTCGTACAGTGTGGACGAGTTGGATGAAGGATAGTGGGGGTTAGTGGCGTCAAGAAGGGTGGATAGACGGAATAGATCGAAGGTCAAGACACGAACGCAAGTACATGGAGCAAAGGATCGTACGAAAGAAATAGTAAAGGAGCGTTCGGTAGCATAAGGAAGAAGAAGACCCAGGTACCTTTGGAGTTGTGGAGGAAACGCAATGTATACAAAAAGAGGCCTGAGGTGCAGCTGCCGTGGCAGGCGAAAGTGCGCACGAGTCAAATCAATAATAAACACTTTAACCAAGGAGACTTGGATGGGGAATGGCGCAGATACCGCATGGCAGTAATCGATGGGTCGCTCGTTCCTGGTACGTCAAAGTTAACTCCTCTCAGCGCGGCCGGTGATGTCGTTTTTTTTCACCAAGGTCCAGCAGAGCAAGCAAGGCGTTTCTTGCCGGGTGTCAAAGAGAAAAGTCTTTTGAAGTGGGCAGCGCCACAGGAGGACAGAGATGCCCACCTCGGCCTGGGGGCGAATGCCAAAGGGTCCATTTCGAAGAGGCCAGCCTGTTGGAGATCACCTCTGGGCGTCGGGTTCGAGCTCTGCAGGAAATTCCCGCCCGGTCAGTTCGCTGCTGTAGGGCTTCAGAATCAAGCTGTCACCTCCCAGCGCGCATTTGGCGACGCTGCCCAAGGTTCATGGATGCTGGATGATGACACCCTCGCAAGCGTCAGGATGGGGTGGCGACCCATGGGCAAAACCAGGCAAAAGAAGCATCTGAATGGGCATGACGTCCCCGCCGGTGGATCTGTTCCAGGACCTTTGCAAGGGGTTCGCTAAAGGCCGAGGGGCGTTCTCATCAAGCGCAAGGGAGCTGGACTAGCCAGTGGTCTGACAAGGCTTGCATCTTAGTCTGCCACTGGCACCCACCTGCCGGAGCGCCAGGCGAGATTTAGAGTGTGGCGCCCGAGGAACATCAAGCAGGGGGGCATGACACCTGGTTGGAGCCCAGTCTTCCAAAACGTCCGCACCAGAGCTGGTCCCAGGCATAAGGATTGGCTGCCCCGTCGTGGCCGGGATTTCGCGCAGGTGGGAGAAGCTCCAGACGATGCTCTAGAAGCAGCCATTCACCAAGACGACAAGTCCAGAGTGCTCGACCTCAGCTGGAAGGGTATGCTCGCGGTGCCGGGGCACCTCTTGGGGCCGCTGCTGGATCCTCAGGGAATTATCATAGAGACCCCTCGAGTCCGACTCGGGGATGTGTGGTGTCACACAGAGCCAATGGTCAGCTGCACGACCACTGTTTGACGGACGGCACCGTTTCTAAGGATTCGATCGATGCTAGAACTGTACCGGGCCTGTGTGCACACGACTCCTCCAGCCAAGATCCCTTGAACACAACCAATTGTGATGGTGCCTTGATTGAGGAGACGGGAGGTGACGGCCCAAACACATGGGCTCCTGTCCTGTCGCGAAACGAGTCTTCTAGGTAGGCAGTGGACAGGGTTTCCGAAAGAATAACATTGTGTAGCACCGTCGTAGTCAGCATTACTCTGGCTTGGAAATCGTCCCAATAATGAATCCATATCCAAAGGCAGTTGTCCAACAATGTTGAGTGAACAAGCCAAGGGCATTTGTTTGACGTCTCCATGCCTTTCCATCCCGACGTTTAATATGTCGGTTCGTGTACCTGACATCCATCGATCTGGAGGCGTTATCGAGCCGAGCCTTACTGGCCAGTCGGATGGCAACAAAGATAACATCGACCCAAAGATCTGGCGAGCTGTCAGCTATCGCCGTGAAGTGTGAGTGATGTGCCTGTGAGAGATGGATGCATTGGAAATCCCCCACGCCTGACCTGTCATACGGTCGTTGAAGCCACGTTTGCTTCCCGTGTGCACATGCTCCCTTCGTATTCAGAGCACCGCTCGTTAAAACATTATGTGATTTTTGATTTCTTCCCACATCAGTACCCAGTAACAATCTCCGGGTCATGCAGCGTGAACCAAGGCGCCCACTTGTTGCTATGGCACCAATTTCGTCCCTGAGGCTGGACCTGCATGCTGTATGCATCTGCGCGGACGCGACAAGGTGGCCTTGAACTCTCACGCCAATGATATCTTTGACATAATTTCAGACGCATTATTGGCATATCCGTGTGACAGCGGCGGAGTGGGAACAAGGAGTCCTGCAGCATGCATGTGTTTCACACCTGGTTCCTTGGGTGGTTTAGGTTCCCAAAAGATCCCCGCAACCGGGCAGCAGCATCCCAAATTTTTTATGGAAATTCGTAAGATTGAACCCATTCTGACTTCTGGCCTTGCAGTCGAGTATGGTCCAAACGGGTTCACAGGCGTGGCGGTGGTCATAAATGCCGATGCGCATCTTCAACTGCTCTGGCGGGGTTGTTCGATGTGTATTTCCGAGCCGCACTGGAACTATGGATCATCCTGGAGTCAACAGGCTCCGTTTAGCGTGTGGCTTAGAGGGCGCGTTTCAGCGCTCCGTTTCATGTCCTTTGTGGCTCGGTCCTTCTTGACATCGACCGTACTCGAAAACAAACTGTTGGTGCGGTATCATGACGCGAGCTGCACGAAGGCCGTCGGGGAAGGGTATGTCGTGCGCATTCTCCATACTCGGAGTGCTAGAGCCCTTGAGTCTGGTACGCGACGGCGATCAGCGAGCCTTGGATTGCTGGCGGGCACTCGGCGGATTCCCCGTGGTGCTTATGCTGAGGTTCGAACACTGCCCATCTAAAGTAGGTACTCGTCAGATTTTGGACACGCGTTTCAGGTCGAAGACAGGTCCGACGGCTCTTCTGGAAGACGATTTCCGAGGCAACCTTGGGAGGGCGAATCTCTCGAGCAACGGCTCCACGGAACCCAGGATGCAAATCACTCGTTCGAGGTATCTGCGAAGTTGCGTGCGCCGTGCAGGGCGCGGGCTAGGCTTTGATGGGTGATGGTGGTTCGACATGTGCAAGTCCGTCTTCCACCACGCCGAAGTCTTGCAGAGGGATCTGCCAGAATCTCGCTTAGGGGATCATCACGACGGTGTCGACTGCAGGATATATCACGGGGCCTCGCTGGGAGATCTGACATCTCGCTTGCAGGAGCGTTGAGACTGTTGGTAGACCCTCCGTTATGGTGAGATTGGCGTAGTCAGAATCAAAAGGGCAACCAGAGCAATGACATGACTTGGTGCGACGCGACATGCCGGGATCAAAACAAATTCAAAGATGGCGCAGGTATCGGACTCGAGGCACGTGAGGAGCGTCAATGCAAGTACCTCGTACTGCGCCAACCAACACCATCTGTCTACACCGAGTCGTGGCTGTGTTACTCTGCCTACAGGGCTGATAAGGTCTTACAACGGCGATGAGGTAGTCTGGCACCGGATTTCTTCATGCAGCATGTTGCGCCGTTGTACCGTGCCATAAAATTCATGTCAGAATTACACGATACTCCCTCGAGGAGGCACGAACCAGAAGATTCCCCCAGATTGAAACCATCGCAATTACCACAGATCCGAGTCCTCCACCTCTTTGCCATCTGCAGGTGGGAGGATCGTCATCTAGTTGCACAACGATCTGACATGGATCTCTACTAGATAGACTCTGGTATACACTGGGCATTGATACACTGATGTACACACAAGTACCACTGGCAGACCTCGACGGCTCAACGTTTGACCCAAGCTGGCTTCTTGCGTGCCTTGAGTCGACCGGGCTTCTTTCGTTCGACGCGTCTGGGATCCGAAGTAACACAGCCGGCTGGTTTAAGAATTAGAGACTGAGAACAAACACAGCTGGAACAAACATCGCTTACCTCGTCGCAGAGCTGGCTTGAGAGCTGGTTCGTGTACCAGAAGAGCCTTGGCAAGAGCCAATGTGATGGACTCGGCCTGACCAGTGATCCCCCCTCCCGATACCAATGCAAAAACGTTGTACTTGTCCATTCTTTGTGTGATCTTCAACGCCCACAGTGCGCTCTCTCGGTCGTGGGGCCGTGGGAATGCTTGAACGATGCTGCGTCCGTTGACCAGGACGTCTCCTGTGCCTTCCACCAGATACACCTTCGCTGAAGACTCTTTCCTTCGTCCTATGCCGACAGATCTGCCATACTCGTCGATCCTCCCAGGCTTTGCCTTCTGTATCTCTTCCGAGCCAGGGCGTCGAAATCGTGACAGTATTTGCTTGACTTCCTTGGGACAGTATCTGGGATGGATCTTGTTTAATCTCGTCAGGAGCACCAGCACTTTTGAATACTTTGAAGCAGCCACCTGTTCGCCCGTGGAGCTTCGGTATTGATTGAGTTTCAGCCAAGCAGGCCGCAGTATCTGGTCTGGAGGAGCTGTGGGTAACGATGCATGTTTCTTGACAAGTGATTGTAACAGCAAGAGGTGATCGTTGAAAACTGGAGAGGCCGTGAAATAGGAGGGAGACCGTGGAAGTATTCGGGCGGGAAGAGACGTAGAGTCATCAAGGTCTATCTCAGGTGCAGCATGGATCTGGACCTCTGCGGCGGAATATTTTGTCGTAGAGAAGCTCTGGTGATGTCCGAGAGGCTGGATCCATTGACGATGAGCTGTCAATTGGATTTTGTCGTGAAGTCGACACTTTCGACACATCCATGAGAGCGTGGGCGGCAAGGCCCGCGCTGAAGGTCGCGCCATGCTCTATGAGAGGCGATTATCACCTGCTGAAACAAATACCGTGAAAGATCATAGTTTCCGAATCGATTGCATGGGAAATTCCAACGCGAATCGAATGGAGCCCTGACGAAGAAGTTTGTGAGGTTGGAGCTTGGACTTCGGGCACACATTCCGCCAAGCTTTTTTGAGAGCCTGCGCTGCAAAAAGCGGAACTGTCACTGACCTCAAAATTTTGTTTGTGACTTTACTCATGACAACTTACCACCACCTCCAAACCCTCCTTTGCCCTTGAAACGTATTGTACACGGACTCAAGATGTCGTTCGGCAAACTCTACGGCTACAAGGTGAGCGATACGCAAATCTACAACTAAGATTCCAGCATTACTGACTTCATCCATAGGAAAACGCCCGCAGCACTGCCCTCCTGGCGGTCGCAAAGGAGAACAACCTTGACATCGAGCTCGTCGAGACTAGGACCCCGGTCACAGATCCTGAGTATCGCAAGCTGAACCCTCTGTCACGAATTCCCACCTTTGTTGGCTCCAATGGCTTCATCTTGACTGAGTCGATTGCCATTGCCATCTACTGTGAGTCTTGCCCCGCAGTGCCTTGTGCTTCGGTCATTTCTTGCCCTCAAAGATGAGCCATATTATCATATTCAGTTATCCCTGTCTGAATAACCCTTGTTGACTACATTGTACTCTGAGAGACCATGCTCGTAAACCTTGTTTTGTGCCCCTAATCACATCGTTAACAACCGGAAACCCCACTGACAATCTGTCACAGTCGCTTCGCAGAACGACAAGACCACTCTCCTTGGAAAGACCAAGCAAGACTATGCTTCCATTGTGCGATGGATGTCCTTCTCCAACAGCGAAATCCTCCCCAACCTCTCTGGCTGGTTCAGCCCCTTGATTGGCAAAGTTGCCTACAATAAGAAGTCAGTTGATGACCACAAGAAGGCTGCTCTTGATGCTATCCATGCTCTCGAACAACACTTCCTTGTCCACACCTTCCTGGTTGGAGAGCGTATCACCCTTGCAGACCTCTACGTGACCTCGCAAATGTCTCGTGGCTTCCAATACGTCCTCGACAAGGAATGGCGTGCAGAGAACCCCACCACCACGCGTTGGTTTGAGACCATCACCAACCAGCCCATCTGGAAGGCCATTGTTGCTGAGCCAATCATGATTGAAGAGGCCGTGAAGTATACCCCACCCAAGAAGGAAGCAAAGCCAGCTAAGGCCCCTGCTGCTGCACCTGAGAAGAAGGAGAAGAAGCCCGCCCCGGAGGAGGCAGAGGAAGAGGAAGAGGCCAAACCAGAGGTCAAAGCCAAGCATCCTCTCGAGGCACTGCCGAAGCCGACTCTCATTCTCGATGACTGGAAGAGAAAGTATTCCAATGAGGATACTCGTTCCGTGGCGCTGCCTTGGTTCTGGGAGCACTACAAGCCGGACGAGTACTCATTGTGGAAGATTGATTACAAGTACAACGATGAGTTGACGTTGACTTTCATGTCGTCCAACCTCATCGGTAAGGCTTTCCTCTGCGTTCAAGGACCTTCACTGTCAAACATTTAGCTAACGGCTGCACCAGGTGGATTCTTCAACCGTTTGGAGGCTTCCCGCAAATACCTCTTTGGCGCTGCCTCTGTGTACGGCCAGGCCAACGATTCAGTCATTCAGGGCGCTTTCTTGGTCCGTGGTGACGAGGCTCTACCCGCATTCGACGTCGCCCCCGACTGGGAGAGCTACGAGTTCACCAAGCTTGATCCCAGCAAGCCCGAAGACAAGGAATTCCTCGAGAACCAGTGGTCCTGGGACAAGCCAATCGAGGTCAATGGCAAGACATACGAGTGGGCTGATGGCAAGGTCTTCAAATAAAGCTGTGCGTTCGATGATGCCGCAGTTGCAAGACGTGCTCCTGGTTGAGCGGATGTGATCATGATACCAACAATGACAGACCGGATGACAGGTGGATGTTATGCGTGATAAGATGACCAGCACGGAAGACCTACTCTCGGCTGAAAAGCTTGACGCACGGCTCGCAAGCAGAGTAATGTTTCTTCCTCTCCCGACATAGCAAGACAGATAGACCCACAAACTTCTACGCTCGCTCTTGCTTGCCCTCAATAGGTCCCATAGAGCAAACGAAGGAACATGCATGACTGGAGTAGTACTAGACACTTTTGCACGTCCGCTACTTGTGCACTTTCACTGCATCTCATTCCCGTGTCTTGCTCCGTTGACGTGATTTGTGCTGCTTCAAGTGAGTGGCTGTCGTTCGTGATGTGTCGAGGACACCAGAGCGGTTACTCCAGGGCATGCTCTCGGTGGGAGAACAACCTCAACGAGTGACGGACAGGATGCCGTCGACAGTCAATCAGCCAGTCAACAACCATGCAAGCACCGCCCTCTCTCCCCCGCCCCTCCTTACTCTCCTTCACACCTGCATTCTCTCCCTCCCTTTCACACCAGAACCTGCCACCTGCCACGAGAGTGGTCGAGGTACGTACATGCAAACTTCTTCTCCAATGCTTTGCAACAAGGCAAAGAGGACAATGATGAAAAAGAGTCATGATGCATCAGTGGCGGCAGTGGGAAGGCCATAGACGCAAATAGTTGTGTGAACAAAAGATTGATGGTTTCAATGTGCCAAGGCACAGAGAGACGCACACATTGTGGACAGAATCTGAGGAGACAGAAATCTGTTTGTGGATTAAGATAATGTGAGGATAAGAATAGGAGGAGGTAAGGATATGTGAGGATAAGAATAGGATGTTGATGGTGGTAAGGATATGTAGAGGTCCAAGAAAGATGGACAGAGGCCAGGAGGCTAGGAGGAAGAGAGCCAAGGCAAGGCACACAGGGCAATGCGACAGGGCTGGGCACACTCAAGGCAATGCGACAGGGCAAGGCACAGGGCAAAGCGACAGGGGGCACCAGCACAAGGCAAAGCGACAGGGGCTCAAGCACAGGGCAGCAGGCGTGGCACAAGGCAATGCTATGGGGCAAAGCGACAGGGCACAAGCACAGGGTAGAAGGAGGAGGGGTTGCAAAGCGTAAGATAAGAGCTAAGAAAGACAAAGAGAGATATAAAGTAGAGGGGGTTGTAAGGGAAGCAATGTGAGTATGAGAAGAGGGAAGAAAATATTGCGGATTCGTCGAGGGCAGAGCCTGTATTTATAGACAACCGCCCAGCCTCGAGATCAACCCAGTAGAGACCTCACAAAAGACATGCACCATCAAGAGACCCCGTTCCCATACCGTATTCAAAGGAGAAACGGTGGTTCACAGCAGATCCGATGGAAAGTCGCAGAGACCAGGAAAGCATCAAACTTTGGTGTAGCACGGATCCATCCAGTTCTGCGGTGTTTTGATGGAACCCATGGATATTTCTCGACTTGTGGGCCACGTATTTCTGGAAAATTTGATTGAAGGACGTGGATGGCCAACCAGCTCTCAATTTTGCTCGTTTGCTATTGCTGATGATGAATGAACCGTCCATGTGCCTCTGCTCGTGCAGAAGTTTAGGATGTTCCAATATGGGGACAAATCGCAGAGTCTGGGAAACTTTGGCGCTAGGCGTATCAACTGTGCGCACTCATTTGTGAAGTTGTATCCGACTTCCTGCCGAGTAATAATTGGAGAGAATAGTAGTAGTAGAGCGCAATGATCATGATCAGATCAACAGTCGAAGGGGTCGACTCAGGCTGATTCGGTCGCCTGATGTTGCGGCTATTGAGTTGATCTGCAAAGGTCGAAATGTTTCAGCCTCGTCAAACAAAGCAAGCCGCATGTTATCATGTGATTCTCTCTCCCCAGTGAAGTGGGCTCTTGTGATTGTTTGATATATTATTGACCAGCAATTCTGTCCAACAATTCGGGGTGCAAAGCCCAATGGCTTGTGTACACCAGTTGGATGAAATATCCATCTGCGTGCACAGCTATTGGGCTCTGTTTCCCGGGTTGTGGCCGCCTTTCCTGTTCTGAGGGAATCCAGTCACACTTGACTGATTCTCAACCCGGCTGAGGTTGGTCCCTTCTCACAAGAAGGGACATCACCAGCGGGATTGAAATAAGCAAGCAACGACAAATCCGAACCGGGAAAAACCAACCTCGAAAGGGGTGAGCTTCTCTTACCACGCAACCAGCTCCCACCGGGGTCGAGCTGCTTCGTGTGTAAGTTTTTGTTTTTTTGGTCCTCGGTGATTTTATTTCTGTACTGCAGAACTGGAAATGTGTGCTCCTGGGTGAGGCTTATGGTATTGTTAAGTCGCCAAGATGTCAAAGATAGACTGGTGTGCTCCTGGGTCAGAAGAGCACCGCCAGTAATGACGACCTCTGGCGCTCAACCGATTCTGAGTCTTGACATGCACCGGGAGCTACTCAGAGGCAAATTGACGAAAATGATAGGTTGATATTCGTATTCAGATAAACCTGGAGATTTGTGGTAATGACAGATCTATTCTGTTTCGCGATGTCTATGTGCAGATCGCAGTGGAGGTTCTATTGGCGTCATCATCCTGGCCGCGACAGGACGAGGGATTCAACTCTGTGCAAATCCAAGGTCTCGCTTGAGATCATCGTACTTCGCCCGGCCGAGCAGCTGCGGCCGCCACGTCACCATCAATGTTTCGAACGCCAGTTTCTCCTCGTCGGCCCTCCCATAAGCGGACCCAAAAATCAGGAGGATCCATCGGTCGTTGGCCATCATGCAGTCCGGGCCAAACATCCGCAAAGAAGTAATAGACGTGACCAACAATCACACCAAGTATCTCATCCTTGGGAATGCTGCCGTGCATAAACATGTGGAAGGCCATCAGAACCCAAGGGAGATAAGGCGCGGTGAAGACGAGCACACCGAGGAAACTCAGTCGGGTGTCGGGGTTACGTCGTGACCAGATGTATACAAGAGTACTTGATAGCGCTGAACCCAGAAATGGGATGGAGGTGGTGAGGGAGCTCAAGGCCAGCAGTGATGTGCATGCGTATAATAGCAGCCAAGAGAAGACCGCAGGTGAAGGCCCAGAACCTTGTTCTAACAGTCGAGAATATCGCTGAAGGAAGAAGACGTGGAAGGCCAGGTCCAGTGACGGAGGACCAAAGTATATGAATGTAGTTAATAGTCGCCAATACTGGGAGAATCAGTAAGTGCCCGCTTCGGTCTTGGAGACATGTGCACCCACCTGAGACTTATAGTAAACTGCGCGCCACGAATAGAACAACTGAAAAGGCGTGATGACTTTGCATTGCAACAGAATAGACGTAATTACAGTTGCGGTGGTCCAGTACCGGGTGCATGGCGGCATCTCAAAGAACCATTGTTCGAGTGGAAACTGTCCCAACTGGCCGAGGCCGTCTTCACCCCCACCACCAAGTATCGCGGCCATTATCCAAGGTATCAGATCAAAAAATGGGAGGATGGTACGGGAGAAGTCTGAGAGGAACTCCGGACTCTGGACGATGGTGTAGACAGGCGAGAGGACGGACTGAGTCAGGATCGGAGAGCGCAGGTCAGAGTAGTCATGGTAGAAGTTGTCTGCAGGCGGAATTGGAGACAATATAGGAAAGGAAAGGTTCATGTAGCGGTAGAGGGTAAGTGATTAGGTGGCCTCTTTCAGAAAGAATGAGACATGCTCATAAAGGCGACGTAGGAGGCGAGAGTCGACCAGGCTTCAACCGGGCCGTGGGATGAGGGTGTGGAATGATGTCGAACCGCAGCAACCATGGCGAGGATGGGCTCCGAGCAAGGGGATGGCAGGTACTCCTTAATTGGGCAGGTACAGCGACCGTTCGGTAAAGCAGCCATTACCCAATAAGTGGGTCTTTGAGCGCGCGGAGAATGCAGTTCAATGGAAGCGACGCGACATTCATGTGCCCGCGCATCCATCTCGTCTGGCTTGTTGACATGTTTCTGTTGAGTCTCAACCCAGTTGCCGTGGAGTATTGCGTCCGAGCTGCCTTCAGCAGACTGTGATTCTATGCAGTCAATTTTGCGAACCTCCAAAACCATCTGATACCTGCTTGTCCAACCACGCGATTCCCCACCTCCATAAGTTTACCTGCTCTCGATCTGGTCTACCGCCCGACAATTCATAGCATGGCTCAGACAAAGAGTGTTCGGAGGCGCTCAGGGCCTTCTACCCCGAAGAGAGGACAAGCCCAACGAGTAAACCAGTCGCCTAGAACGATATCAGGCAAGCGGCTTCGCGCGCAACGTAGGTTCCACGAGGGCATGTTGGCGCTCTAGCACCCAAAAGCTGACGCAGATTGACAGCTGGCGATCCAATACCCGTGCGAAGACCCCGAAGGTATAGACCTGGAACACTCGCACTCAGAGAAATCCGAAGATATCAGCAATCAACCGACCTCCTGATCCTAAAACTACCCTTCGCTCGACTTGTCCGAGAAATCGCCCTTTCCATCCTTCCATACCACGCGGCGCAAGATCTCCGGTGGCAGAGTCAAGCGATCCAGGCCCTGCAGGAAGCGAGCGAAGCATTTCTCGTACATCTATTCGAAGATACGAATCTGTGCGCGATTCATGCGAAGCGGGTAACGATCATGCAGAAGGATATCCAATTAGCAAGGAGGATTCGAGGCGCATGGGGCGGTTTGGGTTGAGCGAACGTGTTGAGTTGGTATGACTTTATGATTTGCGAACAGATTGGCATTGTTCGGCGTTCTATCATCGGTCTCACAGTACGGGGAAACGGAGTCAAGCACCTCGGCGGAGACAGTCGCAAAATTCTGTGTCTGGCCGACCTTGTCGCCTGTATGAAATGGTGCTAAAAAGCAGCAAGCGAATTGGGTTGTTACAGGGATTTTTCGCAACGCGCAATTGTGCCAGAAAGAGCAAACAAACACCAGAAATGAAACTCGCTCTATCCATCATCGATTCTACCCAGTCACACTCGAGCCAAGCACGCCTTTTGTACTCGTTACATCCCCACTGCCCACCGCGCCCTCAACTCTCCTCTCGCAAGCTTGCCTGCAAGCCACTGCAAGCGCCTTGAAAGCGCTTTCTGCTCTGTGGTGGTTATTGCTTCCATAGACACATTTCACATGCAAGGTTACACTGGCGGCTTGCGCAAAACTCTCCAGACCGTGGGTGAGCATCTCAGTGCTTAGATCGCCAATTTTCTCTCGGGTGAATCCAAAGTCAATCACACTGTACGGCCGGTTGGAGAGGTCGATAACGGCCCACGACAACGCTTCGTCGAGGGGCGCGTCACCGCGACCAAAGCGGACAAGCGATGTCCGTTTCCCCAGTGCAGCATTGAATGCAGAGCCGACCGCCAAAAAGACGTCCTCTGCCGTGTGATGGTCGTCGATGATCAAATCACCGCTTGCTCGGATGGCTAGAGACCAACCTCCATGTTTTGCCAGCGCGTGCAGCATGTGGTCTAGAAATCCAATACCGGTGGATATGGCTATCTGCTGTGTGGGCGTTATCTGTGTGGCATGATGCGATGCGGGCAGGGGAACTAGGACGTCCGGATGTGACTGTTTCTGAGCTGGTGATATCGCCGACGGGAAATGCTGGGAGGTTTCGTACGCGAGCAGTGGGCCTCCGTCTAGCGACAGCGAAACCTGGATCTTGGTCTCGTTGGTGATGCGCGAGAGTGTGTGAGTTCGCCGCGGCAATGATACCGGCATGATTCGTTCTATTGACCCCATTGTAACCTGTCTGGACGGGTATTGTTGAGAGTGATGTTCGAGAGAAAGAAAAACCTAGTAAATCCGTTTTGACCGACTCTTGCCAGAACGGGAGCCTCTGACGCTGCTTTTGCATTGCACTTGACACATGGCACGTGACTGTGAGATTCTCGAGTTGCTCAGCAAAAGCGGCAGGCGGTACCCGCTGTGTCTAGATTAGCGTTGTCCAGAATGGGCTTAGATGCTTCTCTCGTCGACATTGAGATCTGCGGAGCAACACACGAGCGGCAGGTGACGCTGTGGCCGCTCGAGCTTGGAGCTAGATTCACGACACTTGAACCACAACTTCGACATCGAGCGAATCCGCCGCCGCCCAGAGCCCCGGACCTTCCAAAATCTCTTTGCAGACTCCCTATGTGAGAATCGAAAGCTCAAGATGGTCATAAACCCCACATATCTGGCCCAGCGGTCACGTTCCTGTACGTACCCAGCTCTTGAATTCACTCTTCTGACCTGCAAGATTCGCTGACCAGAATACAGCCATCAACTGGTCCGATGCGCGACGGCGAGTCCTGAAGTCCTACCGAGAATGGCTGAGAGCGGTATGCGAATACAACACCACACCTGCTGCGCTTGGGGGGAAGAAGGAGTTGGCTGACTGAGAGATTTTGATGCAGGGGCCTGAGATCCAGCAGCTCTACTCCCTGAATATGCCGGTCTCGAGAATCCGCACGAAAGTCAGAGAAGAGTTCGAGAAGCACAGATATGTCAACAACGTACAGGCAGTCGACGTACTGCTCCAACAGAGTCATGCAGAGTTTCAAGTGCGTTGCAAATTCCGCGAAGGTGGTTCGGAGATGGCATGCAGATGCTGACGAGATGGTTTTATTCACCACAGGAAATGTTGAACTACTGGAAGCAGTACTCGCATGTCATGAAGTACTTCCGGGTCGATGAAGATGAGAACGCGAAACTGCCGAAGAATTTCATCCAGGGCTTTTTGGAGGTATGCATTAAACAATGCTGCACACCTATTGAGGCTGTTCCCCCTGGCTAACTCTTTTTCCTTTCTAGGGCCGGAACTGATGCGGATGTCCACCTTGCCAGCACCGTCGAGGTGATTGTACATAGCTAGAAAGAAAAGAGCAAAAACATGCCGACACTCCGGGCGCCTTTCCAATGCAAGATCCTGTCTTCCCCGACCGCCTAGGGTTTCGTGATAGATGGTCATGAATTTGAAGCATTGAATTCGTCTCGCGCCTCGGAGAATTTCTTTGACACCACGTCGCAAGCCGCGATCATGTCTAACAGACCCTTTCTGAGTGCGTCGACCGCTGTTGTCTCGGTATCCTCTAATCTGGGTCAGAATGGGGTGCACAATGCCAGCAATATCAGGAGAAGTCACTCACCCCACGTCTGTATCCGAATGTTCATTTTGGTCTCGGAAGGATGTGGGATGGTATAGCCGCAGAATTCCACATCGGGGCTGTCAACCGTCAGTCCATGTTCCTGTCAAGAATTTTCGAATGGTTGAGGTGACCGTACTTCTTGTTAACAAAGTACCGCAGAGCATTGCCCATCGTGTGATCTTCTTTCTCGAACTGGAAAGATGCAGCATGCGAGGATGCACCAGGAAGCTGTACCACGGAGCCATCAGTATCGTAGGTCAAAAGACTTTTCGATGCAGATCCCGCGGGTTCGCAGAGCAGAATTTGGTTTCCCACTCAGACCTACCACGACCAATTTCTTCGCGCCGCGCAACAGCAATTTCTCGATATATTCGGGGTCGTTCACGTCCTCTTCTGGAACCTCAGACATTTTGGGATCTGCGCAGACCAGTGATTTGTGCAGCCTGTGAAGAACGTTGTCGGCAGGCAAAAAGAGGCGAGATATAAAATCTTCGGTCTCGGAATAGGTCTAGGTGCCAAGACACCAGAGGCAGTCGCCCAATCGGGAATAGACCAGGCTGGACTGGATATCAAGTTCAATGCAAGTCTCTCACGAAGAACCTCGTCGCCTTCTCAACGTCTTTCTTCAAGTTCGCTACTTTATCACGCATCTGCTGTCGCTGGTGCTTTGTCGTGATCGATGGAGGAAATTCAAGATTATTTTCCAATCCTGTTACATTTCTACGGGGGGCGAAGGAGCTGCGACCTCGTGGGTTGCGCCATCCCACTGCAAATACTGAAGTGCTTTCGCCAAAGTGTAGTGTTGGCACAGTAGGAAGGCCTTGAGAATGTATAGAAACAGAGCAAATAAAAAGTGAGTGAAATGCTTGGGCCGCGATCTTGTGCTATAGAACCATTTTCTGAGGATTGCGCTGGCTGTGTGTATACTCCAGCGAGTAAGGACTTTTTGGCCGATTTTCTGTGTTCCAAACCCTCCAGAAGAGCAAAAACTTAAGCACGAAGCAGCTCAACTCTGGTTCGTGATAAGCGAAACTCGCCCTTTCGGGTTGGTTTTTCTCGGCCGGTTTTACTACGAGTAATATATAAGTTGAGGAGGAGGTTCGGGTCGAGGCCTGCTGCCTGTTAGCCCGTTACTGCTAGTTTGACCTGACAGGACCTAGATAAATACTGGGAATCCGTCGGGATTCGCACTTGATTTCGCCCTTGTCAAAATAAAAGGGTCTTTGTGTAACAAAAATTCAGGAAAGCAACATGATAAACGTGAAATTTCTGTGTGCAAGCTTGTGGGACCGCACTCGGTGGTGGTGGTGGTGGGCGCAAGGCTGAACAACATCCCCATCACTGCATTCGAGGTGTAGGTTCGAAACACAGACCAGCAAGGCTTCAATCTTCACGGAGCCAGCAACGTCCTCCTCGCCACCAGTTCAAAATGACTGACCAGAAGAGACTGCTGTCAAGACTTGTCCCAAATGCACGCTGTCATATCACATCGTCGAGGCCTGACGACCTTTTGCAGATCTCCATCATGACACAAAGCCGATCCGACGAGGCATCCTTTCCAAGACACAATTTGCGGACCAAACCAGAACCGGCGCGAAACGGGCCACGGTGCGAGGACACCAAAGGCTTGGATGAGACTTCTGTGAAAAAGCTCTCATGTTATCAGTTGCAAATGAGAAAGGAAGCGGCACGACGCCTGAGCGATATGGTCCTCACGCACCAAGAGTCTCGCAAATGGTCGTCGTGACCCTAGCCCCTCGCGAGGACACACGTTAATCAGATGTTCCTGGTGGTGATACATTTCGGGGCTCAAAGCACTGCAGCATGCTTCACTTTTATGACCTGATGAGAAGCTTGAAACTGATCTTCTGCTTCTGGTGATGCTTTTCAGACAGTAATGTCGTGGATGAGGCCACAAACGAGGGTGTATCGAGGCATGGCGAAGGAACGGTAAGGTGGATGGATTCTCTTCTGGTTTCTTGTATGTCGTCAACTAGACATGCAAAAATGGGTACTCCGTGTCCTTCAGAGAATGGCGTCAACAAACTAGCGATCAAGGTGGGACGATAAGGATCTTTTATCGAAGGCCGCATTACGAGCAGCGAATACTTCTCCAACGTCTGTGCCACGCGACACACGCGGGAAACGCAATAAATCCACTCTTGTGTCGGAACAAGCTGCGAGATTCGATAGTTCTGTCAACAAGAAGATGATCTCGAGCAACGTTTGCCAAACCCGAAGCGAGACAGGAGGCAGCTTGGCCGCCAAAGGAGCCATTAGCCTTGTGCGGGCGTTTCAAGGCCCCTCGTCATTCGCTCATCTGGGCGCCACGATTGGGCTCCCTCGTGGCGTCAGGTAGGGGCAGTTGGAATTGGACAATGCCACGGCTGAAACTAGCGAGATATGAGACCGCTGGCGGAAGAAAGACACCCAATTATGAAATGGCTGGCTGGTGAGGCCCTCGGAAGAAGAGAAGATTTTGACACAAGTCACGTAGGACAATGATCACGGGGACCTCTTTTTTTTTTTTTAACTCGCGACAATGTTGATGGTGTGCAAGGACCACCAGCACGTTTTAACCAGTGCCATTCAATCTTGGATGGCACTATTGGGATCATAGTGGTGGCTGTTGTTCGTTGTTCAGATGCCCCAGCAGTCGAACACTGCCGCAGCACGATCGGCCACTAGAGGCGTTTCACCATCCACTTGTGATTCACCTAGACCCTATGACTTTCTCCGCGTAGTGTCCTGTTTCTGGTAAAATTAGTTCCGGCATGGGGTAGCCCATTTTGGATATTCAAGTTTTGGACGCCCATGGCAGCAGTTGAGTGCAATGGGAATCGAAAGTTCTGCAGCGGCTGCTAGGCTCCGTTTGAAAGGCTATTGAGCTTATCGATGCATCTGGAAAATGCAGCCTGAGTAACCTTCGCTTCGAGCTTGAGAAGCTAGAATATTTGGGAGGCCTTTAGTCCCCATCAAATGTGGCCTAGGGTATGTTTTGGCGGGCGGTAAGCTGCATGTCTTCCTCTGAGTTGGGCGATGGTGTACATCCTTGTTGGGGACCTGGATCCGATTGCAACGTGTGACATGCATTCGTCAGAGGCTGATGTTAGACCTAGTGCTGCCCGTGTCAAATCCGAACTTCCGGGTCCGTTCCCCCCCAAGTCGTTTGGTGTGTTCGAATCCCCTCCTCTTTTGCGACAAAGATTGGACACAACGAAAAGCCAGGATCGGGATAGCATTCGCAGCCACGAGTTGAGATCGTTTGCACCAACAGCTCAAACGTAACTTCTGTGGGGGTCCCGTTTGAGGCAAGACCAGTGTGCGAAAAGCAGGACAGCGAGAGGCCATCTAGCCCACAAAGCCCATGACAATAATATTGACGCAAAGCTTCGGGATATGAAACACGATTTGCCGCATGGTGGGCAAGGCGAGGGGCCCCAGGAGCGCGAAGCAAGCCTTTAAGCTTAGCCTCTGAGTCGAATAAGGTCGCTTAGCTGTCGCATCCGAGAGGTTCCCGCGTGTGTTGGCTGACTAGAGGGCGAACTAGTGAAGTCCGAAACATGAACGGGTTGGGATCGAGCCATGGGTGGCAGCAGGATGGGGGTGGGTTGAATCCGAGTCCCTCGATTTGATCGGGGTCGAGTCGGAGGACGAGTGTGTGTGGTAGGGCCGTCAGGCCGCAGAGGCTGAGAGTAGTAGTGGAAGGGGAGTGATTCAGGCTATGTCGTGGCTTCTGCTCGGCGTGCCCTAAGCTCACACCTTTTGGGTGCTTGTGGGCGCTGCGTGTCAGATGCACGCCCCCTGGAAGGTGCCTTCGATGGCGCCCATGAAACTTCTGGTTATTCATCGCTAGCCCGGACTCGGCTTAACGGCCACCCTCTGCACAGACACATGGCAGGCGGAAGAGAAGCTCTGACAGTTGGTTCTTGGAACCCCAGTGCCACCGGAGCCACTTCTCGACGTTGTCCCTGGCTCGGGCGTGTGGGCCTAACACCAGTCGAGGCTAGGGGGCTTGGATCTCATCTTGTTCCAGTTCCCAATTCTGAATCCCTAGGGTGAACCCAACGAGACTCGCGAGACTCGACCAGTGTCTTGTCTCTCGTTTGCGGGTGTCCTTGGGGGCCCTTGGAGCCCTCCTGCGCGTTCCATTTGCTCCCTTCCCTGCCCTCCCTTCCCTGCCCTCCCTTCCCCTCCCTGCGCCGCCCGCCTTTTCCCATTTCCATTTTCCAATTGCACTTGTGCTCGTATCTTTTCCTTTTCCCCCTTCCCTCATTCATCCGTCGCCTGCATCTGCGAGGTCTGTTTTCAACACGACCTAGCCGCTCGTTGCTTGCTCATCCCGTTCCCTACTATTCCGCTTCTCACAAAACATCCCAAGTCGCCTTCGATCTTTTTTGTCGCCATCACGGTCGTTCGCTACTCGCAGGGTTGTGCTCGGCTTGCTGTCAAATCGCCGCCCTCCATCTCGCGCTGCTCGCTGGCGAGGCCATTCGTTTAGCGTCCAATTATATTTTTTTTGGAGGCAGTCTCCGACGCCCTCACGATCGACAACAGGTGGGAAGCTTGAGGCTACAAATCTTTATCACGGAGAGAAAGAGTTGGATCTTTGACTGCTGCTCTGTAACCGTTACCTGTGCGACTCGAGTCCTCAGCCCCTCCGCACCCAGTTTCAAACGGCCGACATCGTCATGTCGACTGCTGTAGCTCCAGCAGCAATTGCTGCGCTCCCACCCCTTGACCGAAATCCGAGCCCAAGAACATATCCGCCATTGGCTCCTTCGAGTAATCCGACTCCAAAGGACAGGAATTCAGACATGGCTGTGGCCTCAGAAATGAACGGTGGCATGAATATTAACGAGAGGACACCTTCGGACGGGAAAAGGTCACCCAGGTCGTAAGTTGCTTCGAAACCCCCATTTTCCGCCAAACGTTAGCTGACTGTCTTCCGCCCGAGCAGGAGGAGCACCGGAAATCCAAAGATCGTAGTGAAGAAAGAGCCGCCGACCTCGCCTTCGCTCCAGACGAGCACTCGCCACCGCCCAAAGAAGTTGGATTTGAATACAAATACCTCAATATCCACCGGACTCAATTCGCGACCTTCTGCAACGCCACTGACTGCAAGAGATGGCCTGGTTATGCATGACGTCGGTTTGGCCTGTTTGTCGCCTGGCTTCCAAACCCAAGATCCCGCCATGCGAGAACAGCTGGAACGGAGCATTTCTGTCAGGGACCAACAACGATCAATCATCCAGGCAAGACTCCTTAAATCCGCTCGCGGCGATGCGCCGGACTCAGGAAAGAACGGTGAAGTGGCCGGACCAAACTCCAGCAAAAGCACCGTGACCGGTTCGAAGAAGAGACCCCCACCAGGTCTATCGATTGTTCCTCCCCCCGCCGAGCGATTTGCCAATGAGAGAGTCATCCAGTCTGCACCATTGAACCAGACCTTCACTGGCCGACACGACCCTCCTCCTGTATCAAGGCAGGTTAACAACCAACCGCCCAACCTGGCACAAAACTCACATATTCACCACGTGCCTGCTATACAGACAATCAACCGGTTGCCCCCTATTGCCGATGTCTTTGGGGCCAATGAGCTCCATCCAGGCCCTGGCCGACCGCCCTTTCTCCACGCGAGCTCAACTTCATCTCAAAGCCACGGTCCTCCCCTACCGTCGCCAGGCTTTCCCCCGCAAACCGCCCACCCAACCTCTCAGCCTCAGTCACACAATTTCGATCGGCCTAGGGAATATCGATCCGCAGAAGAAGCTGTGCACGAAATGACCGGGGGTCGAGAGGATCTCTTGCCGAAAATCGTTCACTACGGCGGTCACCAACCGCCAACGCCTCCTTCACCACGTGCTGCACACAAAGACAGCCTCACCCCACACAAATATCAACCCAGCATGCAATCCACAAGCAGAAGGAGGAGCCGCAACGAGTACGAAGACGGTAGCAGTCCACCGCTCGGTCCGGGTCCGGATCGAATTCGTTATAACGGGCCCTTTGGGGAGGGGAGGGACAGCCCCGCCACACAGAGAGCAAAGAAGGAGGAGTTCTTGAGTCTGTGCTCCAGAGCCTGGGATCTGTTCCACTCCTGAGTTGAAACAACAGCTCGTCGCATTCTTATCCTTGTTGGTACAGAAACATATTCCTAGCTCTTCTTGGGCGACGGCGCTTCATGGCGTAATGAGACAGTTGGCTTTCGTTCTGTGGGGAGGGCGGTGGGAACTCTCGGAGGCGCATTTTTGGGATTCAAGTCTCTTTTTGTTGATGAACTTTCAAAAGGTGGCAACTGCGTAATGACGAACAAGGACTGGCTGGACTGGGACTATTGCCTAATACCAATTATCGACTTCAGGTCACAACGAAATGGGCGGGATGGTTGAATTGGGAGGATGTGGTGGGCGCCAATGGTCTCCCAGATACCAAGGACAGGTTGATGATGATGCATTTTGATCTTTGCTTACGTTCGGGATGGGTGGGAAGGGAGGACGAATTGGTAGTGCACAGATTCGCTAGGCTTGGAAAATGGGAAATTTAGCCACCTTGAACGGTGCCAAAGCCGAATAGAAGGGCCCCTCCTGAATGTTGTTTCTTTCGACAGCCCATAAGCGTTGACATTGCGGGAGAATCTCTCGGCCTGCAGCAAATGTGTGGAAGTCAGACTGGTAGACGCAGTCGGTAGAGCCTTGCGCAAAGTCATCCCCGTCGTTGATTCCTTTCTCCAACTCGGACTTGGAGAAGGCCTCTGACCCCGCCACTGACCACGAGGCTGAACAGTCCTTTCCCCAACATGCCAGCTGCATACTTTTACCTCCCAAGACCTCTCTGATAGATCCCTCGGTACCCTCTTCCAACCATTTGTTCCGTTTCTACCCAAATTTCTCCCTTCCTCAGAGTCGTCAAGAATCGGGCGGCCTAACATAGACGATAGCCTTGTGTGTTGTTCCCCTCAAGTGGGTGCTTGGGCCGAGAACGGATTCTTGAAGAGCTTAGTCGTGGACAATTCCAAGTCTACTCTAAGAGACAAAGGAGGCCGTTCTCCTTTTGAATGCTTGCAGGGCAAGATAGGGTGAGAGCAACGACAGGTCTTCTACAACTCCTCGGACATACAAGCGCAGGCCAGAGGACTCTATCATCATTCCCGTCGTCGTCATTACCACCACCACCACCACCACCACCACCAACACCGAGGTCTATCGCTACCTCGAGAGGGGACTTTCGCACACAAGCCTTAGGTTTACCGCGATCAATAAGGCATTGCACCGGCACTGAGAGCGCAGCTTTCCGGGTTAGGCTCGTCAGGACACTCTACACTCACAGCGGCAGCGACACCACACACACCTATAACAGCGCTCTCGGTACTCCAGTCCCGTCCACAATGCGCGCTCAAGTGCTAGAACGCTTCAATGCGCCATACACCTTCACGACCGACCACCCTGCGCCGCCTCCACCCAAAGGCCATGAGCTCCTCATCCACGTCAAGGCGGCCTCATACTGCCACACGGACGCGGTCTTCGCGGCTGGGGCCATGCAGCAAGAACTCCCGCGTATAGGCTCTCATGAATTTGCCGGCGTCGTGGAACAGATCGGGCCCGACGCACAGAAGATAGCCGAGGCAAAAGGGCTGAAGGTCGGAAGCTTGGTCGGTGTGCCCGGGCGGGCGTTCAATGCGTGCGGCCAGTGCAAGGAGTGCACGGAGAATGGCGGCGACATGAAAGGGTATGGTGTCTGGTGTACACGGGCGGGGAATCTGGGGATGACCAAAGACGGCGGGTTCCAGGAGTGGTGTCTTGTCGATGTCCGGCAGGTTGCCCGCGTCCCCGAGGTAGGAAGCATGCGGGCGGTGGATATCGCCCCGCTGATGTGTGCGGGAGTAACGGTTTGGAACTCCCTTGAAACGGCAGGCGTGGATACCACCGCCGGGAAAAGCAATGGCCTCGGCAAATACGTTGCGATTCTGGGAGCGGGCGGCGGGCTGGGACATCTGGGGGTGCAGTTTGCGGCGAAGCTGGGGTGGAATGTTGTCGCCGTGGACACGACGCCCGCCATGTCCATGTTGAAGGATGTGATTGAGGGACTCGGGGAGGATGGTAAGAGAGTCACGATGGTGGATGCGTTGAAGGAATCTGCCGAAGACGCGAAGAAGCGCATTTTTGGCGAGGCTGAAAAGGGGCTCGAGAGCGAAAAGGGTTGCGACTCGTCCATCATTCTCCCTGAATCGCAAGCCGCCTTTGACTTTGGGATGAACGTGTTGAAGAATCACGGCACCTGTGTCTGTGTGAGCTTCCCAAAAGACGGGTGGAGGTTCAAGCCCGGCGATCTGGTGTTTCGACACATTAAGCTGTTAGGCGTCTTGACTGGGAGGAACCGACAGTTACAGGCCATGGTCGACTTTGCGGCGAAAAACGGGGTGAGGGCAAGGATCAGAACGTATCCGCTGGAAAAGCTGAATGAGTTGGTCGAGGACTATCACCGGGGAGTGGGTGGAAAGCTGGTCGTAGATATGGAGATGAAACCATAGTCGTCCATGGGACAAGTGCGTTTCGTCGTTGTTATCTCTCACGCCTCGCCCGAGGCATATCTCGCGCTTCTTTGGCCTTCTCCCTCTTCCTTCGCCTCTTCTCTGCCTTATCTCGCACTTTCTTGCCCAGACTCTGCAATCTCTCCTCCTTGGCGAGCCTCTTGACGTCAGTCTCTTTTAGATAGTAAGGTTTCGACTTTTGTCCAGTCCGAAGCGCTTCCTTTTCTTTTTCCTTGTGTCTTTTCCGGATCTCCTTCTCGCGCTGGTGCGCCTCTGTATTGCGTATCTTTGATTCCAGGGACATGACCTGTCGCTTCAGATCGGCAACAACCTCAGGATCTTTTTCCTTTTTGATTTGAGCCTTGAGCTGCAGAATTTCATCGGCTTGATATGTGGACAGAAAAGAATAGTTCTTGTTTGCCTTCTCCGTGGCGTTTCTGTCTCGATTTGCGGACATGACTGTAGGATCGAAGCGGGGATCTCGCGTTTTCAGCGAAGGGGATGGCTCGAATATTATTCTCTTTCGCGAGACAGGTTTCCGCGCCGACTCGACAGTCGGGGCATGTTTTGAAGTTCTTTTGGGTGCGTCAATCCGTGCTTCCTTGGCTCTTTTGCGCGTATCGAAGGAATCTGCTCGGCTCACTTCGCCGTTGTCTGATGAGGGTTCTTCCAAGCTCTCCGCAAATTTTCGTTTCCGAGGTTTGGGATCGAAGGTTTCCTGGGCTTTCGCCAACGCACCGAAGCTGATATCACCCAGGGGTGCTTCCACGCCTGCTTCCGACTCAGATGATAGAGCGCTGTCCTGGGAGTTGTTAGCACGGTAGACGACCTCGACAGCTACATCAATATACCTCGTCTTCAGACTGCGAATTGCTTCCCACAGGGGCGTCACTCTCTGACTGCGCTTGGCCGTTCAAATCCTGGTCCGAAGTCTCCAGCTCCTCATCCTCTTCGTCATCATGCCTTAATTGAATGGGCCGCTCTAGAAGTCGTCCTGAAGCCATTGAAGCGGCTGAGTGTAGCGCAGTAGCTGTAATGATTGTTGAATTGCGACCCCCACGCCCACAATGGACTTTTCTGAAATGCACGGAAAATAGGCGTCGGTAGATCGACAACCTTAAGCCAAATAAAGTTGACGAGGACGCCATACGCAAAAAGGAATGTCCGTCCAATTGCGCTACAAAGTAGAAACTTTTGTCTCTACCTGTGTCTCTGACAAACATTCTCACTATCATATGCCGTACCGCGTGGCCTGCTCCTAGGTTACCCCTCGACGCATTCGAGGTGCGCACATTCTGGCGTTGCGCATAGGATTCGCCCTATGTCGCAAATCGCATCCAAGAGTCTGCCTGACCTTCAAACACTTCACTTTTGCCGCCCACTAACTCTTCTCCCAGTGGCAGCACAACCCTCGCCTCTTCGAACCCTCTCTGTACCTTCCACGTCTATCTCCCTGTACAACCACATCACCCAACATGGGTAAGAGTCGAGGCGACCGCTACCGGCCGAATAATAATCAGCTGCCTGGGCCGGCGGGTGCAATTCCCCAAGAGTTTCAGTCACGGAATGAAGGCGCATATGATTCCTACGTGCCAGATCGACACGCGCAAATTCGACAAGGTGACTACTTTGACTGCTGCAATCAATACAGAATTGACGTATACAACGCAGTGGATTCGTGGAGATCCTACAGAAACGACGACTCGAATTTGCAGACTGCCACCAGTTTTCAGTCGTCTCGTCATGGCCACGTTGGCACCGCACCGCACCAGATGTATCCTCCCGCCCCAGCAGGATTCAGTGCTGGCTCATCTGCGTCTCAACCTTCCCAAGGTCGACCCTCTCACTATACCCCATATCAGCCTCTAAGGTCAGTCCATAACTATGCTCGATATCCTACATATCGAGTTGACAAGTCATACAGAGTGTCAGATGGCACGCATGAGAGACATATCGTCCAGCAGGCTCAAAGCCTATTTCCGATACCTCAGCCACAGACTACATCTCGATACCAGTTAAGAGAGAGACGACCAGTGCAGCTTGCCCCGTACAGCACTGCAGCGACGGGTAATCGTGGACAGGTTGGCACGATCCCGATTCCCCAAACTTCTCAGCGCAGTCGATGGACTTCTGAAGTCAAGCCTCCTCCGGCCCCGATAGCCACCGAAGAGTATAAGAGACAAGCGGCGCTCGCGCCAGCGCTCAGAGAATCACCACAAAAGCTTCTAGTTATTCTCGATCTCAACGGCACACTCCTTGTCCGACCTCGGCGCCATCGTCCTAAGCATATAATTGTCAGGCCTGGCGTCTCCCAGTTGTTGGACTACCTCTTTCAGAACCATGTTGTCATGGTCTACTCTTCTGCGAAGCCCGAGAACTGTGCGGCCATGGTAAGTCAGTTCTTCCATCCGAACCATCGAAGTGCAATGGCCGGTGTTTGGGCCAGAGATAAACTGGGCTTGAGCAAGTCACAGTACGACACCAAAGTTCAGGTGTACAAAAGGCTCGAGCCGATCTGGGAAGACAAGAAGATCAGAAAGAAGGCGGGACCGGGCCAGAAGTGGGATCAGAGTAACACTGTCCTCGTGGATGACAGCCAACTCAAAGGCTTAGGGCAACCCCATAACCTGTTGCAGATCCCGGAGTTCCTCAACGATGCACCCAAAAAAGGAGGGCTAGAGCTCTTGAACTGGCAGCGGGAACAAGAACAGATCGTGTATTCTATTCAACAAAAGTTGGAAGAACTCAAATGGCAGGTCGACGTATCCAGGATAATCCGAGAATGGCAGACGGGCAAGCGACAAGCACCGGGGGTGGTCGACGAGACCGTAGATCAAAAAGCTCTTCAAGGTACACAGGACCGTGAGCTATCCCCTACACCTAGCATCGGATCTCCTGCGCCGAGCGTTGGTGAGCGTGAATCTTCAATCTCGCAACAACTCCAAACTCCAGAGGCGTCCGTCCTATCCGATACTGAGATCTTGGAGTCGCATGAGGCAGAAGGAGGGTTTGGAGGTGTCGAAACCGCAACTGAGGCCACCTCCGCTCTAGATGAACTAGAAAAGGAGATCGATCGTCATCTGAACCTCCATCAGAACCAGAGCCAAGGTACAGACCCGACCGTTGGTGCTGCCACCGCCACCACTAGTGCCAGCGACCCCGGCGGCGTCGACCGAGATCAACGACGAAGTGAGTCACCCATCGACGAGAGTGTCTGGGCTGATATTCTCAGAGGCCAAGGAGACGCTGGGCATGTCGCTCAAAGCACTCAAAAAACCGCGCAAGCGGGAAATCAAGGTAGCCGCCAAGAACACACGCAGGGCCCATCGACGGGCGCGCCAAAAGACAAACGCCAACGCAAGAAGAAAGGCCGAAAAGAAGAAGCAGAGCCAGGGTCTCTGAGAGATGTCCCGCCAACTCCAGAGAGTATTGACGCCTGAGAGTGTCGACGAATGACGAATGTCGCGAATGAGGATGGAGGGTCGGAGTTACGAGTTTTGCCTGGCCGATGCGACCGATGTGTTTTCGCCGTGCCATGGCTTTCAAGGAGCATTCGAGAACAGATGCTTCTCATGCTTCGTCGATCGCGAAGGCCTGGTTGGCTTATCGCGCAATGTCGGATTGCCGTATGTTCATGGCCGAGAGCAAGGGCGCCAATACCCGTTTGCTTGCTGCGTTGATTAGGCAGGAAATGTCAAGGAGAGCTAGCTGCATGTTGTCGAGCCCATTCTTAATCCGTCTCAGCCAGACGATTCTCCGCCTTACTCAGTGTGCGAGATCAGAAACAAGGCATGAAATTGTGGCGAGAGAGCTACTGTACTTCACATTACCATGGCTATGGCCGTGGTCTGCAGGCACCGAATTCATGTGCAAAGCTGGCCTTCAAATTCCATCAAGCTTCAATTTCATCAGAACTCCCAGATACAAACATGGCCTTTCCGCGTTTTGATCCTTGTTCTAGCTCCTTGCTACACGAAGATGACTGCATCCCTTTACCGCAATGAGATTGAAAAAGTGCCCGCCATCTCAGACCAAGCACCGTAAATCAGAGGTTGGCCAACTCCAGACAAATTCACCGGTCGGCCGCGATGTCTGTACCATCATCCTTTAATACCCCTGACGCCATCTGGCAACCGCTGCCAGCTCGCCTCTGCTTCATCCTTCTTCTTTTGTGCTTGCTCGCTGAAGCCTTGAATCTCCAGCGCCTGAGCCTCCAAGACCGCCGCAACGTGCATCCACATGGGCTGTCCCCATCTCCTAGTTTGGCAACTGCAAGCTTTGGCGCATTTCATGGCTTGCTCATGGAGCACACCCTTGTATATACGGTCTTGCATGTAGATGAGTGCCAAGGCCGTGATCTGTGCGCTTCCGATTGCTCTGCTTTCATCCATTGAGTTTTTCAGATATTGCTTCCCCGCCAGCATGTTTGTGGACACGATGGTTTCGAGGAACGCGAAATGTGCTTTGACATAGCGATTTCCGCAACTCTGAACAGCGGTCATCAATGTCCTGATTAGAGACAACAAGGCCTGGTCTTGCGGATTGGCTGGATTATAGATGATGAAGGCCGAGTTCATCGCCGCAAGGAGAGAGAAGTTGCGGGTTATGTCTGACTCTGCGTGGTATGAATTCGATATCTCGTTGGAGGGGCCAGGTTCAGTTGAATCTGAGTTGTGCTGTGAATCGAGGTTGAAAAGAGGTGACTGATAGACCTGAAGCGCGGCCGTCAGATCCCCCGTCCCTTGCAGCATGACTCCCCGGAGATACAGCAGGCAGTATTTCATGTTAACCGGAAAAGCGTTGCCCATTTCCTGCGAAATCGCATGGGCCTTCTCCAACGACTTATCTGCTTCTTGCCAAAGTCCTTTCGAGCATTGCAGATATACCAGGAGCAACAAGGACTGGGCTTCCGCAAGCCTTCGAGAGGTCAAATTTCTCTTGGACTCACGGTATCCTCCCTTGAGGGAGGGCATGCTCAGAGCGTGAATACAAGAAAGGGCATTTTCCGCGAATTTCTCGGCTTTGCCTCCATCAGACCCGTTTTTGTAAGCCGAGCTTTCTGCTGAGAACAAGAACCCCAAAGCCTCTGTTTCCTCTTTTCCCAGCCACGAAAAGGGGATATGATATTTTCCATTTCTTTCGATGACATACCCATTTCCATGAAGTTGCATGCCAGCTACTGCCTTTGTTGCAACTGGAATATACATCACGCCATCGTCTCTCCAATTGGGATCCTCCACCGTCTGGAACAGAGACTGTTGCATCATCTTGCGCTTGGTATTGATTTGGGTGATGTCGGCTTCTCGAACGCTGCAGGCAAGGTCAATGAACTCCATTAGCATGATCAATTGCGAGTTTCCTTCGACATCTGGACTCAACTGCAGAGCTCGAGCCTTCGCCAGCGCCGTTTGACTAGATGTGACGGCGTCGTTGCTCGAACTAGACAGATGGAGCAGAGCCTCGAGCGTAGCGGCAAATGCAAGTATTGAGCTGTCAGAATTCTGACGAGCCAAGTTCGTGATCTTCTCCAACTGGACGACCGCACCGTGAACTTCACCCGGGACGCTGGAAGCCAGCGAAAACATTGCATGCTGGAAGCGAAAAATATAAACCCAAACCGTATGACGATAGGCTTCGATGTCCTCGATCATTCTCTGGATATCTCGCAGAGCGGCTTTGGGCTTCGATTCATAAAGTACCCTGGATAATAGGAGCTGCATCTCATACTTCAGATCGATAAACTTGTGTCGCGCGCACAGCTCTATGGCCTTTGTCAAGGTAGTCTCAGCCTCATCATAGTTCTCCGTCTCCGCGTACAGGATCTGCGCATAGCGTAGAGAGACCTTTGCTTCTCTCAAAGGAGGCAGTTTGAAGTTGGCGAGGACTGATTCAAGACAGCCGAGCGCAGTTGCGATGAGCGTGTAATATTCTTCGGTCAGAGCGGGCAGCTTACGTGCCGCTTCGAGGTAATCATCAGCAAGGACGCATAGGAGAGAAGGGTAGTCCGGTTCTGGCCCTTCGGATTCGACTGGAGAGTGGCGGTGGTCCGGTGCTTTTGCGGCCGGCTTCTTTGGTGTTGTATTGATTACAACGGCTTGGAGGACACGAGACTGGTTCTGTCGAGGCATATTCTGAGTATTGGGGGTACTCGCGGACGCTATCTGCCTCGCCAATTTCTTCGGATGCGAGGAGGTAGCACCAGGGGAATGCTGGATGCTATTGACCCCAGGCGATTGGGACTGTTGTCCTAGATGTTTTTGAGGCGGCTGTGGTGCATGTTGAGGTCGTCGGTTGTGGTTCGGAATATTTTTGTGGGCAGGATACGCCTTCCGACCTTGAGATTGGGGCTGGTTGCTGGCTCTGGGGTTTTGCTGGGTGTGCAGTCCGTCCGGAGGGGAGGAGTGAAGGGGATGGGAAGCAACTACGACTTCGACGGCGGGAGAAACAGGCTGCGAAGATTGCTGGCCTTGCAGTGGTTGCACAGAGTGAGGCTGAACAGGGTATGGATGGCTCGAGGTTACGACGGTGGCAGGATCAGATTCAACCAAATGCTGTGGCTGAAGCTGAGCAGGCTGTTGATAGAGTGGCTGTTGAAATTGCTGCAACGGAGGCTGGTAGGACTGATTATATGCTTGGTGATGATAGTACTGAGGGTCGTTCTGCGGGAGAGGTTGTGGATACGATGGTTGATAATAAGGCTGTGCCTGAGGATGTCGTTGAGGCTGTGGAGGGTATTGGGGCGCAGGGTTGGTCTGGTACTGAGCCTGAGGGTGGTAGTTGTTGTTGGAATTGTAGAAGTAGCCCTGGCTGAGGTTGTTAAAATTGGAAGAGGAGGAGGCGTTGTTGTTATTGTAGGGAAAGTTGGGATCCATGGTGGCGGCCGTCCGCGGTTGGTCGCGTGGTCGCGCCTTCAGACTTCACTTCGCACTCAGAACAGCCCACTATACCATCGTTCAAATTATGGCAAATCTCTCATGAATCCCAGCGCGCCTCGTTAAATGGTCTTCCATGAGCTGGGTTTGATGGTAGCAAACAGCTGTTCTCTCTCGGGCGCTGGAAGGCGGTCGGATCGCGTTGAAGCCTCATCAACGAACGCTTACGAGTCTGACCATCATCACATCCCTTCGTTCCCGCTGCCTTCGATTGCCTGGCCCAGCATATCGCAGCTCCACGAGAGACTCAAGTCTAATCTGTGTGGGGGACGGGTGAAGAGGCTGCTTTGAGGATGAAAAAGAACTGGGCGATCCGCTTGCAAGGTTTTGGGGACGTGAATGGCGGATGCCGGCATTGTACATCCGGCTGCGCACTGTCCACAACAGACTCGGCGGTGGCGCCAAATGCGACACACACTCATCAACAGACATGTACCCTCTGACAGGCCCCGAAGCCCTCCCTGGCCTTATTTTGAGATGGAAAGAGATCGGGTTATTCGGCTTGGATAGAGAAAAATGACGATACAAGGCCTTGCGGCACTGCTACAGCAAGCACAAGACCACCCCTTTTTCACTCTGGTTGGATTCACCCTCGTCGCGACATTGGCGGTCATTCCCGGCAGGAGGCTCAGAATGGTCAAGCCGAAGTACTGGCACTCGACCAAGTCACTGATCTTGAAGACGAAAGACGGTCGATCTACCTCCTTTGCAGACTTGTGCAAATCTCTTATTCCGCCATGTCGACTCAATCCGTTCCTTTTCAATGGCCACCTCCAGACTATCTGGACTGTCTTAACACGAGAGTCGGTGCCGATCTACTACAAGCGCAGAATATTTGAAAACGAAGACCCAATCTTCACAGGCCAGTTCTCGGTTGACTTCGTGACGTCTCCCAACAATGACTCGGACCCGACCTTGCCGTCGCGCACGACATACTTTACAGAACAAGAGTTCCAGAATATGGGCTCTCCAGACAACCGCCCGATGCTGGTCATGCTCCATGGATTGAGTGGAGGCTCCCACGAGCTCTACCTTCGCCATGTCCTAGCTCCTTTGGTCGGAGAGGGAGGATGGGAAGCTTGTGTCGTTATTTCGAGGGGTTGTGCCATGACCAAAACCACCAGCAGCGTGCTGTACAACGCACGGGCAACCTGGGACATGAGGCAGACTGTCAAGTGGCTTAGGAAGACTTTCCCCAATCGCCCTCTCTTTGGAATGGGCTTCTCTTTGGGTGCCAACATTATTACGAACGTGAGTACTGTGTCACTATGATGCCCCGATCAATTGTCCCTTCTAATTTGCTCCAGTACCTTGGTGAGGAAGGCAGTGATTGCCCGTTAAAAGCAGCCGTTATTCTGTCCAATCCATGGGATCTCAGCGCGGCAAATCTTGCACTCCAAAGAACATGGTTCCATCGAAACGCCTACTCCGCCAGCATGGGTCAGAGTATGAAGAAGCTCTTCGAGAGGCATGTGGACCAGATCTCCCAGAACCCCAAGATTGACGTCGACCTTGTCCGCAAGGTGAAGTATCTTCACGAATTCGATCGATATGTCCAAGGTCCCACATGGGGCTATCCCACAGAAGGGGCATATTACCGAGATGCGTCGTCGGTCGATTCGGCATTGTCCATTAGGATCCCTTTCCTGGCAATACATGCTGAAGATGATCCGGTGGGTCTTCACGTTGGCTGTTGTTCTCAGGTGCAGAGCTGATCAGAGTAGGTGACTGCAAGTGAAGCGCTGCCACGGGAAGAAGTACAACAGACTCCGTATGGGGTACTCTGTACGACTCCTGGTGGGGGTCATTTGAGCTGGTTTGAGCTCGGTGGCAGGAGATGGTTTGAAAGAGTGGTCGGTATCCTCCTGACCGTTTGTGAAGAGATCTTTTAACTGACGTCCGGGTGACCTCAGACCACAGCATTTTTCCAGACCATGGCCAACGATATTGACTTGGACGCAATTTCCAAGACAGACGGCAATGGCGCTCAGCTCGAAGGTCAAATCTCCCGCGGCGAACGGCAGCCACTGAAGCCTGTCTTCGAGCCGATGCGGAGAAAGATGCATGTCCCAGGGCTATGAGACTTCCCTTTGACATGATCAGTGGGGATTCTAGACACCGTAGAGGGCCCAGCATGAGATAGAAAACATAGAATCGACTCCAGGACTCTTGTCGCTCACGCGAAGGAGACTCGCTTCTTGGTCTTGGTCTTGCCTTCTTCATGTCTTTCCATGTCATCTCCAGCGACCGTTCCCATTTCCTGAGATTTGGCCTTCTTCTTTCCCTTCTTCAGCCCCTTTTTGACACCTTCCAGCTCTTCTCTCTTACTCTCTTTCCTCTTCTCCATCTCCTTCCTCCGAGCCTCTCTGATTTCCTCCATCTGTCGCGCCTTCATCAGCTTGCTCTCGATCTGCCCCTCCTTCTCCGCAGTGACCATGGCCAGTATTGTCCGCATGGACTCTTCATCGTCAACATAGATTTTGTTCTTCTTTTTCCCGGTCCCCCCTTTGCGAGAGTGGTTGGTGGGGTTCTCCGGCGCGGCCACCGGAGTTATCATGTTGAGGGCTGGGAGATTGAGGTCCTTGTCGGTGTAGGTCTTTTGATTGCGCTTGGATGGCTTCGTGGCTTGTGCGGACGTTTGGGAGTGTACGCCTGGCTTAGTTTTGACTTGTTTCGGCGGTGGGCGTTTTGTGATTTTGGACTTCTTCAAGGGCCCTGACGCAGCAGGCTTTGGGGCTTTGGGGTTCCTCTTGACGGATGATTTTGAGCTGGAAGGTGGTTTAGGCGCCATTTTGCGAAGAACACCTCACACGCGATTGTATTGTGTGTGAGTTCGAATTGCGTTCAGTGGCCGTGCTGTCTCCGGTGTCTGTTAGTTCTGTCGCTGCCCGTTGGCCGTGAACTTTTCTCGAGAAAAAGAATTGACCGACAATTTGCCGGTTCCCGTCTCGCCGTCCGCAAAATCAACGTCATCATTGGATATCAAAGTGCGGAGAGTCGAACCAGAGCTTTGTCGCTCACACGACCAGCACTCAGTTGGTCTCCAACATCTGTATCGGACCTTTGCTTCTCTTCCCTATCTCACGAGCAACAGTATCCCGGTACCGAACCATCTTGTCCCCAACGAAACAACCGTGAAGAAGCGGAGGGGAATCGTTGTCACTAGAAGTCCCCATCAGATCCGCAAATCCCTCCACCCACGCACCCGTTCAGCCGTTCAACCGTTCAACCTCTCTTCCTTCTACCTCCCTTCCCTATCCTCCATTCCCATCCCAGAAAGGGCACCATATCGCAGAGCAATGCCGCCCCCCTCGTACATCACCGACCCGCTCCCGCCCCCGCAACTGAGCCAGGTGGCGGCGCAGGGCTTCGCGTCGGGGGCCCTGCGGTTCGGCACCATCAGCTTCGCCGCGCACTTCCTGCTGAACCGCTACACGCCCGTGTACCGCGGGCTGACGATCCAGTTCAAGGTGTTTCTGCAGATCAGCGCCATGATCCTGGGCGGCTGCATCTTCGCCGAGAAGCGCGTGGGCGAGTTCAACGAGGGCATCCGCCGGCAGCGCCGGGCGATGGACCGGAGCCGCCGCGCGTGGGAGGAGGAGAGGGAGGTGCGCGAGATGGTCGAGCGCAAGATCGCGGCCGAGGAGCGCTCGCAGAAGGGCTCGGCCGCAGGCGGTGGCGTCGGCATCGCCGGGAAGTAAGGACAATACCGTCCCCCCATATTCAATCCTACCTGGCTACCCAGGGACGTCATATTCTTGGCTAGGCAGGGTGAAAATGGTATGAGGAGGAAAAACGGACATCATCCTGAAGAAAAGAGAAGGATCAGTCCATTACTTCACCACTCCACTCTCCACGCGACTATGAAGCCTGCTCGGCAACCATCACCTCCAGAATATCTCGAGATTGAGCGAATGCCCCCTTCCGAGACAACTCTCCGCCTTTCACAATACTGGAAAGCGCCATATCTTCCAGTCCGACATTCGGAAGACGATGAGAGACATGCCACGCCACCAAAAAGCGGCGTCAAACCCGTCTACCCCAGTCAACCTGCAGGTGCACGTGTACGAAGGCACAGGTACAAAGGTACCGCCTGGTCGGGTTTTTGATCAATGTTTCAGCTCTGGTCACGTACACAGATCTCCCTGTGGCGCTTTTCATAAAGAGAAGTGCCCCCAGGTGCTAGCAGGACAAGGCGAGCAGCGACGTGTTTTCAACGCCCGTGCTCACTTCTCGTCACGACTTTCCCTGGACACAGCTGGTTGATTATGCTTTGGGGGACAGGTATTCGCACAATATATTGTACAGTATTATAAAAGATCATACAAAAGGCGTCCCTGTTGGGGGACAGATTCAGGGAACCACGTATGCGTTCACCATTGAGTTTCCTCACCCAATCACTCAATCGGCCTCGTCCACCACTTCTACAGTCGTCATCCTCTTGAGCATCACCTGCTGTTCATGCTGCGAAGCCGGCTGTAGCTCTTCCGTGACGTGACTCTCGGCCTCTGCCTTTTGCACGGGCGTATACCTGTGCCAGCGCCTGAGAAAGTAAACCGCCGCCCCGACAATGATGGCTAGGGCGGGAACGCCCAGCCCAACAGATAGCCCTATGATTAGTGGCTTGTGGTCGTCGTGACCCCCGTGGCTTCCTGTAGCGGTCGCGCCGGAAGCTGTGGACGATGTCGAAGACGAAGACGATGGTGGTGGCGGAGGCGGCGGCACGTAAGAGACCGGGCTACCCGTCGTCGCGGACAAGGCTTTGGCGTTGGAGCCGAATGCCACGGTCTTGACCGGCGTCTGGGTCGTCGATGCGGGCCACGTCGCCTCCGAACCAGACGGGACCGAGGTGGTCGAGGTGAGAGTCGCGGTGAATGTCTTCGTGGTCTGCAGGGAGACGGGGCAGTTGATCAAGCCGGGCGATATGCAAGCCACTCCAGACGAAGTCGTTTCGGTGGTCACCGTCGCCAGCGTGAGGGACAGGTCACTCGTCGCGTCTCTCGCCGTTACGAGCGCAGATGTTGTACCTGTTGTCGTGGTCGTGGTCGTCGAGCTCCGATGGGCCGCGCACGCAGAGCCCAGTTCGGTGTACCAGATGGGAATGTCCGTTTCGGGCGTTGGCCCCCATGTGGTCTGGTCGAACGCGGCCGACGCTCCAGCCGCCGCGCCGAGACCCATGGTGAAGGACTCGACGATGGCCAGCTCGCAGTCGTCGCTGCCGCTGGCGTACGTGACATTGGCCACGAACTCGGCAATGTTGGCAAAGACACCCGCTTCCAAGCCGGCCGAGGCGCCGAGCGTGTGGTTCGCGATCGTGACGGACGAGTCGATGTCAAACGTGATGCCGGCGTGCAGACCAACCCGGAGCGCGCCTGTGAGCACAAAGCCAGCACCCTCGACGTTCACTGGTAGGAATTCAAACTTTCCGCCATCGCTGGGAATGAATGGTCGAATTAGTAGGAGGCCTTCTCTGCAGCGGAAAGGGGGATATGTTGCCTTACAGTGTTATGCTGTCGATGCTTTGGTTAAACATTTGCAGATTGATGCCGGCTCCATCGACCTTGATATGCACTCCGCTGCTGATATCTACCTCGGCCGCAGCAGTCAGGATCAGATCCACCTTGAAGAACGCACCGATCTCCAGGTTATCGCCCAGACTGACACCCACTGGGCTTTCTGAGGTGTATAGATTGACGGTGTAGGTGGATTTGACAGAGAGGATGGTGTCAAGCTGCATGTAGAGCTCCAGGTTCTCGAAGCTGAACTGCAAGCGATAGTCAAAATCCGGAAAGCTGGGGAGCTCGACGTTGAAATCGATCTCTGTATAGTTTGCGTTGCCGTCCGCCAGATCCGACAAGGCCTGTCCCGCTTCCTCGGTAATGTTCTTGACCAAGTCTATGGCACTGTCCTCGAGCTCGGTGACGTTGAAGTCGGCATTTCGAGTGAGCTGTCCGCTAACCCTGCCGGTGATGTAGCAGGTGGAACAAACAATCTGGACACTGTATGTGGTGTCGAGGGAGCTATTACTCGATACGTCCTCTTCGGTCTCCAGGGTGCTGTGAAGCCAGTTAGACCTAGTCAAACAAGTGGTTTTCTTCAGGTGGAAACTGGGTAATTATCCATACATGGAAAACAATACTGCTCCATCCCAGCTTTTGTCGAGGGTCTCATCGAAAAGGTTGACTGTGTCTTCTGTCCCGGTTGCAGACAGGGTGCGACGTAGAATCCGCAGCGTGTCGGCCTCCGTCAGGCCGGCATCATTGTAGCTGCTGAATGTGAGGTCTGAGGTTGGCGACGCAGAGGTAGCAATCAGGCTGAGAGCCCATGTAATCACTGATAGACAACAATATATCGACATTTTCAAGGTCCGAATGACGAAGCTCACAACTTGGTCTGATTTCGTCCTGGAGTAATATGCGTAGACAGACAGACCTTAGCGAACTCACCTCACAATCTGCAATAAGCGACCTTTCTATACTGAGCAGCTCGATCTCTCTTCTCTCAGCCTCTGGAACGCCCTACCCTTGCGTATCATGCCGCGGGGCTTGGCCGGAAACCATTGCAAGCTCGAGGTTGGGACAGTGCCGCATTTTTGGCCCCAGCATGTGCTTCGGGCATATGCATGTTGGCGTTCTTTCTATCCCTAGTGTGGGAAATTGAAGCAGCCACCAGTACTCCGTGGAGGTGGAGGACGCAGCCACCGAAGTAGAGATGTAACATGTTCTGTTTTCGACTGGAAGTCGGAAATCTTTCGGCCTGATATCAGTTCCTGGCGTACCCCCGTTTTGCCATAATGAGCTGGGATGATGTGCACAATGGAGCTTGCAGTTGCGGTCCTCCATGGGGCATCAAGACAACCCCAGTCGCACGGAGTCGACTGGTTCCGCAGATATACGCGAACGGAGGGTATGAGCAACTCCCCCCGGCTGTGTGTAGGTGGACCTGAGGTTGGCACAAACCGGACAGAGTTCCGGGGGGATTGACCAACAACCTGTGTCGACGGCCCTGAGCTCATCCCAAACGGGAATACATACATGATACGGGGCTCAATTGAAGCCCTTGGGGTGTGGACAGCAGAACCAGGATACGCCACGAAGTACTCGTATGGAAAAGGGAGCTTATCCCAGGTTGCTAATAGAGGCCAGTGGTTCTTTTGTCTCGCTGGGCGAGTGTATCCTTGTCCTTGTCTTTGCTGTGCCGCATACTCCGTACTCCGTTATCCTCGCAGCCGAATCCGAAACTGCACCACAGCAACAGCAGCATAGCCTCCTTCAAAGAAAAGACATCGTAGGAGGCTAGGTTTGGGGGCCGAAGAGGAGATAGAGTCGTTACATTGTCGAACAGTAGACGCGGGGGCCTTGCCTGATCCAAGTTAGCATCAATACCTGGCATGCAGGTCAGTCTCAGCCACTGCCGCAGGGGGGGTTAGTTGCTCAATTACAAAGACGTTCTCCCCCTTGTCCGATGGAGTTCATGCGGAGTGAGTCCAGAGTGATCAGGCGACATGCCAGGAAGCAGCCTCAAAGTCTGTTTGATTCCTCTCGGGTGGGTGAGGCGTACACCACTCAGGCATCCCTGGAGGTTGGTTAGCCTTGCCGCCTGAGATGAAGAGTACCTCGTACTTACACTTCCCCAAGGTAACTGACTTTGCGGTTGACTTGAATCCGCGACTAAATAGACGCGTTCAGGATGAGACGAACCCGGCCAGCCGCTAGTCTTAGCGATTCTGAGCAGAGAAAGATAAACAGGGTCGCCGGGGTTATCAAAGCAATCGAATAAAGGAAATTGGTGCAAAATACATCGGCATGTTCAAGCACGCCGAGATGATACTCGAGCATCCACCTCGCATCTCGATCCAGTAATGGTAGATTGTGCCTTTCCTCCCACTGTTCGCCCGTTCTCTAAAGAAAATACATGTCTTATTACAATATCGTAAAGTGTGCCATATATCACCGGAGCCTTGTCCAAAAGTAAGAAAAGCTGGACACACCAGGTGAAGGCTGATAAATGCATCAAGGCAACCCCATCTCATTACCCCGGACGTGCTGTCTACCACAAGAGCCATCCGATTGCCCTTCTGAAAACATGGGCAGCTTGTTTCTTTTCTTCTCGCCTGAACGCCTTCGCTCGCAAAAGACCAATGCAGTTGTATGCCAACCAATGATCGCCCCCGTAAGACTCCGTCGAATTTCCAATAATCCTGCTCCAGAAGATGAATGGCGCAGAACGGAGTCCACTTCACATTGAAGAGTATTGAGTGGTGCCCACACGCACAACCACGGCAGCAGGTCATGCATCATGTTGAGCGACCAGCTCATACGTCTGCTTCTTCGTTCCCAATCCACCGGTCCACATCCGCCAAAGCGGCATCTTGGCAGCACCAGGGAATCTAAACGCAACGACTCGAGGACTGCCCCTAGCTGTCCTCTTCCTCGCACTCCAAATGAGCAGCCGCGAGTAGATGAACCAGGTCAAGAAGCCGACCGTCATGACGAGGAGGAATCCCAGCACGGTAAGCAATACCCAGTTCTTGCCCATCCAGAATATCAACCTTGCATCCTTGCCATGCCAGCTTGAGCCTTTGTAGGTCTTGAAAAAGGACCACGAGTGTTTGTTGTACTCATCCGGCATGAGCACCCTGACTCTGCCAATCCAGTTCTGGGGATCGAGATGAGCGTGTTCCCCCATCCACTTTTTCCAAATCACACTCAGAAACAATGGCCCGGTCGAGGCCATGATGGTGATGTATGGCAGGAGCCAGGATCTGTTGGCCCCTTGAAGGGACTCCATCACCCTCAAGAAAAAGGGATGTTGCGGGATCGAGCCCATGACATCGTTGCTGATGCCCGTAGGAACTGTCCGCCGTACAAACGCCGTGTACGACAACAACGGGTCAAGCCTCCTCTGGCAGCCGTCGTCCAGGTCGAGGTACACGCCACCATAGTGTGCCAGCACAAAGTATCGAATCGCATCAGCCCGTTGAATGTTGTGTCTATACCCGACAAACGTCGACAAGAACCATGGATATTCCTTGGCAATAAAATCGAGAGATTTCTCGTCCGTCCATAATATGTACTCGTAGTCCGGGTGCAGGTCTATACATGATTTCTGGGCGGGGACCCAGTGAGCAGGGATGGATGCGTTGATGTATGTCTGATGAATGATCTTGGGGATCAAGTGCGGGCGGTTTTCGAGGAGCGTGGAATTGGGCGCGGGCAGCTCTGATCTGTGGATGGCATCTCGGGACGCGTCTTCTATGAGCAGGGAGAGAAGGGTCGAGACCGAGTGTAGAAGGAGAGTCAATACTATGACGGCAACCAGGAGGAACACCAGCAGACTGCGCCGCATCTTGACAAAGGGTTGTTGAGGAGGAGGGGGGTTCGAGACAGGATCGGTGGTGGTAGCCTCATGCACGTCGCGCACAGACCGTGTGCTTTGTCGAGAACGTGGTCTGGGGTGAAGGGGGAGCTTTCGAGGCAATGGGGGGGATCTGATAAGGTTCTCCTTGGAGGGGTCGAGACTGGGACAGATTCAAGGAATGCAGAGCTCAAGGGTAGCGGAGGAGGATGGTTCGACCGGAGACTACCAGGTACGGGGAAGATCAGGTTGAGTTCGGAGTACAAGCACAATTATAGGGGGGTTCTCGAGGGGAGGCGTAGGTCAAGGAGAGACTAGGTAGGTAGTATGAAGGAGTGAACCGTAGGACTAGCGTACGATGATGTCGACAAAAGGGAAAATCAAACGAGGGAAAAGAAGTTGGCTTTGAAGGGAGGATGGAAGAGCGTGAGGGAGAGAGAGGGAGAAAGGGAAATTCTTCTTGCGGGCGTGCAGCTGGCGCAGGGGATTGGCGGATTGACGGTATACGAGCCAATTGAGGCTCGTGTCGCGAGGGCCAAGATTGTGGCAGTGCCTGCAGCATCCCCCGTCACTCGTCCACCTGCATATCTTTCCATCAATCACCTCGTCGCAATGACCTCCTTGGCCTACTTACACACGCAATACACTCATCACTTTTCCCTCGCTCTCATCATGGCCACCATAAGCACACACGCCCCTGCTGAAGCCGAAGAGAGAACAGCATTCATTCCATTGCCCTCCAACCCGCCGCTCCCCTCCAAGTGACATGACTTGAACCAGAGGCGCCTCTCAACTCAGGACGCGGGACACCTGGATTGCTCCGTCTACCCAGCGAGCCAGATGTCCACCCCCAGGCTAGTATCTAACTACTTCCAACCAACCGAATGCGGATCTCGGATTGCTCCTCCCCCAATACGCATTCCCACGTTTCTCGCCTCGCAAGAATCGCACCAACCACCACTCGGTTCGCTCCATCATGACTACGCAACAGGTCTGCGAACACGCCGTTGACCGCCGCCGCCGTAATGGAATCCCGAGCTTATGGTGAAAAAAAAGTGTGTATTATTGAGTAGAGGGATACAAATCCATCCGTGCTTTGGCGAAAACGCAGGCTGAGGGCTGCCCTTGCTTCCGCCACCCCGCGGCGCACCAAGTTCTCCATCACGCCCGACAAAGAGGGCCTTAAGTGCTGACTCTCGGATGATTAACCTCCACTCATACTCAAAACAGTATTTCTTTCGATTCGTCGGTGCCTGAGATGGAAGATCAATCAGGGTCCTTACCCGTTTCTTGTTCGGGCCCGGCGACGAGATTTGATCATTTCCCAGAAAATGTCTCGCAACCGAATACGCCGCGGCCGTAAGGCTCACCGTATGCACTTTGTACAGTCATCTCTGAAGAGGGCCGACAGACTCGGTTATGCATCGTCGGGACCGCATGCTACCTTGAGAGCTGACTTACTCAGGCCTCGCCATGTGCTCCATACAGAAAAAGCATCAGGCTGTCATCCCACGCCCGTTCTTCTGTTGGCAGGTCAGCTCTCACAGTCCTCGGCACACGTATGTTTGCCCTGCATGATTATGTGGATTTCAAGTGGCAGTTCGCGTTGCCCCTGAGGCTGAGGCTCACTGGGCTGAGGCTGGCCCCTTTGCTGCCGGCCTCGGTGTACAAAAGATTGCTTCTAGAGGTGCCACTTTCCCTCGACCCCGACCCATTTCTGCATAATGTTCAAATACCCAATATGCAACCGCTACCTATCACTGTACCGAGTACTCCTTTTGTGCCCAATCTCCTTTCTTCGTCTTGCTTTACACTGCCCTGGCTATCATGTGCATGACTGCTTTATGTCCGCCCACCTGAGCAAAACGCTGTAGGTACCTACTCTCAACCCAAAACAAAATCGGTGGGTATCACAAGAAACAAAAAATGTAAATCAATGATGAAGTCTCCAATTCCTGGAATTTTCTTTTCTTTCCCACAGCCTCTGCTCACACAAGTTCTTCCCCGGCCAAAATTGGGGCGTTTTTGGTGTCGGTGCAATAATCCCAGGTGTGCGGCGACCAGCCTGCGAGGCCATCAATCCTCAGGGATCTGGAATATCATCTCGCTGCCACTGCTGTCCCTTCCCAGCTTCTCGTCGATGTAGTCCAAGGCATCCGGGTGGGCTGCGGTAGGCGTGCGATCGAGTTTGACGCGCTGCAAGATCTGCGCCATCGACGAGTCTCCTCCCGCGGCTGTGGTGCGTCGGCTGTCATCGTCACCGGCGCCGTCTTCCCACGGCACGCCCTGCGCGCGACAGTAGTTGCGGAACAGGTACTTTTGCATCCTGGACACCTGCGCGTCCCACTTTTCGTCCAGGGTGCTCATCACCGCAACCACGTCTTGGTCGGTAAAGGACGCCGTGGAAGACATCGAGCTGCTGTGCCGATGGCCGTGGCCTTTCCCGTGCGGTTTCCCAGTCAATGTTCCTGTCAGAGCCTTCTTAATCGCCCCGCCACCACTCTTGGGAGTCTTGGGGGTGTCTGCGCGTTCCATGCTTTCGATCTCGCGGCGCACCTTGTCCATTGATTTCGCTCTGTCGTGGTCCATGGTCGACATGTACAGCAGCGTGTGGTTCTTCTCAAGCGCATTGACAAGCGCCGTGAAGCTTTGCAGGTTGATGTCGTTGTGTTCGCAGTGGATTTCCACCAACGTCTCGTTCCTCTCCAGCACCTCGGCCAACGTACTTGCACCTTGTAAACCCAGCGCTTGGTACTCGATGCGCAGGAGCTTCAACGAAGTGTTCTTTTCCAGTCCTCTCAACGCAATATTGAGCCCAATGCCGAAGCGGGTGGTGTCTAGATGCGCATGTTCGCCGCTGATGTCAAGCTCCTCCAAGGTCTGGTTCGTGGCAAACATCTCCTTGAGCGCCTCACAGGTCTCAACACTGGCATCATACGGCAGTGAAGCACGAGATATATCCAAACTTCGCAACGTCGTATTGACTTTCAGGGCGTTGATCAGTTCACGGAAGTGGTTTTCTTTCTCGAAATCCATCATCCGCAAGCTTAGCGACGACGGTCCGCAGTTTTGGGCAATCGTCCTGAAGAGGATCGTGTTGCCCGTCTTTAGCCGGTTTTCGTTTGCACTTACGTGCATGATTCTGGGCTGCATGTCCTCCCGAGTCATTGACCGGAAGAAGGTCGCAAGATCGTACCCCGTCAAACCACATTGATTGACGTGCAGCTCCCGGAGGATGTCGGATTTTGATGTCGCCAGATACGTAGATATCGAGTCTACCGTCTGCTCATTGAGAGTGGTTTGCGACAGATATAACGCTTCGAGTCTCCAAGCCAAAAGCACCTCGGGCGGAAGTAGAGGCTCTGAACCAGCGGTCTTTTGCACTCGAGTGAGATTCAAGCGCCGGATCCGGGTAAAAGCACCCATTCCACGCTGAAACAGCTCCGGACTGAACCGACCTTGCGCTCCCGATATGTCGATGACCTCGACAGTGCTTTCCTGAACCGCCAAGGTGGACAAAAGCACGTCAATGTCGTGGACTGAGAGGCCGCACTCGCCAATTTCAAGGGCCCGAAGATGGCATTTTCTTTCCGAGGCTGCATCAACGAGGTAGTTCAGGTCGGAATCTGCCAGTCGGAGTCCTGTGAGCACAATCCAGTCCACGTTAGTCAAGGATCTTTTGCACAGCGGAGTAAGGGCTTCCAAGATTCCACAACTCAAGGCCTCCCCGTCTCCCGTTAGTGTTTGGTGTGGAATGGTATGCGAGAAATCTAGCCGTCTCAACCGACGGCTCTTCAACGCTAACACTCTGATCTCCTGCGCTAAAACCGGCAGCTCTTGGTGGCCAGCGATGTTGGTAGGATTTCCAGACCGCGTGAACAGGCTATCCAAGTCCGATCCAAACCCGTCGTAGCAGAGACGCAGCGGCAATAGATTGATTCGTGCGAAAGAGATTGACGAGAACGACTCGTTGTACCGCAAGGCTCGGAATACAGCGAGTAATTCCATGGCGGAATAGTTGACACCAGTTGAAGGTGGAAGCAGTTGAAAGCGTGGTGCATCTTCGCAGTCATAATCGACAGTATAGCATATGCGAGACGTGTCCACATCATAGCCTGCACAATACGCGATCAAGGTTCGATCAAAGCAATCGTGTTCCTCTTTTGGAAAGTTCGGCGGGATCATCTGATCGTCGATTTCTGGAGGAACGTCGAAGATGAAAGGCTGCCTCAGCCATTCGGGTCGAAGGTATTCCGAAGCCGATCTGAGCCATAGTGCAATTTGCCCGGCGGAATATGAAGCTAGCTGGACGATGCATGGTTGTGCCATGGGCGGTTTGAAGGTCAGTTGAAACCCGTCGTCATCTGCCACGACCTTGATCGAAGTCAAAGTAACAATAGCATAGGAAGTCATGGCATCCAGCTCGCTGAGAGAGCTGCTTGATGATCGTGTAGAAGACTTCTGTAAGGGTACGAGGTGGATTTTGTGCAAGCCGATGACGAGATAGCAGGTCGTTGAAGACCCAAGTCTGGTCAGATCTTCAGCTGATGCTCTCCCCGTTGACCTGTTGATGTGCCGTTGGATGACTTTGAAGACGTGGAAGTGCTCCGGGTCATAGTCTCTTTCCCGCTCCACAACACGCGCGAGATGCTCGACCGTTCGATCTTGGATGTGCTGCTCTATGAGAGACCTCGCCTGATCGCAAGCTGAACGAATGGCGGCAATCCACAGCTCGGCCTCACGCATTTCGTTCAATTGTAGCTGTATGGCAGACGTTCTCCTTGCACGTTCGTCTAGGTATGCCACTTCCACTACGGGAGAAGGTCGTCCATCGTCAACCTTGAACACCGCAACGACCTGGTCGAGTGGAACGCCTGAGGTGATGTCCGAATACGCCGACATTTGAAGCTCTTGATACGAACCCACAGACGAAGTTCTCGGGGTGTGTCCCTTGTTGAGGCTGTTGGGGATGCTAGGGAACATTTCGGCGGCTTTGATTTGGCTCCTGAATCGAATGAGATGTGACTCGGTCAGGACCATGAACTGCGTCCTTTTCCTAAACATGTTGCTTCCCCCGGCTTGCACCTCGCCATATTGGAGAACTTTGTTGCCCAAGAGTCCCTTCACGTTCATGTCGGGTTCTTCATGAAGTGACGACGCTTTCGAGTCGGACCTCGTCAGAGCAAGCTTTTCTTCTTCGTCGAGGGAGTGTAACGAGCGTAGGGATCCAAACACTGAGGTTCGACTGGCCTTCTGCAAGGTCCTTGGGCGAGGTTTGGGACTCGCGGGATCCGAGTCCACGGGACTGGGCAGGTAGTCACTGGAACGCTTCTCCAGCAGCGGACTCGCAGGTATTTGTATCGCTGGAGCGTGGTCCACCTTCTGGCGGAAAATGCTCAGGCTTTTCCTTCTGCGTTTGTCTGCCATGTTGAAGAACGGGTGGAAACAGACGAGATGCGGCCAATCGCTCCCAGCACCCAGCAAACACTGCACGACGCAGATGTGTTTCGAAGTCTGTCAAAGTCTCAGGAGAAACTCATGGGTTCTCTCGAGGTACACATGTTCCAGGAAACTGAGCACTCCCCGACGTGCCAACCCGCAATTCAATGTGCCTGCCTCCTCTTCTTTCAGCGAGATGCTGTCGGCGTCCGGGACATGACCGAGAACGGTATTAAGCTCAGCATGTGACTCGGCGTCCCGAAGGAGGATTCGAACAGTTAGATTGCGGAGGGCAGGTTCGGTTTCTCGGACTGTGCTTCGTGTCTGGAACTTGGTGATGCTCCGCGAGCGATATATTTGAAGTGACAAGGTCAAGTCCGGGAGCTCATAGGACGCAGCAGGAGCGGAAGAGGATTGACAGGTGGTACAAGGTATTCGGTCCAAGAGGGCGATCATAAGATTGTGGTGAGGGTGGTGGTGGTGGGGAATTTGGGAGGTTGGATTGTTGTACTCCGTAGCAGCTGGCAGAGGAAATCTTGTCTGGTGATGGCCCGTCAACTCAGGACTCAAGGACCATTAAAAACGGACCAGGCGGTGGATCGGCAGTCGGACGTAATGGTTACTTCAATAACGGCTCGGTTGTTGCTTGATGATAGACTCGGGAGGGCCTCTGCGAGGGCGGGTAAAATATCCACGGGCGAACTGCTGGACGAGAGTGCTCGAGCGGTGGACGCGCACATGGACCTCGATAGCACGATCCCTTGGTCAGTCCACTCACAGGCATCTTGGAAGATAGCTTCCTACCTAGGTGTAGGTGTGCCAGGAACCCCATCGAGCCCATCTCGCCCATGCAGGGCTGTGGTCGTCAGCTGCAAAGGAGGGGAACCCGGCCAGCCCTAGTGCACCCGTGCAAAGGTGGGATAGACCAGGACAGACCAACCCTTCGTCACTGATGTACCTAGCCACCAAGTAGGCAGGATCCCAGATGCCGCGCGATTGGCGAGTTCAGCCCGGAGCCCATCTTTCTGGTGCATTGGCTTGATGGAGATTGCCGGACCACGCCACAGTGGCACTTCATCCAGGGTTCCGCCAGCCTCAAGTCCTCGACGAGTTCTGAACCCCCCCTTTTCTCGCGATGCTGGCCATCGTCGTCATTATGGAGCCGACCCAGGCGGTGGTCAACGAGGTCTCAGCGATGGGGCGGCTTTCGAGATGAAAGGATGGACTGTGGCTGGGGAGTGAGAAGGCAGAATATAAAAATACGACAGCTCCCCTGTTTGTGCTGCATGAGGAACACTAGTTGTTGCTGCGCACATCGTTTTGCTGTCTTTGATCATGAGACATGTCTCTCGCCTATTCCTAATCCATGTATTACATATCCCAGATGCTTTTCGACACGCTCCGAGAATACATTCAATGGAGGCGTTTGCGATTCCAAAGCTTTGTTTGTAATATACACACAGATTACTTTTATCATCTATCATCCCCATATAGTACAACCTGTTTGCGCTGAGCGTCAAGTTTGTCCAGATGACGCCGCCACTGTGCTCCGCTGCGACTCATCGATATCAGACGTCGAATGTAGAAGCTGGCAGCTTCGTCTGCATCCTGTGGAGCTTCCAGCGTGGCTTTGCGGCGATTCTTGCATAGTCCGTAATGCCGGCGAGCTTCGTGGTCGTTGAGCGGCTTTAGTGTGTATTGCAACGTCCAGGTATCTCCTTCTTTAAGGTTTTCAGGTCGGACCACAGGCAGTCCATTGACCAGATTTCGAATGTTCAGCTTCCAGGCCGAGAACGGTTTCGTTATGGGAGATTCTGCAACCGACCGTTCAATGGCCGAAGTATGAAAATCTGACGCCCCTTCCGCGGGCTTTCCCCCTGACTGGGAAACACGGCCATCGCTCGAATTTGATCCCAAGGCCTCATTGATATTCATGCCCAGAATGCTATCCAGAAATGCAACATTTGCAGCATTCGAGCGATGAGACGGACCTGCCACTGTGGTAGATGAAGAGGCTGGTTTTGGTGGAGGGTCAGATTCATTGGTAAATTCAGCATCGTCACTTTGGGCCTCAAGCTCTGCTTCGTCCTCGTCTTCGCCGCTCTCGTCCCTGTGGGTCCGTCGTGGATTAAAGAGACGGTCCTCGAATGCTCGGATCTCTTCCTTTTTCAGATTTTGAATCTCGACAATCTCTTCCTCCGTGACCGGCTCTGCAAAAATGTACATGTACGGAGGAGAGGCAGCCGTGGCCTCCCTGGCCTCAAAGTGAAACCGAAGGGATTGACCTGGGTGTTTCATCGTCGCTTCGTTGAAAATGTCGTTCAGGAGCTGAATGCTTAGTGAGAATTCTTGGTCGCCCAGAATTCGGTTCGACTGCCCGTGCAATGCCAGATCAAGCTCCGAAACAGGTACGTACTGAAACCCAAACAGACGTTCGGTGTTATGATACGCGACGAATATGCCGTCCATGCGCCCCATCCGAACTTGAAGGGAGTACTTGAGAAAGGCGGACCTCATCATGTCGTAGTATTCTCGTTCATACGATTCCCAGGTTCCGAACCTCTGCTTGATCTGATAACCTGCACCTACTTCATGGTTGTGGACCATCATTCGGACAGCTGCCACGGCTCTGGTCTTGAGATCAAACATGCCTGTTCCTGGCAGGCGAGGATCGTGCGCGTCGAGTTGGGAACGTAGAAGGAATTCGCCCAGTCCTGAATAGTGATATACTTCGGGTTCAGTGGCAGTCATCTGCGCATCTTTGGTCGCGTCCTTGGTCCTTCTGTATCTTTCGAATTCGTCCTTGTCGAGCGTCAAGAGCTTCTCCATCGAGCGGCCGAGACTCATGAGAATATTTGCTGAATCATATTCTTTATCGGCATCCACGGCATACACGCCATCTTTATGCCGGAGGAAAATTGCCGTGGGGCCTCTCTGCAGCCTTGTAAAGTGTACACCATCATCCTTAAATCCTCGAGTCAAGTTTTCCAAGTTGAGACTCCGAAAAGCTGAAAGAAGAAAATGGAAATGGGACAGGACTCCCGACATGCTCGAGGTGGAACCGATATACCGTTTTGTGTGTTGCAGCGCCACCTCTCGAAGGTGGATATCCTCCGATGAGGTGATGTACTTGTTCAATGCTTCATAGTTGAACTCGGAGGCAGGCATCAGGGTGCCCAGATACGGATCGAAGTTCCATACTCTGGACCTTGGATCCTGTAGCTGGTAGACTCCTGGATTGAACAGCACACGCGACAAGTCGTGGCTCAGTCTCGGCACATTTGTCGGCTCCGCCGTCAACGGCACCAGCGAAAAAGCGTCGGCCTGTGCTTCTCGTACATTGTCTCCTTTCATGACGGCAATTCTTGCCTTGTCCTTGTCTCGCGGTATAACCTCATGTTTCCGCGTCGTATCTTGCTTTAGTCTCGACGGGGATTTCGCTGCATTGATAGTTTCCTCGTCGTGGTCCTCAGTCGCAGGGGCAAGCTTTGGGGAAGGGCTCAGCAGGTCCTTCGGAGTCTCAATAATGAGGGCGTGCGGTTCCGGAGTCGTTACGTCTTTTGTCATTTCTGGTGCTGGAGATGCTTCTGTATGCAGACCGACGGCATCTGAGGCTCGACGCCTGTCCAGAAATCCTAACGCGGTCAATATTCTCACTGCCTCCTCTGAAAGAGGTTTATTCCCGCTTTTAAAGGGCATCACCACCCCAAGTTCATTGTCCACATCTTCGTAGGAGCGTCCAGGGTATGCCGACCGAAGCCTCGATGCTCCTCTTTGAAACCCCTTCATTCTGTTCTTGAGCTTTAGCCCATCCAGCACCTGGTTCAGGGTCAAGTCCTCGGGCCTCGATGCAACTTCTGGTACCAATTTTGAGGCGATATGGCGCATCTTCGTCCGGAACATTGAGAACGCATGCAGCTCATCTTTCTGGGCTGCCGTCAGCTTCGGGACACCAGTTGCTTGTGAGCGCAACTGCGCCGCTGCAGGTCCCTCTGCTGGTTGTTCCTCAGCTCCTGCTCTTTGAGTCGACTTCTTTGGGCCGCCATGAAGCTTCTTGCCTTTGCCATTCTCGCCATTCCCCTGTATAGACGCGTCATTTTTCTCTACATCGCCCTGTACAACTTTCCGTGTCCGGGTGCGGTTTCGAAGTCTCTGAACGCTGCCAGAGCAGAACAATCGTGGATTCCGAGCAGGTGAGATCTCGAAGATAATTCTTGCGCCAGTCCAGGCACCATGGTGAATTTGACATGGTGGACATAGGTAATGCCGCACCGAGCGTGGCAGCATGTGAAAAATGTTCCCAACGAGAACAGAGTGGAAGGATGGTCGATTCCCGTCTTGCAAAGAGCCTGTTTCTGCAAGTGAAACAACTCGACCAGCGAAGGATGTCGAAGGAAAAGAGAACGAAATACCAGAACTGGGTCTATGCGAGCTTGTTGGCGGGAAGAATTGACTGCCGCAGTAAATGTTCAATCGCATGCTCGAGCCTTGGACTTTTTTCAAGGGACCGCCCAGGTTCTTCGTTATGCTCCTCCGTAGTGCAATGGAGAGCATGACCTCAGCCTCGTCAGAGCTTTATGGTTCTCCTTTTGTTAACGCAGCTCCCTTGATACTCATCAGAGTAAGCCGCGGTCCTTCTATTCCAGACAATTAGACACAATGTTCTGCCTGTAGCCAAATTGAGGTAAGACAAAGAAACGCCACGCTCGAATTGCTATCACCGAATTTTAGCGTCTATGGTTTCTACTACAACAACGACTATGCTCGATGCCCCAATCCCGTCCACAATTAGTACCACACGCCCAATACACATCACCAGTCTTTACCAAGGCAGAATAGTGCCGTCAATGTTGAAGAACTTGGCACCATCGGAGCTCGTCAGTCCACCAACGATCTTCATGATCTTCTGCACCGACTCAAGCGGTGGCATCGCACCGTCGCCCCCAACCCTGCCCATATCGGTGTCGACCCAGCCCGGATGGATTGCCACTACGGTGAATCCATCTTCATGGAGCTCGTTGTGGAACTGAACGGTCAACATGTTACCAGCGGCCTTGGAGGTCGCATAGGGCCCGCGAAGCCCCCACTTCTCGCCGACTTGCCCGGCCAGCGAGGCCGCTGTGGACGAGATGTAAATGATCTTGCGGGTCTTGCGAGCTCGCAGTGCAGGGAGGAACGCGTTGATGACCCTGTGAGGACCGGCGACATTAGTATCGAGGTAGTGCAGGAGTCGGTCGGCAGAGATCTTGGTGAGCAGCTCATCTTCGCCGATAGCGCCATTAACGATCAATGTGTCTGCTTCCCTGACGTGTGCAGCGGCAGCATCGACGGATTTCTGGTTGGTCTGGTCGAGTTCCAGGGCGTCAACGTTGGCTGCGCCCAGGTCGAAGGGCTTGCGCATGGTCGCGATGACATGGTGTTCAGGATTATGAGCGACATATTTTGCCAGCTCCAAGCCAATACCTCTGCTTGCGCCAACGACGATGGTAATGTTGGAGCTCATGATGGAGATGACTTCGATAAAAGCTTTAGACTTGCTCGAGATATTCTGGGGTTCGAATGGGTCTCTCTCTCGTGGAGTCTGTGTCGGAGCTGAATTGGTTGTCGAGAATGAAGAGCGCAAGAATGATGTCTGCTTTATAGTCATGTCCTTTGGTTGAGAAGTCAGCCATGGTGAATGGAAAGCCATTTCGTCTTCCCTGCAATTAGTCACTGACCCCTATACACAGACAAGGCTGAACTACACGCGGAGCGGCGGGAGAAGAAAGCCTCCGCAAGTCCGCGGCAAAGCTGAGTCAAGGCACGGACACGAGAGTCTCTCAAACCACTCAAATACCGCATTCAGGCTTCGGAGCATCTGGTCATTGGTCTGGAACGGGCACTTATGAAGCCCACAATGCATCCATGTTTTGAAATGCTTGACGCATTGCGGACCAAAACAAAGAACGATGCCTCCGCTCAGACATCATTGGTCAGGTAGAGTTCTTCCATACTCTAGACAGCTCAAGCAAGGCTTCGCTCGCATGCAGGGTTTCCCAGAAATCAAACGCAGATCAGACTAGGACGGACCCCACGAGTCGAGGTTCTGCAAGATGCAAGCCTCCTTTCCTGGTTTTCTCTCCACCAGCTTACCGATCTTGTAGACGGTTTCGCCCTGGGCTTCGAGAATTTTCCTCACCTCTCCGGACGCAACATCAGATACGACAAGGACCATGCCTATCCCGTTGTTGAAGGTCCGACTCATCTCTTCGTTGCTGACATTGCCTGCTTCTTGAAGCCACTTGAACACACCAGGGCGGCTCCAGGTAGCAACGTCGATCTCGGCGGCAAGATGGTCGGGAAGCATTCTGGGAACATTTTCCAGGAGCCCACCGCCCGTGATATGCGCCATGCCTTTGACCAAGTCTCGCTTGACAGCCTGCAACAAAGAAACCACATAAATCCGGGTCGGCGTAAGCAGCGATCTTCCTACCGTGGTTTCAGAGTTCCACGGCGCAATATCTGACAACGCCAGATGCATCTTCTCCACAATGCGCCGGACCAGGGAGAAGCCGTTCGAGTGGATTCCGCTTGATGCCAGACCAAGTAGCACATCACCTTCAACCATGCTTTCTATGTCAGGCAGTATTCTCTTCCCAGCAGGAGTATCGATCGCTCCCAGAGCGGCACCAACTGCGTCGTACTCGGTCCCACTCAAGAGACCTGGCATTTCAGCAGTCTCTCCTCCAACCAGAGCGCAGTTGGCAATCTTACAGCCCTCGCAGACGCCGCGAATGAAGTCACTGGCAATGTCCACATCCAGGATACTGCAAGTGTAGCAGTCGAGGAACATAAGTGGCTCTGCTCCCTGCACAACAAGATCGTTCACGTTCATGGCCACCAAGTCGATGCCGACGGTGTCGTGAACATTCATCGCATGGGCGATTTTGAGTTTTGTGCCGACTCCGTCAATTGCTCCAATGACGATGGGAGACTTCTCGTGGTAGCCCGCTTTCGCAAGGTCAAAGGCTCCGCCAAAGCCACCGATGACGGCCTCAGCCCCGGGTCTCGCGGTCGCCTTTACCGCAGGCTTGATCCGGGACACGAGGCTGTTCCCTGCATCAATAGACACTCCTGCCGACGCATAGGTCATGACAGCCTCTTCTGGACCTTTCTCCTGCGCCTTTCGCTTGAATGCCCGGTGACCAATGTCTTTTCTAAAATGCATCCCATTGAATTTGATGCACTCCATCCCCTTGTACGCTTTGGCCACCGCCTCTTCCAACGTATCCGCAGTTGAGGTCGATCCGATCACCCGGCCCCCAGTCGAAATGATTTGCTTTCCGTCCTTGACCGTACCGGCGTGGAAGATGAATGTATCATCAGGAGCTTGCTGTACTGAGATGGGTCTGTTTTTCGCATAAGGACCAGGGTAGCCTTCAGCGCATGCGACCACCGTAGCCGCGAATTTGGATTCAATCTTGAGTTCGACGCCATCCAACCAATGTTCCGTACATGCCAGCATGACTTTCGCCAGATCAGTGTCGTCACTCAGCAGAGGCAGTAAAGTTTGCGTTTCCGGGTCTCCTCCTCTGACATTGTATTCTAGGACTTTGGGCCCTTTCTTAGTGATCATCAAGCCAGTGAAGAGCATACCAACGAAGGGCATGCCCTCACGCCGCATACAGTCGACCGTGGGCTGAACGATTTCGCGGTCAATCTGTGCAATGAGCTCCTTTGACGCAACTCTTGTGGGCGCGTAGCAACCCATACCTCCTGTGTTGGGGCCTTGATCGCCATCAAAAACACGCTTGTGGTCTTGAGCAGGCGGCAGCGACCGGATGGTGTAACCGTCACTGAAAGAGAGAACGCTCAACTCCTCGCCCTCTAGAAACTCCTCAATCACGACCTGCGAGCCGGCTGAGCCAAATTCTCGGTCCACCATGATCATTTTCAGGGCGTCGTGTGCCTCTTGTTTCGTCTTCGGAATAATGACGCCCTTTCCGGCGGCAAGCCCATCGGCCTTGATCACGACATCGTGGTTGACTGAGTCCAGGTATTCGCGTGCAGAGGCGTAGTCGCTGAAATTCCGAAATGCTGCCGTCGGGATTCCGTGACGCAGCATGAAATCCTTGGAGAAGGCCTTGGATCCCTCCATTCTTGCCGCCGCCTTGCTGGGGCCGAAGCATCGGATGCCCACGGCTCTGAAGAACTGCTCAATACCGGCGACCAGAGGCGCCTCGGGGCCGACAACTACCAAATTGAGACCATGCTTTCTTGCATGAGCAACGAGCTCTGTGAAGTCGTTGGCGCAGATGTGCACATTGACGATGTTGTCGGCCTCTGTGCCTCCGTTACCGGGAGCGACGTGGACCACATCGACCGAGGGTGACCTGGCCAGCTTCCAGGCAAGAGCATGTTCTCGCCCGCCGGAGCCAACCACAAGGATCCGCAGTCTCTCCGTCATTGCAAGGTATGTAGGTCAGAGAATGACTCGAAAAGGAGCAGTCACAGTCCCGCCCAAGAAGTAAGATTGCCGTCTATCATTAAATTGCAGAGTCCAGCTCCTAGCACCGAAATCGTAAACTGGAGGGGGCAAGAGAAAAAAAAAAAGGGAATTGATGCCAAGCCATGGAAAAACTCGTCGCGGGTCGCCCCGATCAGGGAGGGAGTTGATGCCGTTCTATGACTTCCCCCACCTGGCCCCGCCACACTTGCTGTATAAGGCTCGGATTGTTCTGGTAATATGTATCATTGGCCTGTACCATGCATTAGAGGTTGTTAATGGGGGAAATCGAGTGGTACATCAAAAGCAGCATCTGTCAGACATCTCCAAATGTATACTCTTTGCGCAGAGCGTAGGCATAATGGGATGGGTTCAGAGCCACATTTGTATTTTCATCTAGCAGTACAGAATGTTAGATGAGGGCTGGCTGATGGTTGAAAGTAAATCCATAGGTCCAGTCAACTATAAGGGGAGAAACGGCGCAGAGGGGAATCCGACGCTGAGTGAGGCTGAGGATTCCTGAAAATTTCTATCACAGCTGTAGTTACAAGGAAACCCGGAAGAAAGTAGTCGGAGGGGGTGATCTGTGACTGAATAACACTCTGGAAATGCCGTGAAGAAAACCCTGGCCTCTCGATATATTTCGGTGACGTGCGCGATAGTACCTCGTATATGCAACAATCTCGCCAGGGGCGGTAACACGAGTCTTCGCACGTCCCTTCCCGGACCAAGCATTTGGCAACCATGCCGGGCCCCTCTCCGGACATACTTGCAGAGGAGCCCAAAGGTCGAATGACCTTGTTTGTAAGAAGAAGAAAAGGGGAAAATTCTGGGAGTCGCGTGGCGGAATTTACTCTGCATGCTGGACTCTGATTGGCCCGCCGAGTTTGTGGAGGGAGGAGAGAAAGATCCTCAGATCTCGACAAAAACCCTGAGCGGCAAAGTGGCTGGCGGCACAACATAGATTCAGAGAGGACGAGGAACGGTCGCACATATCCAACAGGGCTATCTGACTGTGGTGAACTCCACCTCAAAAGGAAGAGAGACGAAAGCGAAAAGAAGAAAGAGAAGCGGCTGTCAACTGGCTCTACTCGCCGCCCCAACACCCGCTTTTCTTCGCCTGCTCGCCGTGTGTGTCATAACCACCAGCTGCTAATACTAAGAGACACACACATCCCCAGGTCCAGCTGGGCCACTGCTCACCATGTATCTCATCAGTGAGTCTGACCTTATTGCACACAGACACACACAACAATTTTTGTCGCCGGACTAACAGGAAGACAGAGATCCCATGTTCGTCAGCCAACATCGGTAAGTTCAGCCTTGTGTGTTGTGTATGTATATGTGCAGCACCATTTGCCCTCCCTTCGCCCTATCCCGTCATTGTCCTCTTCAATTCTCGCCCTGCTTACGACCGCGCCCTCCAGGCCCGGGCTTCGATGTCATCGGCCTGGCCCTGTCCATGTACCTCGAGATCCGGGTGAGCGTCGACGCGAGCGCGCCCGCCGACCCGGCGACCAACCCGCTCAACTGCACGGTCACGTACACGGGCGTGGGCGCCGAGGACATTGACCTGGACCCGGAGAACAACCTGCTGACGCGCACGGCGCTGTACGTGCTGCGCTGCCACCAGCAGCACGAGTTCCCCGCGCAGACGCACGTGCACATCCACAATCCCATCCCGCTGGGCCGCGGGCTGGGGTCGTCGGGCGCCGCCGTCGTGGGCGGCGTGCTGCTCGGCAACGTCGTGGGCCGGCTCAACCTCCCCAAGACCCGCCTGCTGGACTTCTGCCTCATGGTCGAGCGGCACCCGGACAACGTCGCCGCCGCCCTCTACGGCGGCTTCGTCGGCACCTACCTCAACGAGCTCGACCCCGTCGACATGGCCAGGAAGGAGGTCCCGCTCTCCGAAGTCCTCCCCCAGCCCGCCGGCGGTGTCGACACGGGCCTGACACCCCCCATCCCCCCGGTCAATATCGGGCACTACAGGCGGTTCAACTGGGCCAAGGAAATCAAGGCGTTGGCAATCATCCCGGACTTTGAGGTGAGCACCGCCAAAGCCAGGCAGGTGTTGCCTACCGAGTACTCGAGGCAGGACATGGTAAGTTCTCTATACAACTGTTCTCCCCGCAGGAGGTATCCATTCCATCTGCGCGCGAGCAAGAAAGACCCCTTCCGCCCCCAAAAACCATGGACTGATTGATCCCAACCCTCCCCTGTCGGGAATGTGATAATAGATCTTCAACCTTCAACGCATCGCCCTCCTCACCACTGTCCTCTCCGACTCACCTCCCGACCCCTCCCTAATCTACTCGGCCATGCAAGACAGGATCCACCAACCTTACCGCGCCGGTCTCATCCCCGCCCTCCCCTCCATATTATCCTCCATGTCCCCCCAGACGCATCCGGGACTCCTGGGGATCTGCCTGTCCGGCGCCGGGCCGACTATCTTGGCCCTCGCGACCGAGAATTTCGAGAACATCGCCCATGTCATCATCAACAAGTTCGGCGAGGAAGGCATTACCTGTGAATGGAAAGTCTTGGAGCCTGCCGAAGATGGGGCGACCGTCCAAGAGGTGCCGGGGGATGTATCGATGTATCGGAAGGAGATCAGCAAAGCTTGACAAGTAAGCAGTCGGGAAACGAGATCGCTCTGAGTTGTCCTAGCAGTCTGATATCGGAGCCGGATTGTACGTCTTGGAAAAGCATGTCAAGTTGGCCACCATCGAAGCGTGATCCGAACACGGGCTGAGCTCTTCACGGTCTTACGTTTGCACATAGCACCCTAAACATGAGGGAAGACCTAAGCTTGCTGGCATTGCGTTCTAGACACTATCTGGAATGATGATACTCATTGAAGATGTTACTTTTGTCCCGGTACACGCTCCAATGACTCAAAGTGTCCTGAAGATGTTCAGACACGCCTCTGTGCTGTGCGGGAGCACTTTGGATTTCCCTGTCGCTTCTGGTTTCCACAATCTATGCTCCGCATGCCATTTAATTCATCATGACCTTGTCCTCGTTGACAGCTCGCTCTAGAAATTTGCTGCGTTGCGTTCAAGTTCAAGCATACCCGATGCTCGAATGGTCCTTTAGAAGCACTTGCGGTGGACAATGGAAGGACCGCTCTCATCGTACTCCTGCTTGGAGATCCACATCTGCTGGAAGGTCGAAAGAGAAGCCAAGATGGAACCGCCGATCCAGACCGAGTATTTACGTTCAGGAGGAGCAATGATCTTGACTTTCATGGACGAGGGAGCGAGGGCGGTGATTTCCTTCTGCATACGGTCCGAGATACCCGGGTACATGGTAGTACCACCAGACTGAAAGAGTCGTCAGTAGTTGAGCCAATACAGTGGGAGGAATTTGACTTACCATGACAATGTTGCCGTACAAGTCCTTTCGAACATCTACGTCGCATTTCATGATGGAGTTAAAGGTGGTGACGTGGATACCGCCGGATTCGAGACCGAGAACGCTTGGCTGGAAGAGGGCCTCAGGCGCTCGGAACCGTTCGTTGCCGATGGTGATGACCTGACCGTCGGGAAGCTCATAAGACTTCTCCAGGCTGGAGCTCTGGGAAGCGGTCTGAATTTCTTGTTCGAAGTCGAGGGCAACGTAGCACAGCTTCTCCTTGATATCTCGGACGATTTCTCGTTCGGCGGTGGTGGAGAAGGTGTAACCGCGCTCAGCCAAGATCTTCATCAGGTAGTCGGTCAAATCACGACCGGCCATATCCACACGGGAGATGGCGTGAGGAAGAGCGAAACCCTCGTAGATGGGGACAACGTGAGTGACACCGTCGCCAGAGTCCAACACAATACCAGTTGTGCGACCAGAGGCGTACAGAGAGAGGACGGCCTGGATGGAGACGTAGAAGGCAGGGGCGTTGAAGGTCTCAAAGACGATCTGTGTCATCTTCTCTCTGTTGGACTTGGGGTTGATGGGGGCTTCGGTCAAGAGCACGGGGTGCTCTTCGGGGGCAACACGAAGTTCGTTGTAGAAAGTGTGATGCCAAATCTTTTCCATGTCGTCCCAGTTCGTGACGACACCGTGTTCGATGGGGTATCGCAGGGTCAAGATACCACGCTTGGACTGGGCCTCGTCGCCGACGTACGAGTCTTTCTGACCCATACCAATCATGATACCATGGTGACGAGGTCGACCAACGATAGATGCTGGTGCAGTTTGTGAGATTCTGATGTTCTCGGCTCAATGCGGGGCAGGGCACACTTACGGAAGACAGCTCGGGGCGCATCGTCGCCAGCAAAGCCAGCTTTGCACATACCGGAGCTGGAGACATCATTGTCAGTATTGTGGTCACAATCGCGCTAATCTCCTCCTCTTCCGGGGCACCCGCAATTGAAGCTCGCGTGTCCAAAAAGGAGATTGTGGGAGGGCGCAGGCAAGGGAACCAGGTCGAGGAGTAGGGCGCTTACCCATTGTCAATGACGAGCGCGGCAACTTCTTCTGTTGAGAGAAAACCATATCAGTACGGAGTCCGAGATGAAAACTGTGTTCAAAAAAGCCATTGCACCCAGGCTGGAATTTGGCTTACCTTCCATTGTGACGGATTGATGAAGGACGAGGTGAGGGGGAGTGGACAGAAGCGAGAATGAGAGAAGAGTGTGAAGGTGCTCGAGATGTCGAAGGGAAAAGAGGCCTTCGAGGAGACGAGCAAGGAGATTGGATAGATAGAAGGGATGAGGATGGAGACAAGAAGCTGAGGAGGGTAAGATGGAGGAGCAGAAGTAGCGGTGGTTTGGGCGGTGGGCTAAATCGGGCAGCTGCGAGGCGCCAAGACCGGTTGGGTCAAGTCTGAGGAGCGAGTCGAGCGTTCGGTGAAGGAAAAGATGGCCACTCTTGGGGCGGCTAAACGCGCTGCTTGTGATGCTAGTCGTAAGACTGGATTATGGATCAATGTCGGGTCTGATCGACGAAGGAGCGGCAGCGAGCCTCAAATACCTGTGGGAGTGGAAGGCGAATACCGCCTCCTGGGAACAGATTTGGGGATAGATGAAATAGACCGCAGGCGATATGGGAGGGCGCCTTCGTGTTCTCTTTATTCACCCGACTACGCACCACCGACTACTGAGGGCTAGCAGGTACCAAGATTCTCAAGCTCATGCGATTTCTCCACGCGTGGCGGTATGGCCACGCAACATGGCTTCCTCACGCACGGATGAGCCTCGTCACCGGGTCTCCAAGCAACAGGCACCTGCAATTCCGGCAAAAGGCTGGCCTGACCAGACTCCAGCAAAGCCCTGGGTATTGGCTTCCCAGCTCCCAACCCGGGCCGTGTTTGGGGGGGTTGCTGTCGCCAACGTGCGGCTGATGATGACGGATCCAGCGCTTTCCCTGGCCTTCTCGATACTACCAGTGGCAGGGAGTAGGCACATGGGGAGGTACTTTTCCTGCCCCACTATCGACGGACCGCAGCCATTGACTCGCCTTGTTGCTCACCGTGTCTCTCGAGTACGCTATAGTGAGCGTGAAATGTGCCAATACGACCTGCGAGAGAGACAGGGAGCGGATCATCGCTGGGGGCGTAACTGCCCACCCACATTACTTGCTCCCTAGCCACCATCAGGCACCCGCGCATTTCTCTGTTTGAAATTTTTGTGTTTGTGTGCGTGCGCAGTTCAAGCCTCCCAGCCACAAATCGCGGGGTAATCAGGGCCGATGGTCGGAAGCCCATTCGCCCAGCGTTTCAACGGCACAGCCACCAACGCCATTGGCACACAATTGGCACAGCCGGCTCTTAGTCACCGCTCTTAATCGGACTGTCTGCGACTTTGGTTATTTGGTACTCCTCAACGGTAGTGGCTCAAGGACAGGATACCGACTGCGGGCTGAAGTGAGAGCTTCCAGCTTGGCGATAGTCTCGATGCAGTGCAATGCACGTGTTAGTTGTTCCTTGAGCCCATTATGACAGTCGACAGGCACTGCGAGAGCCTCGAATGTGCAGGAAGATCCTAGTGGCTTCTGGAAGGTGCTGGCTTCTGATTGGCCAGGCCTCCCATTTTCTAACCTCATAAGAAGGCTGTGAAGAACATTTCCAGACATTGACAAGTACGATCACTGCGTCAACTCATATCTTCTAACCAAAACACAAGTCTTGGAGACTACTAGACATCTCTCTCCTTTGGGAAATTGGTCCATACCTAAACGTCAAACATGGAACCTGGACTGAACTCGCTGTTACAATGGGGTATCGAGAACTCGGACGCTGGTCGAAACCCGGATCAGCCAGCCCGAGAACCCCGGGGTCTGACAGCTGATGTACTACGCTCGTTGATGGGCGGGCCAAGCGACGCCGACTTGATGCGAGAAGCCATGGCCATCATCGGCTCCTCCGACCCGGAAGTCACGCACGACGCGAAAATGACGGCCTTTGACAACCTCGAACAACTGGTCGAAAACATCGACAATGCCAACAACATGGAGCCGCTGGGCCTGTGGACGCCACTCCTGGCGCAACTCGAGAGCCACTCGGCCGACTTGCGACGCATGGCGGCCTGGTGCATCGGCACGGCGGTCCAGAACAACATCAAAGCCCAGGAGCGGCTCTTGGCCCTCAACGGCATCGACAGACTCGTCCAGGTCTCCCTCGATGACGCGGACAAGAGTGTACGAAGAAAAGCCGTGTACGCACTTAGCTCGGGCATCAGGAATTACCAACCCGCCATGAACGAGGCGGTAAAGCGCTTGCCCAAGGATATTGTCGGCCCAGATCAGGTCTCTGCGGCGGATATGGATGTCATTGATGCCATCATGGGCAAGCTCAGAGAAAGGGAGTGAGTGAGGCAAGAAGCAAAAGGGAGATACCGACCGGAGAAAAGTTCAAGTGGCAATACATCAGTCCTGTAGAAGAGGACCGAAAGACACAGTCCACCGGCGGCAAGAGATGTTTGCCCCCCCCCCCCCCCCCAAGTTAATGACTGGACCAGCAAGGGACACTCGGCATCACGCCACCTCTTTGAAGAGGAATCTCAGTTCAGCTTAGTGCCATAAAAGAATCAGGTGGCGGCTTGATGACCGCAAACTTTGGGAGGCCGCACATCGGTGCATTCAACCCAGTCTGCGAAGCCTTTGTAGACGATGGCCAGGGCACTTGCCCGGACTAGAACGGGAACAGAGATACAATGAATGATGCCTTCGATTTTGTCAGTACAAGTACAGACTCCATTGACCCGTGACCGCCTGTGATGTGGATACGCCATATTGCCCGTGTTGTAATGCTGCACTCCTTGCGCTACCCTGACTTGGCCTCGTATACCTCACAGCCTTGCATGGACGTCGCTTTTCCCCGTGTCCATACATTGTGCAGCGTCGCCTCTTGTCTCGCATTCGCGCCAGCCCAGTAATCCTCACAGCTGCAATGTATATGTGTAATCGTCCTCCATATTCTGGCTGACCCACAGAACGACGGAGCTCAACATGACCAGCCCATTGGCCACCACGTTGGCCACGCCCATGTACACCGTCTGCAGGGCGTAGTCCTTGAACAGGTACTTGAGCACCATCACCGTGACGCTGCCCGCCAGGCCGCCGGCCATCAGGGCGAAGCCCAGGAACAGGACCGTGCGCGCCTTCCAGGCCACGCCGTTGCCGCTGTACGACCAGCTGTCCGCGGACAGGCGGGACTTCTCGATCGAGTTGATGACGAGCATCCCCAGCGCGGAGCAGATCAGGGGGATCCAGTCGACGAAGTTGATGTGCACGGTGCTCCCGTTGAGGGGGGACTTGGAGAAGACGCTGGCGTCGACGAAGAAGAAGAAGCCGAGCGAGAACTGTCAGCCATTTCGCACGCCATTAGTAGTGAGACCTCAGAGAACGAGCAGAGAGGATAGACCAAAAAGAAGCTGGACGTACGAGGGCGCCGGCAATGTAGACGCCTGCGGTTCTGGTGTTGGCGCTGTTCAGCCACGCGGGCTTCGAGAAGCGGAAGAGGCGCTGCGACGTCGACATCGTACAAGGAGAGTAAGTCTGCGAACGGAAACGGACAGATAGGAACGGTGCAAGGATGTGGACTCGTGTATCCTGCTGATAGACGTTTGTTGTTCGCGAGTACACGATGGGTAGACGTCCTGAGCCGGACGCAGCAGTGGAAAGCTGGGAATCTGAGCGTCGCAAGGCCGCTGCTGTTCGTAATTCGCAGGCTGGGTGGATGCCGAGAACCACGAACCACGAACCACTCGGGGAAAGTTTCGGCAGCTCGCGGCAGCCTTGCGCCCAAGCCTCGTCAGTCTAGTCACCCAAATAAATAGGCGCCGGCTGTGATGATTGATGTCTAGATTTCCTGTAGCTTGGAGGATAATTGGAAGTGCTAACAGTGATGAATAAAGATAGGAGCAAGCTGTAAGCCTGAAGTCGAGCCGAAGCCTGCAAAATGCAAGGATACGTGGTACATTGCAGGGTCACGATGTGAAAACATGCGCGGCAATTGATGGGCTGAATACTATTCTCGGTTGACACATTGACACATGGGCAACGTAGAAGCCACTTTTATTGAAGGAAAAGAAAAGAAAAACCAGACAATCGTATTAGAAACGGCCATGTGGTCGAGCCCAAGTTCTGATTGATACAAATATACCAGAGTTCGCTTGCGTGATCCGTAGAGTAGAACAACTTCCACCTCGTGTGTTTTCGTCCAACATTGCGGAGCAATATCTGTTAGACCAACCAGATTCAAGACGCCTTGCATATGCATCCAGTTCCTCAAAAGCCCGCATTCGCGCTTCGCTGGTTTAAAAGTCTTGCTCCTCCTTGAAAAACTGGGTGAAGCTGATGATGGTGCCGTATATCAGCAACCCGCCCACAATTGACATCACCATGGCCGGAACTTGAATAAGGGCAGAATGGGCAAGTAGCACCGGCAGGGCTGTCGTGTGGTGTTCGTCAGTGTGTCTGATCGATCTCCTCCGTGTATTGAAGAAAACGTACCGATGCCCATAAGCACGAGAAATCCAGTAGCGAAGCGGCCCAGATCTATCCAGGCCCCGGAATTGCTCTCGATGAAGTCATCTGCATTGGCACATCTTCCTGCCACCCAGTTCGGCAGGGGCGCCAGCACATAAGTTGCGACAACGAGGAGGGTGAGGAAGTTGTGGAACAACGCCGCGGAGAGGATGACGAGGAGGAATCCGATGGCAAGCACCTGGGACCTTGTCAGTCACGCGCGATTCGGGGAGAAGGCATGTTGGCTTATGCGGCATACAAAGGAGAGCGCAATAATCGTTTTTAGTCCGGCCGTCATGATCATGGGTGGAAGCAAGATTGGGTAGAGAGGCTGTATCTAGTTTTCCTGATGCCTGCGCAACCGCAAGCGCTGCAACTCGGGTGTCGAAGGGATAGAAGGATAGAAAGTGCGGTCCGAAGCGAAAGTGAGCCGGATAGTGCTGGCCGAGAGAGTCCTATATGGATTTCATGAAGAAGTGAGTTGGATGATCAAACGGTCGGTTGTCTTGTGAGGGATGTTGGCAGGTCCCAGTGGCTGGGCGCCGGAAGCTCCTCCGCAGTTGGTAGTAGATCGCGAGAACCTGGAGTTTGCGCGTCTGCAAGTGCCTGGCCTCATTGATTTTATTCTAAACACAACCAACTTCCACAACTCGGCGTCTACTTCGCTATTCATGCTCCGGTCTCTTCCATCTACATAATCCGCAATCAAGATGTTCAGAAACAACTACGACAATGACTCCGTCACCTTGTGAGGCCTATTGACCACCTTGTTCCGTGCCACAAATACTGATTCATTTCCAGTTCGCCTCAAGGCCGGATATTCCAAGTCGAGTATGCTCAAGAGGCCGTCAAGCAGGGATCGGTAGTTGTCGGGGTTGTCAGCAAGAAACATGTCGTCCTCACTGCCCTTAAGGTCTGCACCCCCAAACAGCTTTACCCTCGTAGAATCAGCCGCTTACTATGCCTATAGCGAAACGCAGAAGAACTCTCCTCCTACCAGAAAAAGATAGTCGGTGTCGACGATCATCTAGGAGTAGCCCTTGCCGGTCTCGCCTCGGACGCCCGCGTCCTTTCGAACTTCATGAAACAGCAGTCGCTCGCCTCAAAAATGACCTACGGCCGTCCGATACCCGTCGAGCGCATTGTGAATATGATTGGGGACAGAGCTCAGACCAACACGCAGCACTACGGTAAAAGACCATACGGCGTGGGACTGTTAGTTGCAGGTGTGGATGAGCTGGGACCCCATCTATTCGAGTTCTCTCCGTCAGGGATGACGCAGGAGATGCTGGCTTGTGCGATTGGAGCAAGGAGTCAGATGGCTCGGACGTACCTGGAGAGACATCTGGATAAGTTTGCGGATTGCAGCCGTGAGGAGTTGGTCAAACATGCGTTGCTGGCATTGAAGGAGTCTCTGGCGCAAGACAAGGAACTCACGGTGGACAACACCAGTTTGGCGGTGATCGGCATAGGCGAGAAAGATGGCAGGAAGAAACTGGAGGCCTTCAAGCTCTATGATGGACAAGACGTCGGGCCTTTGCTCGAGGCAAGCGTGGAGACGACGGCGACCGAAGGGGCAGATGCCATGGAAACAGATTCATAGGAAAAGAAGTGATGGGTACGCATATTGCACGGCGTTTGGCGTAGCAGGCTGCCACAAGGCAATGCAAGGCCGTCCCATGGAAATGGCAAGGCAAGATTGGTGGGATTGAAAGAGTTTCACTATGCACCATTTTCCGATCTATGACCAGTCCAGCTTATATCTCCCAGGAGCGACCTGATAGCCACGTAACGCCTCGATGACCTGATCCGTGCTCTGCACCTCAACCAAGATATTGGCGGCGCCTTCGCCCACAAAGCCTTCTCTTATTGCCGTCTTGACCCAATCCAACAATCCATTCCAATAGCCGTTGATGTTGACCAGAATGATGGGAATTTGATGGATGCCCAACTGGTTCCAAGTGACCATCTCCATGACCTCCTCCATGGTCCCGTACCCTCCAGCCAGCGCCACAAACCCGGAGCCGGGCGCCCCAGCTTCCACTGAATTTGCCATCATACGTTTTCGAGTGTGCATGTCCGGGACAATGGTGGTCCGTCCAAACTCGGACTCTGGAACTATCTGTTTATCTGGATCCTCGGTACTGTCGATCCGTTGCAGCTCCTCCGAGGACATGGTCCGCTCGGCCTTTCCCTGTCCAAAGCGACTTGTCTCGCTGCGGACTGAAGGGTCCTTCTCTGAGCGGATCAATGCTCGGGGGATGATGCCGTGTACTGAACTGGGACCGGAGAGGGTGACGAGTGTTTTGGCCAATTCACCCATGATCCCCATGGTCCCTCCGCCGTAGACGAGCTTGTAGCCGGCCTCATGGAGAGATTGGCCCAGCTCTCGTGCGGACTCGAGATGGACGGGGTTTTTTCCTGGAGAGGAAGCACAGCTTGAAGAAATCGGTTAGTCATTCTTCTGGGGAATTTCACACTTGGGAGACTGTGTTCTCGACGCACAAGACGCAGACGACGGGTTCCGCCGCACCGTTCCCCTGGGCAGCTGGCATTATAGAGCAGTCCGACTCGAAATGGATGGAGATGGGCAAGAGGAAAGTTCTCGAGCAGCGAAAGACTAAGAGCAAGGTCTGAAAGGGGTGTAGTAAGGGTGGGCGTTGAACCGCTGTTTCTATCGGTCTCCGAGTCGATGGGGAATGCAACTCTTGAGCGAGAGAAAAAGAAAAGTAGCTGGAGCCTTCAAACCCAGAAAGGAACGATATATAGCACCGTCCGACCTACAGATGCGAATGCAAACGTTGTGCGAAGTTGGGGTGCAAACTGGTTGGGAAGAAAGAGTGTAGGTGTGATATGTTGGCATTTGGGAGACTGGACACATTTTGCGTGGGTTTCTCGACGATTGGCCTGTGAGTCAACATGACGTTGCAGACAGCAGCCTCGTGTGGATTCAATGGTGCCACGTGAAGCAATCAACGAGGCAATGTGGTCCAGTGGACGGAGCTCGCCGACTGCATTGAGTTCTGGGGATGGAAGGACAGGTGAGGTGGAAGTGAAGGAGCAGTGCGCATTACATACCAGTAGTACATACCTACAGATGGACCCGAGCTGGGTGAGGAGCATGCAATCAAAGGCACTGCTGGCACGTAGGTAACAATAGCGGTAGGCAGCCGTGGCAGCATAGGCGGCGAACAGGTACTCCGTACGGAGGAAAGGATGGGTGATGCGAGGAGCAGGGAACGCAGCTTCACTGGGCTTATCGATACCCCTCATGACTACCTACTTAGGCAGCTTTAACTACCAGGTGGCCATCGCTGGTCCACCGCCCGGCGGTATCGGGTGACTGCCCACTGCCCTCGGTGGGTTCTTCAGCAGGAACGTCTTTTCACTTTTCACTTCTCAATAGCGTCTCTTTCACTCCTCCACCTCTCTTTGTTCATCACTCACTTACTCACTACTCCATCTCCATCTTCCTTGCCCTCGACTTCTTCCGCCACCTCTCGCTTACTGTATCTGCTCTTGTTCTGCCGATCTTCCCTTCGTCCTCCTCTTCCGCATGCCGTTCTTCCCCTTGCATCTGCAAGCTTATTCTTCCTTGTTTCACTCTCGGTACCTCAGAGCCTCAATCCCCCCCAGCCCCCTCCATTTCCCAGTCCATGGGACTCCCATCAATGTTCCATTCGGCTGAAGCTGGCTGAAGCTGGCCGATCAAGACCATCATACCTCGATCATCCTTACCGAATCTCGTATTGTCCCGTCATGATGAGCAATAGCAGATGTTTGACAGCCCGCATGGCTCGCTTAATCTGCTCGTGTTGGGACCCTTCGACCTCGAGTGTCTCGCCTCTGCCTTCTTTGCAAGGTCAACTCAATGGGCCTTGACTGGTCCTTTTCGGCCTCTACTGTGGTGTCGTTCCATCCCGTTATTGTCCCATTGGTTCCGAACCACCACGCCTTGCCGACAATTTTGCTTGTTCCCGTCTGCCTGCATCTCGGCCGCTAACACTTTCGGCCATAAGCCGTGCAGAGGCCCAGCTCCAGACACTCCGCCCTCGGAATCACACCCTCCTCGACCCCAATGGCCTCGTATCTCATGGTGGGAGCTGAAAAAAGAACCCCGCTTTCCCTGGTAAGGCTACCAACTACATGCGCTGGTGGGCATGATTGTGCAGATACACCTCACACTCAACCGGCCCTTGGTCTGCAAAAGTCTTAGCTGTCAACCTCTAGCGAGACACTCCCCCGACGGCGTTCTTGGTCGATGCTTCAAGACCTCGCCGTCCCGCTCTTTCTCAGTTTCTTTTCTTCTTGCCTCGTCAGCCTTAGCCTTACCACCAGGCTGCCCCGCCTGCTGAAGGACGAGATCACTGTCGTCGCAAAGCACATCCTGCGGCGCCGTCGCCGCCGTGTGCTGCCATGGCGAGCAGTGTCTCTAGCTCCGTATCGAGTGTCGCAAGCTCAGAGTCGAGCGTTTTGAGCTCTGCCACGAGTGTGGTCAGCTCTGAGGCGAGTGCCATTACCACCGATACCACCACCACCACCCCTTCAACTACAGATTCGACGACTTCGCCAACGACGACAGACACCTCTACGACGACGGACACCTCTACGACGACGGACACCTCTACGACGACGGACACCTCTACGACGACGGACACCTCTACGTCGACGACGCCCATATCTACCACTACTGATACCACCCCCAGCACCAGTAAGTTGACCAGTGCCATTTTCCACTGTTCATCTCCCCACCGCTGCAGCCTTGCATCAATTGCGCTCGCAAGTTTGCTTTTATAACATTTGCTTCGTGGCAGCTACCACAAGCTTCACAACACCGTCCTCCACCTCCACCATTCTCACCACAACCTCTCCCACTACTTCCTCGCTGCCTCCTCCAACGACCAGTTCTGCTTCAACCACCATTTCCACAAGTAGCAGCACCTCAAGTATATCCCCTCCTCCTCCGTCGTCTACTATCACCACCACCAGCAGTACTTCAAGCATTTCCCCCTCTACATCGTCTACAAGCATTACTACCACCTCAAGTGATCTCCCCTCTTCTTCCGTCACGTTGTCCACTTCCTCTAGCTTGTCGACGTCCGCTTATACCTCCCCTTCAACCATAGCTACCACTCCTATTCCTACTACCACTTCCCCTACCACCACGTCCTCTCCCCCTCCAACAACGTCGTCAACAACGACGCCTTCTCCCTCCCCCAGCACCACGACTACCTCTTCTCCGATTCCAAGCACTACCACTAGTGAGTCCTGTTTGTTTGTTTGTTTGTTTCGTTCCGTGCGCGTTTACTAGCATATGGCCTTTGCAAGCCCTCCCTAATCGTACGTACTTCAACAGCCACAACTCCCTCCCCAACCACTACCACCACCACTTCCTCAACAACCACTTCGAGTCCAGTGCCTGTAACCACTTCAAGCTCTACCACCCCTCCTTCAACATCCTCGAGCACTCCATCCACCTCTAGCTCTTCCTCCGAATCAAGCACCACAAGCACGAGCGAAGCACCAGTCGTTATAACCACCTCCAGTACCTCAGTTTCCTATTCGACCACAACCTCATATGTCACTCAAGTCCTTCAAACCACGCAAAATGGACAACCAGGCTACACCACCATCACGTCCATCGTGATAGCTACAAATCCCGCCACCACACTCGTGGAACCAGCAACTTTTACCAGCACTCCAGGCAGCGCCCCGACACTCCTTCCATCCAACAGTGGCGGCGGCAGCAGCTCAGGCTTGTCGACAGGTGCCAAAGCCGGCATCGGAGCTGGTGTCGGTATTCTTGTCCTAGCTGCCGCTATCTTCGGCGGCTGGTACAGCTGGTTCATGCGGCGGCGGAGGAAACGGAATTCCTACTCCCATGACCGGTACTCGGATGAACCCTTGCCCAGCATGTCAGGACTCGGCATCGCAGGGGGTGGAGCTGCGGGTATGGGAGCAATGGCCGCCATCTCATCGGGTTACCGTGACACCTCGAACCGTTCCGACACGCGTTCAGAGCTCCCGTCTCCTCCCATTCCTTCCCCGCCGCCTCGATCTCCAGACCGACTTCTTCCACCTGGAGTGGTACCTTTCAGATACCGAGGTTCCAGCTCACCGCCACCCAACCAAGGCTCTTCCCACATGTCTGTCTCAGACCAGAGCGAGTACTCGCAAGGTAACAATCAACCTCAGCCGGGCGGCCAATACCCTCAAGGGCCAGCTGGAGCTGGAGCTGGTTACTCCAGTAATCTCAACGAACTACCTGAAGACCAGAGAAACATCTACCAGCTGCCGGACGACCAAGTCTCCAACCCCATGTCACACCAAAGCTACCAACATGCCAACATGGGCCAAGATGGCTACTGGTCCGGACAACCCTCCGCACCTTCGGCACCGTCGGCGCCTTCAGCGCCCTCGGCGCAGGAATCCTACGAGTTACCCGGCCAAGGCACCACACCTGCACCTGCGCAGTCGCAAGGAGGACAGGGAGGCTATCGCGGTGCGGATCGAGAGGTTCCTCTCCATCAACGCATGGAAGGCAGAGTGCCGTACCGGCCAGGCCATCTGCCGCCTTCGCACAATTTCTAATGGTGCATCGCATGGTGGCCCGCGGCTGTGTATAATGGGTATATTAAAACATAAAACCGTAATGTATTGTCAGATGATTGGATGAATTGGAATGATATCACCCAACAAAAGTTATTCCCAATAGTATCACGCTCTTGCACATCTGAATTCGCCGTCCTATGTTAGAATCTTACCGTTTGCCGCTTCACAGCTGGTCTAAGGCTCAGCGTCTTTGACTGGCCGCGTTTCCCACATGATGTGTAAAGCGAGAAGGTCATTCATTATCTCCACATGTCTCGTCGATGTTGGACTTTGTGCATGAATGATCGACTCATATTCAGAACCGTTTTCACTGGTCGAGACAACTCGCTGCCGTTTTGCGAGAATGAGTAACGTCAAGTCACATATGTTAATGTCAGTTGCTGTACTGGTGGCGGCCAGCATTTCCCGCACCCACCTACCCTTCTGGCGAGCCGGCCTCTGGCTCTTCGCACCGGGCGAAGCTCCTTATACCGACTGACGCGGCGCGTGCGCTGTGAGTTGGGTCTTTCCTTGCCCGACGTGCCGGGAATCTTTGATACAAGACAGTCAGTCTCCCCTGTCCTGCGCGTCCAGGGATTCTAGAACGATCACGATCTAAGCGGTGTACGTATATGTTCGGCCCCCAGGCTGTGCTCGCGCGACCCCCTGCCGAGTGGTGGTCCGTTGGGTTCCTTTGCCTGCGTAGAGGCGGCTCGATCTTCGACCGTGACGGGCTCCACGAGGATGTGAGCAGTGAAGATGTACAGTCCATTCCATGTCTACTGTGACAAGAGCGGGATTAAAACCCCCATGGCCTTTGTTTCATCGGAGCTTGTCACCCGTGCAGGGCTGAATCATAGCTTGTCGTCAGTGAATGCTTTGGTCGTTTTGATGGCCCGACTTCGGACCATAGACGGCACTCACTGGGCGGAGACTCTTCCAGGTGTATTGTAGTGTTTGGTTCGTTGTCGCCTCCTGGACGATGACGGGGTTAGTCTCTCGGGAATGGATATCTCAGTGGTCCTATTTCATATATAAATCGCTTGATAAGCAGATCGACGCAAATTTCGTTTCAAGAGAGGACGGACCGGCGGCGTTGTTGTAGTTGTTGTCGTTGTTGTTGTGATCCAGGGTCCTGCCACCCACCTCGTCGCCGCGGCGATGAATGCGCAAGGTAGACTGGACCTTCACAAACGGAACCTGACACCCCCGGCCGCCTCAAGACGTGACTTGTTGCCTCGTCTCCTCGGTGGGAAAGACACCGTACCACGACAAAACCCGGATCCGTGGCCCATCCTCGTTGTGATTGCTGCCTTCAAACCTGACTTTGCACCACCTTGCAATCTTCTCCTTTTAGCCACCGGAAACGAGGACACAGAAATCCAATCCTTGAGAACGCAAACATCACGCACCTCTTTGTCCCAGAGATGGACAGTCCCGGGCTGGAGATCGGCCAGGATGGACGTGCTAGAGTAGTCTTGCAAGCACCACCGTCAAAGAAGCTTTGCCTGCGAGAGCCACAGGCCCCAAGCCTAGTCATTGACGATAGCGGATATGCCAGGGCAGTCTTTCCCATCAAGGAAGTGCGTTTGCGCGATTGTCTTGCCGTCCATCTGCGAATTGGCCTGCACCCGGAGTCGTATGAGCGCACCAAATTGCCAGATGAAGGTAGTTGCTCCCCTGCGATGCACGTTTCACAGTCTTTTTTGCTCACTGAATGTATAGAACTCGATGTCGACGTCAAACAAGGTGTTCCTCCCGCCGCAGGTTTTCCCGAAGGTGACAGCCCTCTCGTCCGCGCGCCCGAGCAAAATGACAATTTGGCAATGATTCCTGTACCGCCACGTTATCATGTGCCCAAGATTGAAGAAACAGGAGAGGTTGAACGACGTCAAGCAGAAGAATATCAGGAGCAGGAAGAAATACCTCGAAATAGCCCCATCCCAGTGTTGCCGTCAGTCATTAGGATCAAGCAAGCCGACGCATACACGCGTCTTCGGTCCACGGTTGACGTCTTGAGCGTCAATGGTGAGAAATACCTTAGAATTGATGAGACACACTTTCTCTATGCTGTCAATGCGAGTTGGCTTCAAGCTGGTGAGAATGTCACAATTCGCCGAGCGCCATCCCGCCATTGGCAGGCCGGCAGACACATTGGTCGTCCAGAGATACTCTTCATGTTGTATCCACTTGGAGAATGGGCGTATACACCCATCAACAACCGCCGCAAGAAGGCTCCTCAAGAATTCCGTCCCCAGCTGGACAACTATGGTCGGGTGCTTCTGAATGCATTCGATCGGCCGTTGAAGTTCTCCAATATCATGCCTCAGCGAGTCAGCACCGAGATTGAAGGCTGGGAAATAGAAGCCATTTGCCGCTTGGATCCAGATATCTGACATCAAGATTTCATCGATCGAATGCTCCTCAGCCCTGGGCATGGCAAGGCTCGGCCTAGCAAAGGCACACTGAACCATCGCCGTCGTCGAGACCGCATGAAGATGAGAGTTCTCCCCTGGCCTCTGCCTCGACAGCTCAGCTATTCCGATCAACAAATCGTCAATGAGCTGAGTCAGTGGCAGATGGAGAACAACACGACCGTCGGGCTGAGGGACCTGTCAAAGGAGGAGATCGAGATGCAGGAGGCGATTATGTATGGTGGGCATTTTGAACGGTCAGGGGCCAATGCGCAGAACGATAGAGCAAGATTGGAGCAATTTTGGGTGGACTTGACGCTTGTGAGGACCAAATTTGCAGAGGACTCGGAGGAGGTGAGGATGATCAGGAACAGAATTGCCGTGCAGCTGGAGAAGATGGGGCTGGAATATGACCATCGTGTGTGGGACGCCCAGGTTGGAGCGTAGACGGGAGATGTTGAGGAAGCATATCCTGTGAGTACCGCAACACCTTTGCAGCAAGTTTACCTGATATTGGTGCGACACGCCATTCACCAGTCATCTCATCTGCCAACGCGCTGCCGCTGATGTCGAAGCTCGCCAGGCACGCACATTGTTTGCGATGTGTTTTCAGTCTTCTCTTACTGCATCTTTGGTATAGTGCGATAGAGAGTGTTCTGGCCCCCTTCGCCCCTTACTTGTCATCATCATCATGGGCGTGAAGGAGGACGTCTGAACAAGCATGGAGACCAAAGGAGAGGAGAGAAATAGGGGCTTCCACGTGACCTCGGATAAACTACGGACAAACCCCTTCCGTGCTCGCCGTATATCATCGACTCCCGTCCCGACAGTACTGTTCCACCACCGCGACAACCTCTCAACGTCCTCTTGCTTCTCCCGTTCAAGGTTGTTTTGTATTTTCATACTGCTTCATCATCCTTAGCACATCAAACTCACTTCTAGATGTTCGAATGGTCCGACCAGCAAGTTCCCGCGGAATGCCCGTGTCCAGTGTGAGCGGATGTGCTTATATCTCCACACACCCATCATCGTTGTCACCTCCATAACTGGCAAACACTGTGATAGTTCTTACCCTCGTTGCCACGCGTCAGAGAGTACTGGCAGCTTACTGTTGGAAGATGATAAAGACAACGGGTTCGAATAACAAATGGTTTGTCTGCGCTAAATCTGCGCTCTGTTCGGCTTGTGGCCCGACGACAAAGGCATACCCTAAATGCAGCGCGCACGCTCATTATGGCACCGACTTCATTCACGTCTGCATCCGGTGACGCTTTGTGCACTTCCTATATGTGACTTTTGTCGTCACCCCGTGAGCGCGTGAGCGCGAGTCTATTCACGCTCCCCGTCGTGACACTTCGTTTCGCTGCCTACACGCACGGGTTACACCTGGGACCTTTTATATACCAAAACAATTTCTTTCTTCAATCACTGCTGTTTGTCATAACTCCTCAACAACCTACTGGCTCGTCGACAATATCTCAGCTATCTGACTGGCTGACATTCTTGGTGAGTCGTTGTGGTCTGTGACACGACCTGCGATCAGAGCTGACCACTACTGCTTCAGCTACCACTACTCATCCGTATCTCTGTCTCGCCGCTAGTTCGACATGAAGGGAACGACCTTGCTGACATTTCTTGCCTTCCTCTTCGCCTTCGTGAGCGCTGGTAACGATCATGACGCCGACGACTTCTGCATTGCAACATGCCAGACGATCAAGGGTGGCTCCATGAAGATCTCTAGTCCTACCTGCCCTGGGGTTACCGGTGAATATTGTGAGGACTACTGCAATTGGTAAGGAACTAGCCACAACACCTCGTCCCTTTCATTCGCAGCCTTTAACATACTAACCTGGTGTCGCGTAGCTCCGGGGAAGGCGTCATGACTTGCAGCAACAAGGGAGTCAAATGTTCACAGGATGCAGTCACCAAGACCTGCGAGCAAGGACTGGCCAAACAATGGGAATGCTGGTGCCAAGACATGTCTTATTTCTCTGATGGATGGGGCCCGGGCAAGGGGGAAACCTGTGCAGCCAACTAAGAATGCTGGACCTTCGTTCTGGGCCGGGGTCACCTGAGGCGCTTCCAGATCGGTTGAGGGAAGGCGAATGCGAACCTACGCAGGAGGCAAGATTGGTTGGAATTCGCGTCTCCTCTCCTTCTGCCAGAGGGTGCACACCAAAGAACAATGGGGCAATGCTCAAGAAGGAGATGATATAGTCTATCATGGAGACACAAGTCGTCTATCGTCCGCGCTGCTTCGAGATGTAGATACCTGCATCGTCCGGCAGCACAAGAGATGAGACTGCCATCTCCCACATGCTTTCCCGTTCGCTGCATTCAACATGGCATGTATGGCTATGGACTTGCCAAACTTAGCGAGACAGACAGGGTTGCAACAAGGCTGAGGCTGAGAAGGGGAGAGCGATGCCTCTTGCCCAATTCAGAGTAGTGAAATACGTCATTGTTAGCCTTGTCTCTCAAGGCTCTCTTCATGAAACCCGCTGCACCGCCGCAGTTTCTCCTTTGTTTCCTTTGAAATGGAATGTTGACTGTTCGTTTACCTCTGTTGATGCGGCGGGGCGGTTACAGGCTACACGTCAATTGCATCTATCCGCCCCAAATGGCGAGCAAAATGTCCACATACTCGCCGCTAATGGCCAAGAACCTCTCTGTCGAGCCGATGGTAAGGTCACGGACCCCTCGACGGGCGGGCACCATGCAAAGCCGTGTGGCTGATTGCTGAAAGGAGCCCAGAACACCAACGAGGCGAAATGGATCACCTTGAAGAAAATCACATATGAAGACCCGGCGGGCAAGCAAAGGCTTTGGGAATCAGCCGAGCGACAGGTCAATTGAAATCCGCAGGAGTTGCTTGCCCCCGGCCCAAAGAAGACACTGGAAAGGTTGACTCAAGCTGCAGACGCGACCCCAGAATGCCAAAGTCGACGCCGTCGGCGTAGTCGCCATCCTCGACGACCCCAAATCCTCCAAGGGACCCTCCCTGCTGCTTCAGAAGCAATTCCGACCCGCCGTCGACAAAGTCACCATCGAAGTCCCCTCGGGGCTGATCGACGCGGGAGAATCGCCCGCCGACGCCGCCATCCGCGAGCTGAAAGAAGAGACGGGCTACATCGCCACCATCCCGTCCGACGCCAAAGCCGCCGAAGGCATTCTGATGTTCAACGACCCCGGGTTCTGCAATACAAACACGAAAATGATCTTTGTGGAGGTGGACATGCGCAACCCAAGGAATCAAGAGGAGAATTTAAAGCCCGAGCTGGAGGAGAGTGAGTACATAGAGTGCTTTACACTGCCCTTGGACAACCTGTGGAATGATTTGGCAGAGCTCGAGGCCAAGGGCTTTGCGATCGATGCGCGTGTCGGGACATTGGCGCAAGGCATGGAAATAGCGAAGAAGTGGAAGGATGTGCTCAAGAATGATCCCTCATAGATGGCATAGCGAGATCGAAAGCGATGGGAAGATGCTTTCTTCCCCTTGCTGCCGTTGTCCACTACCGCGAGGTGCTCTAGATTGTCCATGTTTGCGCAATAGATGATAGATCTGGTAATGCCGCTGGTTACTCATGAAACCCGTCCGTTCCATCGAAGGTCCCGGATGTATCCATGAGCATTCGCGCGCGCAGGATCGGAGGGTGCAAAACTAATACTTGCGCTCGTGATATGACCACCCCATACTTTTGTAAAGTCTACACAAACAGAGCTCCCTTCCCGACTCAATCGAGAGATATAGGCGTCAAAATGCCTGTCCATCACCGCCTGAAGATCCCCGTCCCCCAGCAAAACCTCAGGATTGCCAAACCCCACGCCATCCCCAGAGAATCCCTGACCAGGTTCAACTTGCTGCCCGTCACCTCCCGCCAGCCCACGGCCACTTCGGCCACGGGGATATCTGCAAACTCGGCCAACATGAGCATCTCAACGTCGAAGATCCAGCCTTCCATGTGCATGTGCGGGACGATGTAGGGCAACGTCGGGCGGGAAAACAGCTTGAAGCCGCACTGGGTGTCCTTGATGCGAGCCGTGGCCGGGGGGGTCATGACCCAGAGCAGCATGTGGAAGCAGCGCATGAGGAAATTCCGCAGCTTCGACCGCTTGACCACGGCCTCCGAGTCGACCAGGTGCGCGCGCGAGCCGACCGCGATGGCCCTGCCCTCGGCGTCCTCGATCTCCCGGCACACCCGCACCAGTTTCTCGAGGTCGGGGAACTTGGACGCCCCGTCCGCGTCAGCGAACACGACGTATTGGCCGCGGGCGTGGCGCATGCCGTGCGTTACGGCGCCGCCCTTGCCGCGGTTTTCCTCCAGCGAGACCATGCGGATCGAGCCCGGGGGGATTTTCACGCCGGTCGGGGACCGGTGCGTCCAGGGCCCGGAGTCACGTCGGGGGTGCGGGTGGAGGATGTGTTTGCGGGAGAAGGTCTGGGCGGTGAGAAGCGTGTCGTCCGTGGAGCCGTCGTCGACGAGGAGGATTTCCCAGCCTCGAAGGGGGTCTTGTTGCTGAGACTGCGAAGCAGCAGACGCCGCAGCAGCACCGCCATTCGCTTTCCTGCGCCGCGGACCTGTGGCCTGCGTTTGTCCTGTTTCTTTGTCCACCTCCGCGGTGGCGGAAGATGTCCCATACTCCGTCTCGAGAAAATTCACCGCCTCCTCCAGCATCCCTGTCAGTCTGTCCTCTTCGTTGAATGCTGGAATGACCAGTGTCATGAACAACTCGGCCGGCTCGATCTCCTTCTCCACGTCGATATCTTTGTCTGGATCTTCTTGCTTCGCCTTGACATATTTTCGTAGAGCATCATCGTACCAACACGGCAATGGTTCTGGATCTGTTACGTCGCCCGTTTTATCGACCGTTGTGAATGTCTTCTCTGATGGGTGGGGTTTCCGTGGGTTGGGAACGAAGAGCGTCACAAATAACCAAATCTGAATGTCCGGGGGGAAATCCACGTCAGTAGGTCGAGTAGGAGGTGCAGAGGAGGGCAGGGGAGATATGCGCACCAGCAACAAGACTGCGAATGCAGCCCATATCAAGATGAAGGGCACCAGGCGCCATTGCAGCCACTTGTCGTCTTTGAATACATTGGTGAAGTGGCCTCCCATGCCAATAGGTCGATCCATGACGGCGGCGACTTCATGGGCCTCGCCAGGAGGCTTAAGGTACTGGACGAAGGAGGCGGCCTCTGGGCTTCAGGCCTTGGTAAGAAGAAGTTTTAGGGGAGCGTCAAGGCCATAGGTAGGGTTGTCGTCGAGCGGAGCATGCGACTGCTGCGCATAGACTTTGGAGGAAGACAGATGTCAACAATTTTGGGAGGTCGGCAAATCGGCGCAAAGATCAGGCTCCGCGACCAGGGGAATTCCACATATGTAAGCAGATCAATGAATCAACTTCGAAGGAGCACGCCCAAAAGGAAGTCTTTCGGCCACGTGTGAGCCCTAGGGCTGGTGTCATCCGCCCTGCACGGCGGATTCCTGAGTTATAATGCATATAGGAAGCGAGGGTTCCAAGATCTGGGCATCAGCCACGCCTCGAACCTCCTCTACGTAGCTCATGTCAGCCTTGTGTCGTAGCATAGATACATCTCTGTCTCGCCTCAGTAGCCACCAGAGATGCTCAGAGAAATTTCCCTTGGCCCAACAAATGGTCTTGACGGTGACCATACCGCCACCTTGTGATACCAACATCGCTAACCTTTCCTTGCTCTCTCAAAGGCATTCGTAACTGGATCCCATCAGGCACATCACCGTGATGAGAAGCTTGAACTGCCCGCGACCTTTGTCCATGCACTTTCCAATTTACTTTCAATCAATTCATCGACCGGTTCAGCGCCGACGTCGCTCACGCCAACTCCGCCAGCCGCCCTTAGCCCACTATCGCCGGTATTGGGCCGATTTTCCTCCAGACTCTGGTCCAAATTGCTGGCATAGATAACGGCAGCGAAAGCCTCGAGCTCTCTGACCTCGGCTTCTGCTGTAGATACATATTCATTGGGTGGGTTGTTCCCATTCCCGATCGCATGTGCCTGGCGTGTGATGATTGCCAGAATATTGGCAAGCTTGACCCGCGGCTCTCCCGGCACGACTGTAACGGCAGAGTCAAGCTCCTGAATGCGCGGGTGTTGTGCGCTAGAAATGGAGGAAGACGGAGAGTGCTGCCTTGGTTGTGGATATAGTTGGGCAATAACACGAGTGTCGATTAGATGCGAAAACATGGACCCGAGAAGTAGGGTGTGGATCCTCGTGAATGTTGGCGAGTCAATCAAATCAGCGGTCTCGTCGAGAAGCTGCCGCAATGGCCCTGTCGACGTATCGATGTGGATTGTGGGTTCTTGGTGTTCGCCCTTCTCGGGATCCTGAGCGTCCGAGCCTGGGGAGGTTGCTGGCGGAGTGATCACCCCCGACTCTATCAACACTGCTTCTTCCTCCTCTTTAGGTGGTAACACGTAGGGCAGCCATCTGGTGGCATATCTCTCCTGCTCAGAGCCGCCCTCAACGCGCTTTCGGACGTCAAGAACCAGATCGCTGAGCCGAGTAGCGGTGATTCCTTCGCTGGGAGAGATGCCACCAAACACTTCCTCCACTGCTTCCCTGACCTTTGACATGATCTGTGCATACCCTTTATGCAGCAGAAACCAGGAAAATGTCAGATATCTCCTGTTTGTTTCAAAGTCGTTCCCAAACCCGGCACCCGCGCTTCCATCATCATGATCTTCCAACGAAATCGAGTCCGCTCTGCCGGGTGGTGGAGGCTGGGCCAACGAGATGACCGAAGATAGATAGTTTAGTCGGCCGAGGAGGTTTAGCTGTATTCTCGTGAGGATTGTGAGCAGTGACAGGCTGTAGATCAGTGTAAATGCTCTTGTGATCGAAGTCACTTTCAACTCATTCCAAAGTTGAGCCTTCGTCCGACGGGGCCCCACTGACTGACTCCCATCACCCTGAAATTGACTGGCATGTATAAAGCTGCCCGTCTGAAAGCTGGAAATGCTCGCCGTATCGCCGTCGTACATGCTCGACGCTTCCGATTTCCCTTCTCCTGAGGCACGTGCCAATCTTTCTGCCTTCTTCTGCTGCAGCTCATGAGTCAACTGTTCGACAGGGAGATCTTCCAGGATGTTCTCGGTCAGAGTGGGCAGTAAGGCGAGGACTGTAATAGTACAGTCTGTCTGATTTTGCTCGAATCGCCGCCGAATGCTGTGCAAGATACAATCAGTATATATTCGGCGAACGAAGGGGGTGGCTCCCTCACTTCTCCTTTGCGATCTTGTCCATCTGCATGCGCTCTCGCGCTTCATTGATCTTTCCGAGGACATACTGCGCGGCCAGATACGTCGCGCCAACAACGCCAGCGCCAATGGCTATACCTGTGCGATGCCGCTTCAGCCAGCGACGTGTGGCTGATATCATTTTGACCAATGTGATGGAATCTGTGCACCTTATCTCAGGTACAAGTTGTCCGCTGAATAGGACATGATCGCGAATAGCACAGGGGAGGAGATGGAGGGCTCTGAATGAGCGTCCCAAGCACGGGCAGGTACAGCAAGGGAGTAGGCAGATTCAGGACGCAGCTTTATTGACTCAATTGATCACAATTGTCGAATGGGTCGGATGAAACTTGTGGCGGTGCCTCGGCTGAAGGCTGGGAAAGGAGCACCTGTACCCGAGCGTGAGCATGGGCTTTTGGTCGGGGGGGATGGACTTGGGGAGCGTCAAAAACCCGCTGGGCGTAAAGGTCACCACTGGAGCCAATAGTGAGCAGACAGCCCGTAAGCAAGGCTCTTATTCGTATAACTACGTAATAATGAGGGCTTTCTTGGTTGTTCAAAGGGCCCTTTTAGCCGGGTGTAGTGCCTGCCTCTACTAGCCGAGAATGACCTTCCCTGCCCGCTGGACCCCACCATGGAAGGAACATTCAGAGTCTTAATACACCTCACCGTGGCTTTCTTCAGAGTCATACTGCAGCGACCAGTCTACCGATGCTGAAGGCACGATTGTTGGAGCCTGTAAATGACCATGTCTTGAACAGTCGCTCTGTCCCGGGCGCCACTTAGCTGGCTGCCACCTCCTTTGCGCTCTCCGACTCGTACTCCGCTGAGCGTACCACTCTACAAAGAACCCCACCATCTTGCAGTCGAAATCGATCCCAATATACTTGCGCACGCAGATTGCTACTTGCGACAATGGACCAGGGCCATCGCGAATACATCCTTGAGGTATTCGCAGACCAAACATTTGTAAGGGACATAGTTAAAGGTACGGTGTGGTCTGGCCCTGTTGCCGTGAATTGGAAGAACACGTTTACTCTGTCTTCTTCACGATGAGACCGGAAACACTGAGAAATGGCCTCTGAAATGCAGGAGTCCTACACACGATATTCTTCCACCGTTACTTCCCACCGATCCGACCCTCTCTCTACACCCCGAACGCCTCCTCCCTGTCTCACACGCACACCTCGCATTCGACACAATCCCTCCCCATCACGCTCCCTTCAATCCTCGAACCGCCTGAAATCTCCACTGCAATCGATTCTCACGCAGACTTGCTCATCTCTCAGTTGACGCCACAATTCTCGGCGAATACAACAAGCCCGTCAGCCGCTGCAGGTGGCTCTCGCGGCGAAATAGTAGTGCGGTTTTACGATCGCAAGAGGAGAAAAACAGGGATCACGACGGGCTGGTTGGGCCGCTTGGGAGGTGGCGGACAGACCGAGGAGGAAGTATGCTGGGAGGAGTGGTGTATACAAGTTATTGTTGCAAGACCTAGAAGTGAAGCGGGTAAGACTATCCATCTTGTTCTCTTACATGCTGTGCGACACAGCTTTATGTGTTACTGACCGACTGAATCCTCTGGCAGACCGCATCAAAGTCCGCCGTGCAATGGAATCTTCCCTACAGAAGACCGCGATGAAGATCGTCGCGATAGTGAACAGAGACAAGGATCATATCCCCCCCATTACCACGAGTGATCAGAATCCGTTCCCGTACAGAATATTTGTCAATCCCAAGCAACAGGAAAGCGTGGAGAGAGGCTTTGTGGGAGGGTGGAGTTGAGGCTAGGGAGGTGCAGAGTACATCAGCTGGACAAATGCATTCTCCTTAGAGATACAAATTATAGAGCCAACAAAAGTTGCTGGTTTTTTTTTTTGAGTATATCATTGGGTTCAACCTCAATTGACGCCTGCCTGCCTGCGATCAATAACTAGCCTCAACTTGTTCTCTTGAGAGCCATGGCCACCACCAACACACAAATCAATAGGTCTATCGAGAAAGTTCATAATGATATGATTTAGCCTTCCTGAGCAACTTGTAGGTCATCCCGCTACAACTTCGAGACAGCTCCTCCGTTTCCCGTGACTCCCACTTCCATCAAATCTCGTTTTGGAATGTGTTCCAAGCGTTGTCATAATGCCAAAAGCCTTGCCGTTATGTGCTCGAGTCGCATCAGACGGCAGCGATCGCTCTTAATTCTCGCACAAAGTTACGGTGAGATTCCTTGAGCCGCTTACTGGCTTTTCAATGCGGCGTCCGCCTTGCCTCGGACATCGGCAGAAGTGGAGGCTGCTGGCTGTTGGAAGAATCGAGAGAAAATGGGGTGGAGGAAAGATTTGAAGACGATCTGGGCGCCGTTGGTCATGGGAAGGGCCATCCACAAGATGAGGATGAATTTGAAGACGTAGTAGAAGGCTGTTGAGGACAGGTGGTTAATACCGAGCTCGTCTGAAGGGTTACCAGGCGCATTGACTTACGGAACCAGTAGACGGCGTTGACCAGACTTTCGAGGACAGTAAGGAAGGCGTACACAACCCAGTACTAAGTATAAGGTCAGAATGGCTGGAATCGGAAAGTGTCGGATGAGAGGCATACCGTCAACCACTGCGTATCATCAACTTTACTGCTGCTGAACAAAGCTTCGAGCGAGTAGTATCCTGGGATGATAAAGCCAGCGAAGTTGACGAGGAACTCGCCTCCAATGTTAAAGAAGACGAGGAAGAAGTAGAGGCCGATGAGGCCGAGGAAGGCGTAGACCTTGGGAACATTGGTCTGCTTCTCGAAATTGTTGAGCATGGGATACTTGGAGAGCTGCAGGCATCATCAATTAGCTCAATCGCCTTCGTCGACTCTGTGAGATGTAACGACCATGATGCCCTCACTGGAGAGCTAGACGATGGGTGATGGAGGATTGCAGCAGACGGCCGGGAGATTGGGAGATTGGGAGCCTGGGATTGACATGTGCCTCACGTACTTCCTTATCGATCTGCGAGATCTGATGCTGCGCTTTGTCCTGGAACGACATCTTGACAATGATAAGTCGGTATCACTACGGGGAATGTAGATTGGTGTAGTGGGATTTGGGAAATGGAGAGTGCAGATGAGTCTGGATTGCTGGTAATATCTCAGTGCGAACGAAATGTGCGAGTGGGAAGAGAGGTGCAGTAGTGGGAGAGGTGATGTAGTTTAAACCTGGTGGTGCCTCCAGGGGCAGGGAGGTGACGTTGGTCCGTTTGGTGGATGAGTGACCGTGGACCTACGAATAATGGAGGCGATAGGCACCGACAGGTAGGCAGCTGCTTGGTGGGTGCTGGGAGGCACCTGCAGACTCGACAGGAGCAGGAGGGTGCATCAGTCCGGGTGCTAGGTGCTAGTCAGCTAGGTCGGCTGGTCACTCGCGGTGCTGAGGGTGCTCACTGTCACAGAGTCCCGCCTGACCCTGGCACCTGCAACTCCATCACTCACCTGCGCTGCACTGCGAGGCCCCCAGAGGCCAAATCCCAGTGGTTGACGTAATACGGATGGTGTGACTCCACAAGCGGCGCAAATGAATTCCGCTGTGCACCAATGAGGTGATGATCTCGTCTGACGGGCAAATACAGTAGAGCTTTGCAGCATCCTCTGGCTGTCTGACCGGCGGCCAATGTTTGGCTTGGCAAACTGTTTCTCTGGCAACAACCTTTGTCGAACTCGAATCGGGCTGTTACTCTCAACACAAACCAGCGACATGGATTGACAGCCAACGCGCGTGAAGTGATCCATCGCAGTCAAGCTCGCCCACCACAAAACGTGACATCTTCACCGGCTGCTCGAGATTGTGCATCTCTTCTCACGATCGCCCAACAATCAAGATACACGTCCGCGACGTTCCGCAACAGATCTGCTCCACGAAACTTCAGCGCTCAAATGCCATGTTGTGATCGGCCGAATTACCCAGCGAGGATCCTTCTCAGCATATCTATAGCGAGTACTAAGGTATCTGCATCCCCTTGACGTGTCAGAGTTTGGGACCAGAACATGTGAGATGAGTTGTTTGTTTTTATCGTGACGTCGTGCTAATCAGTGCGCAGTCCGGAATGGCGCAGTCGCCAACCCACCCCATGGAGGAAACTCCAGACCAGCAAGACCCTACACACCCAAATAATGCGAGTAACAGAGAGAGGCAACGTCCAAAATCCAGAGGCTCGACAACTAGCCTTCAGTCCATCGGCGTGGGCAGTGCCTTCCAACCGTCTGCACAACAGCATCCACAACAACAACAACAACAACAACCGCAACCGCAACCGGACGAGCCGAGCATGCCTTTGGACCAAAACACCTTCTTCATGCAACATGGCACTCACCCAGCCGCTGGAATGTATGGTCCTAACCCTGAAGAAATGCTCATGCATTACCAACACAATATGCCACCACATCTTCACCAACAACCGATAGACCCCAACACGGGAATGCCGCAACATGAGATGCGCCCTATGTCACAACAAGCGTTCCAAGAGATGCAGCACTATCCCATGCAGTATCCCCACGGATTACCACCATATGCTGTCGCTCCTCAGCATATGCATCACATGCGCCATCATTCTGAACAGTTCGAGGGCTCTCCTGCGCCGGAAGATTCAAACAACGAGAATGGTGGAGCCAAAAGAAGAAAGGGTACGGCTTCCAGCGTGGCTAACGACCAGGAACTGCGGCGACTCCTGGCACAGTATCAGGGCAAAAGTCTTAAAGAAGTCGCCGTGGAAGTTCAAAAGAATGAAGGTGCTGGGGGCAAATCTGAGAAAGCAAAACAAGTCTTTGCCATGCTTTGGTAAGTTTTCCTCCCACAGAGCCAGCTGCTCGTGCTTATAGCTGTAGGCTCCAAGAAAATTGTCAACGTTCTTCAAACTCCGTACGTCGTGACCGTGTGTTTACGAGATACACGGAACGCTGTGGTAACGAGCGAGTTCCAACGCTAAATCCAGCATCATTCGGCAAACTGGTCCGCATCATCTTCCCCAATGTCCAGACAAGAAGATTGGGAGTCCGAGGCGAATCGAAATATCACTACGTGGATCTCTCGCTGATTATGGATGATGATGATCGACAATATGCTCTCGTGCCCGAAAGACCCGGCACATCGAGCGGCATCCAGCATGAAAAGCACGGATCAGTCCAGGAAGCAAACAAAATATTCAAGGCCAACATGACTCCTCCTATCGACAGACCCATGTCACGAGCAACCATGGAGACAGCCGACTTCCCTGCCCCGAGTGCTGCGTTCCTGTCCAAGGAAGCTGACATCGCTGTGGAGGAGACGCCGACGCCTGTAGAGCTTCAGACTGAGCGACTGGATTGCAAATACATCAACACGCCGACCATCCGCTTTCCCGTCAAGTCCATGCCTACGAATGTCGTTGTAGCGCTTCCTTCAATTCGTCGACATCTCCCTGCTAGCATGGCGACTTACCTGGGGATGCCGACCCTTAATTCACTTTCTCAGCCGTCTACCTCGTCCCAAGATACGCCTATTGACTTTCCCGACATCAACCCTTACCTTGAGGGAGAAAATTATGACGCATCTATCGCCAAGGCCTTGTTTCATCTCTATCGGTCATACTGCATCGATGTGATTGACGCCTTTCGCAAATGCAAGGAGAAGCCGTTCTTCAACCACCACTCCGCTTTCAATGGGAAAATGACTGTTCCAGTATCCAAGTTGTTTTCGATGCCCTGCTTGGCTCCTTGGATTCAGGAATGCGATATGCGGATGTATAAGCAGATTGTCCGGTTCATTGCTCCTTTGGCAATTCAGAACGTGCCTGAGGTGGTGTGGAATGTGTTCGACCGCATCGGATCGAGACTGGTCAGCCATCTGATCTCGGCTTTTGAAGAGAAATGCCCTGTTCATGTTATTGTTGCGAAGATCGTACCTGCAGCCAGGTTTGTGCACGTGCTGAAGAAGCTCAAGGGCGCGAACGCAGTTACGTTACAACTGAGTCGAATGCTTGAGGACCCACAACAGAGAACTCAGATGTGGCTCGATCTGATGTCCATTGTCGATCCGGATCGCCTGCTCGAGGATAGCATGCCACCCCCTGAAAGTCTCGACAAGATGCTGGGCGTGCTGAAGCACGACATGAGGCCTCTTGTTGATCCAATCGATGACGCGCTGGTCCATGCAGCGGAAGAGGACGCGGCCAGCGCATACGCGACCTTTATCAACGGCAGTGCTGATTCTTGTGACGGCATCCTGGTCCCAGAATCTAGCGATGAGCCTGCCTCTTTGCTCGAGCGGTGGATCAATTGGCTGGAGCGATTGCCCCAACTGTTTGACGGCCATCACCCCCAATGCATGATCAACTGGCACACGAGATTGTGGAGAAGTGTCATGATGCAGATGGGGCAAGGTGGTGCTCATAGCTATCAATCATGGTGGTTTGTTGAGTCATTCACCACACAAATGCTCGACTGGATGACGCAGATGGAAGGATTGCTGATGGGCTCGCCGAGTCAAAAGCTGGCAGACGACAGAGAGCAAGAGAAGCGCAAGGAGGCCCAAACTGCTCCGGACGCACCTTTTCCTGCCATGAAGAGGAAGAGGGCAGTCGAAGATGTTGACGGAGACGCCAGTGCTCCAACCGGACCCGACTCGCACAAGTCAGTGAAATTGGAAATGGCTCCCGGCAGCTCACCTACTCTTCCAACAGCTAGTGTCGAGCAGCAAGCGGGACAAGAGATTGACGACGACGAAACCGATGCGGAACTCGATGAACTACGACGCGGTGGCCCTTTAGACCTGCCTAGTTTTCACACTGGCCTCAGCAGTCCAGTCAAACACCGCGCAGCCGGGAACCATGACGACAGTGGGATTGACCTTGGGCTCGATGTCGACGTCGAAGCCGAGAAAGAGGCCAGCAAGTTCAACAAGAGAGACTGGCTGCTCAGCAGTGATCCGGCGGACCCGGCCATGGGCCTGGTGATATTGGCCTAGTGGAAGATCGACTTAATTATGTTCAGCGAGAAGACGCTGTCAACACCTAATTCATCTATTTGAGGAATGTGGGACGGGGGTACAACAAGACGAATATGAACGAGCTGCACGACGAAATGACAGGGACGGTTTCGGGGACGGTCCATGGGTATTTCTAGTGGTGGCATGGGGTGTGGTTTTCAGGGTACATTTCTTCGCGGCTGGACGTTCCAGCCCAAAGGGTTTGTTGGTTGACCAAACATGGTTGATATGATGGAGGTTGGATTTCTTTTTGTCCTTTGATACCCGTGATTTGCGCAACGGGTTGGGATGTATCTTCTTGCACCTGTGACTTGATGACCGGTTACATTTCAATGTGTTGGATCTGGTCAAACGGTGTTGCAAGGGGGCCCAAATCCTTTGTTTTTGGTTTTTTTTGTGGCAACTTCTTGGAGAGCAAAATTCTTGTTTGTCGGTAGTGACGTTTTAGTCCAACGTTGATTGCAGGAGAATAGAATGATTGTCAAAGGGCAGGTTGTTATGTTGTAAGGCTGTGAGGTTGTCAGGTGTGTAGTAAATTACGTTAAAGCGGCCTGCGCTCCGGGGAAATGAATGTCGCGCAGCTTCACATCAACCCTCAATACCCACCGACTGCATCACCTGGAGCTTTGCCCTCGACACCTGGTCCTGTATTCTAAGAGTGAAGAGTAACTAGTCCTTGCATCTATACCTTGGCTGACAGTGACAGCTATGGCCAGGAGAGCAAAACCGCCCAACAATGTCACGACACGGACTACCACGCCTTCTCACAAATCTAAAATGCCTCCCTCACCACACACGGACACGGTGTCGACAGACAAGCGACCCAAACCCTTGGTCGCATCCTTGGCCGACACGAGAGTACGGCGGGCTCTACAACTTGTTCTTCTCGCGGCCCTCTATGCGCCCATATCCCAGTTGAACCTTTCGCCAGTATATGGGAACATACCGGTGGCGTTGTACCATCGATATGGCCTCGCTGCCTCCTTCATGCTCGCCTTCGTCCTTCGGGGTTTCCTCCCACCCTGGATCTCACGATCCATCACCCCTTTCTGCTTCTGGATCCCGAGCATCCAATTCTTCCTCTTCCGATTCAGTTCGACCCTTGGTAACCCACTGGGACCTCTGATCACGGAGCTCCTGACGTGCTATCCTCTTGTGCTGTTGTCTGCCTCCCTTGCAATGCAATACTTCGACGAGGCCTTCAGAACCAGCCAGCGTGATTCCTCCTTGGGGGAGGTTGTGCCCTCAATGGGCTTATTCTTGCTCTTCTCGGTCCTTCACAGAGCTTGCAAGGGCTTTGTCTCGTCACTTCTCGGGCACGGCTTTCTCACTTCTCGGATCGGAATGCAACTGCTAGTTGCTTCGCTATATGGGATGGTTCTTCCGAATAGCATCCTCTGGCCCTCGCTACCGGCGGTCGCTTTTACCATGGTGGCAAATCCACACTGCACGCTTTCGCGAACCACTGAGGTCCTCAACAACACCTTGGCTCTCTACAATTATACCTTATTGGAACGAAAAGAGTCGATTACAGGCTATATCTCAGTTCTGGAGGACAACCATCGAGGGTTCCGCGTGATGAGATGTGATCATAGTCTCCTAGGTGGAGAATGGAAGTCGCCGCCCTCGAGGAGAGTCCATAGGAAAGTTGCAGAACCGATCTATTCTATCTTTGTGATGCTCGAGGCTGTACGTCTTGTCGAGGGCGCATCTCCTAGCCCAAACAAGACTGCCTTGAACATCGGGCTAGGAATCGGAACTGCGCCATCAGCCTTGATCCATCATGGAGTGAATACGACTGTCATGGAACTCGATCCGGTTGTCCACGAATTCGCGATCAAATACTTCAACTTTCCCCACAACCATAGCTACTATATTGGTGACGCCGTCCATGCAATTAATACTGCGAATGCGACGGAGGCAGACTCGTATGACTACATCATCCACGACGTCTTCACAGGTGGAGCAGAGCCCGTGGAGCTCTTTACCACGGAATTCCTCTCGGGGCTGCACATGCTTTTGAAACCAGATGGAGTCATAGCCATCAATTACGCAGGAGACCTCGCCATGCCTGCATCCTCTCTCATTTACAGGACGATTACATCAGTATTTCCTTCTTGCCGAGTTTTCCGGGAAGACGAAGCACCCGCGCCTGGAGTCAAGCCGGTTGACTTCACGAACATGGTGTTCTTCTGCAGGAAGAAGAAGGCGGCGATCACATTTCGAAGACCCGTTGCGGCAGATTTCCTGGGGAGTGGTGCTCGGCAAGAGTTTCTGATACCAAGGCATGAAATTGCCTCGAGTGAGTTTGATACAGAAGGCGGCGTTCTCAGAAACGGACAGACCAAGGAACTCGAGAAATGGCAGGGACAAAGTGCATTGGGCCACTGGACGGTCATGAGAACAGTGCTGCCGGATGTCATCTGGGAGAACTGGTAATCCGTGCCGGGACAAGTATATGGGCTTATTATTCACAAGAGAGCGCAAGAGGTCGACCATGTCAAGCCAAAGTCGACGGCGCCAGTACGGCTTCATTCCGGAGATGTGACGGAGGATATATTGGCTACGACCCGATGTACGGCCCAACAATGTTTCAACGATATGGCCGGTACCCAGCATATCAGTGGTTATGTAGAGGAGCAGGCCATTTCTGTGCCACGCGCTGAAACTTGGGTGCGTTCTGCAGGACCATCCCCTCATTGAGCTGTCCAGTTTCGCGGCGGAAGATATCCTGCCACGGTGTCTGAGACTCTGGAATCTGATATCCCCCTTTGGCCTCCAAGTCCTGCCGTCGCTTCTTCAACTCCTCGTCAGAGACCAAGAGCTGAACTTGTCGCTTGTTCAAGTCGACCCTCAAGACATCTCCGTCCCTCAGCAGCGCCAGGTTACCACCTGCGGCGGCTTCAGGGCTGGCATTCAGAATCGACGGCGAACCTGACGTGCCAGACTGTCTTCCATCTCCAATACACGGCAAAGAGGTGACGCCTTGTTTCAAGACGTGGCCTGGAGCATGCATGTTGACGACCTCCGCCGCGCCAGCTGAGATTGGACATTAGCATTGTTATTTGCGACAGACCCGAGGTCAAAGTCTCTGTCTTGCGCACAGTTCACGAAGCGAGAAAAGGCAGTGGGCAACGATTCGACCTTTTCGGACGGAGGGACAAGGAGTACTTACGATATCCAAGGGGCCCAGCACCACGCATCACCAAAATCGTCCTCTTATCGACCGGGGTCTTGGGATCGTCGATGCGGTTGATGAAATCCTCTCGCCCGTCAAACACCACAGCCTTACATTCAAATGCATTGGGGTCCTTTGGGTCTTCCAAGAACTCGCGCCGGAAATCGTCTGAAATCACCGAGGTCTTCATAATGGCGGAATCAAAGAGATTACCTGTCATGTGGAGGAAGCCCGCTCGCTGTTTCAGGGGCTCGCTATAGGGCTTGATGGTCCGTCTGTCCCAAGAATGCTTGCCGTCCACAATCTCCTTTATGGTCTTGCCGTTGCAACTCAGAGCTTGTGGCTGGAGTTTACCTTGATCCAAAAGCTCGGCCATGACTGCTTCAAGCCCGCCCGCTTTATAATACTCCTCGCACAACATCTCGCCTGCGGGTTGCACATTCACCAGCAAAGGGGTGTCAAATCCAATCTTATCCCAGTCATTCAAATCAAGGGGGACACCAATATGCTTCGCCACAGCATTCAGATGGATGGGCGCATTGGTGCTCCCTCCGATAGCACTATTCACGACAATCGCATTCTCAAAGGCTTCCCTTGTCATGATGTCGCTTGGCTTGCGGTCGGCGTGCACCATCTCCACAATTTGCCTACCGGTCCTATACGCACACTGAGCACGCTCACGGTACGGAGCCGGGATAGCCGAAGAGCCCGGCAGAGCCATGCCAAGTGCTTCGGCCAAAGCATTCATGGTTGACGCCGTGCCCATGGTATTGCAATGGCCTGCCGAGGGCGTCCCAGCTGCGATCATGTCCACCATCATATCATCGTCAATCTTCCCGGCGGCATGCAAATCCCTGGCTTTCCACAAGATGGTCCCCGAGCCAATCCTGTCCTGTGAGCCGTGGAGGCGACCATTCAGCATCGGGCCGACATTGAGGCAGATGGCGGGAATGTTGACCGTGGCGGCAGCCATCAGCATTGCCGGGGTGGTCTTGTCACAGCCCGTCAAAAGCACCACTCCATCCAAAGGATACGCGTGTAAGATCTCCACAAGGCCGAGATATAGCAAATTCCGATCCAACGTCGCCGTCGGCCGCCTCGCCGATTCCTGGATGGGGTGCGTGGGAAACTCGAAGGCGATACCACCAGCGGAGCGAATCCCCTCCCGGACGCGCTTGGAAAGTTCGAGATGGTGTCGGTTACAGGGGGCGATGTCACTGCCGGATTGAGCGATGCCGATGATGGGCTTGCCGGTGTTGAGTTCGGACGTCGTCAGGCCGTAGTTGAGGTAGCGGTCCGTGTACAAGGCCATCATTTCCGGGTTCTCGGGGGAGTTGAACCAATTTTCGGACCGCAGCTTTCGGGATTGGGGACCCGAGTGCGCGTCCTCGAGGCCGTTGCTCGTCGTCGTCTTTTTCCCACCGGCCTTGGACAGCTTCAGTTCGAGCTCTTGGGTCCGTTTGCGCAGGCTCTCGAGTTCGAGCTGGTAGTCTTCCATGTCTGGCACGGGGCCGCCATGGTGCTGGTGTCCGTCACACGACCCGCAAGTCTGTTGCTGCTGCTGCTGCTCCTTTGGGCAACTCATTTTTAAAGACACCTGCTTTGCTCGGGATCCGTCTTTGAGTGGTGAATCTTGCCTTCTCCTTGTCTAAAGGCTCTTTCTCTCCTCCTCGTCACTTGTGTGGAAATGGTCCCGGGCGTCTGGAGTATAGTATAGTATGATATGGTATGATAGGATAGACGTGGTACGGTTTTATATCTCAATCTGAAGGAGTGAATTGGAAAAGAGCCAGAAGATGGTACCACTGGTAGTAGTAACCAACAACAACCAACAAGGATGAAGAAAAGGAAAAGAAAGATGAAGGGGAAGTAAGTAACAAGTAGAATTGGATAAGAACCAAAAAAAGGAACACCTGACCAGACACCCTTTGACACGGGCGTGGTCGGTCACCAGAGCCGATTTGAAGAAGGCGGGGGGACGATTCGATTAAGATCCGGCGGACGTGAACTGGGAAGCTTTTGCAGTCCACATCCGAACAAATACTCGTCAAGGGGTTGCGCCCTATTGCGAGGACTCCGTCCTCCTCTTCCTGTTGCGAGGACCTAGGTGGTGGTGGTGGTGGCAGGCTCGTCGGCAACCGTCGGTTATTGGGACCTGGAGGGACGGACAGACAGAACATGACAGGGCTGGGCAGGGCAGGGCAGACGACACAGAAACGGGCGGGGATTGATGGATGCATGATGATAAAAGGGCGTCCCAACGTCTGGATAGACAGGGTGACTGGTTGACTGGTTGACCGCGCGCAGGATCCAGTCTCCAAAGGCCCAGCAAATGAATCGCCGTGGAATTGAATTGACCACAGCGACTCGTTAATTGATTCCAGACCAGGTCCTCACTCGCCCTGTCTTGGCCCCTTCGGGTCACCGTTCGGCGGCCTTTTCGCCGAAGCTGCGTGCTTTTTTCCCCGGTGAATCTTCTCCAAGAAAAGAGCTTCTCACAGGAGACAGTGACAAGCCACCACATGCATGTACCTAGTATTGTGAGGTATAAATTGATTGATATACCGACCAGCACAAAGAACACGCCCGTCTTCGACATAGGCAGCCAGTTAGCTAGCTCATTGGACTTATCCGCATATAACATTTCAAAGCGCCAGACAAACAGGAAAAAAAAAGAATGAATGCCCCGAGAAACTAAACACATTATAGTTGTATATCCCATCCAAAAACCCAACTTTTCCGTCCCGACTCCCCCCCTCATGCAAGGAGAAAGTCATGTCTTTCGTAGGCGCAAGTTCGTGCAGCCCTCTCTAGGCCTTGACCAGAAAAATATCCTGAGAACCCACCAACGCCGGGAATGCGCTCACGTCGAATCCAAATGGGTATCGTCTTCTTCTTCCTCTCCTCCACCATCTTCTTGCGCCTCCTCGTCCTCCTGATCTTCTGGATCAGAATGTTGTTGTACATGGTCCGTCCGACTGTCCGAGATATGCTGATCCCCATGCCCAGAAACGCTGTCAGTCTCACCAATGCAACCCTCGTGTCCGTCTGAAGACGCCAAATAAACAAGGTCCGCCCAAACTCGCCAATGCACCACCGCGATATGTGCCACTCTTCGCGCAATGTCTTCCATTTCCGGGAGGGAGCGCCATTGTTGCCTCGATGCTCGAACCTGTTGCCACTGCTTCTGCGCTTGCGAGATGGCCAAGATGGTTCCGCTTTGAAATTGGCTTGTGTGCTCGTTGGTCGCCCCTTCGAGCGCCCGTAGAAGCGTCCTGGCACGATGCTGGAGTTGATCCTCTTCCTCAAACTGCGCGATCAATCTGATAGTCGTCTTGCTGACCATGGAGTCGGGGATGGGAAACGTGGAACCGGGCCAGATGAGGAAAGCAGCCCGTGTCAGCTCCAGAGCAACGGCACCGGCATGTCGCAACCAGATTTCCTGCATAGGAGTTCCCTCGAGATCGCCGTCGGTGAGATCCATGATTCTGTTCCGCAAGAGCATATGCATCTCCAATACGCGAGCCTCCAAGACACCTTGCCAGGAGGTGGTGGGATCGTGACCCAACAGCTCCCGAAGCAACTGATCAAAGACTGACAGACAGATGTCGAGATGAATCATGTCCTGAAAGTCCATCCGGATCTCTTTCAGCCGCTTGTGATCGTAGGCAAGCGTGGCCGGAACCTCCAAGTCATGGCAAAGGCAGAGCTCGAGGATCCCATGAACTAACGCGGCCGTCGGAAGGGTTCGTGTGCTGTTGCTATCAACTGGACATTGTCGGTGCTTCTCAACAGCATCACAGTACCATGCTCGTGACTCTTCGATCTTGAGCTCACCGTGTCTAATACGCGACCTGAAATAGTCTTGCTGGAATGTGACGGTATCATCGATCAAGAGGTAACGGAAGCTCCTGATCTGATGATTAGCGACGTCGAGCTTCATGGCCTCCAAAAACTGAAACAGCTTTTCGATCCCAAGAACAAGAGTGTGTAGGTCTCCAGTCTCTGCACCCTGCTCTATTTGTTCCGCCATCTCATGTGCATAGACGTCCCGCATTGGTGCGCAGTGACTTGTAAGCAGGCTATCGAGCCATCGGGCCAACCGGACAATGTCCAAGAGGCCATGAGACACCTCTTGCAGAAGCAGAGGCACGTCAAGATACTGGCTGATCTGGTACTGGTCCCTATCCGGGATCAGGATGACGAGTAACTCTTTCAACTTCCGAAACAAGGCAGGCAACCTTCGCTTGAATGATACTGGCTTAGCGGAGCTCAAAGAGCGCCTCCTATCACACTCGCCGCACGAGCCCAGGGGCTCGTGGTGGTAGACTATCTTCAGCTCAGTCTTCAGACTATCCCAATATCTTCTCGCTTGCCTCTTCTTTAGCTCTCCCTTTTCCCCGGAAATAGGGGTGAAGTGGAGGTCATGGTCAAAGTTGATATCGATGCGCAGATTGATGTTCGACTGTATGTAAACCAGCTCGAGCTCTTCCAAGGTTTCCTTGGTCACGGGCGGACAAGGAATGGCACCGACGAGTGCGTCAACTTCAGTTTCGCTTATGCAAGGAGGAACGACGATCGAGTCTTCGCCTTCAGGGTCTCCCGGGCACCAATGTTCGCAGGTTGCAGATTGTGACTCTTGGTAAGGTAAAGGTTCGGCCTCTTGAGCAGAGTCCTTCCGAGTCTCAGAGGGCTCGTCCAAGGCTGAGTCTGCGGAGCGAGGCTCGTCATGACGTTCTTCGGCTTTGATGTCCCATTTAGGCGAACCGCACTCGGCACGCCCAGGCATCTTGGATTCGGCGGTGGGTGTTGTGGACGACAACGAGGACGGAGCGGTCACGTCGTCTTTGGCGGCTGCAGCTTGATATTTCTGGACGTTTCGGACTTGTTCCGAGGCACCCCTAGCATCTTGTTTGTCTCCGGCCATCTTGTTGCCGTCGCCGTCTTCGTCGCATTCCTCTAGATCCTTCTTCATGCAAAGCTCGTGCCCCGGAGTCTCGACTCTTCATTGCCATTGGCGCATTGTGTCGACAAGTTTGATGGCGCAAGCTGGAGTCTAACAAGGGCGGGCAACGCTCGAGTAACAGGAAAAGGGGGCGACGGATCTGATCAAGTGGGACAGAGCCCAGGAAAGCCGGATCTGGAGCCTCAAGGTGCGAGTCTGGGAAACGGCCTCGCGGTATGACAATCCGCGGGTAGACGAATAGTGTTGGGAGTGTTGGGGGTTGCAGGCGTGGGTGCCCGAGCAGATGGACAAATCCCTTGCCTTGATTTCGAGAAGCGTGGGAGAGAAATCACGAACGAACACGCGCTGTCTGCACCATCAGAGAGAAGTAGACAGAAGAAAAAAAGGTGTGGGAGGTGGATGGAAAGGTACAAGGTAGTAAGCGTGGGAGATGCACACAGGAAGGCGTTTGCTGCCGCTGTCTTCTCTCTCTTCTGTATTATTTCGCACCCTCTCCCTCTCTCTCCACCCCCAGCTTGCCAGCCACCGACAAAGCAGGGTCTCTTTACGAGCACAGCAAACCACACCTGAACACACCCGGATGCCTGGGTCGTGTGATTGAGACAGCGGCAGAGTTGGCACTAGGTAAGCCTCATGTTTGTTTCGGGGACAAGGTGTTGACTCTTGACTGGGGGCAGATCTAGGAATTCGGATCCCATCCCCCCTGAGCCCGGGACGGCGATGGGTTCGACGGCCTTGCCTCATCCGTGCTGAGTGTCCTTTCCCGGAGATTACGAACCGTGCGCCAAGGGTGTGTCATTGTCCGCTCACGGGCCTGTTCTCATTGGAACTGCAATTTGTCGTTGACCGACGTAAATCGAGCTGGAACCTCTGGGCCGGATGTGAGGCGCCAGGCTACAGAAAAGAAAAAAAAAACCAGAAACCCATTTGGCATTGACCAGAAGACGCAGCCTTGAGCTGGACAAAGTGGAACCCTCATTCTCCTGCAGTCCCCAAAGTTTGCTCTCACAATTGGTGCATTTGTGTGTTGGTGCAGCAGGCGATGGACCCTAATGAGCACCAGCTTGCCAATGAGCAGCCTTACAGCAATTCTCCTTGCTCCGCATCGGTCGTTCAAGGCTCAGGCAATGGCGCTGGTGGCGCCCGCTGTCGACGATCAGGCTCGCTACCTATGCCGACTCGCCGCTTGGGCTTCTCCATCACTCAGTAAATCGTTCCTATATAAGTGGCACCAACGTCCCCTTTCCCAAAGGTGAGGCGAGCTTGACTTACACAGTACAAGTAAGGATCTTCCCATCCCACCTCGTCCGTCACGTCTGCCATCAGGATATCGCCCTTGAGTCGTGGAGGATAATGCTACCTTGACGCATGCGCCAAAACCAAGATCACTGCACAACGGCCAATGCATACTGCCGGTTTTCAGGTGGCACTGGGTCCAACAACCCCCCGAGTTTCGTTCTAAACACAAGTGTCCGAGATGCTCGCTGCATCCGACACGGGTCGTGCAACTGCATCACACGGGCCCCCGGTTTGTCACAATGCATACCTATTCTGAGAGTTCCCGTGTCCCTAAGAGGACTCCCTATGCGGACCCGCTCTGTGATGCGGTGTCGTCAATTGAGCAACACCAACTCGACTTACCATAACCAACGCAGCATGGCAAAAGCAGCTAACCAGTTCTTGAGACTTTATGGGAAAAGAAATTCCGAAAGCAGCCGCGGAGGCGCAGAGTAACGTCCAACGCATTGCTTTTGGCAATGTTGTTTCTTGCGCCGTTTATTGGGCAAGAAAGGGGGATTCTGTTACTCCTTCGCTGCTAGTGCGAAGCTTTGTGTGCTGGATCCCCTCTCTTCATATCCACATGAGAGACAAGAGTGTTCTAACATGCTGAGAGAAGGAATCTGCGCCGTCACAAGAGCACGATAGGATCGCAGCATAGTACTTTCCCTCAGATGTCCTTGGGTGGCGACATTGTCAGTATTGGTGCCCAACCAGGGCTAACAGCCTCACTGAGGCAGCGGTTGGAGTGTTTCGGCTAAGACAGCCGTGACCGTCTCCCTACAAGTCACAGCACAACAAGACTAACGGGTCTTTGGCACCTTCACAGTGATGTGGGATATTGCATGGCACCACGAGTGCCTTCTTTCCAGCAACACCCGGGTCTATCCGATCAACACGTAACAGTTTCATGATTGTCGGTCTGTACCTGCGGAGCAGCGGCTAATTGTTACTCGTCCTGAACTTTGAACACGACTTTTCGCGATCCCCCAGCTCCAGAGCGCTGGTGTTCGTATGCTTTGATAGCAGCCTCGAAACCAGTGCCGATCACTTCATATTCAGCCGGGACCAGCTTGCCCGCCTCGATCAATGCAGCGACGACGGGAACGTACGCCTCAATCTTCTGGTTCAGCTCTGCCGCCTCGGGTCGACCAACGCCGCCAAGTTTGATGGCATGGGTTTTCGCTCCTTCAAAGTCACCAATACCACTCCAATCATTTGTGGTCGCAAAGAGCCTCTTGTCGCTCTTGGATGCCTTGAACAATTCTTTGGCTGTGACCGGGTCTTCTGCCGCAACGGCGTCAAAGATCCGAGAAATCTCGCCCGAAGTGATGCCCACAACCTCCTTGACTTGGTCCTCAATGGGCTCCTTGTAGTCGAAGGTCACAGCGCCCATGCCCTTCACCTCAGCTGCCGACTTGGTTGAGCAAGAGGCAGCGACTTTGTACCCACTTGCCTTGGCCAGTTGGATTGCACATTTGCCGACACTGCTGGCGCCTCCCAAGATGATAATCCATTCATCCTGAGGCCCAGGAAGGTTTTTGGGGTCAGGGAGAGGGACATCGAGACTGTCGAACAATGCCAGACAAGCCGTTTCACTTCCCACTCCCAACGTCACAGCCTCAAGCAGGGAGATATTCTTTGGCTTGGGTATGGTGACAGGCGCATCCATCAAGAAGTACTCTTGACCAGCAGCATATCCCGACATGCCAAGTCTGGTGCAGCCGAACACAGGATCCCCTGCTTTGAAACCATATTTGGATGCTGCCTCACTACCCACTTCCTCCACGATTCCGGCCGCGTCGACACCAAGCACAAGAGGCCAGTCGACCACAAGAAGACCATAAGCGCCCATGAAGGTATCACTATCATCAACTGGTCAGCCGACCAAAAAAAATCTGGACGAGGGCTACTTACACAGGGTTGATGGCGACCCAAATGGACTTCACAAGCAGTTGATCTGGCCCGGGAGACGGCTTCTGAAGGTCGTCAACGACCTTGGGCTCAGCGCCGGCGCTTGCAAAGACTACACCCTTCATAATTGACGTATGTTTAATCTGATGGCAAGGTAAGAATGAGATGGTATGCAGGCTCGGTGGTAAAGGCGACGTTGAAGGAATAATGACATCAATTTCCAGCTCAAAGGCTTACCTTTATAGACGGGATGCTGGGTCGACAGGTAGACTATTCTTTCAGCAGGCAGAAACTTGTGTACGTGGAATGCTTGTTCATTGTAGCATGGAGCAAAGGGGAAGGTGCATTTCCTCGAGTCTGAGATGATGTTTGGTGGACTAACATCGCAGCTCGTTTGTCACAGGTCGAGATAGACCTTCTGATACGTCGGGTGCCGCAGCATCTCGTAAAATGCTCCTTCTAGATTCGGCTATCTGTGAATGACTTAAGCAGCATCAACCACCTGGTGCCATCATAGCGCGAGGGGAACTCCAGGAGGAGGTGCGGCAAGCTTCGTATTCCGTGAATACGAAGGAGGGGCATAGTGCCAAAGCTTCTCCTTGGACCTTGAACAAGAACAGTCAGCTTGTTGGAAGCATGCATATGTTTGCCAATTCGGTCTTTTTGGAGAGTACCATCTGGCTGGTCAATGGATATGTTTTTCGGGTCTGCTCTGCCATCGAAAACCAGGCGGATGAGAGGACTCGTATAGGAGCAAGATTAGGTAGTATACCTAGGATGCGGTCGCTAAAATGGTCGGGGTGGATAGGACAGAAAGTCTCCATACTGCTATTCAGGGTTGAGTCCTCCCAAAGCCTCTTTGCGCTTCGGCCGGCTTCGTAATGTTGCGGACTTCAAATTGCCAGTAGGTGATAGTATCGAGTCCGTCATCGAGAGGAGGTTGAGCGCCGACGAGGTGCGCAGTTGGGGGCTAAAAGCGGCAAGGAGTGTTTCCCCAAATTGACACTCCGTCACAAGCTCCGGCGAAGCTCGCTCCTCAACATTTCGATCAATCTGGTCAGCCCTGACAATTCTCCCGCTGGCGCTACCTCGCGCTTCTCACTGGAAATTCTACATAGCAGTCCTTGAACTCGTCCCTCTCTTCTTCTACATTTTGAAAGAGACGCAATATCCCCTCCGCTATGGCTGGCCGACAGTCAGTCCGGCTCCTTGCCCGCCAGGTCACCTCGTCCCAATGCTCCTCCTTCTCACACTCCCAACACCACGCTCGGAGAGCATTCTCCTCCACTCCTTCCTCCCTCGCAGCCCATAACTTCATGATGCCCGCCATGTCCCCGACAATGACCGAAGGCAACATCTCAAGTTGGAAAGTCAAAGAGGGCGACTCCTTCGCTGCAGGGGACCTCCTCCTGGAAATCGAGACCGACAAGGCTTCCATGGACGTGGAAGCCCAGGACGATGGTGTCGTGGCCAAGATCCTGCAGGGTGACGGCTCCAAATCAGTCAAAGTTGGCACGAGGATAGCTGTCCTCGGTGATCCGGGGGATGACGTCTCGAGTCTAGAGATTCCTCCCGACGACTCAAAGCCCGTGCAGTCGGAAGCAGATAATGTGAAAGGCGGAGCAGACTCGAAGTACGAGACGTCCGGAGTTGAAAAGGAGATACCGGGCACACCGCAAAACCAGAGACCGGCCCAGGACAAACCGAAAACAAGTCCAACTGGGCCAGGCCAGAACCCCAAATACCCGCTCTATCCTTCAGTGATAGCCCTCATCCACGAAAACCATATCTCCGACGACGACGTCGCCAAAATCCCGGCCACGGGGCCTAATGGAAGACTGCTGAAAGGGGACGTCCTCGCATATTTGGGAACAATTGACTCGGATTACTCGGCCAAGCAATCCAACCGAATCGAACATATGGCGCACCTCGATCTCAGCAACATCAAGCTACTACCTACCGCCCCTAAGACGGCCGCAAAACCTGCCGGAGCTGCCGCAGCAGTGCCTGAAGCAATCATCCCACAAGTCACTAGCGTCAGCGTTACCATCTCCCTCGCCGAAGTGCTGAAAGTGCAAAAACGCATAAAGGACACCTTGGGTGTGACCGTGCCTCTATCCACTTTCCTGGCCCGTGCCGTTGACCTCGCCAATGATGATCTGCCTCAACCCAAAAATGCGAAGCCATCGGCCGACGACCTCTTCAATGCGGTTCTCGGGTTGGACACGATACCCACAACGTCTAGAGGCTTGTATCTCCCCCAGATCGACGCATTTCCTATTGTTCCGCCTAGCGCACCCCAGACGACGTCACTTGCACGCTCGCCTCGCGTTTCCACCTCGACGGCAAAGAAGATTGACATCATCGACATCTTGTCCGGCAAAGTCACCCCCAAGAGAGCGGCCCCCTTCTCCACGTCTTCAGCGCCGATACCAGGCCGGACACTCAGCACGGCAGAAGGCGCATTGAACGTGTTCAGTTTGACAGTCCCCGTGGGCGAAGAGAGGAGGGCACGCACGTTTCTGGAAAGGATCAAGACGGTGTTGCAAGTCGAGCCAGGGAAGCTGGTGCTGTAATCGCACACGCGTTCTTGGCCGGTGAAGTCTAAGCAAGGGGGCTCCCGTCAGGAAGGGCGAATGTTCAATGTAGTTTCAACCTGGATCCAATCTTTTGGGAAGATGATTTATTGTCGGCGCGCCTCCTTTTGTCTGCAAGTGTAGCGACGGGGCGCCTTCGACGCAGATAGAAAAGGGAACGTGAGCAAGTGCTTGAGTTCGGTCGGTACCTGGTAGGGAGGGGAAAATACGAAGTCCTGGGAGCCTATGTTAATATAATATTGTTATACATACACAATGTATACATAATTTGTATCAACCCTTTGGGACTCTGCCATATCCTCACTAAGAGCCAGTTCTCCTTAGCACCTTGCACATTGTTCATAGAGGTGGTGTCCCGAAAGGTATCTATATATATATCATCCCCTAAACTAATTAAGCTTAGGCCCGCCAAGTATACTAGCAACGTCAGCCTAGAATTATTTCTACCTAATCTATATCTCTCCGGCCTCTATAGAACCCGGAGATCGCCCTCCGACGCGGTACCAACTTAGGCAAGGTTAGATATGCGTCGACTGACTCCATCAAGCGGATCGGACAGCGGTCGCATTCCCAAGGCTTGCCTACCATGTGCCCAAGTAAAAGCGAGATGCGAGAGCGAGACAGGAGACGAGACGTGCAAGCGGTATTGAGCTTCCCGATGTCTCTCAGCCATCAATCTAACTCGGGCCAGGTGTCGACGTCTGCAAAAGACTTGCAGCGCACAGGTACCTGGTGCTCACCGAAGCAAAAAGGTCAAGACATCCGAGGTTGCCAGACTAGAGAGGAAACTCGATGGTGTAACTGCCATCCTCGCAGCGTCTCAAAACTCTTCGATCGGAGTGAGTGGTTTTCTGGCGCCTAGTCCAGCTGATATGTCCCCTGCTGCCTGGATCGACCCATTCGTCCAGAACGAACTCGAAGCAGAGATGATACTCGAGACTTTCCGGACCCAAATTCAGCCTCTGTTCCCGTTTGTTGTCATCCCACCAAGTATGTCATACCTAGTTCTCAAACAGAAGAAGCCTTTCCTGGTCCTTGCCATCTTGATGGTTGGCTGTCGACATGATCAAGCACGACAAATAGCCCTCGCAAAGGGACTAAGAGAGATCATCAGCCACAACATCCTTATTAAAGGAGAACAAAGCCTCGATTTGCTCCAGAGCCTTCTCGTCTATGTTAATTGGTAAAGGGGTCTCGGTATATGTCTGATAAATCAGAAAGCTGACCAAATCTCTAACAAGGTATCACCTCCATCTCCAACTCGGGTCTCAATTATGCAATCTAATCCATCTGATCATGGCCATGATGATAGAACTGGGCCTTAACAAGGAAGTCTACTCGAAAAATCTCAGGCCCGGCTTGTTCGCTCGTTCAGGATACTTCGGCGAGACTGGTAGCGTTCCTTTGGCAACAGCGATGATGAATAGGGTTACTCCCTTAAGGTCGTCTACTGCAAGAACTCTAGAAGAGCGCAGAACCTTCCTCGGCTGTTTCTTTCTAACGTCCATGTTAGTGCTGGTTCCGCAAAATTCTGTGCAACCCTGTACTTTCCTATTGCTAACGAGATGATATTCAGAATCTCCATGTGTAAACGAGACGTCGAGCCAATAAGATACTCAAGATACGCGGACGAATGTTGTCGTGCCATATCTGAAGCGGCTGAATACCCAACAGATGTCTATGTTGTCCACCTAGCCCGTCTCCATGGCATGGCTGGCAGGATCTCGTGCATTCGAACTCAGGAAGACTGGCATGTAAACCCTGTCTCCACTTCAGCTCCCATTGGCGCTTGTGTCAAGTCATTAGAGTCAGAGTTATTGCAGCTACGAAACTCCTTTCCGCAGCTGTCTCATCAAAACAGTGAGTAGAACCACCGAGTCGAAATATCGCGGCTTACGTCCATTAGTAGTCCTCCTCATGCACTACTATCTTATGGAGATCTTCCTATATGAGGCAGCGCTCAACGACAATATGGAACCCCTGCGATACGGCACGTATCCTTTTGCACGTCTCGGCATGCTTTGCGCCTGCTTGAACTCCACAAAGCTATGTTTTGATACAATCTCCTCTTTCCCACTCTCGGAACTATTCGACCTTCCCCACACTATATGGACTATTCTAGGCCATGCAATAGTCGTTCTGTCCAAGCTATCGCTGCTTCGGGCAGCAGGATGGGATCCTGAATATGTACGAAGTGTTCTCGACGTCTCCGAATGTATGGACGTATTGGTGCGCAGACTCGACAAAGCAAAAGCCTTGACTGGCACTCCCTCAGAGCAAGTCGGCCAGGATTTGGCAACGAGGGATGTACCGCAATTCTTCTTGATGTTACCCAGCAAATTGCAGATGGTCAAAGCTGCTCACGAAGCCAGATGGCCAGCTCAAACGAATTCAACCGACCCAAATTCGTGCTTGACGTCTGCAGAGACCGGTGTTGTGCTCACAGACGACAATTTCCCCATGTCGCCTATGATGGACCTATTTGAATTCTTCGATGAGGATTTTTGGCAGCAACCTGCGTAAATCTTGAGTTCACTCCTGGGCCTGAATTGGAGGTTATTGGTTTTCGCCGTGGCTGTTAATGGATGACACGATGGGTAGTCAGGGCCGGCTACCTAACTCAGTATCGTCTCCCAACCAGCCTGCCAGCTCAACTCTCATAGCCTTGGACCCTGATATTCATGTGTCAACTACGGCACTAAGGACTTAGCAGCCTCGAATGATCAGGGACAAAGATACGTGACGCGATTGCGGTCGACCATCGACCGGCCTCATCGTTCTTCGCATAGGAGGGGAGGGGCGGGAAGTCCGGAATTCCTGTTCCGCCCAAGGCTGCACAACCCGCAGGAGTATATGGGCGAGTACCTCCCGCAGATGTTGGAACCTCCAGACGGTTTCTTTCGTGGAATCAAGGATATTATTTGTTTACAACATGATTCATTACCACATCGTCGTGACAGCCATACTGTTCCAACTTCAATATGCCTCCTTTGCCGCAGCACATGCGCATGGGGACGACGAGTTTCCCGACGAAACAACGGGTATGACCACCAGCTTGGATATACCTACGACAGCGGCGTTGTCTGCTCCGTCTTACCTCCACAACGATACCAACCCGTACAGCATGCCCAGCTATGCGGGACATTCTGAGTACTCAAGCATGATAATAGCACACATCGTTTTCATGGTGATTGCTTGGTTTTTCATTCTTCCCGTTGGTATGCTACGGCTTCCTTTCTAATACCGTCTGGAAGAATGTCAGTCAACCATTGTACTGACTGATTCAAAGGGGTTATTTTCAGCGTTGCCAGATCTCGTGGACTAGCGCTACTAGTCCAGGTGATCTTCTTGGTCTTGAACGGTCTGGGTATGGTCTTTGGGACCATGTACAACATGAAAACTCCAGATTTATATGAGCACAACGCACACCACACCATTGGTTGGATTGCAACGTGGGCCATGATCGCCCAGACTACAATGAGTGTGCTTGTTGTGTCTGTAGAGAAGAGAAATAGGAAGAAGAGCATTGGCGCTTCAGTGGAAGCAGGTGCCGAAAGAGCTGCATTCCTACCTGCATCGAGGGTCAACATGCCTCAGCAAGGCATGACTTTGTACACTGAACGCAGCCGTGATCTGAGTTACAGACTCCAGGATACCGAAAGCGTATGTTCATCGATTCACGATGACTCTGATCCTTTGCCGGCTCTTGCGGATTCATATCAACTCGACGAAAATTTCAAAGACTTTGACGACGACCCGGAAACCCCTGTCCACTCGCTGGAAGTCTTTCTGCACCACTGTCTCAACGCCGTCGACAATTGCCTCCCCACTCGACTCCCTCGAAGGTTGATATCGAGCACATTGTCAAGGGTATTTCACGTCTTGTATCGAATAATCGACCGAACCATTCTCATCCTTGGTTTCGTGGCCTTAGTCACTGGGGGGGTCACTTACACCGGCATCTTTGTAAGTAGCAGCCGTCCATTCAATACCGTGTCGACATACGGCTTACAAATAGCGAGCACACAGCGTGGCAAGAACCTCTTCAATGGCCTAGCTCATTTCATCAAAGGGGGCATTTTCTTCTGGTACGGATTGTTGACGCTGGGACGGTGGACGGGCTGCTTTGCGGATTTCGGCTGGGCATGGAATGTTACCCTGGGCGCCCAAGTCGCCGGCCGTTCGATCCCTTCGGCTGAATTCGTTGAATCCTTTGTGATCTTCGTGTACGGAAGTACGAACGTCTTCCTTGAACATCTCGCCGCATGGGGTCAAGCCTGGAGTGCCCAAGATTTGGAACACGTCTCCATCTCGATCATGTTTTTCGGCGGTGGCTTGGTAAGGCATGCTGCGTCCTCGCAGAGATATTCCAGAGGCTGATCATCCTCATCATCATAGTGCGGTATGCTTGTCGAGTCGAAAACACTCCGCAAATGGCTCAATACGCCCGCGCGAACATCAATGCCGCCACCAGCCCGCGATCGTGATGGGATCGATCGAGCACGAAGCTCCGAAGAAGCTCAAACAATCCCAAAGTCCTACAATATCTCCACGAACCCCATCCCGGCGCTGATTATCCTCCTTTTAGGCATTATGATGTCTGCTCACCACCAGAACTCGATGACGTCGACCACGGTTCATAAACAATGGGGCACGTTGCTCTCGGGGTTTTCTGTGGCGCGAATGGTCACCTACATGGCCATGTACATCTCTCCACCGACCTCAATCTACCCATCTCGGCCTCCCTCGGAGCTTGTCTCCTCGTTCTGCTTGATCTCTGGCGGAGTTGTTTTCATGGCAAGTACCAAAGACATCGTCCATTGGATGGAGGCCGAAGGTTTGATGGCAATGTTCGTCTTCACTATCGCGATGGGGCTTACGGCCTTCATCATGGCGTTTGAGATCAGCTTGCTCTCGCTAAATGGCTGGGCAGCACGACGGGAACGCAAGAAGTCGAAATCGACCGTCACTGGTGGCAATTAGCCATGGCCTTAACCTTTGAAGTCGATGTGGTGGGTAACTCGCGTGAGAGAGGAAATGTGGGCGACCGAGAAACGGTCCAGAAAATGGGATTTCCATAGAATTTGTATAGTACCTGTAGCATCCGGGCACAAGTCATCAATTAGAATTAACAAGATAGGAACACCACAATTCGCAGCCTTTGTTTCCCCTTGTCCTGCGATCTCGTCCAGCAACTCTAATTGTTTGCAGAAAGGTTCGGTGCGTACGTACTACAGATGAATGGCTTTCCGGCTCATTTACAATACAGGCTCACTCTAGATCTTCCCATGTATCCCGTTTCGGCGTTCCACGCTGCAATCCGACTTCATTCGCTCTGCAATCCGACTTCATTCGCTCTGCAATTCCATGGCCGATTGCTCAAATGTCGAGTCCTCGCAAACGCCATCCGCCAGAGCATTTCTTGCCCGTATCGAGAAATACGAAGGATACCAGAAATTGAAAACAAACATCACGGCCGCCATGGGGACTCCGTCAAACACATAGAGATAAATCTGGTGCCGAATGATTGTCCCTTCGAAACCCTCGACGAACTCGACGACGCGCACGATTGATCGAACCATGATGGCCGCGCTCGTAATGTACAGAACGTAGAGAAATTGCTGCCACGGCATTGAAAGGCCGTGGGATTTGCCGCTGAGCCGCTTGCGCAATCGAAGATGAAAGACCATGGCGACGGCAACGAAGAAGCCGAAAATGATGATCTGCAGCAACAACCCCGCCAGAACGATGCGGGAGCCTAGCCTTGACTGCGACGGGTTGCTGCTCGCCAACAGTCCAGCACCTGTACACGGTCAGAGGAGTGGCCATGGGAGGGTCGAACCGAAGCAGATTCTCGGGGATCTCCTTAAGACGTACCACCGAGCTGAACGAAGAAGGTGACCACGTCGCTCGTGACGAAGACCGTGGTCAGCCATCGGGCTTTGATCAGACAGCAAGATTCGCCATCGGCACTGACAACGATTCGAACCAGGACCATGTAAATGCTCGCGGCAAAGAGCGCTGGGGCGACGAGCAGAAGCAGGGTTTGAATGACATAAGGAGCCAAGGTCAAGTTGGGCGCTTGTTGATGCGATACTCCACGGGCCGCATATCCGACTATTTCAACTGCGAGGAATACAGTAGTTAGCAGTCAATTCGGGAGATGAGAGGGAAGGAGATGGACACACAAATTCCGCCGGTGATCAGAGGAACGAAGTACCATGTGCGGCGTCGGGCGACCAAGATCAAATGCCAAACGGTCGATAGCCCAAACAGCACCGCAAAAACACAGGTGCCGGCCAAAGAGGGGTCGTAGTGATAGTATTTGTAGTATGGAGTAGAACCCGACGACATCGTGGTGGTGGCGGCAGCAGCAGCAGGAGCAGCAGCAGCTTTTGGTCGGCTTGGGAGATATGCAGAGCAGACTCTTTGGTTTGCGGCCATCGTTGGGTGGGAGGAGGTCCCTTCAAATGTTGAACGAGACGTGCGAGAGGGCAACCCAGAAAGGAAATATTTAGTGGGACCGGAATTCCGTTCCCCCTTATCCACCCTCGCGAACGGAATCGCCAGCTTGCTCACCCATTGGGGCTGTGCTTTTCAGTCCTTCCCCTCTACCTTGACGGGCCCGACGGTAGGGAGAGATCAAGTGTGTATGAGTGCTGCACTCTGTAAGATAGACGGGGGAGGTCGGCCTGCCCCGGCTCGCTGGAATGCCATTCTCAATAACGAGTAAGGACGGAGTATTATTTGGATCCTCTATAGGATTGGTGTATATATACTTCGGCCAAGCTTGATTGATTTGGCGAATGATCGATGTGCTGCCGCCCCACTCCGAAGCAGTGAATCTTTCCGAATGTGTTTGCAAGTCTCTGTATTACATACAGTATGTAATTAGTCTACCGAGAACTTGCGGCTAGTGTCCTCTCTTCGTCGCACATTCGTCATTGCCACCAATGCGCCTCAAGCCTACGCAACCATGGCAGCTTGGAGGATAGCCGAGTGAAACCTGCTTACAGCCTACCCCGGACTGGGGATATCTAGCCCAAAGCGCCGGGCGCCTTGGCGCGGGAGCAGGCTATTGTTGCCTGACCATGCTGAATAAAAGAAGCCTTCTTAACAACTAGAAGACATACAAACCAGGCTGCTATACATGCACTGAAACACTTCTAGCACCCACCTCCGGCGTGCCCATACAGAGTAACCTCGCCCGCGCTTTTCGGCTCCGTGGATCATATCGCCAACAGCCATGTCGACCGCGAATGAAAGCATCGCGAAGCTTCGCGGACGGGTCAGGTCCTGCACAATGTGTCGGCAAGTCAAAGTAAGCGACTCCAACTGAACGAGATTATGGATACTCATCCTCTTTTGTTGCGGAAGCTTCGATGCGATGCCCTCGCCAAGTTTCCCTCTGCGTGTTCGCGATGCGAACTTCACGGAGTCGACTGCAAGATCGACTCCACGTTCAAGCGCGTCAGCGTGAGAAGGTGAGGAGAAAAACATACCGAGGCGATCTTGATCACTGACTGTTCCCAGTCGTCTGGACGAGATGTTCAAGCAAATGAACGATCTGCAGAACAATGTCGAAGCCTCGTGCCCAGACTCACGATCTGTGAATTCAAGAGCAGCGGATTCCGACCCTGATTGCGGCGCTAGTTCAACGGCCTCTTTCTGCGGGAAAGACTGGATTCTCCTCACGGACGTAGAGGCCAACAGCGGCAGGGTATGGTGCTTGGGCGATGTGGAATTGTCGTATCCTGCTGCGTCGGAATTGCTAAACTTGTAAGTTTCCGAATGCGGAGATTCATACTCTCTGTGCTGAAGAGTGATCGATCCAGCTTTGCAAACTACTATTACGAGCATTTACCGATGTTGGATCGGTTGAATTCGGTGTCTGAGTTGCACGAATCGAACCCACTACTGTTCTGGAGCATAGTCCGCACCTCAAGCTACCGCAACGCCAGATACACAGACATTTTCACCAACAGTGCACCCTCGTTTCAAGAGCTGCTGTCTACAGCTCTGTCCAACCCGATCTGCGACTTTCGCACCGTCCAGGCGCTGATTATATTGTGCTATTGGCCTAATTCTGGCGAACGACAAAGCCAGGACCTCAGCTGGCAGTTCTGTGGTGTTGCTCTGAACGCAGCTATGCAAATGGGGATGGACCAGCCGAGCCATGAACGAGTCAACGCTGGCTTCGGTGGGCGGTCTAATATACATCAAATGAGCAGATACGCACGGCAGATGACTTGGCTGGCATTGTTTTGTATCAGCACAAGGTAATTGATGCGACGAGGGATGTTGCTAAACGAAGCTTGCTGACATCAGGCAGCCTTGCCACATGGCTTGGAGTCACTCCTCATATCTCGTCAGCCATGCAGCTACAATATGTGGTTCAAATGGCTAGGGATCCGGAAGTCCCACGGACGTTCAGAGCCCAGGTGGAGATTCAGCGTCAGGTTGTCCTCTACTCTACGTCTCTTGCCGGTGTGGGCGATTTTGGCACTGGATCGACTCTTTTCAACCTCTTCAACAACGAATTGGATACCGTTGCCACAACATATAAGGACTCGTGGACCACAAGGCTAGAGATTCAGCTTCTCGGGGCCAAACTGTACCTTTTCTCTTTGTGTCATATTCATGCACACCAAAGAAAACGTCGGAAACCACCTTTCGAAGATGCAGACGGCCTACATTCGGACAAGGCCTTGTTGCATCGTGGCCTTCCTTCTGCGGTGTCCCTCATTTACAACATGTCGAAGCTACAGAAGGAGTACCCTGCAGAGCCCGAGACCCCGGATGACGTGTCGTCCGTCATACATTATCCCAAGTACTATTTTCGATCAACCATGTTTGCCATTGCCTTTTTGGTCAAATTCCTCAGTGCAAACCCCACCGCGGCACAAGAGGACAGGGAACTGGCCATCTCTCACGTCGTCTTTGGACAAAGATTCTTTTCCAGCTTTCCTGGCTGTCGAGACTTCTCTCGGGCGGCGGAGGTGGTCGAAATAATGGCGAAAGGCCTGAAAATCGAGAGTGACAATCGGGAGGATTCGATCAGCAGCAGACATGGCGCCTCCATATTATACGATCTTGTGAAGACGGTTCAAGCACGGATCTCCGAGACCAGCGCCGCGACACCTGCGGTCCATGCTGGGCAGCCGGTCGACGACTGGAACAAACAGGATGCAAGAGCTGCGCCATCCTCACTCCTGAGTCATCATGATCCTACGGCGGCCTTCGGACTTGGGTGGACTCCATCAGACTCTTACAGCACTTTGTTTGATCCACAGCTGGGGATAGGGGACGCGCTCGAGAGCCTGCAATGGATTTCGGACGAAGTGGGGGAGCTTGATATCTGGAAGATGACCACATACACTACCTGATGGACTCAAAGCGCCGCCAAAGCCACCTGAATACTCCTACCACTTACGAACACTGGGACAACCTCTGTACAATACGGTGACGTGTTACACACATCATTTCTAAGTCCGAAACGTTTCAGAAGCGGCGTTTTTCCCCCTGTCTTTCTCTTCCTGAGGCCTGAGAAATTCAACGATGAGCTGCGCCACAGCGGTTCGCACTGATCAGCGAGAGTCGCCGTGTTTTGCAGCCACATCTGATTGGTCCGGACGCCAACAGCGATTTCGCTCTGAGCTGCGAAGTGAGTCCGATACGATATGTCCTGGCAATATGCATGCACTTCTCCTCAAATTGTCTCGCCGTGAAATCTGATCCTGCATGGACGAAAAGTGTGCGAGTCTTCTTTCTGACGCCGATAGTTGCCGGGTTTCATTCATCACGCGTGCGGAAACGAAGCGGTGAGTTCACCACTTGAGATCGTAACGGCCCCTTGTTCGAGGGAGAGCCTTAACACGGGCCCATGTCGTATCAGACCCAATTTGCTGTCCTAAGCCAGTCTCAAAAAGCCTTCAATCGAACATTCGCTCGTCAACAAGTTTCTCTTCGACGTGAACAGACCCTGTTTCCCTTCCTCCATTCTTCAAGGTCTAGTCATCTATCTGTCTTTAAGGTCAAGATGCCTTTATATATGGAGGAACCAAAATTCAAGGGCGATCCCGTCGCTGACCAGCCGGGACGCCTCTGCCAAGTCGTCGCTCCAACTGGGGCAATGGGTTATGGCTTTATCGAGCACCAAGTTCTTGATGAGCTTGAGCGGCTGAAGAACGTTCCTACCCCAACGGCAATTATCCTAGACTCTGGATCCACGGACTCGGGACCGTCCAGGCTGGCCCTTGGTCACATGAATGCACCTCGATCATCGTATGTACGCGATCTAGGTATACTCCTTCAGGCAGTCGTCAAATACAATGTTCCGTTACTGGTAGGCTCGATTGGCGGCGATGGCGCTGATGAGCATGTTGACTTGATCTTGGACGTTATCAAGGAATTGTCAGAACTGCCAGAGAACAAGTCAGCACAAGGTACATTCCTCCACTCTTGAGGCCTCGTTTCTGACCTTCATAGATCATGGAAGCTGAAGATTCTCGCCATCTACTCCGGGGTGTCGCACAAGCGTGTGGCTCAAAGACTGGAGGCTGGCCAGATTGGTGGGTGTGGCCCTGCTGTGCCTCCACTTACTCTGGCGGACATCGAAGCCTCGCCCAGGATCGTGGGCCAGATGGGACCCGAACCATATCTTGATGCCATGTTTGCAACGCCGGACTTCAACGTCATTATTGGTGGCAGGGCCTATGATCCCGCGCCGTTCATCGCCTTCACGTCTTACCATTACTTGAAGAAGAAGCACTCTCGAAATATGAGCTCTATCCCAAAGGAAGTCCTCGGCGCTTTCAGTCACATGGGCAAAATCCTGGAATGTGGCGGACAGTGTGGAACACCCAAGGGTCCCGGGGCAGCGGCATACATCTATAGCGATGCATCCTTCGACGTGGTCCCTTTGAATCCTGAGGCGAAGTGTTTCCCGATCACCGTTGCGGCTCATTGTCTGTACGAGAAATCTCACCCTGACTTCCTCCACGGCCCCGGCGGGTACCTCGACCTCAGGAATGCCGAGTATGAGCAGCTCGACGATGATCGAACTGTACGGGTCCGGGGCTCGGTTTTCAATTCGTCCCGCGCCGAGGGTCGCCCATATACCGTCAAGCTGGAAGCCGGGAAGCTTTCCGGCTACCGCGCAATGGCCATCGGTTCCTTCTGTGATCCCCAGCTCTTGAGCCAGATGGACGTGCTGAAGTCTCGCATCAAAGAGTACGTCAAGTACCAGCATCAGCAATTCGACGAGGAATGGCAACTGGAATTCCATGTCTATGGTCTGAACGACAAATGGCAGCCTGGTGACGGTAATCGTCCCTTCTATGGTGAAAAGGGCGTGTTCGTCGTGGTGGAGGCGCTGGCCGACACGCAGGCGCTTGCCACCAGTCTGGCCAACACCGCTCGCATTGCGTGCATGCACGCCCCGTATGAGGGACAGAAAGCAACATCTGGCAACTTCGGCTTCGGCCTCGGCGGGAAAATGGAGCTAGAGTGCGGTCCTTGTGCGTCGTTTTCCCTGTATCACCTCATGGACTTGGAAGAGGGGGAAGAGGGAGCGTTCTTTGCGAAATCTCACGAGGCTGGTGTCGCGGATACTCGAGATGGCAAGCCTCTATTCCATTGGACCGAGGGAATTTATGGTAAAGGTGACGAAGGCCCTGTTGAGGGTGCCTTGAGAGAGGCTGAATCTGTTCCGACTAAGGCCGGCTATCAGCTGCCCTCGATGTCCCCCGGCACAATCAGCAAAAGTCCAAAGACCTTGAACGACGTCGCTTCCGTCGTCCGATCCAAGAACGCCGGCCCCTACGAAGTCACCATCGACATTCTCTTCTCCTCTCCCGAAATCTACGAAGCGGTCAGAGACTCTGGCATTTTAACCGCCGAGATCGTCGCGAGACTGTACGACCTGTCTCTCGACGAAATCATCTACTGCGGCTTCTTTGACCCGGCCTTGGCGTTCAAGGCGACCTGGCCTAGGAAGCGATTTGGTAAGAATGTTCCTTCTGGCGGCTGGCTTGAGACGGACATGCATGGGTCTCAGCAGTACATGCCGATGGTGGAGCTGCCTCTGGGCGATCAATTGATTAAGAAATTGGAGACCATCATCAACACTTCGAGATAGACATATGTGCGTTGCAAGGAAATCTCGATGTGTAGTAACAATGGCAGTTGTGGGAGGTGTTGGATCTGCCTGCAAGTTTAATGGCATCAAAGGATTGCATTGAAACAGGCTGGTATCAATCAACTCGAGATATATTCGTGTTGGTGGAACACTCTGAGAAGGGCATTTGCAACGAAATAGCATGATCAGTAGGAAAACCTCTGCCCAACCAGCTCCTCGGACAACTTCCACAGCTTCTCCGCTTCAGCCGGTGCCTGTGCCCGCGGGTGCGCATCAGCTAATTGACAATTTTTCAGGAAAGCTCCATGCCCGCTCGCCTCGCTCGGTCCCAGCTCGGGGTCCGTGGCGGCGACCAGACTGGTCGAGGCTCCCGCGCCCTGCGTCTTGAAGTGAAATCGCCCGGCTTGGGCGCGCTTGTGGATGGAATCGATCTGTTCCTTCGTGTTGTATCTTCCCAGCTCGGTCGCAATCACCCCGGGATGCACGGCGAGACTCAGTATCCCGTGGGCGTGGTACAGCTTTTCCGTGAGACTGACGCCGAACAGCACATTGGCCGCTTTGCTCTGCACGTAGGCCATCAATGGGACAAACGACCGATCTGGCGCGTCGGGGATGCCCCAGCGCCGGCAGATCGCATAATCAGGCTGTTCCTCCGGTGGCAGATCCTTGGACGTCTTCTCGAAGTTGATGTCGCTCCAGCGAATCCCTCCTGACTCTGCGGCGCCGGAGCTGACTTGGACGATCCGCGTCGATCCCTTGGGGTTTGTCCCGGCGGCCTGGAGCAGTTTCGGCATGACGAGATTCGTGAACAAGAAGTGGCCGACGTGGTTGGTTGCGAAGTGAATCTCCAGCCCGTCGTCACTGAGCTCTCGCTCGGCCAAGCCCATGTTCATAATCCCGGCGTTGTTCACGAGAATATCGATCGTGGGGATGTCGCTCCACGACAGGACTTCCTCGGCGGCCTTGCGGACCGCCTTTTGACTCGCAAGGTCGAGGATCAGCGCGCGGTATTCGACGTTTGGATATTGCCTCTCGAGCTCGTCAATACACTCTTGCAGTTTGGAGGCAGAGCGGCCCGCGACAATGAGATGTGCCGGGGACTGAGAGGCAAATGCCTGGGCCGTGGTGAAGCCGACTCCTTGTCGGTTGACGCCCGTCACGAGGATGGTTTTGCCCTTGATGGCCTCGGCAAAGGCCTTTGCGACTTCCAAGGCTTCGGTGCGCTCGTCGTAGTGGGCGTGTGTTGTCACTGTCATCTTGATGAATGTATTGATTTCCCGTGTCTACGGAGAAGTTTTGATCAAAGGGGGTCTCGACACTGACCAAGCTGACACTATGACCAGGACCTCCGTTCTAGCTTTGTCGAGAGCATTAGATATTTTCCCAGTCCCACCGCTTCTTCGCACACAGATGTCTCCATGTCTCCGAACGCGGACTTGACTGCGAAGGTGCGAATGGGCGAGGTGGAGTCAGACCCGGCTTACCCCTATCTCAGGATGGCCCGCTGGGAAATGCGTGGGGCTTATTTTCGTAATCAAGACACCACTTGCTCGTTGAGACGTAATGTACATGGAAGGCCAAGATATGCTTCGTCCGTTGTAATAATTATGCTTGTGGGTCCAAGCATCCACCTTTCAATACGCTAAGACCCCATCGGGAAGGCTGTCATTTCACCTTCAAACAGGCGGTTGTGGGAAATCGTCGCAGGGGAACACAGCCAGTTTGACCATTAGCATTCTCCGTCCCACACACTGTGGTATCCTCTGTTATTTTCTATTCAGGTCTTCCGCATCGATAGTAACTAGGAATTAGGATTATCAATCGGCTCGGAAATTCCGCTCCCAGCCGTCGCGGGCCTTGGAGGATCCCATATCAAACCTCATAAACCACACGAAGCACCTCCGTTTCCACCACGTTACATCTCGCTGTCGCCTACAAGTTCTGTCGGAGACCTTCCAAGACTATTCTTGCGCTCCGAAATTCTCCACACTCCTCATCTGCCCTCTTTCTGGGACCTCTGGGACGCCCGATAAAAGCCGGCAGGATATACGCCTCAGGCACCTCAAGTTCATTTACAACTAGCCAACTATGCAGGTTTGTCGCGCCGCCTACCTATTCAAACAGACTCTAACACCTGCAACAAGGAATCCGGGACAAATGAGGTACCCGTGTACACCATCATTCAAGCAGACGGGCTGTATCCTGTACGTGAGCTTCCTTCCTGAATGTCCGTACGCAGGGCATCTTCACTTTTCGTGAGGACCCAATCAACAAAGAAATTTCCAAAGGATCCGAACCCCCTGATTGCGTTTCCACTAGGACGACACTGTTGAACAAGAAATTTTCACGTCCGCTTCCAAGTACCCATATCAAGTCCGATACGTCCAAACAGATCTGTATCCGACCGGGGCTCCCACCCCAAAACCATGGTCTGATATACCGCAAAGTCTGAGAGATCGGGTCGACGGCGTCATGGTGTTGAAAATGCGCTTTACGGCGGAGGATTTGGAATTGTTCCCCAGACTGAAGGTGTAAGATGCCTGGTCCCAGTCTTTCCGTGCTTTGAATCGACTCCTGGAGATGGCGAGGCCAGACCAGCCAGCATTTGTTGGGGCGTGGCCGACCCTCCACAGGCGTCGAGGGAGCGTTGAAGGCAAAGAATCGAAGCTCACGTCGTTTTACACTTGACAGGATAGTCAGGATGGGGGTGGGCTATGATCGTCTCGATCGCACCGCGCTGGCGAAGAGGAATGTCACGGTGTGCAACGTACCAGGTATCGTACCCGTTTTCTTGCTGCTATTACTGTCTCTCAATTCGCCCGGCCATATTCTTTCCTCATTGAATCTCTCTCCCCGGAGGAAACTTGCTTATACCGACATCTCTTCAGATTACGGTACCGGGGAGATCGCGGACCACGCTCTCGCTTTGATCCTCGGCTTGCGCCGCGGCATTCTCTTACATCACGATCGCCAACGCCAGCCTTTTGTCTATCCCTGGATGCCGATTGAGACGCCACTCGTGTCACGAATACAGTCAGCGACCTTCGGAATCATCGGCCTTGGTCGCATCGGTACCGCGGTGTGTCTAAGGGCCAAGGCGTTCGGCTGGAACGTCATATTCTATGACCCCTATGTGCCTAATGGGATCGACAAAGCGCTCGGGGTCGAACGGACGAAGGACATCAACGAACTCTTCCGCCGAAGCACTGCGTTGAGTATACATTGCACGTGCACGCGAGAGACGAGAAACATGATAGGCTGGGAACACGTCTCGCTGATGCCCAAGGGCTCAATACTGGTTAACACCGCTCGAGGAGAGATCCTACAGCTCGACGCCTTGGAGAGAGGGTTGAAAGAAGGAATTCTAGCGGGGGCTGGGTTAGACGTCCTGCCCGAGGAACCTATACCGCTGGACCGGGTGCATCCCCTGATACAGGCTTACAGAAAGCAGGAGGAATGGCTGGTAGGTCGATTGACATTGACCTGTCACACGGCGTTCTATAGCCCGCAGAGCTTCATAGACATCAGAGTGAAAAGTGCTCAGACCATGAGGGAGGTGTTGATTGACGGGTTGCAAAGCAACGTCGTAACGCCGGATATGTTGTAGGTAGAGAATGAACTTGGCATTTGGCATAGAGAGATCCATTGATCATCATTCGAGCTGGACAGAAAGGTAGACTGTCTTTCAGCCTATCGGAGCTGACCTTCCACGCAGTTGTGAGTGCTCTACAGTTTGAGGGAAGGTCAACAGCAGAGTGCCCACCTGACTAGCAGCTGCATCGACCCGGAGAATCTTCAGAACGGGTCGAGTAGGATTGGCCTTCGATCGTCTGCATGGTGAACCGTCGCTTCATGAGAATGAATGTCTAACGGCAGGGAATGTCCATCGTACTCTGGATACAGCGTACTTGAAATTACAGTCTCGGTCGGCCTGCCTCTAAAGGGGGGTCTAGAAGATTGTTTGCGGCTTTTTTTTGGTAAATTTGAAATGCAAAGACCATTGGCTCTTCAATTTGCGGGGCAGGAAAAACAAACCTTGCAGAGCTCCAGAAAAGAGAAAAGCCCAACAGCATGCGTCTGGCTCCGCGACGCGAAAGCACGGTCCGGTATCATGATGCTAACTCGCAGCGAAAGGCGACACCGTGCGAGTGCGCTCCGAACAGCGAATTCCGCGGCCGGGTGCGAAAACGCTGGAGGCCTGGGGATCGACCAGGCTGCGCTACGCCGAATCGGGCAGTACAGAGGGTCTTTCACAGGTGTATTACAGTGGGGGCAATTGATTTGAACACCACCCTTAGTGACAAAGCTCCACCTACAAGTAGGCACACCGAATAATCAGATCAAATCAATTGCAACCCCACAGTTCCACCGAGTCCGCGACTGCTTGCGTAGCTGGCAATCCGGCTTTTATTTTTGGTGTCCTTACTTACGTACCACCGCCACCAGCTGTGTTTCCTATATGTAGCGGAGAATTTTGGCGTGGGCGACTAGGCACCAGGGCACACCAGGTATCCACCCTCCTCCCCGCGTTTGAAAGGCATTGCGGGGAAGAAAGAGAGGTGAGCAAGGCTGTACAGCCCCCCTGGAGTTCGACCATATGTATCTCCCTCGCACCTCCTCCCGTCGAGGGTTACAGGATTGATTCTATTGCCTCGAACCCCCTCAAGCTGACCATCCCGTGGCTTTTCTGACCACCTCTTTCTCGGGACCACAACCTGAGCGCTCCAGCCCACCCGCCATCATGCCTCTCCGAGACCATCGAATCCTCGGAGCCTTCAATGGCCAGCTTGCCTGGACCGTTTCCATCCTCATGATGTCGTCGTTCAACTTCGGCATGGACAACAGCGTCTTCGCCGCGACTCAAGCGATGCCCGCCTTTGAAAAGAAGTTTGGCTCGTGGAACGACGAGCTCCAACGCTACGAGATCGCCCCGTACTTCCTGTCACTCTTCAACAGCTTGACTTACGTGGGTCAGGTCGCGGGGGTCATTCTGGGTGGCTGGATCGGCCGCCACTATGGACGTCGTCGGTCGGTCTACGCCATGTGTTTCTGGGCCTTGTTGGCTGCAACACTCCTGATCACGGCACAAACCAAGGAGCAGATGCTCGTGGGACGAATCCTGAACTATGTCTACATTGGGCAAGAGTTGGTCACAGTCCCGGTCATGCAAGCCGAGATTTGCCCTGCTCACGCCAGAGGCTTTATTGTGGCTACCTATCAACTGGGCAACATGGTATTTTTGAACCCCCCGGGCAAGATTCTTAAGATCCCTCGAGAAGGTCTTGTGCTAACGAGGCCGTGAACAGCTTGGAGCCTTCATCGGCTCGTTGATCTCTTATGGAACCTCCAGCATCGACGGGGAAGATTCTTACCGAATCCCTTATGCTCTGTTCTTCATTATTCCGTGTATCGTCCTCGTCGGCATTTATTTCAGTCCTGAAGTACGTTCTCCGTTCTGCATTCAAGTCGTCAAAGCTGTCAAGTATTTGGGTTAAGACATTTCACCTAGTCCCCTCGCTGGCTCCTCGTCCACGATCGTCAAGATGATGCTCTACAATCTCTCCGCAAATACCGAAACGGCCGCTTCACCGAGGAATCGGTCCTGTCTGAATATGACACCCAGGTCGCCTTGGTCAGCGCGACGTATGAGCGCGGCAAGTTCAAGGAGATGTGGCAAGGCATTAACATGAAAAGATCCCTCATCAGCGTCGGTACCAATTTCTGGGCTCAAGCGACGGGCCAGTCATTTACTGCCAAATACGGCACCGTCTTCCTCCAGGATGTTGGCGCTCTGGGTCCCTTGGCATTGCAGTGCATCAATACGGCTGTTTTCATCGTTGTGGTTATGGTCGCCATGTATTTTCTTGACAAGGCTGGACGGAGGTGAGTCCATAAGCTCGGAACAAACGACTTCCCTCGCGCGATTGGAGCATGCATGCTGATTTCGACCGATAAACAGGCCTCTATTGCTCACCGGCACTTTCCTCCAATTCAGTTCTTTCCTCGTTATGGGTTGCCTGGGCACGAAGGCAAACCCGTCTCATTCGTACAAGGTCGGCATTAGTGCGATGCTGACCATCAACTACTCCGGTTTCTGCTTTGGCTGGGGTCCGATCTATCATATCATCACCTCTGAGATTCCCAGTAACCGTCAGTCCCGATCCTTCTGTGTATCTCTTGGGCGATCAAAAGGAACCTAACCTCGCTTTAACTTCAGGTATGCGAGACATTACATACACATGTGCCTCCATCGTCAATGTCGTCACCCAATTTGCCGTCACTTTCACCATTCCGTACCTGCTGTACGCACCATACGCAAACCTTGGCCCCAAGCTCGGTTTCATCTACGGGGCTCTCGCGGCTTGTGCGCTGGTCTTTGCCTTCTTCATTCCCGAATGCCGGAATCTGTCGCTCGAGGAAATCGACCACTTGTTCATGGAAAAGACGCCGGTCCTCCAGTTCGGTAAGCGCAAGCATGGCGAGATTCTGATTGAGGAGACGGTGACGGTGAAGTCCTGAAGATGGCCCCAACGGTGGAACAAAGGGAGCTCGTGTTGCGAAATCGGAATCCCTCTGGTCAGGCGTGAGGTGAAATTTGGCCGGGGCCATGGAAGAGAAGTCTATATTTTCGACATCATGGAGGCTGACTGACTGGACACCAAATTGTGGGCACGGAACTGGGAGTTGCAACGCTTGGGACATAACTTGGGCATAGCCGCAGGGGACGGGACATCCAGAATGCGACAAGCTATGCTTTGCCAACATGAAATTACCAAATTTCCGAGTCTTACACAGGACAGAATGAAAACTGAGGTTATATACCCTTGACATACGTCTGCTCAACACTATGCATACAAGGGAACTTGACAATCCTCTTTGCGAGATTGGTGACGAAGAGCAAGAGTCCACCGGCGATTCGTACGCCAATTCCACTGCTCATGTTGCCTCCTTATCGGTCATTCAGATTCATCTTGCCACGTCCTCCCCCACCCATTGCTCAGCGTGCGGAGATCCCTACTTCAAGAAACCCCCATTTGTTTTGGCCAGCAGTTCCTCATAATATCCCTGGAAGGCCAACCATCCTTTCTCGTCGGTGCCGTTGTTTGCGCATGAGAATTCCGCCTCTTCATCCGCGATCAACCTTTTCTCGTGTCCGCCGCCGGCACTCGCCGCGTCGACCAGCAATTGCGCGTGGCACGTCTTGTCGAGGCTGATGAACCAGAACGCCGCGGCGTCGACGGTCTTCGCGCACGTGAGCAAGCCGTGGTTTTGGAGAATCACCGCTTTGCCATCTCCCAACGCTCGGGCGATGCGTTCCCCTTCCGTACGGTCGAGCACCACGCCCCCAAAGCTCTCGTACACCGCGTGCGACTTGTAGAAGCGGAGAGAGTCCTGCGTTATCATGTCCAGTTCCCGGCCAAAGACGGAGAAGGCCTTGCCGTAGACGGAGTGCGCGTGGCACGCGGCATTGATGTCCGGTCGGGCCTTGTGTATCTCAGAGTGTATGGCGAAGGCGGCGGCATTGATGGGCTCGTCGCCGACGACGACTTCGCCTTGTTCGTTGACTAGGATGAGATCGCTGACGCAAATTTGGGAGAAATGTTGGGAAAGGGGGTTGAGCCCTGGAATGGATTCTGGGTCATTGTACGTTCAACTGGACTAGTCTGTTGCGTCGAGATCTGTTGTCTGACGCCTCTAATATGCTTTATGTGGGCTCTTTACTAGCTCCACTCGCTCATTTTCCATTCCCCATCTTGAACGAACGGGGTCTAGCCAGGGAGCACTTACAGAAATGGTCTGTCAGAATCGGGTCTCGAACGGAGATATGCCCCGCGACTCCTTCGTCAAATCCTCGTTCAGCGAATATTCGAAACGCTGCTGCTAGATGTTGTTTTCGGTAGAGTCGCTCTTCCTCCAGAGAAGGAAACTGTGGATAGGATCGGACTTTCAGTTTCCGGCCGCCTGTCGTGGTGCCTAGAGCTCCCACGAGAGCGTTGCTGGGGGTAGAAACGTCGTAGACTTCAATGGCGGGGACCATGGTTATCGGCGCGTGTTGCTGAAAGCGGCCGATCGCAGCCCCTTCTCAAGAATAAGACGCTCGAAGTGTTGAAGTATCCAGTTGAAATGATGGTATGGGTGGATGACTGGACTTATATGGCCTGGCCCTAGGACTATTTAATGGAGCTGCCTCGGTTTTGTTTGAGACACATGAAACTAGCTCGGACAAAGCATGGACAAAAGAAATCAAAGACGAATGTCTTTACCATATAGGTAGCCGATATGGGGGTATCCATCGAAGACAGGTCGCCATATATTGCGTTGTCGGGCCGAAGTGCGAGAGAATTGCGAGATTGATTTGCAGCTTCATTGGAGCAACTTCTAGTGTGACGATACAGCATGCCGTGAGCTTGGGGCTAACGGAAAGGATCTCAAAAGAGGTCGAAGAAGGCCAGGACGCTTTGTGTAGACGAAGGGACGGCCAGTGGCTACAGAGGGATTCGAGGCGCTCTCATGGATGCAATTCGTCCAAAAGATATACTACAAGAAGTCTGCGCAGTGCACTTGAATCCGTTTTCGGTTTCTCAGCTCGGTCTTTGTTATTTGTAGTGGCCTCCTTACAAAATCGTCGGGCTTTTGTGCCTGGATCCTGGAGTACCTCCTGCAGACCATAGCTCTCAACGGTGAGAGACACCTGCTTTCCCAACCATATGAAATCGCTTGACCTATGATCCGGTGCTACCATGGGCGCCACGCTTGCAAAAATCAACAGCAATCCCCAACTCGCTCAAGCTAGTTCGTGAAGCCAAGGCAGCCCCCATCATCTGCAAAAAAGATCTCCGTCACAACGCCCTCCACCATCAGATCGTGGCAAAGTCTCGTGATATCCCAGCTCGGACAAAGATTGGTCGCTCGCTGGTTCTGGTTCTGGTTCTGAATCTGACATGGCCTTTCGTGCTCGCTAATAAGAAAGAATATAATCATCAGCTCCACCCCGTCCGTCCATGGAAATTAGCTCGCGGGCTGAATGTCATAAAGCTGTGTGCTGTACAGTGTTGGTCGCGTGGAGTCAAGACGTCGTAACAAATTCGAGTCGATCCAAGTCGACTTCGTCAAGAAGTCATCTCAATGTGAAATCGTTTGGGTTCGTGCGTGGTAATGTTGGGCATGACGGTTGTATAGGTCGGTTCGCGGACACAAGTTGGTTGCAACGACTGGGATGAGTGGTTGAATCATCGAATCGCGCCCCAGTCGCCCAATCGTCCAGCAATGCCATCACTGTTTCTCCCTTCGTTTCCCTTCTTGCCGAACACTCTCCAGAACCGCAGTGTCTCGTCTCCCGCCCCAGTCACAACTGTTGTCCCGTCTGGACTCGTGCTCAAGTAAAGGACACGGAAGGTGTGTCCAGTCAGACTGACAACCTGTTCCATCTTGGGATACTTCCACACCACGATCTGGTTCTGGCTGTAGCCATGGGTACTGACAATTTCGTCACTGTTCTTGCTCCAGGCCAAATTGCACACCTGACTTCCTGTGTCGACCTCCTTGATGAGAGACCCGTTGGCGGTGTTCCAAAATTTGATCGACCGATCTGCTGTTCCACCACCGGAAGCCAGCAGGTGATGTTGATGGGGGCTCCAAGCAATGGCCTTGACCGCTGCGACATGGCTCGAGAACCGATACAAGGGTGTCTCGGAGAGTTTATCCCACACGCACAACTTGTTGTCGTTGCCGCCTGAAGCGAGCTGACCATCTTCAGTGTTCCATCGTAGGCCACAAACTTCTTGCTTGTGACCTGCCAACCTTCGCAGATACTGATCTGGGCTGCGGACATCCCGATGATATATCAGTCGATCCCGCGAGCCAGAGGTCAAAATATGATCATTCCAGGCTAGCGCTCCAACTCGCGCCGAATGACCGGTCATTGTGCGCAGTCTCCTTGACTTCTCAGCGTCGTAGATCTGGACGAATCCCTTGTGCGTTCCAATCGCCAGATGTGACCCTCGCTGGATCCACGCCACAGATGTCACCAAATCATTGTCAGGCAGCTTGCATAACTGTGTGACTTTGCCAGTGGCACTGTTCCACATGTAGACACACGATCCGAGCCCTACACCAAGAATGTTCGCCGATCCCCAGTCCACCAGATTCAAGTAGAAGTCGTCCGCTAGTTCAGGAGCGTCCAGCACTTTGTAAGGAACTTTGGCAATTGGTCGGGGCTGCTTTCGCGGTGTTTGCAATATGGATTGTGATGAGTAGTTGATGGGCGAGATGGAGTACAAATCCGACCTCGCATTCAGATTTATGATTCCAGGATGTTTTCCGGCTCGAGATGAGGGAGTGGGGTGGCCTGAGCCGATCACTTTCTGTGGGGACTTGTAGGAGAACATATTCTTGTGAGGAGTGGTAGGCGTGATGGAGGCAGGAGGCATGGCCGATATCGATGGTTGGCCTGGAGGGGTTTGTCGTCGGCCGAACAGTTCATCTGGGGACAAAGATCTGTAGTCTTGCGGGACTGAATCACCCATCAGCTCGTTGCGCAGGACTTTGGAGTATGTTCTATTCGCTTCTTCCGTCCGCTGAAAGTGTAGTTCGCCATGAGGGGTCTTCTTTTTTGATCTTGAAGGTGTCGCTGGTGAGGCATCATCATGTAACAAGCTGTAGCTCGCTTGCAGGTCTTGTCCATCTCGGTTCGGTATGAATCTAAGGACATAATCAGTCTCACAGTGGCAAGCGACCGAATCCCTGGCCGACTCACCTATCCCCATAGATCCTCTGTCTCTTTCGACTAGGACTACGACCTGGAGTTCTGTCCCGCGGTCTTCCAGCATTCTCAATTTCTTTTAACCTCCGATTCAGAGCATCGGCTTTCATGGCCTCGGTGGCTCGCTGGATGGCAGACATGCCGTCCTCGTTGTGTCCGAAGCGCTTGGATGATATCGTCGGTGGCGTCTTGGAACCAAGAGGGGTTGGTAACGTTGGAGTGATCGGACGGTCAGATGTATCAACCACGAGGGGAGCTGTTGAATCGTCGGCCATGGTGGGCGTTGTGAGAAGGCAGTGGGAAGGAGCGACTTGGGCGTTTGTTTGGATTAATGGATAGTGTTATTTGCGTGAAGTACCAAGGTGACGGGCATGTGACGTGAAGTCAAGCAGAGGACAATAGATCTCAAAGAAGATGCCCAATGTCGGTGGTGAGGGTGTTGATGGCCTCCGCAACCGCAACCGCGACCCGTTACTGTTTTGTCGCCCTGAGCCAATTGTCTACCTGCGCGAATCGCAAAAGAGGAGGCTCGTGGTTCAACTAAATACCAAGCATCGTGAAGTAGATCTAAGGCAGCGTCCTGCAGATGGTGAATCTCGTAGATGGCAATGGGTCGTAACTCAGGTAGGGGGATTGTGGTGATGTTCGGCTGCGCAATCTGTGAATCGACTTGACATGGAGGATGAATGCGGGAATCAGGGACAAGGACTGGCCACTTGCAGCTTCCGCCGCTTCTGGAGCCTGCCAAGCGATTTGCCCCCCAAGCGCGTTGCCCAGATCGGGTTTCTACTGGGCTTTGGGTCAACTAATGGGAAGCTCCTAGGCACCGTGCTAGGGGGTGGGCTTTCGCAAAGGACCACCCCAGTCTACTCAACTCCAAGGCTCGCCAGCCTAGGTTCATAGAGCAGAGTCCTCCTATATTACGGACGGCCTGTATACGAATGGAGCCCAACGAGTCGCCTCCATCATACAAGTCTCCATGGAAATCGCTCGACCAACTGGATCTATCCAGACATTATAGCACGGGCGAGTCAACCTCCGAAATCTAGGCAAGCTTCCTGCTGGGCATTCATAACAAAACCACTTTACGCGGCCGCAGCCATGACCTTGCAAGCTGTCAACAATCGCGTCTCTCTGTGTTTTTGGGCGGCTAGTAAAGCACGGTCATCATTGTTGTTATTGCCATTGTATCATGGTCTCAGGGTTGCTCCTTCGGATCTTCCCCTTGCTGTCACCCAGATGGCTTCCCAGGGCTGTTTGAGAATCCCTTGCGGGCACGAGATTGATTCGACAAGAGCGGTGTTTCAGGTGGATCAGAAGCCCCCTAACTGGGACCTGGCTGGGTTCGGTGCGATTGGCATCTGCAAGGCTCGCAGGTTATCAATCCACCAGTGAAACCGGGAGCTTGGGCCACCTAATCATTGTACATGCTTGCGCTGTAAACGCCCTTCCCCAGAATCACGAATCACCAGACTCGGTTCGACTTTGAAGCTGTCGCTGGAACAACCTCAGTACAGTCATCATTGGCGCTTTTCGTATGCTTCATCGAGTGATCCTTCGACAGGGTCCATCATCCGCTAGATTCTATTCAAACATGGCGAGCGTCAACGTCAAAACTGCAGCCACCGATTTCCTCGACTTTGTCAATGCATCCCCGACACCCTTCCATGCTGTCAAGTCAATCAAGGAACGACTGACTGCGGTGGGATTCAAGCAGATCAAGGTCAGTGTAGCCCATCCAGATTCTCCTCCATCCTCCTCACTCATATCAATAGGAGAAAGACTCCTGGTCCTCGACGTGCCTGCCTGGTGGTAAATATTTCCTCACTCGAAATGGATCAACCATTGTCGCCTTTGCGATCGGCAAGAAGTGGAAGCCTGGAAACCCCATTTCAATGGTCGGCGCCCATACCGATTCGCCATGTCTGCGCATCAAGCCCGTGAGCAAGAAACAAGGCGATGGCTTTCTCCAAGTCGGTGTCGAAACATACGGAGGCGGCCTGTGGCACACTTGGTTCGACCGCGACCTGGGCGTCGCGGGAAGGGTAATGGTCAGAGGAACTGACGGCAACGTTGTCCAAAGACTGGTTCACATCCAGAAGCCCATCCTCCGCATCCCCACCCTTGCCGTCCACCTCGACCGACAGGAGACCTTCTCCTTCAACAAAGAAACCCAGCTCTTTCCTATTGCTGGTCTGGTGGCTGCCGAGCTTAAACGCCAGGATGAGAAGAAGGCCAAAAGCGACACGGAAGAGGAGGAGCAGGATAAACCGTTCACTCCATTAAAGGCCATGACAACAAGACATCACCCTCATATCGTTGAGCTAATTGCCGCAGATGCCGGTGTCTCGGCCGAGGAGATTGTTGATTTTGAGATTGTGCTTTATGACACTCAAAAGGCATGTCTGGGTGGTCTCTCGGATGAATTCATCTTTTCCGCTAGGCTGGATAACCTGAACCAGACCTATTGTGCAACGATGGGCTTAATCAATTCGTTGGAGTCTGCATCCGCGCTCGACGACGAGTCCTCAATACGTCTCATTGCATGTTTTGACCATGAGGAGATCGGCAGTATGACAGCCCAGGGAGCATTCTCCATGATGCTGCCTGCCATCATCCGTCGACTCTCTGTTCTGCCGTCCTCATCATTCGTGGGAGATGGTTCAGAAGAATCTTACGACCACGCGAGCGATCCAGAGCTGTCGACTGCCTACGAGCAAACTCTATCAAGCTCGTTTCTGCTCTCAGCAGATATGGCTCACTCCGTCAATCCTAACTATGGAGGCAAATATGAATCCGACCACCGACCAGAGATGAATCAAGGGCCCGTTATTAAGATCAACGCCAATGCAAGATATGCCACCAACTCGCCCGGTATAGTACTACTCCAGGAGGTTGCGCGAAAAGCAGCCAAAGTCATCGACAGTGATTCAGAAGGCGTGCCGCTGCAGCTGTTTGTGGTCCGAAACGACTCGAGTTGTGGAAGCACCATCGGCCCGATGCTTTCTGCCCATCTGGGTGCTCGCACTCTTGATCTCGGGAATCCGCAGCTCTCGATGCACAGCTGCCGTGAAACTGGAGGTGCTGATGATGTACATCATGCTATCAGACTGTTCAGCAGCTTTTTCCGACATTATTCTGCTTTGGAGAAGACCATCCTGGTCGACTGAGTGGCTTGGAAGCCCACCGATTGGCGCGGCGAAAATCAGTGCAGAACGGCAACACAGCGACGTGATCGGTCAGCACCTCCGCAAAAGAGAGCTAGACACAATGACTCGCCTATATTGCCAGGACTTGAGATATGACAAGCTACTGAATACCCCGTCCGCGACAGACTCTCGATTCCAAGCAGCAGGCCGATCTACACAACTTCTCGGGCATCTATGATTCTGAACAGGCGACTCTGTCGGTTCCCTTTGCAGACTTCAGGATGGTGTCGGTTATGCCAGTGGCTGTCTGTCCGCTGCTGTCTAAAGCTGTACTCAGCATCGAGACAATCTGGGATACTAGATTACGAATCCTCCATGACGTCCTCCAAGTTCAGGGCCATATGTCATTAGAATCCTTTAGGCAAAAGGAAGAGGCTGTGCGAAGGGATGCGGGGTTACGGCATCCATCTCCAAAGCCGCGAGCCAACGAGCCAGATATTTTCTCAATGAACATAAATTCCGTAGACGGCCCAACCGTCCGCGTTGCCCGTTGCGACCAAGACTGGTGTTCAAACCTTTGCCCAACAGATTTTCTGCTCGCCCACTGGCTTCCTGCGACCACCACCTGGCGTAGACATGACCACGCCTGAATACATCGCAGGCAGCAAGGATGCAATCCGTCAGTTCCTAGACAGGTTCGATGTTCGTGCCCGTTGCTCGTCCGCGAAGGTCGCTCCAGCCGTGTGCCTGAATTCAATGTTAACGCGAGTTTGTCCGTCATAGGTCTTCCTCATCGACTGCGATGGCGTCCTCTGGTCCGGAGACCACTTGTTCCCAGGCGCCGTGGCCACGCTGGAGATGCTGCGCAAGAAGGGCAAGCAGGTCGTTTTCGTGACCAACAACTCGACCAAGTCCAGGCAAGACTACCAGAAAAAGCTGGGGGGGATGGGCATACCTGCGAGTGCCGAGGAGGTGTTTGGCTCGTCGTACTCGGCCGCGATCTACATCTCCAGGATCCTGCCTCAAGCGCATCCACACCTCAAGCAAAAGAACAAGGTCTTCGTGGTGGGCGAGGCCGGCATCGAGACCGAACTCGAGTCCGAGGGCATACCGTACCTGGGCGGCACAGACCCGGCGTACAGGCGAGACGTGACGCCCGAGGACTACAAGCTCCTCGCCGCCGGCGACCCCAAGGCCCTGGACCCGGAGGTGGGCGTGGTGCTGATGGGCCTGGATTTTCACTTCAACTACCTCAAGATGTGCTACGCTTACCAGTACATCCGGCGGGGGGCCATCTTCCTGGCCACCAACATGGACTCGACCCTGCCTTCAGCGGGCTCGTTCTTCCCCGGCGCGGGATCCATCTCGGCGCCCCTGATCAAGATGCTCGGCGGCCAGGAGCCCATGGCGTTTGGCAAGCCGAACCAGGCCATGATGGACGCCATCGAGGGCAAGTTCAAGTTCGATCGGAGCAAGGTGTGCATGGTGGGCGACCGCGCCGACACGGACATCAGATTCGGGATCGAGGGCAACCTGGGAGGCACCCTGGGTGTCTTGACGGGCGTCGCGACGGAGAAGGACTTTCTGGAGGGAGACATCCGACCGGCATACTATGTGAATGCATTGAACGATCTCTTGGAGGCCGCATGATGGCTTCTGCCCAGGGTGGGCTTGAGGGAGGATGGATGGTCCGAAATGCTAGATTGGATTGCGGCGTACAGGAAGAAGAGAACAGTAGATGTCTGAGGGTAACGGCACATTGGCTTCGAAGCGATAGACTAGATCTTTGCAACGCAACACGGTCTGCATTCCCAGGGCCCCTGTATACACCGACTCAGTTTCAAAGCTCGCAGTAGAGTCTTGACACTCTCGTCAGCTGGCTTCCCCCTGTATCCGTCGCTTGGGCGGCTTCTTCCGTGAAATTGCTCGCTCTGCCAACCCAGGTGCCGACGTCTTTGTTCCCAAAGTACGCATACCTCTCGACCCAGCGGCAGCCGTCGAGCCACGGCACCGCCTCTTTGATGAAAGCCTCGACCTCCTCGACGCTGGCCTCTCCGCCGCCCATCTTGGAGCAGGCAAATTCGTTCACCCACAGCGGCAGGCCGTACGTGGCGTGCATCTCCTCCAAGAAGGCCCTCATGTCCGCGAAACGCGGGCCGTACCAGTGCACCACCAGGAAATCAATCTCGTGTCTCCCGTCCAGGACGGAGAGGAATGAGTTCAGCCACGGCTTGCTCCGCGACACGTCGCTGCTCATGCCGGGACTGCCCAGGCGGAGATTGAACTTCCGCTTCACGGGCAGGACCACGTCCGTCCACAGCCTGGCCGCCTCGTGCGCGGGGAGGTTCGCCTGGTCTGCGATCTCCGGCTCGTTGAACCCCAGCAGCGCAGAGGTCTTGATCCCTCGGTTCTGGATGATGTCGGTCAGGAACGGGTCGAGTTGGTCTCTGGCGTTGGCCGCGGTGCGGACGCAGGGAATCCATTCCACCTCGGGCGGCACGGAGTCCGGCACCCAGCATTCCCAGTTGAAGACCCAGGAGATCTTGCCCGACGTGGCGTACGGTCGGTAGAGGGCGAAGTGCGTGCTGGGTTGGTCCCAAGGCCATCCTAGGCCGCGCTTGCGGCTGTGGGAATTGGGATGAGACACTGCTGGGTTTGACGAGAGCGACTTGGGCTTGGGCGGAGGAGGGGGAGGTCGAGCTTTCTGCATTCTGGTTGTGAATTTAATGCCCTGCTTCGGTATTTGCAGAAGAGTACTCGCGAGGAATGAGTCTGGGGAGCAAGTACATGGGAAGGTATTACACAACAGGCCTTGTTCAGAAATAAGTGGTACTGTATGCAGAGTCTGACGCGGAGTCTCCGAATAGCGACGAGGTAGCGGCCAGGTTCGATATGGCTAGTATTATCAACAAGGACAGGGACACCACGATGTCTGATAGTAGAGCAGATACCCATCCCAATGAATACATATACTATTTCCTCCCAGCGAATAAGACTTTTCTCGTCAGACTATGGCGCTGATTTTGATATCGAATGCTCACAGCCTCGTCATCTCCTCGACTTTTATCACGAGCAGATGGCGCTATAACAGATGAGTTATTCCTACTAATCTCCAGATCTTCACGCAGAGCTCAGGCCTATCCATTTCAAGGCGGATTGAAAAAGAGCACTGATGATCTGAGGCTTCGCCACCAGATACATCGTCCCTCCCAGGAGTCCGAAGTAGAAGGCCCAAGTCACCGCTCCGAATACCTGGTGGCCAGCGTAAATGGCCTTGATATTGGCGCCCTCATTGAGCTTGGGAAAAGGTCTATCGGGGACGTCCACTCCCAGAAAAGCGCACAGCGGGCCCCAGCCCTCTTTGACGTTGTACTCGAGCAACTGTCCCTCGGGGACCAGCTCCCGGACTCGCTGGTTGTGCAGTCCGTACATGTGAGGGCCTATCGAGCCCCAGTCGCGTTCCAGCCGGATCCTGATCTCTCGGCACATGTCGTCCATCCGTCGAAGCAGGCGGACGGACGATATCAGGGTCCGATAGACGTGCCTCCGTGGGCCGGTGCCGAAGTGATGGCCCACGCTCTCCATCCACGAGCGCCACCACGACTCTTCGGAGTCCCGGACCGTCAGGATGAACTTTGCCTCTGGGTACGTCGCGATGGCCTCGGGGATCAGGTCACACATGGGGCCGTCCATTGTCGACCGGTACCCCCGCGTCAGAGCGCGGAGCCGCTTCTTCATCTCATCGCCTGCCGTCTCGCTCTCGCGGGGATGCTGATTGAGCCAGTGCATGAATTCGATCACTCTTTCTCGGTGATCCGGACGGCGGTATATCTCCTGCGGGTCCGAGTCAGTCGGGCATATTGAAGCGTTGGGACTGAAAACGAGGAATGTATATTTGAATACAAACTGACCACTCCATGGTGCACAGGACCAAATCCCAGCATGGTCAACGCCTCACGCAGAGATGTTGTCCCGGTCCGCGACAGACCCAGGCCGACGACTTCAAACTCGGCAGTGCTATCTGGACGCCATTGAGAGTCACCATGTTCGTCGGCACTGATGCCGAAGAATTTGGCAAGACGACCCTGCGATGAAGCCTCCTTTGCCATGATCCAAGTGTCGTGCGACGTTCAAAGCACGCGGTATTGAGAGGAGGCACCTCTTCTCTTGGTTTGAAGCTGGTTATATAGCTCCTGGACATCGACTGACTTACCTGCGCAGGCCATTTTTCGAGGAGCCACTGGACACGTTAAGGCCAGCATCTCGAGTGGCTGTCAGCCTCGACGCGAATGTCACATCGAGTCGGAGGCCTGAGATGCCGCAAGCCCATCAAGGGGACTTCGCTGAAAGGATCAACAAGAGGGATCTGCGCCATGGCACTGAAGTCTTTGGGAAGAGCTGGACTTTGGTGGACGCAAGCTTAAGGAAGCTGAGGTGAGAATACTCTCCTGGTATTCTCTATGTCTTGCGTGGTGGAAACCGACATCCGGTTGCCGCGACGGATCTCGGCTGTCAGAGAACAACGGCCTCAACGACTCCGGTTCTTCTCATCTCGATCTTTTGTTATGTGATGGTATTCATGTCAGCGGTGATTTGGTCCTGTTCCTGGTTGGTCGTCATGCTAGCATTCATTGCTCTCTATGTCAAGATATCTGTGCATGGCCTGATGAAGCTTCCTTGTCGTCTATATTGCTCTGTATATCTCTACCGAGTAAGCCGCCTCAGAATATACGCAATTGCAACAACAAACCCCCAGGAGGAGATGAATGAAGGAGCAGACTCTTGCGAGGCCAGCCGAGGAGAGAGTACAAGAATACTATCTAATCATATCGTCGAGTCTGAATCTACCCCATACACCGACGCTTTATCCGCCAAGTCATTTTGGCAGGGAGGGAATACTGCCAGTCCCAACCACCCACCCACCCACACATTCTGAAACGATGAAACAAAACCCCTCCTACCTATTGTGAGTGCCAGAAAAAAGTAAGAGGAGACAATCAACGGAATTGAACCCCAAAGTGGCAAAAAAACTCAGACTTGTGAGAAAACCCCCTTTGGGAAGGGGAGTTTTTTTGTTTCATATCCCATTCGGTTGGCTTGGAACGACGCGATGCTCCCACTTATAGCTTGTGACAGAGCTCCTACACAAGGTCCAATTCACTATGATCCTGGCACGATCGCAGACTATGAATTAGGGAGATACAGAGTAGAGCTCCTACATAGCCAGTGCTCCGGGCACAGTCACTACTAACTTGGCCTTGCGAATTAGGGAGATGAGAAGACTGTGGAAAAGACTTACTGCAAACACCAGTTTCGCCGGTCGAATGTTGGGACAGATTTGGTGTCTCAAATCTTTATGGCTATCTATGATTTTCTCCGGTCCTAGGTGGGGTTTAGTTGGTACCTAGCAAGTGATATATTACTTGGCGAGTGAAGCGTGGGAGAGGCTGTGGGTGAGGCATTGGGGGTCGACGAGGCTGGGCTACTACAATGCGACCTGAAACGGCAGAGGTAAGTCATCATCTACCCCTTGAGAACGCAGCCGGTCCAGAAAGAGTATGCCAGGCAGGCTGAGACTCTCCTCGCCTCCGAGGAAGTGGTTATCTACGATATCCATGATGATATCAAAAGCCAGGAGACTTGGTGAAGGGGGTTCAGCGACCATCGAGAGTGCCCGAATCGCACTCCTACTCAGTCGACCACCAACGATATTCCTGTTGACCCAGCCGTGTTTGTTTGATCGAGTCAATGAACGATCACCTCGGCATGCCTCGTCTTTCTGCATGACTAGACCAACAGCGGCTTGACGGCTCATCGTCACCCTTGGGGGCTCTGTTTGTCCGCGCATGACGAATGTGGTGACCAGCCACGGGCATACATGTCGAGAACAAACTGACCCTGTTTGCGAAATGTATAGCCATCCCGACGGGCTCGCGTCCGAACTCGATCCCTCGATCTACTGATCCTGGGGCCTTTGCAAAATGAAAGCCAAACAGCCCTGGTTTCCACGCGAGTCCAGTACCGGTGATGGCTCTTTACGCAATGGCGAGAGACATGGCGAGAGGAGCGGTTGCTCTACGGGAGCCTCGCTGGCATCCAGTCAATCGCGCCATACTAGTCTGAGAAAGCTGCCAGTCTTCGGATGTTTCACTGAGCCTGCGGCCAGCCATGGCGATTCTGGGACTCTCACCGAAAAGGGGCAGCAGCACGCGTCCAGGGCATCATCCACTCCACCGGCCTCGAGGATTCCCATCCTCGTCGTGCCAGAAGTCGTGCCAGAAGAGAGTGCTGGGCCCTCGTCTACACAGTCGGAACATGTTTTGGCTGCTCCCGGGCACGGACCACGTACGACAGATTCCCCTGCAGTCGCACGAACGGACGAGCAGTCTGTAGAGATCACAGGAGACGAGACCCGAGAAGAGAAGATTGCGGAGGACCTTCGAAATGTGACTGGACTGCCAGCAGAGTCTGCTGCGCGCAACCCGTTCCCGCCGTGTTCGTCAAGCGAGCATCTGGAACGCCGCGTCTTTGTTCCACCACCTCGACGCCCAGGTCCTCACGACCATCGGGTTCCGCCACAAAGAAACACATGGCTCGACCCTTTCGTCGGTTCCGGAACGACTCAAACTTTGATTCCTCTAAATACGGGCCAGAGATCATCGGCTCCCCGGGTTGTGCTGTCACGATGGGAGTCCTCGTCTGTACAGACCGGTGTCGAAGGTCCTCGCAGGTCCGCATCCCGCAGGAATACAAGAAGTCGTCGTCGGCGCTGTCGTCGTGCTAGGTCGAGTCGATCATGCAGTCCGGCATTGCCACCGAGAATCCCTTTGGTTGATTTGGTTGACTCCCATCACGCTCGTTACCATCAAGCTACGCCGACACGAGCAGCACCCGTGCTATCAACTACCGCCACGCAACAAGACCGCAATCACGACGCGCCTGAAGCATTCACCACCACCGCCAACGACGACAAAAGCACCGCTTCCAAAATGTCGAGCTATACTATGACCTACTCCCCAACGTCGCCCAGCCTCCTCACCCTGTCGCCGATGGTGACGGTGCCCATCGCGCCGCCGCCCACGCCAGCCCAAGACATTCCTCTACAGACGTCCTCTCGCGACGTGGTGGACGAGGTAGACATGAACATCGACGAGATCTTGTCGGCGCTCCCCATCGGCATCCCCATCCCACCAGGAGAGCAGCCATGTGCGCTATTTCCCGTGCGCAGGGCGCCGACTCCGCCCTCATCATCCTTGTACGGTCGAAGCCGGCGCTCGAGCGCCGCTAGCAGCAACCCCTTCGTAAGCGACGGAGAAGAGGGGGAAGAAGAAGGTGGCGTCGCTCTCCGACACAACCCGTTCATTCCCATCATGTACCCAGGCCGGGGAGAAGTCCCGCGGCGGCTTTTCGAGCCCCAAAACAAGCTGCTCGCCGCGCTGGTCCGGGACAGCTACCCATGTGACGACGACGGCGACGACGGGGATGATGAAACCGAGGAGGTCGGAGAAGACCAAGATTTCCGTGACGATGAGTTGGTCACGGTCGCCCGGGACGGAGTCGCCAGCTACTGCCAGCCCGCGTCGCTGTGTCGGGCCCACCGCGCCTGCATGCCCTGCGAGAGGGGGAAGCGAGCAGGGGAGATCGACACCACCGGGCCCCTGCGACAGCGACGGGTGACCTGGCAAATCGACACCAAGGAGCAAGAGGCCAGATGGGTCGACGTCCAGGCCCGAGGACTCTCCGCGCGGGCCAACAAGTTCGGCGCCGTCGGGCAGCAGGTGACCAGCCGCACTGTCCCGCCCCCGGTCTGCGTCGTCCAGGACCACGAGAAAGCCGTGTGGACTCCTCGCGGATGGGACGTGGTCCTGCGCTCTGGGCTGAGGACGGCCGTGCAGGAGGGAGCGCCGTGGACGACAAAGAACCAGTTCGGCTGCTAGACCGGTTCCAGTTTTGAGGGATCTTTGGGCGTGGAAGGGGGCAGTGGGAAAAGGAAAAGGGGGGGGGGGCTTTAAGCACCTCGATGGCGCCACGATAGGGATGAGAATGAAGAACGGTGCATTCTCGCCCACACATCCATCCCTTGCCTGAGCGCATGGGCGCGTGCCAAAACATGCAAACTCATCTGCCTGCGGGTATGTGTATTGGGTGTTGTCACACGGGACAAGCTACAGAGCCCTGGGCGGGCGTCTAAAAAAAGTACGTGGTCAAAGATATCCGTCTAATGTGCAGAGGACACAAAGATAGAACAGCTCAGTCCTGGGTATTTTCTCGACTTCGAAATACATCGAGTCTCGGGCAATGAAAGCATTTCATCAAGCACAACGGAAGGGTATCAGCTATCTACAAGGGTAGAATTAGAACAATCAATACAATTCCACCACCAAAACTCCAGACGGTCTCGTCAGCTCCGAAACACCAGAAAACTTGCTTGCCCGTGTCGAGATACCGTCCTTTCGTGCTTGTGCCTCACTCCAATCGTTTTCAGTGGGCCGCAGGTCACAACGCGGGTTGTGTTGTCGACGCGCGAGAGCATTCCAACAAATCCTGAGCCGGCTAATCCAATTGCAGAATTCCTTCGCGCACTGGCTCCTCAATCTGCCACATTTGGTGAAATGCAAACATTGTGTTTGTTCGCAGTCTTGTACTAGCTCGCCTAATCTTGCGAGGTAGACCCTCTCCTTCTCTTTCGCTACCAAGGCATCTCACATCGTCGCTCCCGTAAGCGGCGCGGAGACATTCTTCCTATCCAAAACGTTGCCGTTCGCCTCGTTTAGAATCTCGGCACCCGTTGCCCTTGCACTAGCTTCCAAATTCGGACTGTCGTTTGCATTTCCGTCCTGCTGTGGTTGCCCGGTCTCATCCAGCAACGGAATTTTATCGATCGATTGCCTTTTGTCATGTCTTTTGCTCGAATCGTCCTTTGTCATGCTCAGATTTACATCCGAGTCCACGGGCCCGTTGGGTGGACTGAACATCGCTCCCGGCGAATTCTGCCACTTGGCCACGTCGCGCTTCATTTGCTCCAGCTCTTTCTGGAATCGCTTCCCAAAAATGTCCATGTAGTAATTCGCCCCGTTCCACACGGACCAGCTGAAAACGAACAACAAGAACAATGCGCTAGGCCATCGGTACCAGAACCAGATAGGACACGGTATTATCGTGAGACAGGCATACAGGTATTGGATCACCATAAAGGCCGGCTCTTGGAGGTAGTCTGGTAGCGAGTTGACCAACTTCCCGATCCACGTCTTCGCGTATGAACGGCGTAGCCAAGTGAATGATGTGGGTCTGCCAGCTGCAATTTTCTCAGCGCGCCGGACAGAGATGAAGAAGTGGTAGGACAACTGCCAGACCGCGTAGGGAATGGTAGCCCACAGTAGCATTGCGGCGAGTTCATAGTGGCCGGGCGAACCCTTTGCGCTGTATTTGATGGTATGCACGGCTGGAAAGCGTTGGCGCAAGTACTCGTCTGGAGTGAGATGGACGATGCAGTGTAATGCCACTGGAGGCATGACGTGTATGAAAAGGCTGGTGACTTTGTCCAGGGAATGGAATACTAGGGAGTTTCTCCACATGACGATTGCGACGGCGTTGTTGCCGTAGGCAAGACAGTAGGCGCTGATCAAGAGACGCTTTGAGCGGGGAAACGCCCAGATGGTGCAGAGGAGCAGGAAGTTGACAAAATAACACAGATCTGCTAGGAAGTAGTGGTAGCCCTTGCGGTGGTAGGTGTACGCTCGTATGGGCATGAAGTAGATGAGTTGTATGGTGTACCACCAGTAGAAGTATTGAGGCACAGCTCCAATCAGGTAGCCACTTATGAAGACGTTGAGGACGGCGGAGATGAAGGAGACCTTTTCGCGGATCGATATTGTAACAACTTCGTTCCATCTCTTGTTTAGATCATCCACCGACTTCTTCATGCGCGATCGGTACTTGGCCAGTTGTTCGTCTGCCGGGGGAACTCGTTTGCGCCATTCAGCCACGGCGCGGTCTTTCGCATTGTTGCCCGAGCTCCTTATCCTCTCCTGCTGACGCGCCAGCTTCTCTTTCTGAGCCTGTAAGGTCGCCTGCCATTTTTCGAGCTTGGCCGGTAAAGCGAGGTTGTCGAAGATGTCGAAAAAAGTGAGCTTGTCGAGGGGCACCTCCCAATCTTCCTGTAACGACTGGCTGCCAATGTAGGAGGGATTTCTGGAGAGGAGATATGGACTCCCAGGACTGGAGGATTGATAGCCCGATTGGTAGCCCGGTGTCAAAGCACCTGTCAGGGAGCCTGTGAGATCGGAACCAGCACTACCGGCGACATCGTTGGAGGTCATCTCATCCAGGGCGCTCTCGGTTTTGGAGTGAGGGATGGGTATAGGTTCTGACATGGTTGAAATATACAGCTAGAGAAGGGACATTGGAGAAATGAAGGGGCGCGATAGGAAGAGGCGGCAAGGATAAAGAGCGAGAGGGAGGAGGGAGGATAGGTTGCGGGAGAAAGTTGATATGCAGGGCGGAATGCTTGGATCGGAGACCCTGGGATGATGTGATGCATGCGCTGGGGTACGATTCTCCAGATATTATAGCAGATCGGCAAAAGACAAAGGACACGCAGGCAAGAAATGGCGAGAATACTATGCTGAGAGAAACGGCACGTGCCAGATTACCAGCGATACCGAAGCCTGGAGGGTCATGCTGCCAAAAGGGCACATGAGTCTTGTGAGAGATGGTGTTGATGTCTGTGTCTCTGGTAGCAGAAGAATCGTGGTGTTGAGAGCGAAAGGCTGAGGAGCGTGCGAATATCGCGCACCATGAGTGGCAGAATCGCAGGGTCGCAATACGTCAACGCCAGACACGCATCTCACAGGCGCCCACAGGCATCCACAGTGGCACCCCCAGCACCCGCAGGCACCCTGGCATGCCTAGCATTGCCTGGTGCTCCCAACGTTCGGCGGTACTACGGCTCCCCAAGGCACTTACTAAGCCTAAACCACCCGCACTTCAGGGTCTGCCGACCTCGAGAGCCTAGTCTGTTTTAAGCATAGCTGGGCCATTAAACTCGCCTTGTCCCATCCTTCCAACGCGCCCTGCCCTGCCTCGCGTACTGGTTCTATCAGTACGAAAGTATCTCGCTCGCGTCTCGTTCATCGGTGTCGATACACACCAAGGGCGCGCGCACACCCAATATCCCGATCCAGCACAACCGCATCGTCGCGTGTCTCAACTTCGCCCTCCCTTCACCGTTACCCTGCCACTCTGTTACCTGCGGTCTGTCATCCTCCATGTCTGCGCTTTGATCCCTTCAGATTCAACTCACCTTTCGTGCGAGCCCACCTCCTCTTCGACGATCAAGCCCAAGATGGGAAAACTCAGCAGGCTCGAACTTTACAACTTCAAATCCTACAAGGATCATCATACCCTACTTTTTGGCGATGCCTATTTTACGTCCATCATCGGTCCCAATGGCTCAGGCAAATCAAACGCCATGGACGCCATCTCCTTCGTCCTCGGGATCAAGTCATCCCATCTTCGATCTACCCATTTGCGCGAACTGGTCTACCGAGGTCGGGTTCTACGAAAGTCTGTTGCGAATGGCGAGACTGAGGCAAACGGAGTGAACGGTCATGATGAGGGAGAAGATGGATCGCAGACGAACGGCACACAAGAGCGCAATGACCCCAAGTCCGCCTGGGTGATGGCTGTGTATGAAGATGACGCTGGTATGGAGCAGAAGTACAAGCGCGCAATCACCAACCAGGGTGTCTCAGAGTATCGCATTAACGAACGCATTGTCACGGCCCAACACTACAACGATTCGCTGGAAGAAGAGAACATCCTCATCAAGGCACGCAATTTCCTCGTCTTTCAGGGCGATGTCGAGGCCATTGCCATACAGAAACCTCAAGATTTGACGCGCTTGATAGAACAAGTCTCGGGGAGCATTGAATATAAAGCTGATTATGACCAGTTAAAGGCAGAGCTAGATCAGGCAGCTGAGCAACAGGCGTTCCAGCTTAATCGACGTCGAGGTATCAACGCAGAGATCCGTCAGTACCAGGAGCAAAAGCGAGAAGCGGACAACTTTCAAAAGAAAGCCGCAGAGCGGGATGAAGCGATTGTGACTCATGTCTTGTGGAAACTATATCACCTGCAACGCCAAATCGAGGAGTCCAGCGCCGAGATCCAGAAGCACCAAGAGGAACTGAAAGAATACCGTCGCGGCGTGGAGAAACACGAAAAGAGCCTTGACCTGGCAAAGAGGGAACACGCTCAAGCTTCACGAGGCGTCGGTAAGATGGAAAAGTTGATCAAGAGTAAAGAAAAGGAGATCGAAGACAAAACTTCGTCCATTGTGCCGATTGATGAGCAGATCTCTGTCTCCACCCACCAGCTCACCAAATACGCGAATAGAGCGAACACGATCATCAAAGAGCGGAATACGCAGGCAGCGGCTGTGGCGCAACTTGAAAAAGACCTGAAGACCGTCGACAAAGCGCAGACTCAATGGCAGAAAGAATGGGAGCAGAATACCTCTCGGTTAGGTGGTCAGTTGACCGATGCTGATCTTCATGAGTACACCCGACTTCGCGAAGAACTCAATAAGCGTGCCTCCGCCGACCTGAATCGCATCGAGAGGCTCAAGAGCGAGAAAGCTCCAATTGAGGCCACTTGCAGCAATCTGAGAAACAGTGTCCAAAGTACCGAGTTCAAGTTGAGCTCCCTCGAGAATGAATGTGGTGCGCTCAACCAACGGCGAGACGCAGTCAAGGAAGCAGTGAAACAAGCACAGGTGGAGATCGACGCGAAGAAGAGAGAGCTCCACGCTGCCTCTTCTAATCGACTACAGGCAGCACGGACTCGAACTGAGCTTGATGAGAAACTCGCCGAAGTGGCTAGAAAACTTCTGGAAGCTGACGATGGTCGTCGGACGAGTGAAAAGGAGGGGAGAATGCGGGAGACCATCACTATGCTCAAACGCACTTACCCCGGTGTCAAGGGCCGCGTTCATGAACTGTGCAGGCCCAAGCAGAAGAAGTTTGCGGAAGCTGTTAGTACAGTGCTAGGTCGCAACTTCGACGCTGTGGTTGTGGACACCGAGGCAACGGCCAAGCAATGCATCGAGTATCTGCGAGACCATCGCTCAGGTCAAGCAACTTTCATTCCCCTTGACACAATCCAGGTCAAAGCACTGAACTCCAATCTGAAGGGCATGCATAAAGGCATGCGTCCAGCTATCGAGACGGTGGATTACGACCAGTCTGTTGCGCGCGCAATTTCATATGCTTGTGGTAACTCAATTGTGTGCGATGATCTCAACATAGCGAAAGACCTGTGTTACAACCGCCATGTCGATGCAAAGGCTGTCACGTTAGATGGCAGTGTTATCCACAAAGGCGGGCTAATGACTGGTGGTCGTGGCAAAGACCAACCCTCTCGACGTTGGGACGAAGCCGAAGTTGATAGGCTCAACAAGCTCAAAGACAAGTTAACGGAGGAATTCGCTGCTCTGCCACAGGAAAGCTCTCGCCGAGCAGAGGAACAGACGCTCCAAAATGAGCTGAGCGGTCTTGAAAGCAGACTGCGGTATGTTAAAGAAGAACTCGAAGCCCTTGACAAGAATCTTCAGAGTAAGAAGCGCGAGGTCGATCACTTCAAGCAGCAACTGGCAGAGGAACGGCCGAAGCTGCGACAGGAACAGAACAAGCTGCAAAAGATTGACGAAGACATCTTGGAATACCAAGAATCCGTGAGCAATGTGGAAAACGAAATCTTCGGGGATTTCTGCCAAAAGCACGGCTTCGAAGACATTCGAGACTATGAAGCTCGACAAGGATCACTCCAGCAAGAAGCTGCTCAGAAGAAGCTCGAGTTCGTCACACAGAAGTCCAGAATCGAAGGTCAACTCAACTTTGAAAGGACCCGGCTTCAGCAGACAGATGACCGTCTCCTGGCTCTACGAGACAAGGAACAACGTGATAAAGAGACGATTGACGACCTGAATGAACAGAGACAAGGCATCCAAGACGACATCGACACACTGAAGAACGAACTTGATGAGCTACATGCTCAACTGGATGAACAGAGGGAACTCCTGAATGCGGCAGGCGAAAAGCTGGCTAAGCAGAAGGCAGAGTTTCAGATGCGCGCCAAAGAGATGGAGAGCACATTCCGAGCAATCAATGCTCTTGAAGGAGAAATGCAACGCCATTCTGCAGCGAGATACAGCCTTCTTCGCCGCTGCAAGATTGAAAATATCGCTATTCCACTCACTGAGCAATCCGCAACCCTTGACAGCGTGCCCATCAACGACATGCCTCTTGAGGATGCCGAAGCGATGGGGGCGGATGAGGAGGAGCCAACCTCTTCCGCTCTCAAGACATTTACCATCAACGACTACGGTGTCGAACCTGATTTTGATGCGCTAGATGACGAACTCAAAGAGGAAAACAGCGAAGCAATGGAGTCCAAATTACAAGAAGACATTGCCAAACTAAATGCCACTCTGGATAAGATGCAGCCCAATGCGCACGCCGCACAACGTCTTGCCGCTGTCGAAGCTCGTGCCCGGGACACAGAGCAGGAATACGAAGACTCACGCACGAGATACCGTGACCTCAAAGCGAAATTCGAGGATACGATGGAAAAGCGCAATGAACTTTTCAACAAGGCATTCAGCCACATCTCGCAACAAATCGAACCCATTTACTCCAACCTGACCAAATCGGACGAATTCCCGGCTGGAGGACGTGCGTACCTTACAGCCGATGAGGAAGAGCCGTACCTAACCGGTGTGAATTACCACACTATGCCACCCACGAAGCGCTTTCGGGATATGGAGCATTTGTCAGGAGGGGAAAAGACAATGGCAGCACTGGCACTGCTCTTTGCGATTCATAGTTTTCAACCGAGTCCATTTTTTGTCCTGGATGAGGTGGATGCGGCTTTGGACAATGCTAATGTGGGCAAGTTGGTGAATTACGTGAAGAATCATGCGGTGAGCAATTTCCCCTTGTTGTCAGCCACAAGAAGCGGCATATCTGGCTAAGTTATATGTGATGTGGAGCTAACGATATCTTGTAACATAATAGGCCCCGGGAATGCAGTTCATCGTGATCAGTCTAAAGACTGGCTTCTTTCAGGGCAGCGAGGCTCTGGTGGGGGTATATAGGGATCAAGGGGCGAACAGTTCCAAAGTTCTGACGCTGGATGTAAGTCGCTCTTTACCTTCTTTTTCCATTGTTGTGGAGGTCTATGTCGAGGTGCTAACACGAACTTCAGCTGAGGAAATACGCCTGATCATTTCGAGGCATTGGAACGCCTCCTTTGTGCGAATCTCTCGGGCGAGGTTGGAAAACCGGACTTCTCGCGCTGTATTACGACTTATTGTGCTACAATCTCGCGAGGAAAGGCTACGGCACAACATGAAAAGGGGTGGGACAAGGACAGTTCTTATACTCGGGAAGACAGACCCGTTCTCAACACGGCCAGTTTCACGACGAATACCCACGAGAATTCAACGTATTATGCTGCAAAAGGTTCCTGGACCCCAATGTCGATATGGTCAGGCCGGGTCACGCAACCTGGTACGCCATTTCTGTGCCCATCTACTGACCTGACGACGTGGCGATGTGTAATGGATTGATGGGGGATCGGTTGATTACATATGTGTCCTGCTGCCACTGCAAGAAGAGCGATGCGTCAGATATGTGCTGTGAATGAGGCGAACGGATGAGTTGTGCCTGGTTGGCCACTGTTACTTGTCGTCTCTTTTGGGAATCCCTGACACCTGAAAGGCGCTGATAGTGCATTGTTGATCTGTACAATACACAACGTCGGTTGAGCCTGCTGGCGCTCGTGCTCGTCCTTTTCCTACTTTGTCCCGCAATAATCACAAGTGGACAAAATATCAGAAAATCGAAGATGTGGATTGGAATGTTGTCAACTCTATGGAATTCGTTCAAAAGCCTTTCTTCTGTCACTCCGTCCGGTTGGGGGGCCACATGAATTCAGTCTCATCATGCTCCCCTGCGCCCTCATTTTCCCTGTGTCAGTGCCGTACCGGTGAGCACGTTCAAACTGCTGAGCTGAGTCTATATAAAGTTATAATCCGCTTGACCGACTCATGGTCTGGCGTCGGCGAGATCAAAGTCTCAAAAGTCGAGAGCCAAATGAAATATATCTCTGCGCTTGAAAGCCACGAGAGAAATCTTCTGCCGTGGAGAAGCGCATTTAATTTTTCTTGTCCTCAGGGGCCTTCTGTTTCTCTTCCTGCCTCCCCTGCTCCGAGACATCCTCTTCCGCCTCTTTGGCCTCTTCTTTCGCATCAGCCTTCTTGGCCTCCTGTTTAGCATCCGCAGGCTTGGGCTTGGGCTTCTCATCGATGTCTTTATCATCTTTAACAGTCGGGCTCGCGCTCTTCTCGCCCTTTGCCTCTGAAGTCTGCTTGCTTGACTCGGCCTGCTCATTCTCTTCCTCAATCAGCTCCTGCTGCTCCTTCAACACCTCCAGACGTTGTTTATTTGTTGCCGCCCCCTCTGCATTGTGAACCTCGAGTTCAATCTCGTGGAATAGTTCCTCGGGGATGGAACTCAGCACTGCTTGCAGTGCGTCAATCTGCGAGTCGATCTCACTGTCTTTGCCAGACGTGTACATATACGCATTGCTGAGCACCAAAAGTGTTGACGGAATGTTATATTTGAGACGGAGGTCGAGCCACATTTGCAGATCCTCCCTCAACTTGCCGGGGGACATACCATGGGTCCGAAGCCCACGAGAGGCGCACGCCATTTGGAGTTCTGGCACAGAGAGCGAATCGACGCCTTCAAAGGAGATAGCTTTGTCGTCGCGTTTGATCTGACGCATGCGGTGGCGGATTTGATACCGCAGCATGGCGTCCGTTCCAAAGGTATTGAGATTCATGTACTTGCACATGCCCACAAGCTGTGGTCGAGACAAATTGTCCAACGTCAAATCGTCCTTGAAAATCTTGCACACTTTAATAACATCCTCTCTGGAAGGAGATTCACCCGTAGCGCGGACTTTGCGGAAGAACTCGGTGAACTCTTCTTTCTTTGCATTGACGGCAGAGACTGGTAGGCCGGTCTCACGGAGCGTGTTGCGCAGGAAAGCAGAGACTTGCTTGCGGGTTTCCCTGAGATGGGCAGCTTTCTTTTCACGGCTTTTCTGGCCTTCGAATGTCGAGGGAAGCAGATTCGGGAACAACTTCAGGGCGACCGGTAGCAGGAGTTCTGCAAACGGGACGATGACGAAAACTGAGAAGGGTACTAGCCGGCCGAGATCTTGAACTGTCCGTTGCAACTGATCGATTGTCAACACTTCCGCACATGCACAAGGCGATCAAGGACTGCTTACCTGTCTGTTCTCTCGGCGACTAAGTTCGTATCCTGCGGCCATTTTTAACGCAAGCCTTGAGGAGATTTTGACTTCCGCGGCCAGTAACTTCGTTCCGTCCCAGTAATGCTGAAGTTCTTTCTTTATCTTTTGGCCGATAGTGAGTTTCTTGGGTTCCTCCTTCTTGGCCGCTAGTTCCGTTGCCTGCTCCTTCTCGGACTGGGCAGAAGCGGCCTTTTCAGCAGCCAGCTCGCTGAGACTGGCTTTTTCCATGGCATTGGTCTTGGCGGTCGCAGTAGCCGTCATTTTGGGGACATGTAGCTGTTCATCGGACTTCTTCAGCTCTGCGACCGACGGGGTCGGCGATGCTTCTGATGACTTCTTGGCCTCATCCTTTGGCAATGGTTTCTTAGCCTCATTTATGTTGAAGCCTGGAGGAGGGCCGCCGTCAGGCCCATGCGAGGTTGTCTCTGTTGCATAATTCCTCTGCGGCAAAGCAATAGCCACTGCTGAGAGTTTTAGGGGGAGGTCTCTGGCGAACCTGGATCGAGAGGAGTAGACGCTCAAGAGCGGAGAGTGCGAAGGACGAGGGTATGCTGTTCACAAGTCAGTCGGAATCCAATTCCGGAGTCGACGCAGACACTGACATTGCAAAAGGAGTCTCCTAGCTGCAGCATTGCTGATTAGTCTGGGACCGGAGCTCATGATGGACGAAGTGAGAGGCGAATGGGAAGGAAAGGAACGAAGGGGGTCGAAAGTAGAATGATTGAAAAGGCGTCAAGCCGGTCCGGGAATGAACGAGGAAAATCCGAAGCGATCACCGAGTCAAATGATAAAACTGAAGATGTGTCGTGGTGTAGAATTACGAAATGTATAGAGAGGGATTAGGGAGCGTGAGGAATGCGTTCAGGTGTCAGGTTCCAGAACTCAAACCCAGATCGCTAAGAGGCCCAAAAGGGGAAAGTCGTCGAAGCCGGGCCGGGATGTGCACTACGCAGAAGTCGCCTTATCGGAGTTACCAACAAAAAAGCTCGGCGTTAAGTCCAATCACGTGATGCGAGAGGGCAGAGACCATGTGAGCAGGAAACATTGTGATGCTATATGCAATTTCGATGTTGTGCTTTTTATGTTACAGATTGACTTGATGGCGGGTTGTGGGATGGCCAATCAGTGAGGGCCAGATCCTGCACTTTGAAGAACTGTACGTAACACAGGGGACATCGGTATAGGCAGAGCAGAGCAGTGTCCCTGCCAGCCATTTCAAGACTGGTATCTCTGCCTTTGCCACTGAACAGCACTCGGTATCGCATTGAGCTCGTTCTATCACGAGGCCGCGATTCACTTTGAGTTGTTCTGCAAGATTCGCCGTCGGTTATACTGTCGGCGACACTCTCGAGTTGCAAATCACCATGTCGGCATGCAGATGAAGTTCGATTCTCCAAAGTTTAATCGGAGTCGCCATCACCATGCTTATCCACACTTTGCTTACCAGGTGAGTCCTTCATCGCCTCATCGTCTGATGGATCACGTCTCCGACGTTTTGCTTCAGGCGACGATTCGTCCGACGAAGTGTTGCGTTGTCTGCGCGCAGCGGGCTCATATCTCTGTAGCGATCGCCGTCGTTTATGGTGTGGGCGGCGACTCCTGCTTCGACTCGAACTGCCTCTTCGTCGAGAATGGTACTCGTCGGGGCTGCGGCTCAATCGACGGACATCGCGTGCATTGCGGCCCCTGAGAATATCAGCGCGCCTGTTGTTTCGATTGTCATCAGAAGAGTAGTATGAGGGAGATCGCCTATGACGTCTGTCACCCTTTCTGTAATCCCTCCGTCTGTCCCGTGATCTTGACCTTGACCGCGATGATGAGTATGAGCGATCTCGACGGTATCGTCGCCGCTTGGGGCTCGGGCTTCGACTCGGACTTGAGGTTGTCCGGCTGCGTGACCGTCGTCTTCTAGGCGTCCGTGAGCGTGAGACATCAGAACGTGTTGGAGATCGTGTGCGTCTATCACCAGGTGATTCGGGTGTTCTTCTCAGCCTGCCTTCCCCCCTCTGTCGAGGTGACTTGGTCCGACTCTTGCTTCTTGAATCCCGTTCTCTCCTGGGTCCTGGTGATGGGCTCCGCGAGTATGGCGCTGTCCTCGACCTGGACCGGGATCGGGATCGGGATCGGGATCTGGAAATCGACTTTGACGCGGATCGGCCAGCACGACGCGAACGCGGCAAGGAAGGCGAGCGAGAGATGGGGCGAGAGGGAGATCTCGTCGCCGAACGTCCTCGGCCAATGTCCCGACCACCTCTGCCTCGGTTCCCAGGAACATATGTGTCAGTCTCCCGACGGGATGGAGGGCCTCTATACGGAGACCTTCTTCGACGCGGAGGAGACCTCGAGTATCTCGGAGGTCGTGTATCGTATCCTCGTCCGCCCCGACCACCACCACGGCGACCACGGCCACGCTCAGCCCGCTCACGCTGTCGGATGGAATCGATATCCCGCTCTTGAGTTTCTTCTTGCTGTCTTTTATTTTTGGCTTCCAAAGCGGCTTTCTCGGCGTCGATCTGGCCACATCAGCGGAGTTCAACATGATCGCGCGATCGCTGTACCTTTTCTTGTATCAACTCCAGCTTCTTGGCTTCGAGTAACTCCTTCGGGACGCCTTGCGGATTTGACTGTGCACTCAGGCACAAGTTCCACAATTCCTTGCAGAATCTGGGGGTATCCTTGTCAAGAAATCCGGTGAGCGAGATTTGGAGCGCTTTGATGTCAGGCTGGGGCTGTTAGTCCAGAACAGACGAGAGTTGAGGGGACGTCGACATACGAAACGCGAACCCTCGAGCAAGTTAAAGCAAAGCTCGATAATAACGTCATCTTCCGAGCCAAGTATTTCGGAGATCTTGCCTGCAATCCATCTATAACACCGCATCAGAAACCGTTCATTCCAGAGGGGACTGGCGAGTAGCCTTTGATGCCTAGCTTACTTTTTCATGACTTCAACGTTGACCTTTTTCATATCAACCTTTTGGTTAAATTCGGGGGGGAATTTGGTCTGCCGAAGCAGTTTCTGGTCAACTGCCGTGGCCATGATGTCGCCAAAGTGCGTCCACAGGCACAGGTTCGGGCACACGAGCGCAGTTGAAAAGACTGGAGAAACTTGGAGACTCCAAACTGGCAAAGTCGAGCAACTAGGCGGAGGTGGGTTGTAAGGGAGGAAGGTCAAGCGACCCCGCTTATTGGTCTCAGCCTCACGCCTCAGCCTCGTGGTATCGACTGCCTCCCAAGCGTAAAAGCTGGGGGTTTTTAACTGTCGTATCATGGCGACTGCCGCAATGGAAGAATGGAGACATTGTCGTCAGCATTGGTGTAAGGCGCCAGATGGTTAGGTCTTTCCCTTTCGATTGTCACGCAAGAGCGTTCGTGGTTTCTTCCTTGTATTCTTCGATCCTTTGCATCTGCCTGACGCTGTGCTCTCTTCATGTTTCCTATACAGCTTACTTAGACGCGCCTATGGCTTTGCTTCCACGTTCATTCAATATGAGTAATGAGCACACCTTGTCCGTGTGCCCCCTCAACTAAACGTTATTCTCCTCATTCCACCGGCTTAGGCTGGCCCTGGCCTGAGCATCCTGCCTGCGACCACGCACCCACCTCTCCAACCCTGGCTCATTTCCCCAATGAAGAACTTCTACAGTATCTGCAAAGACAAAAAGAGCTGGCATGGACTACTTCCGAGAGATAGAGGACTTTGCTCATGTCTGACAGGCTTAGGTCCCGCAAGTATCGACCTCAGATTCTCAAAGGGACACCTTTCATAAAGCCCCAGAGGGTCGAATTGGCTCAGCTACGCTGCCCAAACCCACCTGGGGAAACCCTTTTGCTCCGAAAAAGCAGTCTGTTGAAGCACTCATTGGGCATTTCGAGACAGTTAGTAGGTCCAGTTGCGTTCTCATCACATACTGACGACACCAGAAAGACCGACTCAGCAGAGCACCCACAGCTCCATCCGAACACGCCCTTACGAGTCCGTCGCCATCCTTGCGTGAACGATATTCGAGCGCGCTCAAATCACAAAAGCAGACTTCTCCCGGCTATCGCCCTGACAAAGCCGTCCGCGGACGGGGTCTCCGAGAAGAAGAAATCCACTTCATTGAGCAAGCGCTTAAGAGAAGGCTCTCTGATAGCTCGCTAGACCCAAGAGCCTCTCATAGATCACCCGAATGCTACCCAGCAACGGACCGGCCACGAATTCAGGTAAAGGCATCTGCACGGTCTATATCGATAATTATTCCAGAAGGCGTCAAGCTTCCGGTTGTTGCCACCATCGAATCTGCGGGGTCGTTTGAGTTTGAGACTCAGATGTCGACTTCGAATGATAGAGAAGCAAGCAAGTCAAGCAGTACTGCCGGCTTTGATCCAAATACGCGGGAAATGAGCCGTCGGCAGGAAACCTTGTCAGAACAGACAACCACTGAAGCAATCCGAGCCAGTGAGAATCAGGAGATAATAGCAGGATTGGGGCTGCCCTTCCTCGCAAGAGTCAGCAAAGGCCGCTTGAACGTTTCAGAGGCATCAATCTCTGCGCCCCAAAGCGCCGACGTATCAGCTTCAGGACAAGTCTTTATTCCTCCTCACGAACGCTCTCCCGAAGAGGTTCCCGACCCTCTTCATCACCATTCCAGAGAAGCAGAAGTAAAGCCGAGAGGTGATCATGAGACATCTGAGCCGCTCAAAGAGCCTCGAGAAGTCTTGAGCTCTCAAGCCATAACCGAACCAGCTCTCGACCCCGCTGGTCCTGCAGATACCGCTTCTCCCGAAAGTGAACGTGAGCTTAAAGCTGAGGAAGCAGATCCGAGCTCTGAAGAGCCTGCTTCAACCTCCGTGACCAAATCAGAGAACCCGTTTGATCCTGTTGCGGCGATTTCCTCTGAAGTCGATGACCCCAGACCGTTCTCGATCCCAGAAATCAGAATACACAGACCCAGCGGCACAGTCATGTCTGATTCACCAGGGGCGGCGGACACGAACAGTTCGAGTATGTCGCCCACAACTGTACAGACAGCAAAGGAACAAAGTCCGACTACTACACCGCTCAAAGCTGTATCAAATCCTATTACGGCTGTCCTGGAGCTCAGCCCGCTTCCCGTGGATCCTACATCAGCCACGAATGCAGTACCCATTGATGCAGTGGCCTCAACCCTCCCAGTTTCGGTATCTGTCTTACCAGTAGCAGGCAAGATCGGCAAAAGAAAGAGGGTCATCCAGAAAGCGCGCCGAGTCATTGTCAGAAAGCATCTGCTTGCGATCATTTTGGGCCGGGACTTGGCCAGCGTGGTCCACCCTCAGCTCAACGCGGCCGGGAAACCTGTGCCTGACGTTCCTTTGCCTCTAGATGGCGCGAGTGACCTGATCCGCAACTATGGGAGAAGGAATAGGTGCAAGAGAGCTACCCAACAAGAACGGCTCAATCAGAAGATCGCAGGCGCCAGATTTCATGTGGGGGTGGAGGACATTCAGAGGTGCTCATCGTGTCGTGGACTGAAAGGGACGTTCAATTTACGAAGGTATGACCGCTTGCAGCTCCAGCGGACCAGGCCTACCGTGGGCGTGATTGAAAGACATGCGCGCAGCAGAGCTCAAGTCGCAGCATTCAAGTGCCAATGTTCAAATCCGTTGCTTGGAGCTGGCGGCCAGAGGGCGGCCACAGACTCTGCGCTACCGACGGCTCCAGAGCATCTGCAAGCTCATGGCATCAATGGGCATCCTTTGCCTGGAGCCGTAGGAGACACACAGCGCTGAAGTACGATGGGATAGATAGCAATATCATTATCGTGATTCTGAGAAAGGCGAGAGAATTGTAGGCTATAGTCGCGTAGACTTCACCCCATCGTTTCATCATCATCCGGCGCAAATTTGACCCTGCTGACTTCTGCGGGCTATCTAGACTGTCTGTCTGATCCAGACAAGGCAGCTATAACCTGGTCGACATCCTCGCCCGCCTGGACAAGCTCTGGATCAGGCCCTGTCTCAAGATATTTCAACTTGACATTGTAATGGAGTGAGACCAATTCGTTTGCACGTTGGAGGTCCTGATTGTGTTGGTCTTCTGGCGGTGGAGGTTGCACTGGTTGCCCATTTGTATCGTCAGATTTGGCTGGCGCCCGATCTGTCACATCGCCTGTCGTGATAACATGTGGCTTGACCAGGGCGATGGCGGCTTCGTGAGACTGCCAGACGCAAGTCAATCCAGGTTCTCGCATCTCTGGGGACATCCATCGAGATGGGCAAACTATCGAACATGCAGAATGAATGTCTTCAGCCGAGCTTCACTTACACAGACACTAAGAGACTTGAGATCCGATAGGAAGGCTGCGACCTGCATTGTTTTTCTCTATGTGGCGGCGGGAAGGTCACTGCCTGGTGGATGAAACATGCGGACTTTGGGTGACCTGTGTCTTCGGCGCAGTATCGGGCAGACCACTTCTCGCGGCAGGCAATGTTTTGGGAGAATGTGAGGGTCAAATCCGCTAACGGGCTGAGCACATAATACGGACGGCAGATGGAAGTGTTACGTGGGTTGGAAGTGAAAATGGATGTGGCTGAACGCTGAATCCGTGGTTGTACAGTACTGTAGCTGCGGAGAAGATGTTGTCACTCCTCTGAAGTCTCCAATGGCCACCACCGTCACTATAACCATCATCATCCATACTCCTCCTTCTCAATTTGTTCGAGGCCTCGTTGCCCGCTGTGCCACGATTCTGATGAACCACTGCACCACCTTCAACCGTCTATAGAGGATTCTTGACAACAAATCAACCCTCAATCAAACCAGCTCGCCGTCACCGCCTTTCACATCGCCAATCTTTCAGCGCTTTGGAGCCGCGGTCCTCCCTCGATGCTCGATTGCCTCACCTTTTGCAGCATTTATGATGAGCTACACATTCGTAGCCAGTGCTCAGATGCAATACCTTTGCCTTTTTCTGACGACCACCAGGCGAAATGAGCCCCGACAGCCTCCCTCCCTCCGGACAATTTCAGCCAGCCAGCCAGTTCCGAGAGCCACGATCATGTTCCCTGATTCTGGGAGAAGCTAACAATAATACGGAACATGCCAAAGCCCCTCTCCTTCTGCTCTTGCCCGCCGACTTTGCTGGAGGGCCTGGATCTGTACAGTTGAAAAGAGGCTGAGACAAACCCGATCTACGACGAGCGTCGATAGCCGTTCATCAGACTTGCTAGGACCTCGCTGGACGCGTGAACTGGAACCATCCACCACTGGCGTTCCTGCAGCCTCCCACGCACGTCGAGTCTGGGGCCGCTGATGACCTCGGCTCTGGCTTGTCAGGATTCATGCTCATTCCGAAGCTTTGCTCATATGTCCATGGAGGCTTTCTGGCAATTGACGGCACCAGATCATTCGATCATCCAGTTGATTGTAGGAGCTGTCGTTGTATTGTCAAATTCTAGGCCTTCCAACCAGACCCTAACACTCGCACATCATATTTGTGGGATCTCGAGCTCGGAACCGGGGTCACCATCCCAACGCGCGCTGGCCGCATAATCATACGGAAGCCTTCCGAGGACATACAAAATTCCAAATTGTGCTCGACCACATCCGGCCCAAATTGCTGCAAGGCTTTCCACTCGACAGCCCAGACCCTTCTTTCGTCCGCCTCAGCCGCCATCGCAGCTTCTACGGGTTCTCCAGGAGCGGTCACTCCCTCCCGACCGCCCAACGTTGCGCGGGACGCTCCGGATTCAAGCGCAATGTTCCAGGTTGAGCAAGTGCCAACACCAACGTCGTATCTGCAACGCAGGCTTGGTGGTGCTTTTGAATGATCAGGCGCCCTAACTTGGTGTTCTGGAAGAAGACCCAGCTCGGAAAGCGGCCGGTGTTGCCGATGACTACGGGAGGGCCACGAGATTAAAAGTTCAAGTCCACTACGACAGTTACACAGGGTGGTCTGATTGAGATCATGTGGGAATTTGCGAGCAGGTTCATGAAACCCTGCATCAAGCTATCGCTCTTCGGGGTTATCAGCTCGTCCGATCTCCTTTGCCAATACGCGATGTGCGTGTTCCACGAGAATAGCAATAATCAGGCATCCCGTCTTGTTAGAAGAACCGCACCTCTTCTGAAGTCAGGGATCTCCATCTACAAGCACAGCGACCAGCAAGTCGGCTCCTTCTTGTTCCGACCTGTGTACGGAGTAGATGGATGAACAAGCAATTGTCGTGCAATGCAGGTGTCGGTCGGTGTTGAATGTTGGAGGCCTTGTCCGGTGCCTTGTTACGTATCAGAAAACTCGTGTTGCGCAAGACGTCTCGTTGACTGACCATCGACTCCTCGGTCACAAAGTTCTCCTGGATGCCGCACAGAAAGAACGAAGCTCAAGTATCCACTCAACTGGCATGGATGTCTTGCTTCGTTTTCCGTCGGCAGAGACGTTTTCATACAATGTGTGGCTACGCATCATCACCTTCGCGCAATAAGCAGTTCCACCTCTGAAGTTTAATCGCGGTCAGGAAGTCATACTTTGAAGCAATCGAGAAGAGATGTCGGTCAGTCGGGCAGTTCGACATGGTGGGCGCCTGGTCGTGCGCGTAGATGAAGACATCGTGACGATTTCGGAGGTAGGTCGTATATTAGCGGGAACCGTTTACAGAAGGCCAAAGAAAAAGCAAACTCGCCCGCCTCACGAGGTCAGTCCAGCTAGACCAGTGCTGAAGGACTGCCAGTTACTTGGGATCCGTGACGGAGAGATGTGAGGGACCAACAACACGACTGAAGGTGACATTCTTCCCGCCAAAACTGCAACATTGCTCCCAACCCTCGCTTCTCATTTCTCCAAAGGTAACGGTGGATGGTCCTACAGTGTCTGGCCAAGATGAGGCATTTCGACGAAGTCGTCCGCTCTGTGTTATGCCTATCCATGAGGGTGCCCATCTTGCGGCCCCAGTCTTCTCGGTCCAAGTTCTGAGTGCGGAAAGACGAGACCAACTACTGGATGTGGAGTTGATTGGAATGTAAGGGACCCCTACCACAGTCCGTGTCCACACGTTTCAGCGTTTTATCCACACAAGGGAATTGCGATGCTCATACCCTTTCGCTTCATTATGCAAAGGCGGTCATGCACGACTGATGATATGCAGATGCGCATAGCTTTTGCCTAAGGTCAATCCTTGGGAGCTAGCGAAAAATTTGCATAGGCTTAACGAGGCGAATACTGCAAGCGCTCACCGACAAGGCACAGGCTGCGTTCCCAGGCCCAGACATTTCATGACCTGGCTGTGTCAACCTGGAGCCGCGGCCAGCGTTTGGATTTTGATCTCCAGACTCGTTACCAGGAAACGGGGTCGCACATTTCGCATCGGACCTCGCCACAGGTAGCGCCAAGCTGTTCGACGCGAGGTCTTGCGGCAAGGCTGTCAATTTCCCTTTGCGGAAAACAGCAATTTCTCAGCGCCGTCTCGTGGATCATTAATCGGGCTGTGTCCTTGACTGTTCCGACTTGCCTCCTCCTTGACGTGGCCATGGTTTGATTGTGCTTACAGCTGTCATGTCCACTTGCCCGTTCTTGACAATGGTCCAGTGTGCGTTGTTGCTCTGTATCGCGTCGAAGACTTGGCCGAAGGAATGCCGACATTGCCACAATTCCGCTCGAAGGTCCATGAAATTTTTTTCTTCTCAGTGAGGATACTGATCTTGCTCGAACTCCACAGGATGGTCTGCAGCGATGCCGCGTGATGGCACTGGCGCCTTGCAGCGAGGGCGGCGACGGGGGGAAGGTTCTCTCTGCATCCCACATTCCTGCTGGGGACAGTGCGAAGGGATCGATGCGCCCCATAAGGCGAAGGTGTGCGAGGGCGAGGCCCTACAATTACACGAACACATTCCCTGTTTGCGTGCATGAATGGAGAGAGGGAGAGAGAGTGTGTGTCTGATGACGAGACCCTTCGGAGACCCAAGCATGCGAATTCGGCATCCTTCAAACACCGCTTCCGGTAGCAGTTGTCCGGAGGAGAAGCCGGGGGTTTGAATGTCCGCTGCATGGCAGATCCTCCGCAGTGCTGGGTCGAAGCCTGTTTGGAGCGGTTACGTGGTCTTCCTCACTCTCTGGTTCGAAGCCTGCCAAAATGTAGCTGTGATCGGATTCACCTTGTATAAGATGTCCCATTTGCAGAAGGTAATAGTCCCGGGTGCGCGAGGAAATGGGTTGAAATGACGTCCCAGAATGGACAATTCGCCCACGGATTTCTCACAGCTGTGACAATGTCATTCGAAGCCAAACCCCATCTCAATTCTCGCGCCTCTACTCCGTGTAACACGTAATGTAATATGCACCCTCCACGCCCGTCATTTCAACTCCTTTCCGCCCCCCCTTTTTTCCCCAGCCGCGTCTCGGAGCCTTGTTCGCCCGCCGACGCCGCCCTGGTGGCCCTCTGTATCCCGTATTACTAAGCCTCGGGTGCCCCTGCAGGATTCTTCTGCTTTTGTCCGCGAGAGTGTCCTCTATTGACAAATATCATTTGATCATTAACTTCGATTCGCGGTTCCATTTCCCTAACGCACGTACGAGTATGCTATATTGATGTTATTGTTGCGTTTGGGGAAACTTTGGCTCTCCGCGCCGCCTTTCGACGGTGTCACGGTGTCATTGCCATCAGAGTCGCCGCGGAGAAAGAGACGGGGTGGGCAACGCAAATATCTCATTCACCTGTATAGATTTGGTTGAGGAGGGGAGAGAGGGGATCGCAGAGTGGCCTGCTCCTGTCCAGGACCAGGCTGGACCATCCCCCCTGGTCGTGCATCCTCGGTCTTCCCATCTATTCCCCCCTTCGATGGCCCGCCTATACTATATTCCCAATGTGTACCCTCGTGTTGTAATAGGAGTACATACGGACGTACATACCTAGGTAGGTAGGAAACTCGGCCTGGCCTCCTGCTCTCCATGGCGCGCCTATCTGTCGCCTGGGGTGGCGCGGGCGCCCGTATTGCCCGTTGGAGAAAACCGCCGTTGTTGAAACAACACTAATATTGAGGGAGTATAACATACCTACCTACTTGGGCAGTACCTCTCTACTACCACCCTTGCTACACACACGTGCACCCGTGTTCCGTCGTCTGTCCTGCATACCTACCTACCCAGGTAGGGATTCCATCGAGAGGGTCTCCGTATATTACCCAGGCCCGTCGGGTGTCTTGTCACGCCGCCTAGAATACGAGCTCCGCATCTCACGCACGCACCCGTATCCCTTCCCCCCATGTTATTTCTAACCACCACCACCACCATCATCATGGGCATCAGCAATGCATCATCTTGATCTTCCACCCTCATCAGCCTCAACCACGTGGCAAAAAGTAAGGGATCACCCCATTACCATATCTGACACCGGCGCCATAGCTGGAACTGCCGACGGGGCGGGTGCCAAAAGCGCCATCCATGGATGTCCCAACCGTCACCCACCTCGTAAAATCGCCATGTAATCGATCGGGAGTTCCCCCTTCGCCGGATACGGTCCCCTCACTTTTCCTTGGACCTTTCCCATGTCATGTCTTGGGCTGGCGTTGTCGCGCCGCCGAGCAACCGAGAGTCGCAATCAGCTTACGCCTCCGTATTCGTACTGACTTAACCCATTCCTGCGTGCCGTTGTTCAAGAAGAGATAATTCCCTTTTTGTCTCCGGGGGCAAAAGTGTTTTGGCATGGCATGGTTACACGACCATCACAACCTTGCTCAACAGGTGATGCAAGGCCGGGCGTCCGTCCCAACATCAATTCCAAATTCTTGGTCGCTTGTTTGCCGAGTGGACGGACAGTGCGCGTCGCGGCCACGCCCATCGACAACACCCCCGGCGGAAAATCACCTTCCAGGCTATATTTCGCAACGGAGGCAGCTGAGGTTGCCATCGCCATCGTCATAGCCATGCCGGATCATGGATGGATAATGCAGCGGAAGGGAAGAAGGATTCTGAGGCGTACCGATCCTCCAGGGCGCGACACAGGCCGTGGACAGACGTGAACACGAAAGAGTTTGATACGAGGAGAGAGAGAAGAACAGCAAAAGGCTCATCCAATCAGCGGCACCTGGTCAACGTCAACAAAGATGCCTCGCGATATGGCGGCGACGGGGCATAGCCATCAGGCTGAGACCCGTCCTGCAGCACCAAGCCTTGCCTCACCTTGGTTTCCATCCATCCATCCCTCCTCGTTCGTATGCTTACCGAAGGCCTCGCCACTGTCCAGTGGTGTCCTCCTCGCGCTCATGCACAATCGCAGTGTCTGGGCGGCGACTTGGCAACCGCGTCCCCCGCTCACGTAAGAACCGGTCAACCGTCCAGACCACACGAGGGCTTGCTTAATAACTCCCTGGCGACCCTCAACCGCATGCCACGACGACTCTTCTGCTTGCATGGAGAAAGCCGATTCGTTGAGCCATCGCTTCTCTGCCGGCATGCCGCATGGTGCTGTCCGTGGGATAGCTTAGTAGTAGAGCACCTCCTTGTGTGGAATGCAATGCGTGTGTGACTATACACCAATGGCACGTACCTTGAACCCTCTGTGTTCAACCGTACCCGAATAAACGGATACGGGCATCAACGATATCAGTCCGCCTGCCCAGCTCTTACTGTCACTGCTGGGTAGTATGACCACTGCTTGACCCTCTCACCCCCTGTGCATTTGGCCACCGTCAGCTGAAGTAGCAGTGACCCGGTTCATCTTGATCTCAGTCCTCGCTTGCTGTCTCGTCGTCGTTCTCGCGCCGATGACAACCCGAGAGCCAGCCCGACGACGATCTGGTGATACCAGACCCACGCAGCATGTCAAAGTGGGATCAGAACTCGGGACAATAATCGCTCAACGGTGGTGGCATGTGGCACTGCGGTTTTTCCGGAGCTTATTCAACCATCGCCAGAGGCGGGTGCGTATTCCGAGTCCTTTCAACGGTGTGCCTTCTCATTTGTAGCCGCCGTGGCTGGCCAGGTGGTCTCGGACATGCGGAGTGGGTAGAGGAGGAGGATATGCCGGTAGTTCTGCAATCCTGTCTGGTCGCAGTCAGTCAAGCGGTGGCAAAAATGTGGGCTTGAGGACCGTGTGCAGCGAAGCCACCGGTGCACTTTGAGGCGACGAATACCACGACTGTGACATGGTCCCCCTTCTGTTCTTTCCGTGTGTTCACCCCCGATCAGACCAATGACGGGAAGAGGGCATCGTTCGAGCCACATTTGCAACAGAATGGACAAATCCAGGTGGGCGTTAGTCGTTCGTGCCAGAGTGCAGAGTGCAGATTGAGCCGCACCTGCGATCTCAATCCCTCAGGCGTCGGTGAGGGCCAATGACTCATGAATCACAAACGGATCTGCCATGTAGCTGGACTTGATTCGTGCCATCAACACCGCAATTCAAACATGACTTGGTCCATGGACAGGATCCCTGGTCAAGAGGTTCGAGCTCGACTGGTGCAATGCATGGCCGGATCGACGTGCCTTGGATGACCTCAAAGGATTTGGGGATCCTGGGTGAGTTGCTGGAGTTGTGACTTGAGAACGGTTGCTGCTGTTGCTTCCTCTCCCAGAAAGGCCTCTTGAGGACAATCCTCCATCTTCCTTCCTCTTTCACGCCGACAATCTTCACCACGCCCAGTCGTGGGGAGACAAGACAGACATCGCCCCCTATCTCAACAGCACCACACCACCAGTCGGCTAGGACGTCTCAATTGAGGTCAGGACATGCCAGATCGGCGTTGTCCCTGGATCCTTCGATCCCGAACTCCCCTCCATTCATCGGACGATATACCCAATCTGCTTTAGTCCAGAAGAGGGACGAAGAGAATGAAGCTCAGAGGAGGTCTGGACCACCGTCGACTCGGGACAACAAGACGCCTGACGACAAAAGGAGTGTGGCAGGGGACGGGTTGTGTAGTCCCCAGCAAGACCGCCTCTGTGTCCCCCATGTAGTCCAGGAGGCTAGAGGTTGCTCTCCCCCCGATCAAGACTCGTCCTCCCGACGCAGGAGACAGCAAGTTTTCCGTGGCAGGTACCTAGAGAATGATGAGAGAGTTGCTCCTAGACCGGAAAAAGAAACTGCTGGAAGAAAAAAGGAACTGAAATGAATCAGAACGGGGAATAGATAGTGTCATTTTCTCGTCGCGCTCGGACTGATTTGTGACGGCGCGGCTGGAACCAGCACGGTCGATATGCGACCCTAGACGACTCGGTCAACTGACTTGTAGCCCACAGCTGCATTCGCACGGGTACGATTCCGTGGCCCAAGGCCCCGGTCCCAGCTGCAACTCGATAGCCTTGTATGCCTGCAGGAAATCCAACCTGGCACTTTCGTGCCGTGGTTGTATTGCACTTGGGTCCCTTTCTTTTTCCACCTCCGTCTCTTCTCTATCTGTCATGGTCCATGGTGCCTTGATTTCATAATGTTACATTGCAGTCTGCACAGTGACTGGAACAGCCCAACTCTTCTCTCCGTGATGTCCCGTTTCGTCATGCTGGCCAAGTCGACTTCCACCGCCTTTGACAGGGGACCGTGTATCCGCTGAAACAGGGCAAGGTAGTCGAGGCGAGCAACGTATGTGGCTGGATTATGGATCGCTCCAGTGCCGTTTGGCGAACCCTGGGGCACGGATTTCGGAGGGGCCCCAGCACATGGTCGGATACCCTTACCGAAAGCGCTAGCTGCTGGCGGTGGTGATACAAATCAGTTTGCTGACGAGGAGAGAATCCGGTGTGATGCGCGGCATTTTGCAGAAGACAATCCCCATAGGTACTGTGAGACGGCCTTGGCATGGAGACAAGGCGCTCCAGCTAGAGACCAGGACCGTTATGTCAAAGAGGGAGGGAGGGAATCCTTCCAACCGGCGGCCTTCCCATCCTTCAATTTATTCCCAGGCAGGGGGCTTTGCATCACCAACTAATCCGCAGGTCTAACTTAACCCAATATGCTGGTCATTTTCCGATCCGTTTGTAGGCCGTTTGGTGATCCGATCTCGAGAGGAAGCCAAATCATAACTCCGTGCTCTGATCAAGTTTCAGAGGTCCCCTCCTGGAATGGGCGGTAAGCACTAAGACGCCGGATGAGGGGTCAACGAGGCCATGTCGTCAGCAGCCTGTTTGCGTTGTGGCTTGTCAATTTCTGAGGTGCTCTGCCTCTCTGGGTTTGGCCAAATGGTCAGGGAGAGCAGTTGTGAGCGACATCCAATGGCTGATTCCACCCGTCATCACGGATGATAGCAAGATGTCTCCAGGTCGGACGCTCTGGTTCGTTCGTTCTTTAGGGGCGTGGCATGATGCAATAGGTCCAATGCAGCTTTGTGACTCGTTTCGTGATAGTCACAGGCCCGTCGAGTCGTCGGTACTGCTCGGGCACAAGCAGTGAAGGGTATCCCTTGACCCCAAGAGGTCCAGAGCTCTGCTGGTTCTCCACATTCCCTCGACTTTGCACAGATGAAAGCCTAGTTAGCATTGTCGAGTCTGGGACCAGCACACCGATGTACCCACAGACGGTCCGAGGCTCTGCATCCCTGGCCCAGGGTGAAATGTTTGCCGCCGGCGGACATGGCGTATGGGCTAAGACGAGTACGCTCTTTCCCGCACACCCCAAGCTGAATGCACTGGCACCGATTGACAGGAGAAGGCGACGGCCTTCTGCTAATCGCAAGCGTAAACTGCGGCATGGATACATCACCATCAAACATGTTTTCCATACATGCCACCACGACTCCTGGACATGGGAACGCTCTGCCCTTTTTATCCCACCCAACGGGTAAGTTTTTTGAGAGGAGAAAAAATAGTGGTCATGGTGGGCGAGCGCGGTGCCTGTGTGTGATCCACTGTCGGGCTTAGGCGGTGCCGAAAGGGCCTGCTGCCCACACTCGTCTTCTGTGTGCGACGTGGAAACTGTTCTCGAGTACACAGAAGCACGATACAATGGCATAGCTAGTCTCCAGGGTAGTGTCGTTGATGTGTTCCCGTATTATAGTCTGACGTCAATTAAGGTATCATTGAGACTGCCATTTGCTGCCTCACAAGCAAGAAACGCTGCGGAAAAAAAGAAGTTCATTGGCCTGGCAGCACTTTGTCCCTTTTGCCTCCAGTCCGCGGGTGGCTGCGAATCGTAACATCGTCGCGCATATATTCGTCATTGGCCTGTGAAGGAACCGTTCTGATTCGAAGTTCTTTGCATGACAAGGGAGAGAGTCGATGGCCGAAGAGGATCCGGCCACAAGCCATCCAACCATCCCCAAGACCTTGAGGGAGAAGAGCATAGGGGAAAGCTGGGATCGGCATCCTGGATCCTCTGCACTCTCATCTGCAAGACTAGTCATTGGCGACAGTTGGCAGTCCAGAGAGGAAACTGCAACAAAGGATGGCGGGGTCGACAGCCGCCAGAGAATTCTCGAGCCGGTTAGCATGCCTATCCTGCACCTCGGGTCCTCCCGCCGGCCGTAGATATCAGTTGCAACCCTCAACCTTCCCTCACCATCCTTGCAGAAATAGAGGGGTTGTTAGGACCGAAGCCCGATTCCCAATTGTCGCTCTTTCAGGTCTCGTCCTGGGCTTCGTCAATCGTGGCACCACCCATGGGCCGGTCGGAGAGGCCGCTAGGGCCTCGTCCTGGGCTTGAGTCACTCCCACTTGGTGAAATTCCAATGGGATCCTGGGGAACCTCCTCGCGCAAGCACACATTTTCCAGCATGTTGGTCCATTTCCCACTCTGGCCAGCGTGGCTGTGCTTGAGATGCTGTCTGAAGTGGTCGGCCCTGTAGAATTTTTTCGACTGGTTACACTCGCCGAATTTGTGGATATTGGTGAGGTGGTCGATCCGGCGATCCCAGTCCGGCTGAGGTAGATTGGGAAATTCTTCTCCGCAATAGCCGCACACATCGGTTGGGGCGACACCTGCTGGAGGAGAAGAAGACGGGTGAAATGCGGCCTCATACCTTGTGATAGCCGCACACGACCAAGAATGGCGCCGTAGGTGTAGAGAGTTTTGGTGACGTTCAGCCTCATTTTTGTTCTTGAAGCGGTTGTTGCAGTATTGGCATGTGTACTGCTTCTCCATTTGATGCGCTCTGGCCGATAATCAGCGGAAGAGTTCAGCGATACGAGATGGCGGATGAGACCCGGGCCCAGAGCGTGGGGTGGGCAGAACGAAAAAAAACTCAAGAGCGTCCACTTACCTCAATTCTTCCTCTGTGTCGAATTTTTTGGGTTTCTTGGGGCAGCAGTCGCAGATAAAGTAATTGCCAACGCGGGTCGCAGGAGGAAGCCTCGAGTCGCTCATGGCGGATGGTGTAGATAGCTTCGGGATGGCAGGTTTGGTATCGAGCGGAGACTGGGTTGATTGTTTTCTAGAGGGTGCAATTGACGTGGCAGGGCTCGAAACAGGCTGGGCCGAGGTTATATATGCAGCCTGGGAAGCAGGGTCTAGCGGTGACTGTCGCTCGAAGGAAGAGATGCTGGTCATGCTACTGCCGGCCACTGAAAGAGCGACAGACGATGCATATGAGTTGTGCCTGACGCTCGACGCGGTCGACGAAACAGATCCATACTTTGGTTGATAATACTTCGACACTGGCGACCGTGCAGACGCGGTCGTGGTGACTTTTTGGAACAATTCTGCTGATGCGTTACCACGTGACGGGGATTTGTCGTCCCGAGCCACATCGGATGGGGGTGATCCTGCCCTCCGCTTCATGCCCTGCTTAGAAGATCGCCGACCCACCTGCTGCTCTGGTCGGTCGCTCAGATTGAGATTGCGGAATGCATTGCCATCTTCGCCTCCAATGTCGGATTCTGTCTCGGCAAAAAATCCTTGGTCATAACTGCCGCGATGTGAGCGGCTCGCAAGACTGACCACTTCATCGAATCCCGGCGCCGCGCCGCCAACCACGGGCAAACCGCCCGCTCGAGGCTGAAGAAACAGTTCTGGGTCCAAGACGAGCGAGTTGCTCGCGCTCTCCATCGAAGGACTCCGATGATCCATGTTGTAGTCACGCCAGCCCGCTCGCGATCCAGGTGAGACACCTGCTGATACCGGACTGGTGATCCATCTAGACACCGGATCAAAGAGCGCCGACGGGAGCTCATTGGCTGACAACAATTGGACTTTTGAATCCTTTGTTTGCAGGGAAAGCTTCGTCGCATAAGATGAGGACTCTGTCGAGCCCGAACGCTGATGTCGCGGTGGCGAATTCGTCTTTCCGATCTTGGACAAAAGTCTCTGATCGTATGCTTGCGACGACCGGTCGAAATTTCTCTGGGCCAAGGGCACTTCCCCTTGCAATCTAAAATAGAATATCTCATCAGCATTCCTTGTCCATTGCCACTTGCGGCTAACGGCTCACGGGCGGCAACTTGGCCCCCACGACGCGCGCAAACGACACGGAAAAAGGCAAAACGGAGAAAACAGGTGCACCCCAACAAACACGTCAGAGGAGCGTTAGCCGGTACAATACGATGTCGTATCGCCGGATTGCGACAGAATGAAAAGACCTGGAAAAACGAAACAAAAGGCAAAGGCGGAAACTTTGGGCTTGGCTGAATGATGCCACGGCTGACTCACCTCTGACTCGCCAGAGTTGGAGAGGGCGGTTTCCGAATTAAGGCGGGCACTGAACCGGCCAGACGAATATCGGCCTGTGAAGGTGACCTTACCGTCGAGACATTGCTGCTCCGGCGGGCGTAATCGTCGTCGTCGAGGTCCATTTCGTCGGGGTCTTGAGCACGGCCAAAGTGGCTCCGCGAATCCAAATAGCCACCGTACAGGCTCGAGCCTGGCTTTATAGGCGCCAGCTGTCGTTGTGTCTCAAATGGCTCGCCGTTGGCCCACTTCCAGGCAAGGTCTACTCCCTGGGCCAACTCGGGATTGTGTCGAGGGGGTGGGAGCGGTGGAGGGATGTCGTTGAAGCGGGCGCCAGGGATGACCATGGCTTCTCGAGGTCGAAGAGAGTCCTCTGAGGTTTGGGAGTTGGACCGAGAAGTAGATCGAGGTGTAGCAGCATTGTCTCTGTAGGGTGGTAGTGGTATCCGCATTCCGGCGGTACCAGTCCTGCGGATATCCATGTTTTTATTTGTGTCCGGGCCACTGCAACATCAGAAAATGGCGGGAGGCAACAAATGCTCAGCTGGGTAGTTATACTGCAAGGAACGGCCCTCCGGTTCTTGGACCTGATTGTGGCGAGGGTCTGAAACTCCTCGCGGACGGCCCGTCCTTGGATATGTATGCCTTGCCTTGGGCGTATGCGTCACTCAATCAACGCACATGTGCCTGACGTTTGGTGTCCTGGGGTACCTCTTCTCCCGGGCGGTATATCCTGAATAGTCGAGAGCTAAACCTTTCGCGTGCTCTCGCTAGCCAATGTATGGTATAACAGGGGGGTGGGTGGTGTGTGGGTGTGGCTTCCCTCGAGGGAATAAGTAATGTAGCAGTCTATGTCGTAGGTTGAAAAAAGTACAGGGTTGTTACAACAGAGTATATGGCGGTAAGGACAGGATGTAGAGCAGAGGGGACTATCTCGTCTCCCTCTCTCTCAAGGCGGATGGGTAGCAGAATGGAAAGGACAGTATTTGAGGACCAGTCAACGGAGGAATCGAAGATATGAGGAACGGCCTAGGAGGGGTTTGTCGAGCGGACCGAGGAGCCACAGTCAGGCGAGCAGCAAGTAGGAGGAGCGATAGACATGCTGCATAAGAGTGAGGTATGCGGTGTGAGGGAGGATGGGAGGTGAGGGAAGGTCGCAGACGGTGATTTGCTTGTAGGATTCGCACTCGCAGGGTTTCCTGGGATAACACAGCCAGCAGTTGGGCAGGGCCACACGGTACGGAGTATAGGTGAGCGGAATCAGTAGGGTCCTGTCCGTTATTGGGTTCTTTGGTTTGACACAGTAATGGCCGTAGCAAGCGTAGTGTACGAAGGGGGGAGGAAGTACGAGGTCTCGTCGACTGAGGAATTGGGGGGGGAGGTCGAGGCGAGGGAGGACTGGTAATGGAAGGCGTGGAACGACTAGAATAGTTTCTCTGACGAAGACAAGTAGGGCGATGGCAATAATGGCACGCTCCAGTGCTTGGGAGCTCCGCAGTCCTTGTCTGAAGTCAGTCATGCAAGTTTGCCAATACAAGCTTGCCGCCATGCGATTGCGCTTTGCTTCTTTCTTCACAAATCGGGCCAGGGTAGGGGGGGTAGGGCAGGGCAAGGTGGTCCAAGTGGAGTGGCTCAAAAAAACATCTCAGCAGCAGCAGGGCTGTTCGAGGGGCAAGCAAGGAAACTCTAGGAGACCAGGGCCTTACATCCAGCGAGAATGCGAGCCACTCTGGAGCTGGAGGCGTCGGCAGCATGCGCAGGCGCCCGTGGCTGTCATCGTTTTTTTCCCCCTGCTCGTCAGGCTATCTGATCAGAGCTGGGCTGGAGCTGGGCTGGTTCAGCCCTACGGCACGCATAGCCCAGATCGGCCGTGGGCGTTCTAGCGTAAAACACCGAGAAAAGAGGCTGCAGCCGTTCCGTACCAGGAGGGTGGAACCCCCCCAAACACGACCCTGTTGGGCTAGCCTGGGGGGCCTCTAGGCCTATGGCTAGCCACGCTGCAAGGGTTAATTTTTCTCTTTCCTCTCTCTACCAACGCTCCCAGGGCTTGGGCGGCGCGATGGAACCTCGGGGTCGGGGAGGGGGGCGCGCTTGGTGCTGCCTCCCGCATCTCCCTGGGCTCTCTCATCCTTTCCATAATAGTCAGTGCAGGTTCCAAGTTCCAAGCTTGACTCGGCTCTCTGCACGAAACGTGTGGCCGGACTCCCCTTCCCCCCAGTGCTGCAAGGTTCAATCGAGTCAGCAACCTCTTGCCCTTAGCTGCCCTCGTTTACTACGTACTCTTGTACGTACCATACGAAGTTGGCATGTCTTCTGATCCCTTGCACTTTTACTATTTGTGCGCATGATGAGCCACGCACACACACTCACACTCACACTCGCTGAGCCCCCCCCCCCCCCCCCTTAGCAATAAGCAGGCCAGAATGGCTGAGACTTAACCTTGCTAGGTTGAGTAGTGGCTGATGAGGAAGGGGTGGGCGAGAGGCGGCATGGGCTGACCTCGTGCGTCCCCAGGCGGTAATATGGGTGACGATGGAGTCTCCAGAGTCCAAGTGGACACCCGATAGGGCGAGCGTACCAGGCCCAGGGCGCCAGGGATCGAAGTTATTGATGAGACCGACGAGACTAGGACCGAGTTGTCCACGGAACTAAGTAAAGGCGTGGAAGGCAACGAGGCCCCTGCAACGGTGGGCGACGATGGGCCACTGCTGCTACGAGCAGCTAGCCTGGAGTGCCCCGCCAAAACCTGCCAGCCGCTTAGTGGTGGGACCTATTTGAGGAGAAAGTAGCCCTATGAAGCCCATGGTCAGGGCCTCTTGGGTATCTCGACCTCAGCCGGGCCTGGGTGTTGTGCACTCGAGGTCGGCAAGGCGAGCTGATGGCCGTAGGGAATGATTCGCAGGCATTAGTTCTGCGGTGGGCCGTTGGGTGATAATTGGCGGACAACCATGACACGAATACTGGAAGAGTCGGACAGCACGGCATCATTTGTCCCCCATCGTCCCAGCATCGCATCATCATCATCATCATCACCACCACCACCACCACACCCGTCGCCCATTCCTACTATGCCCATCATCATCATGGCTCTCATCTTACCACAAACTTGCAAATGGCACCTAGACCTGGTTGGTGTTGGCCGCTCTGGACTCGGCCCCAGCTGAAGCCTTATGACTAGTATCTCGGAAAAGGCGGGTTCCATGGCCTGGTGGCGTTGTTTGCGTTTTGCATAATTCAGCTAGGGTGATGCGAGATGCTTTTCCTGTCCGCTGTGCGTCCCCAGCCATCGCCTTCCACAAACGGGCAAGATCTCGACGGCAACGTTTTTGCAGACCGATCTTCCCTTTCCCGTAACCTTCCAAAAGATTCCTCTTGCGGTAGGGCACCTGGGCACCGTCCACGACATGGGATACAGGGCGCTCGAGGGTGCACCAGGCCAGGTGTGCGCGCATATCGATTGTGCCCCATTGCCTGCAAGCAACAAGGTTTTTCTGGATGGGTTCGTGCATGTAGAGCATTCACCTTAGACGGTCTAGCTCCAATGGATCCCTGGGTTCAAGGCTTCTTGTCACCCCGACCACCTGCGAGGACGAGGGCTCGTTTTCGCTTTCACGTCATAGGTCCCGAGGCCACGCTGACCAGGGCACTGGGCAGGATCCTAGCACCACCCCGTCCAGCGGGAGCTAACGGCTCACAATGACCAAAGGGTCCCTCCTTCGGTGCTTGTGTGTTGGCAACGGCCCTCCTCAGGGAAGTATCAAACACGAGTTGATCCGACAGAGGGATACTTTTCGAGAGGGGTGTCATTTGACCCTGGCCTCAATGATGGGGGGGCCCCATGCCGAGTCTGATGGCCTGCATGGGGGCACCGCAACTGACTCGAGCGACAGGCTTTGCTTCTGTGCGGTATCCCTAACGCCTAGCGTCCATTTCGGGGATGCATGTGAGGCCCGGGATTTGGTTTGCGACTCCAGACCCGGCCCTCTCCCTAAGCTCTGCCCTCGCCATGATCAGTCCGGATCTCCATCATGAGCACACCAAGTCCTAGCCCTACGTACTGTTTTCCGGAGTCCTCTGCCCTACGAGAAGCTGACTGTGATGCCCTACAGAGCCCACAGTTTCACCCCTCAGTGATTAGTCAAGACCTCCCTTTCTGTTGCCAAATTTTCACCGGGAGGGTGGTATATTGTTCACAGTCTCGGTATCTCAGTGGGTTGCTGGCTTGCTCCTGTTCTATTGGGCCAGCGGCGTTCACAGGGTCGATGGGACGCCATCCAATCAATCCGACGAGGTGGCACCAGTACACTCGGTGCAAGCGACTCCCGAAATGACCAAGGTCTGCATGAGGCATCTTCCGTCTTTTCTCTGCCTCTCCCCTGCCCGCGGAATAAGATCCTTCTCCCACAGATTGATTGCTACTCCACGTTCTGGAAGTCCCTGGATGGTACACCGTCGACATAACTCGTAGCCGGGTGAAAGGAGGCAGGGGTCGACGCGACATCCTTCGTATTCGATTGATAGTCTACTGTGGTTGGCAAGGGTGGTCCAGGGCCCAGCATGATTTCCAGAATGTGGATAATATTATTTGCGAGTCGTCAAAAGATGCACAAACTCGATCGGGTAGCGGATTCAGGAGCTTGCTGGCTTTGCCAATTATTGCGCGCTTGAAGCCTTGGACGCCGACAAGGCTGGCGGTTAGGCCACTGCACCGGCATGATTGGCTATGGAGGGGGTCAGTTTGATCAACTTCTCCAGCCTGTGGCCTGAATGGGCAATCGGCTGGTGGGTGAAGTTTCCAGGCAAGTGATGGCGCAGGAAAACCTTCACAAGGAGGCGTTCTGTGCATCTGCCTCGAAACGGCGCCTGGCTTCGGAGCAACAAGCCAGACAGGGACATAGAGCCGATTGAGATGCAAGAAGTTCACCTCTTGGGTCCGCCTTGGGGAGCCCCCCTCTGCCAAGGGTGGACGAGAGGAGCGGGTCTCGAACGAAACTGGGGAAACATTGCGAGTGGCCCAAACTGACGTCGTATCTCAGATCAACAATGGCGGCGGAAGAGCAGGGGCCCTAGTAGTAGTGATTGACTGGTACGCCCAACAAGGATCACCAAAAAGTGCGGATTCGATCCCTCTGACCATGTGGAGATTCCTATCAGGTACCAGAACAACCCCCTCCCCAATCCCAATCCCGCCATCTCTTCCGAAGCTTCCAAAATCCCAGACCGACTTGTTGCAAACACTGGTCGCTAGTGCTGGTTTCCAGAAACTTCATCAAACATCGCTTGCGGTTCCATTCGAGGAAGGTGGCGGCCAAATCCAGCCGGCTCAGAGTATGATGTTCAGCGTGATGCAGGCCCGGAAGCCGGCTCGGAACAGGGAGTCTGGAGGATAATGAGTTGTGTGTTTTGGACCGTTCTATGGCGTGTTTGCTGAGCAAGCCAGAGAGGCCTGATGACAGGGGCGCTGCGTTGATGCGGTTCCTGGTTTGCTCGTCGATGGGCAAGACTTGTTTTGCCGGTTGGGTTTTTGGGGGGGGGGGTGTCGACAGAGACCCTGTCAAACCGTCACCAGGCGCCTCGCCGTCTTTCTGATCGTCGCCGTGGTGTTCGCCAATGGGTGTTTAAACCTCGGTCTCAGCTCTCTCTGGGTGCCCCTCGTTGTGCTGCCGGGTAAACACAACGGAAAGGTCGTTAAGCATAATCCATGGCCGATCAATTTTACGTACAACTCTCACCAGCCACGGATAGTGCAAGCCACAGGTCACTCTGGGGGTGCCAGTATTGGACCTCAGTGGGGCGGAGGCGACTACCCAGTACCCAGCTCGCCAGGTCAGATACTACACTACATTACATACGTTTCTATCTGACCTACATTCCGAAACAGAAAACAAGGTCGAGTCGAGGTGAGGTGGAAGTTAGGTGGAAGTGAGGTGAAAGTGAAGTGAAAGTGAAGAGGTGCTGCGTACCATATGTTCGGTACTGGTGGTTGACGCCTACTCGTACCTTGGTCTTGGCATTAGCCGAGGCTCATCCGACTTTTTCTTTTCCCCTTCAACCCAGGCTTTTCAAGGCCTCGAGGCTTCAATAATTCAAGGCCACCACTGCCAGGCTCCAAAACCCCAGACGAGCCAATCTCTTGTCGCCCCTTCACTACCCAATTTGTGTCTATGAAAAAAAAAAATCAAGAGGGGGATCCTAGCTACCACGACAAGGCAAAACCTCAAACCACAACCCTCGCCCACTCTCCGGAAAAGCAAAGGCATCATCTCACAGTCCACATTGTGGTCTCTTCCCCTTCACCGCTAATTTCCCTCTTGCGCGAAGTGGCTGGCCTTGGCCGGTTCTTCTTCCCTATCTGGAGCCCGAATCCGTTCATCGTCTGAGCTGCGGCGGTTTCCTGAGAGCCGATATGGACATCCCAACTATGCCCAGCAAGGTCCCAGGCTACAACTTGTACATTGATGGGTATGTGGTTCAGTTCAGTGTCCTTCCCACGCATGACTGGCGCTTTGAAACATGGCCTGCTGTTGTCGACTGGCTCTAACGGGTCCCCAACCCAAACCGATGGAGAATCAAGGAAAGTTCCGATAACGCCTGTTGACGAGTTCCCTCAGATTTCACGCCTTGCGTCGTCCGAAAATCCTCCAGGGCTCCAACATTACTCATGTGGTTTCGGTGTTGGACTGGAAGTTTCAAAAAGACTGGGCCTCGCTTCGCGGTTTCCAACACCTGCACATCCCTCTGGATGATGTCTACGACTCGAACATTCTGTCCTATTTCCCTCGGAGCAATGCCTTCATTCACGAAGGTCTAAAGTACTCAAGGTCCAATCAGTTGGAAACCTCTGGCACCTCCCTCAAAGATGGCTCCATCGACCCGATCCCGGGCGGGGTTCTTGTGCACTGGTAGGTTATCTTCTCCTTTTCTCCTGATCCTGGCCATGGCAGCCTCTGCCTTGCCTGCGCAAATCTGTCTCACAGGACACTGAAACCTGGGTTCGTGCACGTGTGCCTGGTTCTTGTTTGATTTGGCGTCATCTGTGGTTCTCGTCGACACCACCCGCTTGCAATTGTCGGCGACCACAGGTGTCCAAAAGCCGAGCGAGCCTTGGTCCACATCTCGTAAAGCAACGCCTTCTCAGAGCATTGAGTCGGCCTCGCCGACCGTACTTCTGAATTACTGGTCTGTGTTGTACGCTGGCTAGAACAGAACACGCGTCCTCCCCCAAGATCCTAAGATTTGCGGTTTGGCGGCTTGGCCGAATCTCGGGTTTGCCACGCTGAGCACCCCGGTTCAGAACCGCCACTCTGGATCAGAGGAGGACCTATTCTCCCGAATAAGCAACAGACCATGTGAGAGGAACCCCTTTTCAGCCTACGACGTCGTTCGGCTCGACAAACATCAGCTACGCCCATCGAGTGGTTCTCTTTGATTCTTTGCTGTTGAACCACGTGATCAAGTCTTTCTGCCGCAAGGCTGAGGTTCCTGAGAGGGTTAAGGGGCGTGTCACAATCACAACCGTGAGGCACACTGTCCTGAGCCTGGGTTATCTGGAGACTTCTTCCCTTGAATGCTGTTCATCGTACCTGATAAGACTGACATGAGAGGAGCCGCTTTGACCACCTTTGAAAGACCAAGGTCTCGTTGCTCTCGCTACCGCCGTTGCTGCGAGTGGTCTCACCATTACCATTGCCATGTTACGCGCAGGTTTTGTGATATTTTGAAATAACTTCGATGATGGCTAACATGTATCTACTAGTGCAATGGGCGTCTCCCGCTCCGCGACAGTCGTTCTAGCCTACCTACTCTGGCACTCTCGCCAACCAGCCAACATCGTCAACCCTCAGTCCCAAACCACCTCCACAACCCAAGCCCCCGCCACGTCTTCATCGTCATCACTCTCACCCGCCCCGGAGATGGTGTCCCTACCACCCACGCCGCTTACGGTCGACTCGGCCCTTGCGCTGGTCCGCGAAGGCCGTCCTCAGGTCGAACCCAATTCTGGGTTTATCAAGCAACTCCGCATGTACGAGGCCATGGGCTGCCCGACCACGCAGGAGCAACTGGAGAGCCACAAGATCTACCGACGGTGGATGAACTCGCGGAACGTGCTGGACGCGCTGAGCGAAAACCGGGCGCCGGAGATGGACCACATCAGTTTTCGGGACGAGGAAGACGACGAGAACAGCCAGGAAGACGGTGCCCAAAGGGCGGGAGACGCTGGGACCAGCGGTGGCGCGAATGATCCTCTCAGCGACCGGGTGCAGAGTCTCACCTTGCTGGACCCGGACAGCGACGAGCCGACCGAGATCCTGAACCCGGACATCACGCTGTCGTCCCCTTCGCCGGCGCCCCCCCTGCCCGCCAACGTGGAAATCAAGTGCCGCAAATGCAGGCGCCTGCTCGCCAAATCAAGCTTCATCCTGCCTCACAAGCCGCCTCCGCACCGCGACCCCTCAGCGGCGGTTGGGGCTGACCCCTGCGCGCACATCTTCCTCCACCCTCTGTCCTGGATGAGGCCCGTCCTGTCCCAGGGACAGCTGGACGGCCGACTGACGTGCCCGACCCAGTGGTGCGGGGCGAACATCGGCAAGTTTGCGTGGCAGGGCCTGCGCTGCAGTTGTGGAGGGTGGGTGACGCCCGGGTTCGGATTGGCCAAGGGCAAAGTGGACGAGGTGCGCGTTCGTGTGGGAAGCTCATCAACAAGGGCAACAGGGCCAGTACAAGGACCAGGACATGGGGCTGTGGCTTCGCTCGGGTCTGGAAATGGAGACGGTAAGAAAGCAGTCTTTGACAGCGCGGTGAGATTCCCTCCTGGCATGAGGAGGGCAGGGAATGGGAACTTGTGACGAGCGGTCCCGGCCAGTTGACCATGATGTCGATCAAGACCACATTTGACTCACTGGGGATATCCGTGTCTGGGTTATGTTTTGAATCAGCGAACGGGCAACGGTTGATACAAGCGTTAGATTGGTCAAGGCATTGGCCAAGGCCTGGTTTGGACGATAAGGCTGAAATCCACACTGCGTACGCCGTACATGCTTACGCACGAAGCGGTTGATGCGATCCGGTCATCCTACAACAAGTCATGCTATCTCCAGCGGAGAACGCCATAGAATATACCGTGTTCGAACCCCATCACCCTCCAAAGGGGTGGATCCACGCGAGAACAAAAGCAGTATCCCTCCCGCCAGACTTCAATGCTTCGTGCAGCACTGGAAAACAGGATGCCACCACCCCTGGCCTCTCTTTACCGACGACAGCTGCAAGCGACGCGGGAAAGATACCGCTCATGCCCGCACCAGGTTCAACCATCCCACCTTTCCCGACGTTTTCTGGATTTCAGACAACATATCCGTCGGGGACCATGACTAACACTTGCCCAATATGTTGTTATCCCTCTTCGATCTGCAGTAAGAGCCACAACCCCCTCATGAAGCGACTGGTGGATCGGATCCGACGCCTGGCAGAGGTCGAGGTCGCCTGGTGTTCACAGGGCTTCTGGAAGCATGCCGCTGCTTAACGCCTAACATTTCCGTTACCAACGGTCGCAGGGCGCGGTGAAGCGTTAGTTCAAGCACAGTGACGTTCTTGGGTCCATGCAGGAGACCTAACGGTTAACGACGCCTCTTCCCTCTGTGGAGATATTTTTCATTTCGGCCCCTCCTCCACCGTGAGAACGAGAGCTCATGCCGTGGCAAATTCTGAGCTACACGCGACACTGTGGTTCTGCTGACCAGCAAACGAAGTTGCTGGATGCTTGGATTGCTTGCTGTAATTTTTCTCGCCCGAGAAGACTGGACCGACCGCTCTTTACCTCTTCAAGACAGGCGGAAGAGGCACTTTCGCAGCCTGGTTGTTCCTGGTCAGTGGTTTTCTGTCAGGACTGCACGAGTAAGCACATAGCATGTGCACCCTTCCCGTTTGGCTCTACCGAGCACCTACCGCCTTTGGCAGACCTCACCCCACTCTTGCTAGGTGATTTCCAGGGGAGCCAGTTGCCCTCTCACCTTGTCCTTAGCCAAACGTTGCTATACCTGCCCTGAGGTGGTGCCCTGACCCCAGCTCACGCATGTAAGGGCATGTTTTTCATGACAAATACATCAGGGAATGCGTTGGACAAAGGGTCCCCGACTGCAACGGACGTGTTCCCACATCTCAGTCTGGTGTGGCACACCCCTTCAACAACATGTGGACAATGCAAGAGGTATCTCCGAAGTGTGGTCCGACGACAACTGGGCATGGTCGTTTCGTCCTTTCGCGCGTGAGCAACGAGCGAGAATACTCTTGACAGAATTCTGCAACTCGAACCGTGGTCGCCGTTCTCGGGATACTCCACGTCAGCCTTCTCATAATGACCCCATCGATGGATGCGTTTGTAAGTTTCAGCCTTATAGGGCACCGTTCGCTAAATTGGCAGATGGAGCATTCTTTAGGGACGGTAGGGCTCATTTGCCGCCGACCGTTGGCTCACGACATCAGGAGCTTCGCAAATCACCTCCGCAACGGCGATGCTTTGGCCTGCGCTTGGTTGCATACTTTATTGATCCAACAAGCATGCCGAATCCTTCGATGCTGACATGCGGCATTCATCGTTAAGAATGATTAGAGCGCAAGGTTCGCATGTCTTAGCCCAGTTCTTCGCTTGGCGTGTTTCATGGTCTTCAAACGGGCTTTGAGCTCGTGAACATCGCACCTCGAAACCGGTTTGCTGACTCGAACCGTCGGGCACCCCGAAAGTCAGACGTGCAACTGTCTTTCTGGGTCGGGACATCCAGGACTCGATCCACTCCACCCCTGGAGAAAGATGACAATCAAAGCCCGCCCGAACTCCGAGTGAGCGACAATCGGAGACACTCCGTCTATTTGTGACAGTCCACGTGCCAAAGCTCGCTTATCTGAGGCCCAGAATCTGGTCTGGGATAGAATTCGAGAGCATAAGAACCATGATATATTGGCAGGGAGAGGTCCACCTCGTCGAAAATGTAAAGATGAAGTTGAACGGGTAGGGCCGGGACAGCAACGTGTTATTGTGAAACGTAAATGAAGTTCAGCCTCGTGAGAACTTAAAAGCTTAGGCCGGGAAAGGTCCCGATACCGATCCCCAACATTACCCCAAACATGGAAAGGCTGGTTGGCCAAGCAAAGGATCTCGCTTGCCATCTATAACCACGGTCTCCGCACAAGTGTAGGATAGAATGTTGAAGCAGGGGATCCAGAAGTGTGATTTGTTGTCTCATGACAGCCCGCGGCTTTGGGTCTTTGACCCCCCCAAGCAGTGCAAATTGGGGAATCAGGCTTCGGCCATGCTCAGCGCACGTCTGTACCCGACGGCGTCCGCATAGGGCCCATGTGTAAGCGAGCCCCTGGACGAACGAGATTGGTGGAAGCAACTGCTCAGCGGGAGGCCCAAATGCAAGAGCGGGATCGTCGTATTGACGTTGAGTCGACCCCTTCGGTCTTCTTTTCCTCGCCTCGAGTCAACACGAGCTGCACCACGCGAGCTCGTGTTTGTATGCACCTTCCGAGCGAGAGATGTCGTACTCAACCACGTGTCGTCACAACAAAGGCTGAAATACCTGAGTCCTCTCGACATCATCTCCCGTCCAGATCCACTAATGGGGACGAAGAAATTTATGGTCGCTGACTCTCCGCTGATATCTGAACATGGATGAAAGCAGAGGACAAAACATTGTCCACTCCACCAGCGGGATGACTTCAACACACCCTGAACGCTAGTGCTGACAAGGGCAGCTAGCCCTAAATCCGGAGCAACCTCGAGCTTTGCAGCACCCTGCAGACAACTATGCACCAGGCATGCAGGCTTTCAATATGCAGAGTGCACCGGCACAGGCGTTAATATTGGCGGCAAGCAATTGACAAGTGTCGAGCGGTCTTCTCAGTCTCAGATGCAACTTCCAGCTCACCGCCAAGCCGGCGCATTTCGAGTTACTAGGGTGGCGCATCTCTGCAAGTTGAATGAGAAGAAACGAGATGAGATGATGGTTTAGAGGTCAATGCAGGACGAATATGGATAGGTGTCAATTTGGCGTCGGGTCATGAGATGTCGCCTTTCGGCGCTGCAGGGAAGAAACTGGGGTCTTTCATGCGCTGTTGGTTCCGTTTTGCAACCTCCAGGTTGCGCAATCGGTCGATTCGCATTTGATAAAAATTTCTGTCAAGTTCAGACTGGGGGATAGGGTGACTGGATGGAAGGAATGACTCACTTGTGCAGGGCATAGACACGAGGGATATCTTCTGGTTTGTCGTTCGTGCTTGCACCAGCTTGTATGGCTTTGATCTACAAAATTCGTGCCGTCAATGTCAAGGACGAAGGTTGAGCGTGAGGACCGGTGAGAGCAGACTGACCTTGTCATCCCTTTCTTTCTCAGCCTTGTCGTCGTCATCATCGTCCTTCTTTTTGTCTTTGTCGTCGTCTTTACCCTTTTTCTTAGCCTTCTTCTTGCGCTGTTTCTCCTCGTATTCCTGCTTGATCTTCTCGATTTCTTTGTCCATCCATTCCTTTTTCTTCTTGGCGGCTTCCGCGTCGGCGTCTACAACAGGGGAAGCAAATCCTCTGTCGCTAAGGTGGGAAACACAGACATAGAAGAAATCCTGACAAGACCAGTTGGTATGGTGGTCGCCATGGAACAGACTCAAAGGACTGAATGTGGCCACAAAAGAAGATCGACACTCACTTTGTTGTCAGGGGTGATCAGCACTTTGACGGAGGGTCTGTGACACACATAGCAGGCCTTGGATGAAGCTTCAGCTACTGTTCGGAGATGATAGACGTTTGGGAAGGGTAAAGACATGGTGACTGCGGAAAGACAAGGTCCCTGCAGCGATTGGAGTCTTTTCCTGACGGTCCGACAGAGACTAATTATAGGGGATGATTGTAGGGTCTGGGAATTGAGCAGGAAGTCGAGGAGCCCGACAGAAACGAGTCGGACCAGAAGTTGGAGCCCTTTTCTCCATTCTGGGAAAATCTGTGCTGCTGCTCTTTGGACGGGACGAACTAACTGTTTTAGGACATGTATATCTTCTTCTACGACCACTACGAGGTACTTTAGGTGGAATGGTCGGAGGAGGAATTTCCATTTGATGCTGGGTTACGCCGGGTTAGGCAGCATCGATCGACCGTCTAGCAAAATGTTGCGACACATGTCCAGGTTGGAAAAAGAGTCTTGCCATGCGGTTGAGATACTACAACACATTTGGTTGAAACCCAATCCTTCTTGAGCATTTACATCTGCACCGCCTATAAAGAACCTGGACGCCTCGATATACGAGAATCCAACTGCGCTTGCTGAGCAAACACAGCAGCGCCAATCGCAGGCCGGCCACCTGGCTGCTGTGGTTGGGTCGTGCCTTCTTCCAGCACGTTGTCCTTCAAAGCCTCCTCCTCAGCGCTAGCGACATTGCCTTCAAAAGCCGCAGCTCTCGACGTTTGCTCAAAGACCACCTGCCGACTCCATTTCTCCCAGTCATTGTACATTGCATTCTCAATGCCCATGCTGATCTGCAAGGCCGACTTCCCAAATCGAGCGCCCATATGTTTCGCCTCCTCGGCTGCGATCCTGTCCCTTCTCTCTTGGCGTCGACGCAGCGTGTAGAACTCTTTTCGGGCGGCGTCGTAGGCCTGCGGGACGGTGATGTCTGGAATGTTTTCCAGCAGCCAGAGCTGTCGTTGTACCACACATTCGCCAGATAGCGGGATCCCAGGCTGGATGAGGCCTTGGGACCAATCTGCGTTTTTGTATTGTTCTCCGGATGTCTCGACGATTACTCGAGGCCGCGCCAGCTCCCAGGGGTGATCGCTGTAAAAGGTTTTCCGTAATGAATCCTCCTCGTAGTGCAGTGGTTTAGGAGTGAAGACATGGCGAGCCTTCGCTGACTTAGGTCTCCTGGGTTCGGTGATTTGCACGTATTGTTCTGTCTTCCCACCTGGGAGAGTTCGTGTGCGGACTTTGGTCAGGGGATGCTTGACAGGCTGCTGACGGACGAGAATCTGTGCTGGTGGGACGTCGTGGACGATGTCGACCCAGTTGGGTACTGAAGGAATTTGTTTGGCCTTGAATTTGGCCAGCGCAGTTTTGCGGACGTTGATGGCAGTGAGGTTTAATCGGCCCATGATGGGCAGCTTGACACGCAGGCTCGGGTTCTCTCAAGTCTAAGGAGTCGGGGGCAGTCTGAGGAAGCAGGAGTCTCTCAAGGATATCTTCGCGTCTCGAACCGGCGAAACCGTGAATCTTTGCCTCGTGCCCAGCGATATAGCCCGCTTAGTTGCTGGATAATCTGAATATCCATTGAAATTCGAAGCTGCGGCGAAAATGCGCGCTAGTGGAGAAGTTTCCATCATCCCATTTCGGGAATCTCGACCGCGAGCGTTTTTTGACGATACCTTGCGCAAGCGCCTCGAAAAGATTGTCCGCTCCTTTCAAGCCGATGATGAAGAGTTGACAATATGCTCCCAGGCATATGCATCAATCCTCCAAAATTCTCGGACGCAGCAGCTTTCCGAATGCGACGTCGATAGCACGTTACAATTTCTTGATATGCGATTTCCTCGCCCCTACGATTCGGTCACGGGCTGCCGCTGCTTCAAAACAGTCGATATGCGGACAGAGCAGAGCTACCTTCGAATGGGACAGCGTAAGAGCTGTGGAGTCAGCTTTCTACAGCTGGCTGTCGCGCGCAGGGGAATGCTCGACGAATCGTCGTCAACTACAACACTCAGCTTCTACTCTCCGGAGAACGAATCGGTTGAAGCATGGAGACGGACAAGAGAAAGGAAAAAGCATGTTCAGAGGCCAATGCCGCAGTATCAGCCATGGTGTTAGCCAAAGCGGTCTTACAAGCTTGGATAGACCCGGGCAATCGACGAGGCCCAGGAATCGGCGGAAGAGCAGGCACAATGCGTGGGAGTTCTTTGATTCCAATACGCTCGAATTCGCGCAAAATAGTCGACTGCCGGCAGCCTTCTTTTACGATCTGGGCACCCTGCACAAGAAAGTGAGACTAGGGAAAGATGAACAAGATCAGCAGGATGAGCGCGAGCTGTCACAACCCGCGCTCGAGGAACAAATGGCCCTATTGAAGTCTGTAAGAGATCTCGAAGAAAAGCTAGCTGAAGCCAAGGCCAGCTTGGACATCTCGATACACAAGAAGTCCCCCACATCAGAACGTGCTATGGCAGTGACGCCCGTGGCCTCGAAGCAGCCAGCAATTGTGCTGTCAAAGGACGACTACAAGAATTTGGTGGATCTCTACTTCTTTACCCACAGCGATCGTTTCGACCCGGAGTCGCCCCATTCGTCTCCTACGCCGAAATTCCTCGAAGATTACGTATTTCAGCTTTCAGAGGACTTTGCACCCCCACAAGCATATGCGGAATTTTATGCGGATGATGAAGGTTACGAGTCACCTCTCAAGGAAGTGGAAAAGATGCTCAAATCAAAGCAGCTGCGCGAGGTTTCCGCCTTCAAGGCCTTCGTTGATCTACTCCTCGATAATCACTCCTCTAATGCAGCACTATTCAGAGCATACAAGAGGCTGCCACAACCAGGGGTGGGTTTCCTCCCCAAGGGGACTGTCAGAATATTTCTGCAACGCATGTCGACCCCATGGCAGAAGAGTGAAAAATCAATGATCAGATATTTGTCCCTGATTGACGACATGCAAAAGGCCAATCTACCTATCGCAAGGTCGGAATGGGCGTCTGCGATATACCTGGCCGGCAGGTCTTTCTCAAAAGTAACGGAATCGGAACTGAACGCCGCGCTGCGATTGTGGAGGCAGATGGAACAGGAAGCTGGTGTACAGGCTCACAATGTCACTTTCAACATTCTCTTTGATATTGCAGTGAGGGCCAACAAATATCCACTGGCTCAGATGATATTGAAAGAGATGCATGATCGTGGTCTTCATCTCAACAGGCTTGGTCGTGTCAGCGTAATCTATTATCATGGGCTACGAGGCGACGGAGATGCCGTTCGAAAGGCTTACCGCGATTTTGTCGATGCCGGAGAAATCGTCGACACCCTTGTGCTGAACTGCGTTATGGCAGCGCTGTTCAACGCCCAAGAACCGGCGGCGGCGGAGCAAATATACGAGAGGATGAAGAGTCTTCATATGAATACACGCCGAGAAGTGAGAAGTGACGGCACCATAGCATCATACCGACAATATCCAGGTCCAGGGCCGGAGCTGATACACCGTAAGCTAGCAGCGAACTCTCTGAGGCGAGTGTTGCTTTTTGCGAGCAGATTGAAACACCTCCTGCCGGAGCATCACAAGGAGGCACAAGAGATGATGCCATTGAGGCCCGACCACACTACCTTTCGGACCATGATCTCTTACCATGCAAATGTTTCCGGAAACCTCAACCGAATCACAGTGTTGATCAACGAAATGTCCGAGCTGTTTGGTCTGTCACTGCAGAGCATCCACTATCAGCTGCTGTTCAAGGGGTTTGCTCTCCATGGCGCCACAAGAAACCCGCACGCGACTTGGAATCTGCACCGGCTGAATTTGGCCTGGGAAGCTTGTCGAAAAGACATCCGAGAAGGTCAAATGGCCCGCAGGCGCGCAAGGCAGACGAAATCCGATCACCATACGCTCCCATCGATCGACGTCATCAACGAAACCTCTGAGGAACGGGAGCCATCTGTATATGGAGGACAAACAGCTTTCGAGCGTATGAGCGAATGGGACGACTTTGTTCTTGACCTCGCGGCGTTTCCTAGAGAGCGAAGAAAACATATCGAAAGGATCCATGCCGAGCTCTTTGATGAGGAACGAGAGAAGAGAGAACCTCTTATCCGAAATCCCTTCTCTCGTTCGATGAAGGAATCGCCACCACATGATCAGAAGACCTACTACCCGCTAGGAGAGCGCAAACTAGACCAAGAGGAAGGAGAATACGTCCTACCTTCGCCGATCCTGGCAATTGACCCATCAAGCAGCAAGCTCCACGATACCGTTACCCCAGAGGAGACTCTCGAGGAAAGCGTTTATGTTGATCCAGAACCACGAACGTTTCCACCCACCACAGACGCGTATTTACCAGATCCAGAACCGCGCAGTGCCGCTAGATCCTCCACCGACGACACATCATCATCGTCGTCCTTTGCAGAAGCCGAGACAGACTCCCATTCCGAGGAGCCCGATGCCGAAGACGGTCGCGACGTTCCCCCTCTTCCATCTACGTCGCGGTATCAGGTGGAGGCCACGCGCCCGCTCATCTGCTGGCTCCTGCGCGCGTACGCCAACGCGACGGGCTCCCGCCAGCAGGTGGAAGCGATCTGGGACTCGGTGCGGCCGCTGTGGCTCTCGCGCGAGCCCAACGACCAGGCCGCGGTGATTCGGGTCCTGAGACGGTGCTTGAGGAATTGTGACCGGTACGGGCCGCCGCTGTGAAAGGGATGATGGGATTTGGGTTCTATTTTTGAGGGAGGCTGGGAATTCCAGATCCAGCTGGCCCTCGTTTGAGATGCGTCCGGTCTATCAAGTGCCCTATCTAGGTGTATAATATATGGCTTGCGTATAGATTGGACTAGGGTGTGTATAAGACATGCATTCATGGTATGTATATATGTACTCAGTACAGGCAAGTCCGGTATTTATCGTCATTCTCTCACGCCAGAACTTTTATGAGTCTTTCCTCAACACGTACCTACTGCAGGTCGTGCCCTCACTGGGTCTTCCTGCCTATATTCAAAGATCCATGTCTATATCTGATCTATATGACAGGTGCACGCCGCAGCAGCGAGATAAGCGCCTGACGGTGCGGTGTTCGGCGGGCCCATTCCAAGGCGCCCAAACCTAGACCTTTTTGGCCATCCAGCCAGTTTGGTCTAATCCACGTTCTGTTATATAGACACCATTCCTTACCACCCTTTGGCGTTTGTTGCCGCCGTCTATCCGTGGTGTGGCTGCTACAACTTGCTCTCCCTGCCCGTGCCGAAGAGACTGTTCCTGCCCGCGCTCCGCGCGTCTGGGGCCCAGGGCACGGCGTAGGGGTGGTCCCGGCGCTTCATGACCAGCCGGTCGATGGCGCCCGTGTTGACGTACTCGGGCCCGCACTCTCGCAGGCTGGTGACGCCGATGTTGCGCATGGCGACTTCGAATTCGTCCCTGAGGATGTCGACCAGCTGCTCCACGCCGTCCTGGCCGTAGCCCGTGGCGAAGAGCGCGGGCCGTCCGATCCCCGCGGCCACGGCGCCCAGGCAGACGACCTTGAGGACGTCGGTGCCGCGCCGGATGCCGCCATCGACGAAGATGCTGAACGGCCGAGACTGGCCCGAGAGCACGGCGGGGGAGGACGGGTGGTGCTGCGTGATGATTTCCGGGAACCGGGCGTGGATCTCGAGCAGGACGAGCAGGCCCGGTGGGGAGGTGTCCAGGTTCCTCCCGCCGTGGTTTGAGAGAACTACACCTTCGAGACCGTGGTCGAGGGCAAGCCGCACGTCGTCGGCGGACATGATCCCTTTTAGCAGGAGGGGGAGTTTGGTTTGAGACCGCAGCCACGCGATGTCATCCCAGTTCAGGTTCGGATCGATGAAACTACCCATCAGCCGTCCGTACCCACCTCCTTTCTTGTCGTTCTTGGCCTTGGTGGTCATCATTGGGTTTTGGATCGTTTCATCAGCTTTGACACGCTCGTCCGCCTCCCTCTTGCCCGCCGCAGCGGCGTCAGTGGTTACGAATATCGCGCGGATGTTCTTATGCTGGTGGATCTTGCGGAGGAGCTGTTCGGATTTGTGCCGTTCACGGTTGACGTACAACTGGAAGAAAAACGGATAATCTGATACGGCAGGTTGGGAAACGATTTCACTGGCAGAATAGCTGGCATTGTTGGAGATGCATTGCACAATGTGCTTCTCCTTTGCGGCTCGTGCGATGGCGAGCTCGCCGTCTGGGTGGATCAAGCGTGCCATTGCGGCGGGAGAGATCATCAGTGGGAAGGAGACGGGGTAGCCCAAGATGCTGGTTTCGGTGTTGATCTTGTCCACGCGACGCATTACACGCGGGCGGAAGAGCACACGGTTGAAGAGACTGGCATTGAGATCCCGCGTTATCAAGTCGTTGGCTGCGGAGGAGTAGAATGCCCAGGTCTTTGCAGTCGCGCTGTTTCGGGCGGCGAGCTCGTAGTCGTGAGCGTTTATCAGAGAATCCAACGGTGGCTTGTCGGAACTCGAAGCGGATTTGGTTTTGGGTGTCTCTGTGGGAAGAGGTTTTGACCATTCTTCGGTGATGGTAGATCTATCCAACACTCCCTTGAGGGCGTCTGCTGGCAGGTTGGTTCTGATTATTGCTGGAGAATGGATTTCATTGTATGCCTGGGTGGCGTCTCGACCGGCATATTTGTGTATTATCCCAGGACCGCCAGGGTGCTCGGGGGCGAATTTGGTGATGTCCCAGACTTGGTTATCCACGACTATCCAGCAGTCGGTGTCGGTGTTGTGGGATGAGATCTCTGATACCGAGACTTTTCGTTGCGCCATTGGAGGGCAGTAGCAGGGAGTCGAGGTTTATGCTGTCCTATCTGCTGGATCAGCGGCAGAGACCAGTAATGAGACAATGGTTATATAGGAATTTGACCTACCTCCATGGGAATCCCCAAACAAGTCACTTTACTCCATCGGTGAAGTGGTTTTACCGGCTGGTGACGCCGATAGGGACCATTTGAGCCACCTGCTGAGCTGGTCTAGCTTTGACACCATATACCATACAACTTGACGGGAGGGTGTCGGTGTCCAGGCCGGTGCGGAGAGTGGAAATTGAAAAGGGAAGATGGGAGGAGACGAGCAGGATTGGAGCACATCAGGCACCTCCCACGTGACTATCGCATCTCGGCGGAATTGACGCCGAGAGAAATTTTGGGGGATTTTCTGGTGGCCGGTGTTCTGTCCCCTTGGAGCACAACAACTCGAACACCCCAACCAGCGGTCAGATCTTGTTCCTGCAGCTAATCTGATGCTATTGCGGTTGCAGGCTTCTTTCAGCTGTAGCTCCCTGCGTCTCCTGAAACCTACAGCCTTGTTGGCGACTCCTGTTTGGTCTTGTCCGAATCTCGTGGGTAAGCGGTGCATTCCCCGAATCACGGCATTGGCACTCGTCTGAGTCTTCTCATAGTACACAAATCGGAGGGATGGCTCGGTAGAACACCCGTTATTCTTTGGCAGAAAAGGCAAGCCTGCTACGCCGCCATGGCGAACAACACGAAACCGTTGAGGTACGCAGACGTGCGTAGCTGGATGAGATGGCCGTGTCATTCTCAAGGCTGACAGACTCAGGTCGGCATCAACCTTGGAGATCCCGTCTTTCGAGGAGTCTACCACGGCAAGCAAGCGCATGAAGATGATTTAGACGACGTCGTCCAACGAGCGCTCAACGTTGGTTGTATCAAGTTGATGGTCACCGGCTCCAGCCTGAAAGAGTCCCATCACGCTGTCGAGCTCGCGAAACAGTACCGTACGTCACGAGGACCCCACGCATGTTGTCGCCCGCTTCTGACATGTTTCAAGCTGGCACTTGTTTTGCGACGATTGGAGTCCATCCATGCTCAACACAGGACTTTGACAATCACGAGGGCGGGCCTGGTGCACTGATCCAAGAACTTCGCGCTCTGACGCTCGAAGCAAAAGAGAGTGGATACGCGGTAGCCTTTGGCGAAATTGGGCTGGACTACGACCGGCTGTTTCTCTCACCCAAAGATGTGCAGCTCAAATATTTCGAGCTGCAACTGGACTTGGCCGAGGAGATACAGCTGCCTCTATTCCTACATTCACGGGCATGCAGCGAAGACTTTGAAAGAATCCTCAACGCTCGCTTAGACAAGCTCCCCAAACGCGGACTGGTCCACAGCTTCACGGGCACCATACCGGAAATGGAGGCCCTGGTCAGGCTCGGGTTTGACATCGGGATCAATGGGTGCAGCATGAAGACCGCCGAGAACCTGGAGGTGGTCAAGGCGGTGCCTTTGGATCGGCTTCAGATCGAGACAGATGGACCGTGGTGTGAGATACGCGCATCACATGCTTCATCGCAGTTCCTGAAAGACGGACCCGTGGTCCCCAAGGCGGTGAAGAAGGAGAAGTGGCAGAAGGGGATGATGGTCAAGGGCCGCAACGAGTCGGCGACGATTGTACAGGTGGCGCACGTGATAGCCGGGGTGAAGGGGATTGGGGTGGAGGAGGTGTGCGAGGCGGCCTGGACGAATTCGACCGAGATGTTTGGATTGGGATGCTCGTAGGGGCTATGACCTAGACATCTGTCTGGCGATGACATTAGTGACCACGGGGGAATAGAGATGCCCATAAACGTACTTACCTACTTGTAGAGAGTGCTTGACTGAGGGTGCGGTGGCTGCGACGGAGAATCCCATTCTCCCAGACCCTCTCATGTGCCTCTTTTCCTGCTCCCCTGGAAACCAACGGCGTGCCAAGCCAGGCACGTGCCTGTCGTCTCGCCTCTTTTTGCCGTTGTCTACTTGTTAGTAGCGGCCAAGTACCTCGTAAGTGACTCTGATTAATTCCATCAATCGCGTCTTTTAATTAACTGTCCATCTCCCATGTGGCTCGGCGTGTCACTTTCGCTCCCTCTGCCTTTTCTTTTCTCCGCGCTGGCCGACACTTTTCGCCTCTCCGCCTTGAAACTTTCTCGTGTCTCGTTTGCTCCGTTGCAACCCAGCTCCAGCTCAGCACGAGCTACTTGCTCAGCAGCAATGATTAGTCTCTAGCTTCGTCCGATCAATAATTCATCAGTCCCTCCATCTCCATCTCCTTATCCCCGTCTCTCTCCCATTCCCTCCGTCTCTCCCCATCGTCTGCCGCTGGCTGCCTAGTGGTCCACGCATCTGGCTCTCCAGCTCCCCTTGGTGATGCTACCAATCCGCTGCCCGTGCCTGGAACCACCGTCAAACCACTGAACACATACCACCACGCCCACGCCCACATTACACGCTGGTGACGCCTTGTCGCGCGGGTGACACTGGTTGCCAAACTTACCAAGCCAGAAACTCAACTTTCTTGCTGCTTCTTGTTTTTCTTTGCCCAAAAAAAAACTCCCCCTCGTCGATCCAGCTCATTCTTTTCATCTCCTCCTCGACCGCCATCTCACTCTCCTCCACTCCTTGTTTCCTTCTTCCCTACCAGTCGTCGTCTGCCACAGCATGCCGCCTGCGATCCCTTCTGCAGTGCTTTCCACTCAGAGCTCTTCCAAACCACTCCTCGCCATGCGTCCAATCACCATGCCTTGTTGTCAGGGCCGATTCCCGTCCAGATAATTCCCTCGTCCGCTCTACCCTCTACTTAACACCACCGACCACGCTCCCGATTCGACCAAAGAACATTAAGCCCTGCCATCAGAGTCCCCGTCTACAGTCACCGCTGTTTTGGAGCATCTCGGCCATTCGATCAAGAACTCTGTCTCAGCCTATCCGTTGGCACTCGTACGCGACCCATCTAAAATGGCCGTCTAACCACCTCTACCGAGTACAAGGTCTTTACCTGCCGTCTGGCTTCAACCTTGGGAGTTGTTATAAGAGCCCACTCCAAAAGCTCCATTTCGTCACATCGCTCCTAGATTCTTCCCTTGCCAGATACTCAGATCGACTGCTCATCTCGTCACCCCTACCGGCTGGCCTCTGGACGAAAACGCACAGCCGCTGAAAAGTTATTTCGGGGCTCTATCCACGAAGTGACGCTTTACCGACCATCCTCTCGACAAACGCCGAATCATCTCGCTCTATCAAAGCAATTTTCGGGAGTCGCAAAATGAGCCAAAAAGATCAGGAAGCGTCCAGTCCTCTGGTTGATTCGAACGATGTCGCAACTGATCTGGCTGATCTCGACTTGTCGTCCGGCTCCAAGACCCTTCAACTCGACCAATCCCAACCACCTACTCCAGACGGCACAGGACGTCCAGTCAACTTCCAAGTCATTGCCCCTGGACTCTACCGATCGAGTTATCCCCAGTACGCACATTTTGAAACCCTTGCCGACCTGGGTCTCAAGACCATCGTGACCTTGGTTTCGGGGCCTCTCCCTGTCGACTATCAGAAATTCATTGCCTCCCACGGCATTACGCACTACACGATCCCTATTCTCGCCAACAAAGACCCAGAAGCTTACACGCCGGACGCAGTCGTCTGCAAGGTCGTCGAACTCATGCTGGACCCGTCCAACTATCCCATGCTCATCCACTGCAACAAAGGCAAGCACCGAAGCGGTTGCATCACAGCGGCATTCCGCAAAGTGACAGGCTGGACCTTGGACGCTTGCATCGAAGAATACGAACGGTATTCAAAGCCCAAGAGTCGCGATTTGGACAAGGTGTTTATTGCTCGTTTCGACCCTTCTCCTCTCAAGCATCTCGCCATCGAAAGAGGCTACGTCGGCGGCGTCTATCGACAACCGGTGCGTGACTCGACAAAATCCTCAATCTACACCAACAACACCGTGGAGACAGCTTATACGACGACCGACGACTCGGTCAACGATTTCCACGAGCGAGTTCGGAAGGAACACGAGGCACTTCTGGAGCCGGTGAAAGTGGGGGTATCCAACTAGGGAAGCATCGCTCATTTGGATCCATCATACGCCCAGGGCATAAAAGAGTACGATGTTGCCAGAGTGATACTGTGAGCTATCTACTTCCACGATACGATCTCACTCAGTCCACAATGGTCTGTACCAACATGTGACCTTGTCCCAAAGGCCATCAAAACACCGGCGAGAAAATGGAGGGCAACAAAGCCAAGTGTCGTTCTCGCACGAATGTACAGAGGCATTACGGGACGAGAAAATGTACTATACCAGCACCTAATGAAACAGTCCTTTTTTTCTTCTTTCTCTCTCGGTGGAAGCAATGTTGAAAAGAACTTGGAAAGCACTGGAAATCATAGAGAATTGCATTTCGAGCCCCAGATCGGCTACGGAGTTGGAACTGGATATATGAACCACACAGAACCTGGATTGCATGGAAACAAAAGGGAGCGGAAAGATATCTGGCATTTGTCGCCCATTCGGGATCTCGAATCACGTTGGTCCTCGAGGACACGGCGTGATCTGCGTCCACAGCCTCGCGGCTGTCTTTATTCGACCACTGGCGCTGGAGAAATGGTTGAGGTGCTTTTGTTTTTGTCCGCGTCACGGCGCCGGCGCCGGTGCCTGCGACAAGAAGGGAGTCTACAGGATGGCCCCCCTGACACACATTGAGGTTTCATCGAGATTCTCCTCTTTGGAAGTGGGGCGAAGGGCAAGTTTTGGTTTTGGGATTGAGAAGCGACGGCGGGAAAAGCAATAGGAACGACAAGAGAGAGAAAAAATGGCGAGACGTTCTAGTAGTGGGGGGGATCGACCTCCTTGAGGACCCGAGATCGACGCATAAGGAAATATGGCGCGCGACGTCGTGGTGGTGCGGAGGCGGCGGTGGAGGAGGAGGAGTCCAATATCGCACATGACATGGATCACAGAAACACCAGACAGCCCGAAACACTCCTATGTACCAATTTGTACCTATGTAGCTAAACACCGTCCCAGCCCAGCGTGGCAACGGGAGAAATAAAAAGAAAACCATGGGAAAAGAAAAGCAAGATACCTTCCAGTAGCTAGTATCAGAAAAAAGAGCCCGAGCCTTGTATGGAACCAGGAACCAAGACGGACCAACGTTACGTGTGTGCGCGGTGATGTTGGGAAATCAGAGACTTGCATAGCAAGTACTCCGTACTTCTCGCAGCCATCGGTGTCGCGATTCCCGTGTTCCTTTTTTCCTGTTGTCCTCTCTGCGGCTTCTCTCCTCTCTCCGTCGCGTATGGAGAACGGGTGAAGAAGCTGCTCAAGAACACGAAAGGAAACAACAGCCCAAAGGAGCGAAACCCCTCAAATCCACTTACTATCCAAAGATATCAAGCCGCAGCTGGGTGCACGACGCTGACGGTTCAAGGAAGGCAGGTTAGATGGGTGGAATATTTCAGCAGACGTGGCTAAGCCCATCCTACCGGCTTCTTTGGCCTGCACACACAAGCACACATGGGGCTCTCTCGTCATCAATTGACATCCTGACAGGAATGTGTCCAAGGCTGTCAATAGCCACAATCAGCGTGCATTGACATTCTGCGACGTATGCAACCGCATGTACATCGTCGAAAATTACCTGGGAAGTCCGTAAAGGAGGATCTCCATTTCCTCTTCGAGTGGCACTAGAGCCTTCTCTTTGAAAGCAGCGCAGTATCCCTCGTCCGCGAAACTGGCGTCAGGGTTGAGGTAGTCTTGTAAGCACGTCAGTATGGCCTGGAAGAACCCGCAGGATATCCTCCCATGAGACTTTTCCTCCTTGAGCCATTTGCTCGCTAGCTGGAGGTCCGACTGATCGTCGGACGGGGTGTTGGCCTTTTGACTATCTTGACGTCTCTGCTCGACCGGCTGCCCTGAATTGATCTCAAGCAGCATAATCGCCAAGGTAAGCAAATTCGAACAGCCGTGGGTGACAGGTGGGCCATTGGGTGCTTGATGTCCAACTGCCGATTACTTGATTCAGCCGCAGGGCTTGAGCACTTGACTTCGGGCCCAACTTACCACAATGAAAAGAGTTGGCTAGATAGGGATATTTGAGGTCCACAGTCCACGGCAGGTTGTTGTTGGCCCTTGAAAACAAGATGCACTTCTTGCTCCACTTCGATTCCAGCCATGGAGTCTGACTGAGTTGCAAAATCGAGGCAACCAAGGTGATGGCCAGTCCGTACACCTGCTCGGTCGGGAGTCTGCGCCCAAAATGTGGGAGGAGCTCCTCAAGAGTCAGAGAGTTTGGAACATGTTCGGCGCCCATCTTCAACGAGTACGACTTCAAACATCCCATATCATCAAGGGAGAACCCCACAAAGGGATGAATGGGTTCCTTGATGATTTTGCAAAAGTTTGTGATGCCTTGCAGACTTGCAGTGTTGTCGGCGGCAGTCCCTGGGACCGATATCGTCACGCGAACGGTCGTCGTGCTGTATCAGGATCGTGTCAGAATTAGAATTCGAGACTCGAAATTGCAACAAATTTCGAAAATCTGTACCTTGGCAGAACTTCGTCGATCCTGATTTCCGAGTTCAACCACCCAGAGGGCGCGCAGCAATCCCCATAGAGACTCAACCCAAAGCAAGTTGCCTGTGCCACCGAGCTCACACCGGCTGATTGCGAGGGCCTCTTCCGCTTCTTGGACCTCAGCAGCCGTTGCTCGAGCAGTAGGCGAGCAACATGGATAGGCTTGTCGGTGCACCAATTTCGTGAAATTGCACCATATATCTTGCTCGCGTTCTCTTGGATAGTACCCAGCGACGCAGAAAATTTCAGCTTCAGACGACTCTGTGGAGTTTCCTCCTGCAGCTTGTCGGCTCTTGCGACCCAGGCATCGATTCTCCTCGTACAAGCCTCCAGGCGGTCTAGTGAGGTTTTGGCTCGGTTCTTCTTCATCGTGAACTTGATCCTCTGTCTGAAATCAAAGTTGTTACGAATGTTAGAAGTGTTTGCGGTCGGCAAATTGGAAGCGACGACTGGAAGGAGGGTCTGACTTGTGACAACCTACAATAGGTCAGCCTTGAGTCGGTCCTGTCAAAAGGTCCATTCAAACCTGCTGGGACCCAGGGATATTGAGAGAAGAGGCTATCTCGACCAGGATCTCTGTTACTTCATCAATGGTGAGGATGAATGGGTGATATACTGGACCCAATCTATCTCGTAGTTCGTCGGCGATGTCTCCCTCCCTCCACAATGGGCTTTGCGGATCCTCCATCATCGTGGTTTGGTCGGCGAGGTCAGCCAAAGGAGCCAGGAGGAGGCGGATGGCTTGGTCGTAAGAGACACGGATCGTGTAGAGCTCCCGGACCAACCGTCCCAGATATCGCTTCCAATGCAGGAACGCAATTGTGGGAGCGGCGACATCCTCACAGTGTTCGAGGGCGGAAATGATGAGAGGAATGGCGCCCAGGACAAGACCGGCTGCTTCCACTCCGGACATGGTTGCAGCTGGCGGGAGACCACAACTCACTCAAGAGCTTCGATGTCTAGTGATGGCTGAAATGGATGAGATGGGCACAGATGGCCACGGAGGGCCAATGCGGCTCTGTCCATTCTGCGAAGGTTCAAACCGACCCCGCTGATCAACCCCGCGGCCTCGCTTCCACCCGGCGAGCCGCTGTCCAAAATAATTGGCATAGTCTGGTCACAAGAGGGGTTCTCTATTCGCTCAGAGATTCTCGTCATTCATAAAGACAGGTACTCTGTCTTTATACACGGTGGTAACCTGTCCTTATTGACAATGTTGGCTGTATTTGATCTGTTGGCTACCTCGTCGTTATCTCGAGAACACATCCAATCTCTGCCAGATCGACCCCCCTCGCCATGGACGACTTGAGCGCCCTTTCTAACTCCTGCCTAGGATGTTTCGTGAGGCTCATACAATCCTTGTCAACGTCTTCGGATGAACTGACGAAGATGATGCCACTGAGCGCAATCGAGAAGGAATATGACCGTTTCAAGATTTGGGCAGGCAATTTGGGTGCTCTACAGAGAGGCAGAAGTTCACTTGATGCTAGATTGCGGGACTCGGTGGTTCTACGAGCAGCTGTTCTCAAGTTTCTGGGCCAGCTACAAGACACTTTGGCCAAGAGTGAGTTGTAATTTTCTGTCTGCGGAGGTGCTCTTGCTCAAGCACCCGTGGCCTTTCAGGTGCAGAGATAACTACCGGCGTTCGCCTGCCGTATGAGCAGGATCTGGCCGCAGACCTCGGACCGAGTGGCAATGACACTCCTGTCCATGATGAAGACTTTGGGAGTATCAGTGACAGCAGCGGCGAAGCGGACGCTGGCGAATTGAACGAGAGATTGAGTGAGGTTCAAGACGTCATGAAGCATCTATACAGGCTGTCATTCAAGATCCGCAACACAAGACACCGTTCCCTCACCCAAAAGGCTCTTCTGTTGAAAGACGAGGATCCAGAAACAGGAAAAGATTTGTTCTCAGCATATGCGGTTTTCGATCGTCGACACGTAAAAGAAGTCCTTGATTCTTTGCGCCTACCGCCGTCGCCGCTCAAGGAATTTGAGACAGAGCCTGCACAAGTTGTCGATGACAATATAGTGGATGTGTTAGACCCCGATGGTCATCCAGCGGATCTCACCGATTTTCTGCTAGATCGATTATCAAAAGCAATCACCAATCGCAGAAGGTACTTTAAATACTGGCAAAGCCATGCGCTCAAGCTCTCCCGCAGCACGGATGACCCAGGCTTCCAGGGAACAATATTAGACAACCCGGTTCTCATCGAGCCTCTGAAAGCTGCCTCCAGGCCCAATGTCAGAGTCACTACCACCGACATTTTGATGCCGCTTGAAGGGCCGAAAACAGTCTTGTCAGGAACTGATTTCTCTAGGTATAACAATAATCTGGATGATCAATTGGACACAGAGAGCGTCATCTCTTATGCGACCACCGCGTTCGACTTGAGCGGAAAGGCCCCAGAATTTCCACTACCTCCTCCTGAGGCAGGTGAACAGTCGGAATTCGTTTGTCCGTATTGCTGGGTGGTGTGTCCATCGCGACAGGGAAAAGGGAAGTCCTGGCAGTGGGTGTTTTTCGATCATTGCTCGTCTACGAGTATCCTTCTAACGCATATTAGAGAACACATCCGTCAAGATCTCCAACCGTACGTATGCACGTATGAGGAATGTCCAGATGCCGACCACATGTACTCCAGTCGGCATGCGTGGCTCGAGCATGAGCGACTGGTCCACCGTCGAGTCTGGAAATGCTTTGAACACAGGTCCTTCATTTCCAAATCCAAAGATAATCTGTTCCAACACTTTTCATCCTGCCACCAGGACCTTGATGCGCAGGAGATCGAAAATCTCCTGGACTTAGCAGCGACGACCTTGGCCGATGAGCGAAAGTCGTGCCCTTTCTGCCGTTCAAACGGGCCTTTCAAAAAAGGGCTTCACAACCACATCGCCTTCCACCAGGAACAGCTGGCAACTTTTGCAATCCCGCGAAATTTCGACCGTGACGAGAATTCTAGGCAAGCCCAAGGCTCCAGATCAGGGTGGTCTTTGCTTTCCATTGCTCTAGACTTTCCCGAGGAAGACAGCAGCTCTAAGAGCGGTGACACTAGCGTTGAGCCGGAAACCGACGGCAACCCTCTTATAAACGCTGCCAGATCTGGGAATGTGACGCTCCTGGAACGATTGCTCGACGATCCTGAGGTAGATGTGAACGCGGTGGATCACCATCGCCGGTCAGCACTGTCTCATGCGGCAGAGAATGGGCACCAAGCAATTGTGAAAACGCTAGTTGAAGCAGGGGCAGATGTCAATGCTGGAAGGTACAGCAATGCACTTCAGGCAGCAGCAGCAAAAGGCCGTTTGAGTGTTATTCGGATGCTACTTGACGCAGGGGCAGATGTCAATGCTCAGGGAGGACGGCATGGGAATGCACTCCAGGTAGCATCATTATATGGCGATAGAGGTACCATTCAGATGCTACTTGGTGTAGGAGCAAATGTTAATGCTCAGGGTGGACCATATGGAAATGCACTCCAGGCCGCATCAGCAAGGGGTCATATAGACACTGTCCGGAGCCTACTTGACGCAGGGGCAAATATCAATGCTCAGGGAGGACGGCATGGGAATGCACTCCAGGCCGCATCAGCAAGGGGTCATATAGACACCGTCCAGAGGCTACTTAGCGCAGGGGCAAATGTCAATGCTCAGGGAGGACGATACGGCAATGCATTGCATGCCGCGCGGCGAAGGGGACATGAGGATATTGTAAAAATGCTACGAGACGCGGGAGCCATTGATGAGGAAGCATCAGACATAGAAGCAGATTGATGTACCAAAGGATACAATACTCTACGACCACCTTGATCAGCGTCGCTTGCAACATCGGTTTCTCCTCGTGTCTATTTGCCTCTTGCTCTTCCTGCGTAGATCCCTCCGCGTCTTCTCGCTTTGTCTGTGTAGACTGGAAGAGAGGATTGTGAGATGTACTTCAATCCAAGAGGGTTCTATTGCACCACGCAGAGACCGTCTCGTCCTCAGATGCCCATGTATTGTGCTGTCACATGTGTGCAAAGTCTATCGAGTATCACAAATCGGAACCGCGTGTCAAAAATTCTTGCAGGACTCTGGGAGGTCTTTTATGAACTGGGCTCTGTCCTCTCCTCGCAAAAAAAAAGTGATGCTGTGCTGCTCGCTTTGTTGGGTGGCTGTCGTTACAACTTGGCCTGGCCGGTGACCAGCTTCTCCCAATCTTGGGGCGTAAACGGCACGTATTCGTCCGCTTTGGGCGTCACCCAGAGCAACAGGTCGTCCTTGCCCTCGGGCACCTCCTTGCCGATGGCGCTGGGGTCGACGCCTTCCTTGCGCAACGGCACCTTGTTCTGCTTGTGGTTGTGGATGTGCGTGCTCGCCTTGACGATGCGCAGAAACACCGGCACCGCGTACCGGGGCAGCCGCGCGCGGGTGAACTTCAGCAGGTCGTTGTAGTCGACCGGCGGGCCCGTGTGGTTGGGATCCAGGTGGATGGCCGCGCAGCCTGCTCGGCCCTCGTGGTTCGGCACCAGCACGCCGTACACGTTGGCTTCGGCGATGCCGGGGTACTGGCCTATCGTCAGGGCCACCTCTGCCGTGGAGACGTTCTCGGATTTCCAGCGGAACGTGTCGCCCAGGCGGTCGAGGAAGTGCCATCGCCCGTCCGGTTCACGTCTCAGGGCGTCTCCAGAACGGTAGTAGATGTCCCCTTTCTTGAATACGTTCGTGCAGAATTTCTTGTCTGTGGCAGCCTGAGACCTCCAGTAGCCCTGGAATGCCTCTTTGCTCGGCACGGCGACCAGCATCTCACCGCCTTCTTCGTACGGAGTTCGTTTGGCGAACCCTGTCTTGGGATCCCGCCAGATATCTCCCGTTTCGTGGTCGATCTTGACCGGAACGTAGACGTTGCGCAGCATCGTTCGGAGAATCAAGCCGTGATGGCCGACACATCCTTGGAGGTATGGTCCCCGGTCGTAGTTCAGGAGACTGAACATGCCTTCGGTGGAATTGAAGAACTCGCCAATTTCGGGGACGTTGAAGCGTGTTTGAAATTTCTCCCACACGTCGGGTCTCAAGCCATTACCGTAGGCACAGCGGAGCTTGTGTGCCCGCTCCAGCGGGTGAGGCGGCGCATTGAGCAGATATCGTGCCGTTTCGCCTACATAGACGAAGAATGTGGACCCTGAGTCATGGATGTCGTTCCAAAACCGCGAGACGGAGAATTTCGGTGCAATGGCGACGGCGAGGCCTTGTAGGAGGGCGCAAGAGGTTGTGATCGACCCGGTGCCGTGATATAACGGCATGGAATTGAACCACTGATCCTTGCCGGGGATACCTCCGCATAGTGGCAACAAGTGACCGCACATGGCATAGACCCGTTGCAGTGTGAAGGCACAGCCTTTGGGGAGACCGGTGGTTCCACTGTGATGACTTGTTACTATTTCCTATCTGGGATATGGCGACAGCGCGTGAAACGGCTTACCTGGTGTATATAAGGCAATAGGGGAAGCTGCCTTTTGTGCCCTTGCGAAGGTCATCAGAGGGTCTCTCTGCGGGTTTCATTGCGATCTCCTGCTTTAAAGTCCCGTCGAGAACGGCAATTTTGGTGCCCCTGGCTTCGATATCTGCCCGGCTCTGGTTGATCCTCCTTTGGCAGGCTGCATCTTCATCGACAATTAACAACCTTGTCTCACACACATCCAAGCAGTGCATCAACGCTTTGCCTTCGAGGTTGTAGTTGATGAATGCCGGCGCCGCGCCGACAGCCGCGCATGCAAACCAGGTAATAAAGAACTGCGGCGAATTGACCATGTACATGGCCACCAGTTCTCCCGGCTTGACGCCCTGCTCGATCAACCACTGGGCATATCGGAGGGTCTCCTCGTAAAGCTGACCAAAGGTGTAGATGCCGCCTTCTCTCGACCAGATGGCGCGGTTGTTCCAGCTCTTTTTGCACTGCTCTTCGACGGCATAGAAGAAGCAGACCTTGTCCTCCCTGACAAGCCGCTCGTACTCTTTCGCGCCCTTTCTCAGCCTCCTGAGGGAGTCGATGTCATGCCGAATATTGAACTTGGCGTCGAGGTATGCCGCTGCGGCCCAACCACCCGCGGCGGCTGCTGCAGCAGTTGCTGTGATGGAAATGCAGTCAGTATGCTAATCCAAGGCACGTTCAGAGCCAAAGAGCAGCAGGATCTTACCAAGGGCCATGAGGTCTAGGTGTCAGACTGCTCCGGTTCCCGTCTAATCTAGTCAAATGTATTGCCCGTCACGAACGACACACCCAAGGAGACGAAAAGCAACGAAGATCGCCCGGTGTCTACCAAAATCCGCCGTTAACTGAGGCAACTTCAGGAGCCATTTGAAGATAGAAGGAGAAAGAAAAATGACCATTCTTCAACGGGCCACGGACGGCAGCCGACCTGTCATCCACGGCCCTCAATGTGCGATAGCCAGCTCGTCCAGATACCGAGGTACCTGTGGGATGGTTTCAACGGTCCTGATAATGCGATTGGATCTGACGAGGATCTGGGTAAAAAGCTTGAGCGGTGCGCCACTAACTGCAGGCCTGCGTTTGGAGCCCCCAGACACGGCAGTTCAGCGCGGAGACTGGGATTGCAGTCTGGTTCTGGGTGGCTTGGGAGGTCCCCGGGCATCTCTCTCGGCGCCGGGGTTGATAACTGGTGCTCCGGCACCACACTCGAAGGCGTGCGGAGTAATACGAGCCAGACCTACGACTGCCTGCGCTCCAACAATTGTTGACTCCGCAGTCCTCCACGCGCCCTAGCTCTCACCGGAGATTGGCGCCGTCGTGTTTTGGAGAGCTCGCTCGACGGAACCATCCAATGATGTCCAACAATCACTGCCTCACTTCTTATATCAGCCTCCTGTCTGACTACCTGACCTATGCATCCCATCACAAGAAAGTACCACACCAGCACCACGAACTGTACCGAAATTCGTATCCGACGAGGTCAGTCAGTCTGAGTTGGCTGAGTCTCCCTTCTACGGCCGGACCATAATGGGCTCCATTGACCCTCCGAGCTGCGATGTCCTGATCGTTGGAACAGGCATCTTCGGGACCAGCACAGCATACCATCTCTCCCTCAACCATGCAGACCCATCACGTATCACCGTTCTGGACCGCGCACCTGTGCCCTCACCACAGGCTGCGTCGTCCGATATCAACAAGATCGTCCGCGCGGATTACAGCAAGGCATTCTACATGGACTTGGCCTACGAGGCCATGGAGGATTGGACCGACAATCCCCTGCTGAAGCCATACTTCCATCAGACGGGGTGGGTGATGTTGGACGAGAAGGGCAGCGATCTGGCCGACCGAATTCGGAAGAACTTCCGAGAAAGTGGCCGCCCCGATACGTCTGCCGATATCTCCCTGGAGGAGGTCAAGTCGAATTGGGGCGGCGTTCTCTCTGGAATAGACACCACTGGATTCAGCAAGGCCTACACGAACACCAGCGCCGGCTGGGCAGATGCTTCTTCCGCCGTCGCGGCTGTGATGAACGAAGCTGTCAAAGCTGGTGTAAAGCACGAGGTAGGAGAAGTGAGTGAGCTGCTCAGTGATGGTGACAAGCTGACCGGTGTCCGCACCGTTGATGGGCGGACGTTCACTGGTGAAAAGATTGTTCTAGCTACCGGGGCATGGACGCCATGGTTGATGGCACCACTGGAGAAGAAGATGACCATTTCTCAGGAGAACAGCATCCAAAGACAAATCCAAGCCGCGGGGGTGTGCGTGGCAGCATTCAAGGTCTCAGCAGAAGAAGCTCGACATTACTCACAGATGCCGGTCTTGATCTTTGGGGCAAAGGGAGAGGCAATGCCGCCAGGTGAGCAGCGGTTGTTTAAATTCACCAATGCCAACACTTTCCTCAACACCCAACCTCATCCAGAGACAGGCCAAAACATTTCGGTCCCAGCACCTGATCAACATTCGGTCTCAGAATCGCTCAAGCACGAATCCATAGAGATCATCCGCCAGCGCGTTCCGCAGATTCTCGACGACGGCAGATTGCCAGACGACTGGCGCCTCTGCTGGGACGCCATATCTCCCGATCAAAACCAGCTGATCGCGCAACACCCTGACCCGCGACTGTCGAATCTCTACTTCGCCACAGCCGGGTCGTTCCACAGCTGGAAGTTCCTGCCGAACATTGGGAAATATGTCGTCAACGTGCTGGACGGTAAGTCGAATGGACCAGAGCGGGACGAGGCCTGGAGTTGGAAGAGAAAGTTCAGTGAGAGGGGAGCCCACGAGAAAGTGCTGCCGAAAGGGGAGCTGAAGAACTTCCAGTAATTCACCGGGTAAGAAGTAGTTCATCCTTTTGCTCTATAAACCTACCGATGACAAGTAGGCTTTTCGTTGGTGAGTGAATCTAGGTGCCGAGGGCGGAGTCCCGAGCGCGTTGTAGATGCACTCCGTAGTTAGCGACAACTCGGAGGCTTTCGACGTCATGGACATTCTGTGATGATTTCAATCCTTCAATGAGCGCGTCATGGACCGGCTCCCATGTCCCAAGAATATAGAAGCACCAAACCTCTCATGCACTGATCCCTCCTAAACCTCCTCTCCCTCCACCTCCCAGCCCGTTGATAACCTGAAACTGGCCTCCCCCGCTCTCCATCGCCTCGCCCGCGTCGCCGCCGCAATGTCGCACCCCACCCCTTCGACCGCCGCGCCCTGGAAGCGAACCTTCCAAGAACACCTCGACCAGGCGGGCGGCGCAGGGTTCGAGTTCACGCTGGCGACCGTGACGGAAGCGGGGCTGCCCCGGGCGCGGACGTGCATCTTTCGCGGCTTCTGGGCCACGCTGCCGGAGAACGAATACAACACGCTGCCCAAGAACCCGCCGGTGTACGAGTCCGACTGTCCCACGTTCACCACGGACGCGCGCATGCGCAAGACCTACGAGCTCTTCGCCTCGGGCAAAGGGAGAGGGGACCTGGCACAGTCTCGCTCCGGATGTGGCGGCGGCGGCCCCATCGAGGCGGTCTACTGGATCAAGGACACAAAGACGCAGTGGCGCATACGGGGCAAGTGCTGGCTCGTCGCGGCGGACGACGTCGAAGGCGGTACCCCGGAGGCGCAGAATTCCGGCACCGTGACCGTCAAGGCCGAGGTAGGACGCTACATGCGCGAGCGCGAGGGATCCGACGCACAAAAGAACAGTGACTTGTCGTCGTCGTCGGCCTGGTCCTGGAGACGCGAGGTGGAGAACTACTTTGAAAACCTGTCCCCGGTCATGAGGGGCTCGTTCAAGAACCCGCCCCCCGGTCGGCCCTTGTCGGAAGGGAACGACGAGCAGGCCGGGGAGGCCCTGGGCCAGAAAGCAGGACACCTGTCGGAGGAGGCGCTCGCGAGGCGGCACTTCCGCGTCGCCATCATCACGCCCGAGCAGGTCGAGGCGGTCGACTTGACGGACCCGACCAAGGCCACCAGGCAGATCTGGACGCTGGCGCAGGACGTCGGTGGCCCCGACGGGCCCAAGCCGAGTGATTCAATAGGGGAGTGGAATCGGGTCGAGACCTGGCCGTGAGGTGCCGTCAACAACAGGGCCCGAGACAGGAGCCACCTCTGAATCACTCTGCCTGCCACGTACAGTAGAAAGAACGCCTGAGGTCTCGGATTAGGGAGAATCGTACAATATGCAACATGGTTGTGACATCCCGCTGCTGGGACGGCAGTGGTGAACATAGAGATAGACTGTTGGACGGGAAATGCTCCACGATCGAGAGGTCAAGCAACGGCGGCGAGTATCGGCACTTTCACTACCAGTTGAAGATGTGGTACGGGGAGATTTGTAAGGCCAATCTAGTGAGCCTGCACCGAGTCAATCCAGTCCGAGACCCAGGCTTTGGCCGATGAAGGGATGGATAGATCGAAGGTCTCCTGATCAGCTCGGCCATTAGGGTGGACAAAAGACAGGTTCTAGAAGAAAGACAAGGGATGGGGCCGTTGTTGCGCTACTTTGAGAACCACAACCAGGACCATATCAAACCATCGTATAAGTCATCACTGCATTTCCATCTGGGAGAGATGTGTAAAACATGCTCCGTGTAAATAAATGCCGCCACATAACAATCTCGCTAAAACGACAGGCTCTTTCAAACCGGACCATGCCATCAACTCGGACCTCTGAATTCGTCGAAATTCCGAGGACATGAAAACGGATGAAACCAAAATCTCAATGGAAGTTTTCGTCGTTCCGAGCATATCTTCCTACCAACATCTCGCCCAGGAACACCCCCAAGAGCACGGAAAGGAAGTAGCCCACGTTCATCGTCATGACCGCCAACATCCTGTTTAGGAGTAAGCATCGGAGGGCGCCATCGAGAGAATCACGGGCGGAGGTAGACTTACAGCAAATAAGCCATGGCGGCAATGATGGTGGTCAAAACGGCGCGGGGGACGTCGACCGACAAGCGGAAGGGAGGGAAGACGTCTCTGGCCTCGACGACCTTGACGTTCTCCTCGACGCCGTTGACCGTGATGAGGGCGCCCGTCTTCGCATCGGGGTCCTGGTCGATCCGCCCAGCCTCGGTGGCCCTCCCCTTGACGAGCACGAACCGCCGCCTCCGTGCGGCAACCGCCCATCTCTGTTCGCACACGGCCTTCGCCGCAAACACCAGCCGCAGCCCGATGGCCAGGATCACCAGGAATATGCAGGTGCCGGCGTACCCGCCGCTCGTGGTCGGCGTCCACCCGGTCCCGTACAGGGGCGTGTGGTGCGAGGTGGTGAACACCATGGGCATCGACATGGAGGTGGACGACATGGACATCGAATCCGAGGATGAGTCCGACATGGCGGGGGAGATGTCGGGTTGCGAAGCTGAAGAGCACGGGCGTGGGGAAGTCAAAAGACTCGATATCAATTCCGCGATAACCAAGAAGACGGCTCTCTCTGGAGGTGGAAGGACTGGATGGTCGATGTGATTTTAGGAGTTCTGTAGAGACGGTGTTGCAGAGGTAATGGAATACTGATGCACGCGCTCAAGGAAGTCTAGAATAGCAGGAAAACAGGAGAGTCTGTCAGTCGAGGGAAGTTGGAGGCCACAGGAGTCGCTGGTAGAAGAAGATTCGACGAGGTCGCCAAGTGAGCAAGTTTTCGGGTTGGGCGGCGGCCGTGATTCGTTGTTCCGCGACTGCAGGGCGGCGCACTCATACATCCATGATCTGACAAGCTCCACCACCGCAGCCCTTTTTTTGGAGCGACAAAGAGCCCATTCGGCACCCACCGCTCTTTGGCTCTTTCGTCTCTGGTACTTAAACTTGCTCATCTCCTCCCCCGGTGCTGAGAATCGACCGGCCGGACGCCGTGAGCAGTCTCCAAATGTGTCTCAGCATGTCCATCGTCTCCATGTTAGGGTATCTGTGATCAATGTGCTCGCTGGTGAGGATACTTGGATAGTGAAGAGCACATTATTCTTGAAGGGTGCTGACAGCCAGGTAATCGAAAACAGTCTTCCGATACAGCCCTTCGTGTGCGGGTGTGTGATATTTACTGGAGACACAAGGCTTGGTTAAACGCCAGCTTGATCTCAAAAGGAGAGGACTCACTTCTAGCACTGACAACCAGGAAACAGTCTCTGCTGTCAGACAAACACACCTGCTCTGAAGATGTGTACTGGGATGATCCTCTTTCTGCGTTGGCATGGCTCAGCGCCGCCTAGGAAATCCCGAGTGTGCTCAAAGCCTCTTGACACTGCAGAAGTTGTTCTGGGTCGTTGCTCACTGGCACTACCAATGTGCCGGGCTTATGATCACAACTGCATCTTTCTCCGGTACCTGCAATAGGGTTCTGGTGCTAGGGATTGTCGGTTCACCAGGACGAAGTAATTGTGCCGCAGTCGGTGTCCCGCTCTTTACCCCCAATTAATCATCCTCACCAACTGTATCTTTCCCATTCCTGATGCGGCTGCTGCGGGCTCTTGGACAAAGGTCGAGAAGGTTATTCTACCATACTAATCACAGTCTTCGGCGTCCATCGGCATCTGCATAGATTTGAGAACATGTGCAACTACCCGGATGGGAACAGACGCGTGCTGCGCTCGTAGGACTCGGAAGTTGCTCGACAGTCGGTGTTCAACCTACTTCTCCATGAAGCAGTCGCAATATGGTCGCCGGTAGTGCAAAGCATCTGATAAAGCATCTGATATGCGGAGTACAGAGTACAGAGAACGAGTTGAGGCTGGCTAGGCTGGAGACCCGGAGCCTGGATGAGTTCTTCCGAAACTCCGGCATTTGCGCATCGCGATTGGCTGAGATCCGGCGCTTTACGCCCGTATGCGACAATTCCCCCAAACTCTGGAGGCTGATCTCGCTAACCATCATCGCAGCCAACATGCTCCATCGAGTTTCATTCGCTACCGTGGGCATCATGCTATACGGAACGGTCCTCGTCTAGATCTCAAATTCCTGCATCCAATATGTCAACATCATCGAGACCGTCGGCGTAATATTGTTGCGCGAATGTCGTCACCAGCTTCAGGGGCCTGCGATAACATCGAGACTGAAGACGTACAAAAGCACGAGCAAGCCAATGCGACAGCACAGAACCATCCTCACTCCTCACCCGCAATTCCTACAGAAGGAAACCTATACCTAGTACACTTCCGAGAACTGTTCAATCTCGCTACGGGTCTTCTGCTGCCATACGCCCTGCATCCCTTGCTTGCCATTGAAGTTTTTCATCCCGGATTTGCCAGCATGTGGCCATTCAGCACTAGCTCCTCATTCGTCCCCGCCACAAGCATCCAAAGCCTGGCGGGCAAAGTCATCCTCGTGACCGGGGGGAATAATGGTATCGGCAAGGAGACAGTCCTGCAACTCGCGAAGCACAACCCTCAAAAGATCTACCTTGCTTCAAGAACCGAATCCAAAGGACGTGATGCCGTAGCGTCAATCAAGGCGCAGACCTCACAAGATGTCAATGTCGAGTACCTTCCTCTTGACCTCACCTCATTGCCCTCCATCAAACAAGCCGCCGACCAAGTCATCAGCCACAGCGACCGACTAGACATTCTTGTTCTGAATGCTGGTATTATGGCTGTTCCTGCAGGCAAGACAGCCACGGGACAAGATGTTCAGATGGGCACCAACCATGTGGGCCACTTTCTACTGACGAAACTCCTCCTTCCCACCATGGAAAAGACCGCCAAGGAGCGCAACTCTGACGTGCGCGTTATATCTGTCTCCTCCGAGGCTTGGAACATGGCCCCAAACCTCGATACGATCCTGTCGACGGAAAAGCTTACAGCTACTGGTCCTTGGACCCGATATGGAGCTTCCAAAGCGGCCAACATCATCTTTGCTGCCGAGTTGGCTCGGCGTTATCCGACGCTGACCAGCGTGTCGCTTCATCCCGGCATTATCAAAACCGATCTTTACATCCCAAACACTCAGACCAACCCCATTATGAAGTACGGGTCCATGATATTTGGGCCGTTGATGTTCCAGACCATCGAGGCTGGAGCCTTGAATCAGCTGTGGGCAGCAGCTGGCGCCAAAAAGGAGGAGCTGGTCAGTGGAGGGTATTACACACCTGTTGGCAAGCATAGGCCGAACAAGTGGACCAAAGACGCAGAGGCGGGACAGAAGTTGTGGGAGTGGACAGAGAAGGAGTTGAAGACTGCTGGCTACTGATTTCATGTCGAAAAGGGTGTCTTTGGGGGGCAGGGTTAGGACGGGAGTTGGGGTTCGTCTGGAACTTTGGGTGTTGACATACTAAACGGAGGCTTTCTGATTCGCATTGCGAGCGACAACAATTCTGGTTTCTGTCATGTTGGGTTGCCGGCATGGTGCGACCACGGCGAGCTGATTGAGATCTTCTCGAGGCCCATAGCCTCCGTTGGCTCATATTGGCAACTGTTTTTAGTGAGCTGGGTTCGGGGGTTTATGCACAGGAATGCTCGAGCATTACAGCACAACCATGATTGATCCCGACTAAACCAAGCCCTTTACTGAATAACCCGAACATCGCTCGCAAAGAACGACTGCCTTTTCCAGCTAGAGAGTGTTGACCACGCTCGCTTTGCCCCGGACAAGGCTCGGCCTCAGACTGGCGCAGTCGAATTGGCCCCTTCGCTCTTGATTGGCGATATGCAGCCACGCACCAGCTCAGCAACGCCACAAAGGTCGCAGGATTCTCAGCTTATGGAAGCAAGTCTCATTTTTTCCTCAGACCTCCGACTAAACAAAAATCCTCGACGACGGGCTGAACAATACGAGTTCCGCGAATCCCTATAACCGCAGCGAAGCAAGACGGGTGAGAAATCACGCACAGCAAAGGAGTTGTCGACGACGATCTCAACTCCACTCCCAAATCAAATATAATCTCCCATTGGTTGCTGGGAGCATCTTCACCTGCTCCATTTGGGCTGAGAAAGACTCCAAGGGAGCAACTGTTTACTGACTTCTCGCATAACTAATCCCAACCCTAATAAGGCTCGGTATCTCACCGACAGCCTGTTCTTTGCCAGGTTCCACCGGCACCGCATCAACACCGGATCGACGGTGCCTCCCGAGTATAAGACCCTCTTCCATCTCGGCCACCGTAGCCTCACGGGCAATTTCCCACCCTGGAGACCTCGAAACGGCTAAGTCACATCTACCTCCGGTCTCTGAGTCGAAGTCGAAGCCGGTCCAGATCTGTGTCCCCCATGCCGTCTGACAACAACGCGGACAAGGTCGTCCTGATCTCCGGAATCAATGGGTACATCGCGACGCACATAGGCCTGCAGCTTCTCCAAAAGGGGTACAGGGTCAGGGGCACATCGCGGTCGATATCGGCCAAGGACCATCTGCTGGCCGGCGCCTTCAAGGGGTATGAATCCCAGTACGAGCATGTCGAGGTCAAGGACATTGTCGCGCCGGGCGCCTTCGACGAGGCGGTCAAGGGCGTGCACGCGATCCTTCACACCGCCTCTCCCGTCGACTTCACGCTGAAGACGGTGGACGAGTTCTTCGGCCCGGCCATTGGGGGCAACCTGTCGATCCTGGAATCCGCAAAGAGCGCCGCGGGCCCGCAGCTGAAGGCGTTCGTGGTCACGTCGTCCATCGCCGCGATCGTGGACCGGTGGAGGCAGCCCGCCGACCACGCGTACAGCGAGGCCGACTGGAACGAGATGGGCGAGTCGGTGGCGCGGCGCGAGTTCACGGCGCCCGTGGCATACGGGGCGTCCAAGGCCGCCGCGGAACGGGCGGTGTGGAAGTGGGTGGAGGCCAACCATCCTGCCTTCGCCGTCGCCGCCGTCAACCCGGCCGTCGTGACGGGCCCGCCGGTGTCCTGGCCCGCCACGCCCGACCAGCTCAACACCACCCTCCTGCCCATCTGGAACATCTACAGCGGCGGCCAGGTCATGCCCCCGCAGATCGGCGGCGCCGGGTATATCGACGTGCGCGACGTGGCCCGCATGCACATCTGGGCCATGGAGCACCCGGCCCAGAGCAACGGCGAGCGCTACCTCATGTCCAACGGCAAGGCCCCGCCCCAGGCCGCTGCCGACCTCCTGCGCGACCGCTTCCCCGACCGCGACATCATCGTCGGCGACCCCGGCCAGGGCTACACCCCCGACTACTGGTTCGTGTCGGGCGAGGCCAGCAGCGTCTCCACCAAGGCGTACAAGGCGCTCGGGGTCAGGAGGTTCATCACGTACGACCAGAGCGTCCTCGACACGGTCGACGCGTTTGAGAAGCACTGGCCGGGCCTGGCGCAGAACTTCAAGCACAAGAACTAGATTTCGGGAGAGGCGATTGGCGGGGTCTACGGGGCTGACCAAAAAAAGCTGGGGGTTTTCTTCATCTCAATATTTTCGGGCATGTATATTTGCGAAAACAGGCATAGATAGTTCTGGCACTAGCGGGCGAATAACGAATGAACCCCATCTAACCTTGATTGGCGGCTTCAGGAACAACACAGCGCAGCAAAAAGTGCGCCCAGCCCTGAAAGCCCCGGCTCCTTTTCCAGTGAATACCACGGTGGTGACCATGCGGACGTGGCATGCGGCTGATGTGACGGGCCGCGAAGCCATCCAGCTGGCCTGGCATCGGCAACGTGTGGACCCGATGGAGGTCCTTTATATAGAGCTGAGGCTGAAAGTCGAACCAGAGCAAAAGACCTTCGGTCGTTGGTGGAGGCGATCACACCCATCCATCCAGATCACAGACAGGAAAGCCAGTCGAGAATCCCTTCTCTCCTCGCTCTTCTGCATCGTACTCAAACCCTTCCGGGTTCTCCTCTTCCCCTCTGCCTTCGCCACGATGATGAAAATTTTCACTCTCACCAGGCCCGACCAGAAGCGCCGTGTAACATGATCCCTGGCGATTTGGAATTTCCATGACTACGTGGTTGATCCTGCTCCCGTGTCTCTCGCTCCCTTGTGCGACATTGGACTCACCCAGACACGCAGAACTCCACCTTCAGCTACCCATGGTCCTGCTGTTTCCCACTGCATCGTGGACCACTCGGTTCCGCTCCCTCCACGCGGGGTGTCGAGAGCCAGACGAGCCCTGCCTTGCGCCTGGCTGTTGGGTGGCTGGCTGCGGCACGAGGCTGGACGTCCAAGGGAAACAGAGACGCTTGACATTTCCGGCGGTCTGGATTGTGATGTTGGTCACACGTCGCGCGCCGCCGCGGACTATATCGTGGGTGGAAAGGAGGAGGAGTCTTGGAAGGGAGGAGGTTGAGACTAGTATTGTTGGTTCGAGGGTGCTAAGCAGCCAGTCAAAGGCGGTCCATTTCCCTTGCCACAAACAAGCCGCTGGTTAGTGAGCGGGGTTTGGACGCCACTGTCTCAAGGAGAGGGGAAACTTGACTTGTAGGCAAGGGCTTGGAGGGCGCAGTGGATCAAAAGCCTGGCTGATGATGGGCGGAGATGACCTTTCACCTTGCCCAAGCCTCGCATCATCCCTTGTGAGCCCCTCATCCCAGCAGTCAGTGAGTGGTGAGGCGCCTCTACCCCAAGTCCAGGCCCCAACGGTACCTGTTGGTCCCCTGTCCGTCTTGGGGCGGGGATTTGAGTCCCGTGGTTCGAGGCAGCGAAAGGCGGAGAGGGGACCCTGAATGATATAACATTTCTCGCCTTGGAGCTGTGGCATGGCGGCGGAAGTGCGGATGATGCTCCGTCGCGATGCAGACAGAATAGCAATCCGTCCTTATCTCACGTGAAGCTGTCCTCAGGTCTGGCGGCGGGGATGGATAGATAGGGAACGACGGCGAAGAGGAGCAGGAGATGGAGATGACGGATGGGTGGGCTCGCGTCCGGGGGATCGCGTATCTTTCCCTTGGGACACCAAGCCTGCTGCTACCACGTCGCAGAGACTCCATCGAGATAATAGAGATAACGGAATGGAGAGCGAGTCAATCATCATCAAACAGGGTCTCATCCTCATCTCTCCATCTCACTTGCGACTCGTTGACCTAGCCCTCAGCCACCGACCAGCCAGTCAACGGCCCGTTGGCGAAGACTGGACATCACCGCTCGCACACTTTTTTCGCCTTTTTGTTTGATTTCCAGTTTCTGCCCCGTCTGCTGCGTCTGCATCTTTCATGCTCCAGGAATCCACCTCTCTTTAGATCTCTGGCCTAAATGTCCCTGCCTTGGGAGGCTCGTCATTGACCTCTTATCCCGACACGCTCTCCAATCAGCACTCAGGCACTGGTGGGCGCGCTGTAACGCACCGATACCCTCACCATCTTCAATTCCAAACACCCCTCCTTCACCTTTGTTCCCTTCCTTTCTGGACTGTCCGTTTAGTTCTTCCTTCCTCCGGGAACCTGTCTTAATCTGTCTAGCTGTTCCGAGCAGAACGACTTGCTACGACATTACGCCCTCATCACGCAAGCCGTGCTGCTGCTCTTCTAGTATCGATCCATTCATCGGTCCATACACCACCGTACCCACTGAACCCCTCCCATACCTCGAAGCAGTTCCGCGCTCTACTACTTTCACGCACTTCTTCTGTTAAGGCCAGGTCGCTTGGGTCGATGTCGCCCGTTGCTGCCTGCGTCGCATGGAGGTCCAGATCCCTTCTCCGTCTGTTTTCTTGAGAAAGTCTCCCGTCATTACCCCCGCGCCGCTGGTCCCGCCGAAGAAGTCGGCCATCGCAAAGCAGAAGACCAATCCTCCTCCCAAATCCCTCAACAAATCCGTTCAAGATGGGGCGGTGACGAAACCGAAGCAGAGCAAGAGTCGAAATGGTACGTGCTGAAATCCCTGTATAAGTACCTGCGTTGTGGTTGTGGTTGTTCCAGCTGCAGAGTGTGGGGAGCGTTCGATTGTGTGTGAGGGTTCCAACGTCATGGGCTAACTTGTACCTTTTCCCCTTGTCAGGTTGTATGACGTGCAAGAAGAAACGGTTAAAATGCGACGAGACAAAACCCTCTTGTGCCCAATGTCAGAAGAGAAGCGTGGTGTGCGAAGGCTACAAGAAGGACTACAAGTGGAGGACGTTTGAGGAAACCACTTTTGCCTCCCGGCCTACCGCGAAGAGGAAAGCATTTCGTTCCAACTCCCTGTCACCAAGTCACGATGTCGCCATACCCCTTGATATCGCTGGCGGTGGGAGACCGGATGCCAGACAGACAAATCTGGAAGCCGCTCAACCTGCTCAGACGTGGTCCCCAGGCCTTCATTCCGCCTTCGAGACTGCCGCTCATGCATTTCAGGACAAGGCCGACGCTCACCCTCGTCCTCATGGGTCAGTGTCTAGTCCGAAGCTGAAGATCGAGAGGCAGTTAGGCAGGGACCATTCGCCACCTCTAAATCTCACTACTCCGGATTCAATCTTCATGCCTGCTTTCGAGACGGAAGGCATGTCGCCCGGTCTGACATTTGGCGACTCGGTTGATCCGTATAGCCTGACCACAACGACGACAAGCTCCTCTGTCAACGACAGCAATAGTGCTAGGTCGTTCTCCTCCGGCTCCCCCCAACTTCTTGACCTTATGGCTCCCTCGGGATCGGAAATGAATCAGCTATCTGATCCCTGCGAGCTCCAGCAACAAATGTCTCTCGACGTCAACATTCCTACGGAAGATGACTTTGATGAAGAGATAATCAGGTCGGATGCCATCGCCTCATCTGCCGCGATGTGCGCTATGCAAATTCCCACACCTTTGTCAATGCTCGAACCCAGCTTTTCCAATACTGCATTTCAAGCTTTCCGTGCGTCTTCTCCTACCCCTAGCGAGACCTCTACAGCATCTTCCAAATCCAGCGATATGACGATCCTCGCACAGCCCTCTCTTGACGCCTCGTCACCAGAGATGCTGATGCTTCGCTTCGACAAGCAGACTTGTGGCATCTTATCCGTCAAGGACGGTCCTACGGAGAACCCCTGGCGGACATTGATTTGGCCTTTGGCTCGAGAATCTCCTGCTCTGTACCATGCCATTTCATCCATGACCGCATTCCACGGGGCCCATGAGATTCCGAACCTGCACGTGCCAGGCATGGCACACATGACAAAAGCTATCAAACGCCTGGCTTTTGAGATCGAGAACATGCGACTCGATTCGGCACTGGCAACTTCATTGGCACTGGCATTCAGCGAAGGCTGGGATCGACATGTTAGCACTGGTGTCCAGCATCTCCGTGGCGCAAAGGTCATGGTCAACAACGCCGTCATCAGGCACCGGCGTGACATGCAGATGGGGCAGATGACAACCCAAGATGCCAACAGACTCAAGTTTCTTTGCAACACCTTTGTCTACATGGATGTGATTGCTCGGTTGACGTCACTGGAAGAAGCTCCCGACCTCAATTTCGAGGAGATCCTCGCCACCGTCAACTCTCCATTTGGAGATCAAGTCGAGGTCGACCCGCTCATGGGCTGTGCCACGACTTTATTCCCGCTGATGGGCCGCGTCGCTAATCTCATACAACGAGTCCGCAAGACCGAGTCGAATTCGCTCACCATCATCTCCACCGCCATGGAGTTGAAAGAGCAACTTCAGCAATGGCAGGTGCCCAGCGTTTTGATCTTCGAGCGGCCGGAGGATCCGAATTCAGAGGTTCAGCACTCAGTTCAGACCGCGGAAGCCTACCGATACGCTACGTTGCTCTATCTACACCAAGCTGTCCCAGAAATTCCCAGCGATCCAGCGGCATCCCTGGCCAAGAAAGTCCTGGTGACCTTGGCGTCCGTCCCCCTGTCCTCAAGGGCAACCATCGTCCAGATCTTCCCTCTTTTTGCAGCAAGCTGCGAGGTCACCGACCCGGACGACAGGAGTTGGGTGATGCAACGCTGGCAAGCTATGATCCGGCGTCTAAAGATTGGCAATGTGAACTCGTGCTGGCGCGTTGTCCAAGAGGTCTGGACTCGCCGGGACGCGTACGAGGATGAAAAGTCGAACAGACTGCTCAGACAATATGCAAGTCGTGGAGTGCCAGGGGGTAATTTCGTTCCTCCTGTCCTTGACATGCCGCCGGCGTTGAAGAGAAAGGCCCACACGGTGGATTCTCTGGGCATGGGAGACGACAGGCCTTTCAGCCATGGCCCCTACCAAGCTCAGGGCCTGCAGAGCAGCGGACCAGAAGAGGTTGATGCCACAGGCAGGCCGGTCAAACGCCGCCAAACGTTCGACTCAGTGGGGAGCGGAAGTGGCATGTCGGCTGTGTCAGTGACAATGCCACCTCCTCCAATCTCCCTCCCTCGGCGACATACGAGCGACATCATGTCACCAGATCAACTGGAACCCGAATACACCGTGCGAGGGCAGTTGCATTGGTTGGGCGTTATGTCGGACTGGCAATGGGAAGGTATGTTCGAAGTTCCTCGAGTGTTTTGCTTTTGGCTTTTGGCAGCTAACATCTTGGCCTTAGTTTTTCTCGGTTGATTTTGCTTCCTTCTGAGTCGAATGCCTCTTGCTGAGCAACGCCTTGCCACCGGGGCTTGACGACCGATGATCTCTCTGATGTTGCCGCGGGTCTTTTCCGACCTGGTGATGATGGAGAGTGGTGGACTTTACAGTGCTTTTGGATATCCGATTCTCGGTTCCTTTTCCGACGCTAGGAAAGCTGAGATTCACACTCCCATGTTCTCTCCTCACACTGGCAAGATCCATCCATCTGAATTCGGGCGATTTCTCTCTCTCGCTCCCATCGACGCTCTCGCTCCGAACACTACTCCTCCTCGAGTCGGTGTCGCTTCCGCTGTTGCGGCTCCCGGGCCCAGGATGGTCGACACTGGCGAGGTAATTCCGCATGCTTGCGGTATACTCGTCGAGTTCGGCGCTGTGGGTCAATTTTGACATGGGAATTGGTTCGAGAGGTGCGCCGGATGTTGGATGCGGGCTCGGGCCCTGCACAATGGTCTGGCTCTTGCTGCGCTTGCTCGCAGGATGGGGAGCCGTTGAAGTTGTCATTTTGGGTTTTTTTTGGGTCCGTTGGATGGGTTATGTGCCTGTCCTAGGAAAGTCCTGTTGTTGAAAAATATCTGGATTGAACCAAGTTGGTGGTTAGTTGGGTTTGTGTGCTGTGGGCGGGACGACTGTGATGACTTTTGATGCTCTACGGCTATGATCGACGAAGCGCTTGCGATTTCAATGGAGTATTTGGGTTTTGTGCCTTGCTTTCGTGCGGGACTTGGGTTCTGAGCCTGTGACAATGCAGCACCGGGGTTCAAGTTCCAGCCTTGTCCGGGCGTTCTTGCAGCTTTGGTGTCGCCGAAGTCGGGGCTTCAGTTGCGAAAATGGGGTTATGTTCTCACGAGCAAGGCGTTTTTCGGAGACTGGAGCTGAATTTTTGGGGGGGACTGGTGGATCGGGGGCTATGTATTTGCAGGGAATGGATGTGGTGCAACCTGGTACAAGTTTTAACAAACGGCGTGAGAGGCGATCGTAGGAGTGAGATGCCGTCGGTAAGGGTTTCTGTTCAGGGGATCGTGGGCGTAGTAGTTGATATGCGACCGGGAAAGAAACAGACCGCCAGGCCCGTCATCTGGATTTCTCCTCGTTTGTTGCTGTGGACGGTTGTTTTGATTGGACAACCCCCAGAAAAAGAACCACCCAGAGATCTGAAGATGGACACTGGCAAACCGGGTGATGTCTCGCTAGCCGCGCACAGGGAGAGTAGTATGCAGGCGTCTGGAAATCGTGGTCATGTCCCTCCTCGTACTCGTCGATTCCATGTGGAGTGTGTACTACAGGCCGGGGAATGCGAAAGCGCAAATTGATCTCCAGAGACCTCTCTCTTTCTCGTGTCCCCTCCTCTTGGGTACCTGCTTTGCTTGTGCTGGCGTTGTTTGCGTGCGTTTGCCGACCGACTTAGTATTTGCGTCTTGTGCGTGTGTGAGGATGGAGGTGCAGGTTGCTTTGTTCGAGGTGTCTTGAGAGAGAGTGTGTGTGTGTCTAGGACATTGAAGATGCTATGCTGGCTTCAAGGTTGTTGTTTTTTTTTCTTCTTTCTTCTGTTCCTCCTCGTTTCGCGAGTTCGCGTTCTTGGCGGCTGGATTGAGGGCGGAGGAATGTCGTCACTATTATTACTGAGGGGGAGTTTGGAGCCCACCTTCCAAGTAGGGTGGCCCAGCTGCAGTGTTTTCTGAGTGTGGAATTGTCTCTCTTCTGTTCCTTTTCTCCGGTGTGTTCTGATCAATCTGGGAGAGAAGGATGAAGAGCTAGTTAGTCCAGTAAAGTACTTTGGAGTGGAAGGTTTTTGGCCTGTGCCAATCCGCCGTTTTCTTCTGGGACCCTTTTAGTCTTTCTGGGGAGGGGTCCCTGTGGTCGATGAGAAGGAAAAATGCGGGCACACGCGGGTTAACTCGCTTTTTTCGCTTTCTGGCCCACTGCTCCGTCTCTGGCTGCCCCGAGTGTCTCGCCGTATGCCTGATCCGCTCCTTGTTTGTTTTCCCTTTCTCAGGCTCGGTCGGAGCTTTTGGGTAGAGGCCTCGTCTGTTCGAGGAGACTGGATGCCGGGTGGCACAGGATGGAGGATATATAATATGGGGGATTATAGAGCAGTTAGAGTAGGGATTTTATGCCTACGGAGAGAGGACCGGCCAAAATAAAAAGGTCAATGGACGAGCGGAGGTATTGGGTGAAATAGACCGCCGAGGTGGTGGGGGGTTTCTCAGCGAGAAGGGAAGAGATGTCGCTCTTCTTGTCTTTTGCGCCCTCCCTTAGCCGAAGGAATTGAGGCTCCTCTGGCTGCTCATCACTCTGTGTTGGTTCTGTCTTGGGGTTTTAAATGGTGTGAGGCGTCGAAACTCAGAGTTGTGGCAGGCCCGGAATGCAGTCGCTCGAGGGCGGTCAAAGCGCCAAACAGAAGAGAAAACAGTAAGTTGAGTCTAGCGAGGCATGCAAAGAAGATGTCAGAAAGCAATTATCGGATCGTGGCACCGTAAGCTCATGGGAACGCAACCCTTTTCGTTCGAAAGGGTAAAATAATGAGGGAGAGGCGACCCAGAACCAAAAACTCAGGCTTTCATTTGAGACAATGCCTTTCTGTTTAAGCCCCCGTGTAGCAAAAGGTCATAGGTGTCGGTGGCGGCGCTGGTGGTATGAGAAAGGACGGGGGGCCCCGAGGGTGGAACAATCAAACTGGTGACAGCAGCCCGTCTGGGATCCGAGCAAGAAAAGCCATACCTCGTTCAGCAGGTCCCAACAGCAACGAGCTCGCACATGGAGGCGGAAACGCAGAATGGCATCATGCCACAGTAGTGCCCACACTGTCGTACCTTTTGCGTAGGCGACGCCGCATGAGGCATGAGAGTCGTTGATCTCCAGGCCTCAGCCATCTGCGAGATGGAAGAAACAAACGGGGAACAGACCCGACAAGATCATTCGTCAGCGTGTTGAACGAGACGATTCACCGTTTGTGAGTTGCTCCGCCCAGGAAAGATTGCGTGCCAGAGACAAGGGGTGGAATGAGCGCAGGGATCCGCTGGAGTCAACCTCGACAGGTCTGAGAGGGGACGTTTTCCGTAGCAGAATTGCCAATGGGCTGCATTGTGCGTGTGGAGAATGGGTGGTGGAAGTCGGAGGCCCAGCCGTGCAATTTTTGCAGAATGTAGAAATGCCTGCTGGATCCGAATTGCAGATGGTGGAGTCGCCTTCTTCCCATGGGCCATGGCCATGCGCGGCGGAGGGATTTCTTTGCATTTAAATGCAGCTTTGTCCCTCCTGACTTTCCCCCGATGAGCAGGACGTTAGAGAAACAGTTTTTCCGAAGCTTTTTTCCGTAGATGGCGGCTGATGGATGGGTTTATCCAAAGATATCACGGGAGTGGAGGAGGGGGAAATGATTGCTAGATTGAGCTTCGCGCGAAATCAAGCAGACGAGGCTGAATCCACCAACCACAGGGATCGGCTCGGAGGACGAATGAGAGTACGGGAGCAGGAGATACAGCTGATATTGTCAATAAGGCGAGGGCTGTGTATAATGACAGAGCGCATACCTTGATAAGTGCCTAGTATCTCCGAGCAGATCAGTCAGAGTAACCCCTATCGAATCCTCTTCTCGCCAGACTGTGGCATTTATTTGTGACTTCGACTCGGCGGCGAGGTACACACACATGAATTGGAGCGCTGAGTGGGCGGCCGTTGGCATGTCAGCCCTGGGGCAAATCTCCCTGTTCCTCATTCGGGAATATGTGAACGGGCCATCTTTATGCCTTCTCTTTTCTTCGGCCGGAGCAAAGTAAGCGCCAAAGAGGCTCAAGCATGAGTTCGTTGGGATGGGATAGCAATAGCCTTCAGCTGAGACTGCGGTTGGCTTTCCAGAGCTGATGAGGATCCAAACCTGCCAAGATGTCACGTGACGGCAGGGTCTCGGTTGGTAGGCGCAGTCGAGATCAACACAAATATCCTACATATTATTTTTACATAATATTAACAGTACCATACGGCCCTGTAGCCTCGACTGGACATGGTCTCCGATATCTGTGGACATATTTCATGGTTGCGGCGCAAGTGCTGCTCGCTGGGTCGGATGGTGGGTGCTTTTGGTGCAAACTCGACAAACATGCCCAGGAACATGATCCCCTCTCTGGTCTTATCTCTGTCCGCTCGTGGTCAGCTTCCCATTCGACCCTGCAAGCAGCTTCACTCGCTTTAACCCTCTCAGGCATTTTCTTCCCCCTTCCCTCTATCATTCCAGTCTTTCTGTTCTATTGAGACCCGATGACTGGTCCCAGATCCTTCGTGTCTGACGCCTAGCACCGAGCTATACACGCTGACGCGGGGCTTTGGCCACCACATTTTCCTCAAACGCGTTTTGTTTGCACGGGCAGCGGTTCCTAGCCCATGACCGGGGCAACGCTCGGCCCAGCCAGATGTACAAGGCAAGTAGTGGGTAGCTGCGAAAGTCTGAAGAGGTATATCTTATAGAGCTCTGCATCCTGGTTCCTGCATTACTCTCTTCCAGTCTGCAGATTCTTCGTCTTCTTTCCCCAAACTCGTTTGCATTTCCCTGGATCTTGTGCAATCACGTCCCAATAGCTTATCGCCAGCCGTCTCTTGCGACCTCTTCTGCAGGGCTCTCAAACAAGAAAGGTGAGTTCTGAAGATTGCCCTGGCAAAAGCTAGATCCCCCCGGTGGAGGGAGGGGGGTAGGGGGGTAGAAAACATTACAAGCAACAGTCGCTCCCCCCGTCGATTGCGCTGTTTTTCAAGAATCTTGACAAGTCTAACAATGGGCCTTTCATTCAGCAAATTCACCTCAAAATCCAAAACCTCGAAACCAGCAGCACCCGAAAAGATGGGCTCCACACCGGCGTTCAAGCACTTCTCCAAAGTCCAGTCCGAGTTCAAGCCTCCCTTGATCGCCAATGAGAACGCCTTCCTCGGCGACGTCGCCAGCAGTGAATCCATCGACCCCGAGAAGCCCATCAGCTGTGGCATCTACAGACTGGAGAAAGGCACTCCCCTCGTTTACACCTACACCTACCACGAGATGAAGATTATTTTGGAGGGTGAATTCGACATCACTGATGAGACTGGCCAATCCGTTCACGTGAGCTTTCCCCCGATAGTTTGAGGTTCGCGCGAGCACGACTGACCACTGGATTCTAGGCCGTTGCGGGCGACGTGTTTTACTTCCCCAAGGGCAGCGTCATCACCTTCAAGACCAACACCTATGGTCTGGCCTTCTACACCGGCCAGCGCAAGGAGGGTGCTGCATAGATGAAAACTCGACCATAGCCAAATAAAAAGCAAGATCAACCGGGGAACTTTCGGGATCTAAATAATTTTCATGATTGAGGAAACGCCTTGCAGACTGATTCTTGCTGTCAAACGTCCAGCTCATCTATGCTCTTTTTGCCCGTTGACTTTCACGCCGACTCCGTGACCTTGAGAACAGAATGACGCACGCCAATAATACCACAAAGGTGGTGATGCCAATGTATGCCCAGTGGTGAGCGACTCGTCGCGCAGGCCCCTCATCACCTAGTCACAGCGTCTCGTTGGACGGTAGACACTGCTTGATGAACTCTTCCAAGTCGTCGATTTCTTTCATGTCGGCCGAATGAGCGAGATCCCTACGCCGCCGTCAGTCAGTCCATTGCCTTTGCCCCGCACAGAGAGCCTCGCCAGATGATGATGGAGAGCAACTTACGCATACGTCCTGAAGTCGACCTTGTGGCCCAGCTCTTTCCGCAGAAACTCGGCCGACTGCACCCCCCACTGATGTTTGACCAGTTCGTCCGCGTCCCCGTGGCCCATGAAAAACGGGGTGTCCGCGTTCGCGCCGTTTGCCTCCTTTGCAAAATCCTTGATCTTGTCGCCGAGCACCAGGTAGCAGCTCAACCCAAAGACCCCGCCGAGCTTGTGCGGTGTCGTGACGCCCGTGAACAGGGACATGGCGCCGCCTTGGGAGAAACCACCGAGAATGATGCGGTTGGAGGGCAGCCCGGCGTCGATCTCGTCGCTGATGAGTTTGTTGAAGGTTGCTCGGGAGCGCAGGATGCCCGGCTCGTCGAAGTCGTGCTTGAGGTCGCCGAAGTTGGTCTATCGTCGCGGCACCGCGCCACCTGTTGTTAGCTTCTGCGTAGCGGAGCGGGCGCATCTTTTGGTCAAAAAAGCAGGAGGAGCGGCAGATGGGGGCAAGGGGATCCGACTTCGTCGCGGCGTCTTACGATATCGTACCATCCAGGCATGCGCATGCCGAAGTTCTGCTCTCGTTGTTAGCCAACACCTGACGCCGCACCGGTTTCGTAGCAGGGATTTCCCGTCCCAGTGCGTACCACAGTAATGGGAATGTTCGGCGCGTTGGGGAAGACGAACTTGACGTCCTCAAACTTTCCCCGCCGACGCCAGGTTTCTGCCAGCGATACCCTGTGTTGTGATGAGTGTTCTGATCACCCCGAGGCAGAAATGGTCGGGGGCGGGGGAGCCGCCGTTGATGGACTCACCATCCTGCACCACTGGATTTCTCTGATATCAGCCCACGAGCCCAAGAATGCCGTGCACAAATCAAGGAGGGGATACGGACCTGTCGCCCAACCCGTGTGCCATGATCACCGTCGCCGTGTGTTTTTTCAACGCAGGGACGATCAACGCTTGTTTCCCCGCCATCTTTGCGCATGTGAGGTCCGTAGGTCGAATGGACGAAGGAAAGGGACAGACGGCAAGACTGATGGGAGAAGAAGATATCTTGGTAGCAAACAGAGCCAGGGACTCTCAATGCGATGGCGGCGCGGGACATGTTCCGCAGCCGAGGTTGTCCCGGGGAATGCACTGAACAAAGCCCGATGCGGGATTCTGTTGTTTTCAAGCCTCTGTTACAAGTTGTGGCTCGTGGTACGTTGTATGCTTTGATAATGCTGCTCAAATCGAAGCGAAAGGGTCGGAAGGACGCCGCCGGAGCTGAAATCAGAAGATATACAGTTTGAAGGGTTTATCAAGGTAGGGTATTGGTGTTGAGGCTGTTCAGCTCGCTCTGCCCGTCCGAGTCAGATTGATGTCCAGCTTCCCAGATGATGCAGGAGACACTGGCGACTTCAAATTTCCCCTTGGGACAAAGCTTCTCAATGCTCTACCAAGAGCACTGCGCGAGTGACATACATCAGGCCAGGGCTATGCAAACCTCGCAACAAATTCTCAGCCTTGCGACAAGTGATAGGAGCCCACCCTGCCTGAGATACGAGCAACCCCAAACGGTTCTCCCCAGACAGTTGTTGGGGATCAATACCTCCCTCCTTTTGGATGCGAAGAATCCTATACCATCCATGAGGCCGAACAAGTCGACATAGTCTAACCCAGTAGTGCTCCTTTCCGTACCAGGAGCCGTGATATAGGTCGTTTGTTTCTTCGATACGTCTTCAAACTGGTATCTCGAGGCCCGACAAAAAGGCATATTAGAGTTACGACGCATGATTTCGGCGGTGGTTGACAATATCCCCTCGTGAGCAATCACAAACCCAACTCCCTTTTGTCTAGTCATTTACAGATCAAAATCCGACACCGTATGCTCAGCATTCAAAGCGTGGACCGATTGTATACACTTTCGAATCCGCCGACTGTGCTCGTTTCCCACCGGTTCCCTTGTTCCCATCACTTTCGCGTCCTCACCAGATTGGAAAAGCCTAAAAGTCCTTGAATGCGTCTTCCCACTCCTCCCGCAATTCATCCGTGTACCTCCCTCTTCCGCCCTCGCTCTCTTCACCTTCGACAGGGTCGGGATATTCATCGAAGTTGCCCGCATCCCCGGCCCATTCCACCCTGGGTATAATAGGCCCCCGCCTCTTCCGATAATATATCTCGTCCCAATCAACGCCGTCAAAGAAATAGTGTTGCATCACTCTCTTGCTCCCTCCGGCAATGTGCCCGAGTCGCTGCGTGGGATCGGTCTTGCACAGCGCAAGAATGAAATCTCGTGCAGCCCGCGGCACGTGAAGGCTATGACGGTGTCCATGTTGGGACGGGTGCGCAGTAGGGAAGCGAATGTGACCAGCAACAATCTGCTCATAGATGCGCATTGGGTTTTGGTCCCAAAAAGGTGGTTGACCGATCAGCATTTCGTAGACCAAAATCCCCAGCGCCCACCAGTCGACTGCGGTTCCATGACCGGTATTTCGTATGACCTCAGGGGCTAGATATTCAGGTGTGCCGCAGAGAGTATATGTGACACCCGCTCCGTTAGCCTGGGGCTCGGGATGCTCGGTGCCCAGCTTCTCAAGAGTGGCGCTCTGGCCATTGTCGCCATGCTGTTCTGGACTCGGTGGGAGGTACTTGGCGAAACCGAAGTCAACCAGTTTGAGGTGGCCATCAACGTCGAGGAGGATATTTTCGGGCTTGAGATCTCGATATGCAACAAATTGCACCTCATGGAGGTAGGCCAATATCAAGGTGATTTCAGCCGCGTAGAACTGGACCGTCGAAAAGGGAAAGCGACGTGCCCGTCTGAGATACGAGAATATCTCGCCGCCAGGGGTATAGTCCAGCAGCATGTACAGTGAGGTGTCGTCCGAGAATGACGCAATTAGGGTGGTAATGAATGGGTGTCCAGCGACGGCAGCGAGCACATCTCGCTCGTTTCGGACGTGCTCAACCTGTTTCAACTTGATGACATCCACCTTTTTCAAAACCTTGAGCGCAAACACCTTGTCCCTGTCCTCCGGGTGAGGACTTGCGAACCGGCACAGCCAGACTCGAGCAAAGGTACCTGCGGCGCGATCTTGTCAGCAACATTCTCTCTTCGCACGAACTCCCGCCGAAAAGGGTTGGATTACCGGTTCCAAGTGTCCGCATCAACTCGAAGTCGGAGACTTTGAGGGTGCGGGATGACTGTCCAAGCTTCTTCTCTTCTGGGGGCTTAGAGACCTCCTCCGGAGACATGACCTCCCCCTCTTCCTTGGGCCGGGCTGGATCTCCATGTTTCTGGCTCTGGTCCTTATCGTACTGACGACTGGGATGTGGGTGGGAGGCGCTTCGGGTGTTTTGAGGGTTGCTGGTTCGTAGGTACTGTCTATGGCCCTGAGCTGAGGCCGCTCGCTGCGGCGGCGGCTGTTGCTGCGGCGTCTGAAGCGTCGCTGTGCTCATCGGTACAGCCAATGCGCATCTTTTTCTTTTCCAAATGGCCTAGGGAGCGTCAAGGCTGAGGGTCATCTCGAAGCGGCCGATCAAAACGCAATGCGATATGCGACTAAAGAGGGGCGTTACCAACGTCGGACGCTCAAGGCGACGTCAGCGGTGAGGCAGTGCTGGAGTTGGTTTCTTCGCTGAAAGACAGGTGTGAGAGAGGGAGGAGGATTGCAGCAGATCCCGCAATGAAGCGAAGCAGAGAGGAAGCGTAGGGGTTTCGACAGGGCGCAGGCACAGCCCCAGAAGTAACAGTAAAAAAACTGAGGAGAGCAGCGCAGCGGAGACGGAATGATAGAAGAAAGGCTTCACCACCAGTCTTTGCTGCTGAGCGACCCTCCCCTCTTTTCCCCCCCAGCCCCAGCGGTTTGTTGGATCCCTGATTCCTGATTCCCTCACCTGCTCAGGGCTAGCACGCATCTGTCGCAGTGGAGATCTCGTAACGAGAAAGCCAGCCTGGTGGGCATGACGACAGGCGGGTGGATGCGGAGGATTTTGAGTGGCTGACAGATGAAACCAGACCAGACACCAAACCGAGAAGAAGAATGCGAGGCAAAAAGAAACGAGAGCGAGACCCAAAGAGAGCTGTGGCATTCGCTTGATAGGCACAGTTGGCCTCTGAGCCCTATTCCGAATCCCATTTCTCTCAGCTGCGATCTCTGTCCCGGGCAGGCCGATCCTGAAGATCAAATTGGTGCAACCGTGATGCTTCAGCTGTCCAACTGCCTAGCTACGTAGGAGGTTCCTACCAACCCCCTCGACCGCCCTGCCTCCCCCCGGAACTCTCGGCGGTCACGGTACATATCGTGGACATAGGGTTAAAGAGGTGGACACGCTGGCACACTCAATCGGGAAACCGACACGGCCTTGTTCAGACAGCCACACCCCGGCGCCTTTGAAGTCGAGGCCATGACTAGGACTTGGAAGAAAATCGATACATGGCAGGGGGTTACACAATCCCTATTCGTTCTCTTTAGAGGGTATTATATCGCTTCTTAGCTGAACCATTTGCGGCCTGTGTTCCAATAAGTCCTCCAACTGGTCTATCCCCAAGTCTATGTGCATGACGCTCAAATCGTCGATTAACTCCATTCTCCCTCCCCTAGTGTTGCGTATTGTGCCAGTACCCTTTTTTGGTCGTCCCAAGCGAGAGCGCCGCTATGGCCACGTTCGGACGACGCTGCCAAAAAGAAAAACCCAAGACCCGAACAAGTGCTTTTGATGTTCAAGGACACAGATGACTTGATTGCGTTTCAGTCACCCTTCATGCGCTCATTCTCAGGCTTCCAAGACCCTAGAGATTGTTAGTAGCTGGTTCAGTCGCACCCTGCCAAAGGTTCGGGGACCACATACCGTCAAAATCATGTCTCACGAAGGCCATTGGATGCTCAGGTCCTTCCGAGCCCATCTGACCCACGCCTGGACTGAAACTCGTGATGGGCAGCACCACGACATCGCCAATCTTCTTGTGTTCGGTGATGGCAAAGAAGTCGGGATATGATACATTCGTTTTTCGGGTGCTGAAATCAAAGTATTCTTGGTTGTTGAAGTAGGAAAACAGCGCGTCCGTCCACACCCCCGGTCCTGTGTACTCCATGATGCTCTTGGCTGGTTCTTTACCCCTTCGCAGTTGCCCAGCCTTTTTCATGGCCAATGTGTCTTCGGTAATAGTGGCAACAATATCTCTTAAGACTGGGTGGCCCGGCTTTGCCTGGATCGTCCATTGACAGAACTGAATTCTCCTTGCATACCACTCGTTCCAATCTGGTCTGTCCGGATCGGCCTCGATTCCCACCACCAAGCCAACGGTAGACTTATCCAGGGTTTGCGGCAACCACTCCGTGGCGGACTGGAGGGCTTGTGTATCGATGTCGCTGTAAATCCCTCCACGTGCAAGCAGAATCAGGTAGCGGAAGAAATCGGCCCGAATCACAGGGAGAGGCATGGCTTCGTAGGCTTGAATAATTTCAGGCATGGAGGCATACAAATAGTTGATGAGGTGTAATGCGGCGTCGTCTGTCACCACTTCATGGACAAACCCAGAGTGTAAATGTGACCAGGATGCTTCAAAAGGTCTTAATCTCTCCTCAAAGTTCCCTGAATCCGGTCCATATTTCCATGTCTGCCATATGTACGCAGGGAATTTGGCCTCGATGTCGTAGGGGAAATGGTATCGTAATCTTTCTCGCAGAGGTTTGCCTGCCACATCTTGGACTGCTTGCTGAGTCTCTTGGACGACTTTTGGAGACTTGGGAGGAGGGTAGGGTCTCGAGGGCTGTCCACCTTCAGCCGCACCTTCGACCAAAGGAATGCTTGGTGAGAGAGATGCGTGCCGCAGTAGAAAAAATAGAGTCAGCAGGACGAATGCCGCCAGAGTTGCGCGTCTCCATGAGTGAGAGATGGCCATGACGAACCCACGTGTCTGGAATCGTTCCTGACTCGGGGTAGCTGCAGGTGGAGGAGTCGGGATGTCTGGGGTGTCACTTCAAGCCCGTTTCACGCCCAGTCGAAGATCGATGGCATAGGGACTCGGGGGTTCTGTGGAGCTGTGGACAGAGGAGTGCGACTGCTGGGTACGAGGCCCAGTCGCCGTCTTCAGAGGCCGCCAGGACACTGATTGAGAAAGATTATAAGTGTGAGTGGAAATCCATTATCATGACTCCAGCATGTCTTTTGTCCCTCGCGCTGCACGGTCCTGCCGCAGCGACGGTTATGAGAATCCTGAGGGTGGAATCGAGAAGTGACGAGGGTGTCTCAGCCAGAACGTATGCAAAGGGCGTGGTCCAACTGGGCTGTCAATCGGGTTCCGGTCAAGGGAATGAGCTCGCTAGGAGGGAGGCGGCGGAAATGGTAGAGGGATAGACAGCGGTTGGCAGAAGGAGTTGCAGGGAAAGGACATGCAATGTGCGGAAAATCTGTAAGTACATGGAAATGGTATACGTACTGCAGGTGGCACGACAAAAGTGATTGCGCATGCATGGTGGTTTCAGAAACCTTGACGGGACCCTCAGGAGGTGGTCGACGCACATGGCCCCGGGGCATTCATGGGCGCCAGCTACCCACAGCGCCTACTAAACGACCTTAGTTGCGCTGGTTAAGCTTTTGGGGCGTCCACGATTGCGCATTCATGGGGGCCTTGGCTGCGCGTCCACGCCTAGAAGTCCAACGCAGCGGCTACTGGTCCCTGTAACTACGGGTTCCTACTTAAGCCTCGTTAGGTACGTGGCTGCCCAGGTAGGTAGGTATCCCGGGGCGCCTCATTGGCCTTTGGCCTTGACGACGCATCCTGATGTCCACCCACCAGCCAATGCAGGATGCTGAGTACCTATCTACGACGGACGTCGCGACGAGTTGACAGGACAGCTGTGTAACGCTTGGTTCATTTCGAACATGCCTGGTCGGTGCCCATCCATCCTCAGAAATGCAACTGTTCGCAATACGCTCTATCTTTGGTTCTGCCCTAGGTGACTCTACCCGACACCATCTCTTTGATGCTCCTGCATCTTACCCACACATACCTACCTACCTCGACCATGTTGCTATCAACTCGAGTCTACCCCCGTTTCTCAGGAGGAAAAGGACAGAGAGGCACAAAGTGAATGATATTGGGCTCAATACGCCGTACAAAGAGCCGCTGTCATGGATAGAACATCTGACACCCAAAGCCATGTATGTGTTCTTTTCCTTGAACCCTCCCAAAGTAGAAACAACAAATCATCCGGATTCTTTCCCATCCTTTCCCATTTACTCTCTCTCTCTTTCTCTGTATCCAAAGGAGCCGCCCGTGAACCACCCTGGTGATGCCCAACCGCCCCGAGCCTTTCTGTCGTGCTTTACCATGCGCAATGTACCCAGCCCTGACCCCGAAGGATGAACCAGGAATGGAAGTGCAACAGTGTTATGCTATCATTGTCGATGCTTGTTCTTCTCCATGACCTTTTCGAGAATTTCCAATCTCTCCTTTGTGACTTTGATGGCGTCCTCCATTTCTCTTTGGCTGAACTTTTCTTCCTTGATTCTGGCCTCCACATCCTGTCCCGCCGAGGACCTGCTCCTCTTTTGCCTTTGCTTCTGTGTCAGCCTCTGTTTCGCAGTATCGCGGTTTTCATCTTTGTTTGGTCGGCCGAAACTGGTGGCAGACTTTTCACGCAGCGAAATAGTGTCAATGCTGGCGCGAGACTCCAGCCAGTCCCAGAACTCGTTTTCCTCCCTCGACCAGAGAGAGTCGTACGCCGCCAGTCGCTCCGTATGCGATTTGTATGGGCTGAGCTGAGTTGTTCCAGCCGGGCCACGCACCCACATCAACATAACCATGATGAAAAGGATTGCAACCACAACCTCCATTTTCATGACTGGTCTCAACATGTCGATGACGGGTAACAACGGGCGTAAAGGCTCGAAAATTCCCCAATTCACTGCTTGTTTCTTCTCTTCTTCGATCTTTTCCTCTTTGCTCTTCTTCTCCCCTTTGCGCTTCTTCTTGGTCAATTTCGACCCTTTGCTGGCATTCGTCGTCCCTCTAGGGCGGCCGCTAACCGCACCTTTAAGGACCTTAACCAGGCTATCGCCGTACTGCTGCTGGCCTTCATTCGCGCCCTTCTCAATAGGTCCTTTCAGCCAGGACTTGGCCGTCCATTCAACCGTGCAGTTCATTTGGAATCTCGTCGCGTTGCCAGGAGCCCACGAGAGACAGTAGCGAGTTTTGGTGCTGAACGCGCTGCCACTTGGTACATCAGGAGTCTGCGTAGTGCATGTAATGCTCACCGATTTTTCAAGGTCGAAGAAATCCAAATTCTCGGTCGTGATGCATTTGGTTTGTTTCGGGCCAATACTTCCCCCGAGCGGCTTGATATATGAGTACTGCCTGCTTTTGATGTCGTGGTTCAACCCCTTCTTGTCGTCCTCGAAAACAATGTCCGTACATTTGCATTCATCGCCCAAGAATTTTCGCACAAAGAAGCCTGACTCGGGGCCGTACAACAGAGAATATATCTTTCCCAGTGGAGCCGGAATGACTTCGTCCTTCATGATCTTGTCGTAATGTGTAGCACTGTCCGAGCATTCGGTGGGAGCGTGACTCGCCGGACCCGGGAAGTCATTTGCTGCCTCCGGCAATCCAGCTTGAGCAGCAAGTGGTTGTGGAACAGTGGCTGCTGTTCCGGCAAGGATGCTGGCCGTCTGTGCAACAGCACTTGCGTTCATACCGGACGGTTTCCTAGACACCGATTTACCATCCACGAGCTCGCTACCGGCGTTGCTCGCACTGCTTTCTAGAAGACTTGGAGCGCTATCCTCGTCTCCTTCCGAACCAGATTCCTCGGTCGAGCTACCATCACTCGGCTGAGCACTGGCTCCATTCTCTACCACAGAGGCTCCCGTAGCCTCTTCTGCGGCTAATTGCTTGCCATTCATGCTCTTTTGGAAGCTTGCCGGATGGCTGACGCGCCAAATCCCAATCAAGAGATCGTAAGTCTGTTCCCGATAGATTAAGCTTCGAAAGGTATGGCGAGCATGTAATGTCTGGATGGCGATGGCGTTGGGAAACACGACAGCCGTGTTCTCTCGCTCTATACTGACGACCTCCTCGAACGAAATCACCACCGTCGTCACCCACCCAAGAATGTTGCTGAAGAAGCATATGTGACCTTCAGAAATATAGATCCTCCCAGCGAGTAAGATCTCCTTTTGCAGGGCACAGCTGTAGTCTTCGATCAGATAGTCGTCTTCAGGAACACTCCGAAACTGTTGGTGGAAGTTTCGATTGCGTTGCTTCGGAGCCATTGTGAATCCCGTTAATCGAGGCCCTTTGGCTGGGTTGGCCAATGTCGCGGTACTCGCGCCTATAATGGCACCGATTGCGGATTGACCAGTAGCTGTGGACGATCCACGAGATCTTCGTTTTCCAATTCTGCTGCGAACACTCCCTGTTCGTTTGATCGAGCCCAATTCAGCTTCGAAAACACTGCCATTGGGAGGCGTCCTTTCGCCACTGGTTGCCGCCGCAATCGCTTGTGCATGCCTCATGCTATTACCAACGGGATCAGGTATTTCGGCCACAGGAGTTGTCGTATTTGACGGTTTCTCATACGCAGCCGAAACAGCCCGTTTCGCCAGAGCGTCTTCCACTTTAGCAGCAACCTCCTCCTTTTCCGCCGTGACATCTCTCCTGGAATCTGTCATATCAGGCCTAGTAGAGGAGGCGTTCTTATCCTCGGCATTCAGACCCAGATCTTCAAAGTTCAAGTCTCCCGAGCCCAGTGTCTCCACTGCCAACTGCTTGCGTGGCACTTCCTTCTCAAGGGCTTCATCTTCTTCCTCTTCCTTGATGGGTTCCTCGATAGGTTTCTGTTTGGTAGTGACGTCTGAGGCGTTAGTACCGGAGCGATTTCGGCTCTGCCCCGTCAGGTTCGTGATGGTCGACGCGGCATTCTGTGCCGCGGAGACCCAAGATGAGAATATACCTCCCGACGGCGTTCTCTTCTCCTCCGAAGTGGGCGTCAGAGGGGCTGTGACCGAAGTGGAGAGCTTGCTGGGCTGATGGGTGATGGAAGAAGTTGAACGGATCCTCCGGTGCGATATCATGTTTCCAGAGGGACTCACCACAATATTCGAGCCTTGTGATGCGGTCTTGGGTTCTGGCTTGTCCGTACTTGGAGACGCCGTCGTTGCGTCAAAACGAGTGTCAGTAGGTGTAGGAGGAGTAACGGTTGTAAGCGGAGTGCTAATAAGGGCGGCAGGAGGCGTCAGAGGCCGGAGAGCACTTTCGAGGTTTGGCATTGAATTGGTCTGGGGAATATTTGGCGCTGGATGAACCCTTACCGTGGGTTCAGGCGGTTTTGGCTCTCCACTAACTTTCGAATCTGTCGTAAGGCTTTCATTGCTGGTGATTCCAACAACCGGCTCGATTTCCTTCCGCTCGGGGCTGGCTCTAGGACTCCTGCTTGGCTTACCGAAGACATCCCTAAACCTCCTTCCTGGTGATTTGCCTCGAAGCCTGCCTATACTGTCACGACGAGATTCTGGTTTCAGGGTATCTGCTCGGTCAATCAACCCAGCGGGAGAGGACAAGGCTAGAGGAGAGTCCGGCAGAGTTGCAGTCTTGGGCGAGGGAGAATGGTCATCCCCTATAGGCTCGATGAGGGTCGGGATGCTGCTCATCGATAGCTCTTTGGTGGGGCTCTGTAGTAGTTCACCATCGCTGCGTGTGGTCGTTGTAGATATTAAAGGCGAGGACATGGACGCGAAGCCGGTGTGAGAGTCGCGCGTGACCAGAGGAGGCGTTTCGACCTCTGAGTCGTCTGTAAGGAGACTGGTATCGCCATCACCACCCTGGCTGCTCCCTCTCCTGCTCAACGGTGCTGGAAGAGACTTCACACTCAACCCAGTACCAGTTCTTCCTCTTGCCAAGTCTTCGACCGCAGCCTTCAATTCCAGTTCGCGCTGCTTCCTCCTCTGTCGCTTACTGTGGCCCGGTAGCAGTTTGCGCACTCCACTACTGCCAGACTTGCTGCTCCCATCTTGACTGATAGAGCGAGCACTTTGTCTTGTGGGGGATTTGTCCAGTGTGGTGGAATCAAGGGAGTCGGTGCGCAAATCTTTTATGATCTCGTCCCCCACGAGTTCAGACGAACGGCGCCTGTTGGAGAGAACTTTCTTGAGACCCTTCAGCTGGGGAGAGGGTTCGGGCATCGTAGGGGCGACATGGGGAGAGGATTGGGCAGACACTGCGGCCATTCAAGGCACGTCCAAGGCTGAGTCGAATCCAATTGTCGTGCTGCGACGTGGCCAATGTTTAGGAGCAACGGGAGACGACTCCGCGTGATGTCACACGGACAATGGTAACGAACGGCATGTGGATCCAAACACAAAAGGAGGGGGGAACACCCAGATGCTATCGCATAAAAAATGGCTATCAAATATCTCACAGAATAGAGGAAAGAGTGCGGTGGCCCGTAGAAGAAAGGTATGTAGAGGAGGTGATGCCGGGTTGAAAGCGGTCACCATTAGTCGTTAGACGAGATGCTTGGAGTTTTTTGGTTGTTGGCCGCACTTAGGTACGCGTAGACTGTGAGTTCAGGCTGCCACCTTCGGGCTTCGGTACGGGAACGGGCCAGTGTGATTAGCTGACTGTGAGTGGAAGTTTGCGAGCTTGGGGGGTATTCAAGCCCCATTTGTGCGCGGTGCAAGAAGCTCGAATGGCTTGCGCAAACCGGAAGGGCACCTATGAATGCGGCAGGCGATGGCCAGCAGTAGCCCAAGTGCCGAGGGAGATTTACTCCGCGCATTTAGGCGGCCCCCTCAAGCGTTCCAATCGAGGACGCCGAGGCGCATCAGCTTGGGCTAGCTTAACCCAGTGACCTCAGCTGCCCGCAGCGCCTAGGTGGCTTAAGGGCACGAATTCGCCGAACCCAGCGATCGAAGGCCGCCGCAGGCAGCCGCTTTCAGTTGGTGCGGGCGCCTTTCGGCTCCCGTGTTATGGGCTAGTGAGGCTAGTGACCTCAGGGCTCCAGGGAAGGGCACAGTGGATTAGGTGGTCGATGGGTGATCCCACATCGTCCAGTAGGTTCTCAGTATCTCGTCCCTGGGAATGCATACGGGGAGCCTCAGTCCCCACCAAAGATCTCCTCCTAGCCCGCGTCCCTGCAGCCTTGTGACTTGCGATTTGATTTGTGGCATGACTTGCTTCCACAAAGGTCCAACTACCTGCAAGTAACCTCGAGTCAAGAGAATGCCGCTTACGCCTCACCATCCTAGGGTTGTCGATGCATTGCAGACAGCAGCCCGACAGCCTTTGCAATCTTGTCGATAGTTGAACTAAGAATAGATGGAGACTGCACCACTGACTCTCGTAAGCACCATGTCGGAGATTGAGGAACAACGACGCACATTCTAATGCTCTCTACCCAGGCTCATACCCATGCCCGAAATGCTGCGCTCGAGTCGCGTCGTCACAATCCTGTTGCCGCCAGTGAGGAGCATGATTTAGCCGCAGCCGAATTCGCAGCTGCGGCTCAAGAGACTTCAGACTCGGAAGCACTGCGCGTGCTGAATCTGTTGGAACAACATCACAAGAAGCTGGGTCAACTATTGAGGGCAGCTCATGAAAAACCGCCAGCAAAAGAGGCTCCTAACCAACCATCAGCTGGTGATAGCGAGAATGCGCTGCCCGCCGCAGAGCGACAGAAGCAAGAATCTCAGAGACCTCCGTCGCCAGAGGCCGCCGCACACCCCCCAAGGCTTCCTAGAGGCTTGAGGTCGAGCACTCGCGAACTGTCTTCTTCGATTGCGAGCAATCTGGCTTCGGCAAGAGGGATACCCAGCAACCGACAAAAGCGACCTACCCCGATTTCACCGCTGGTCTCGAATCAACATGCCGATGGACATAATGCTCAGGATGAGACAAGGGGCAAGTCTGCCCTCAGAGCACATGCAGATTCCAGTGATGCTCTGGTGTCCATGTCCCGCCAGACAAGTTCACGTCCGTCATGGACTCCCCCGATATCTCCTCCTCCTCCAAAGTCAGATGCGATGGAACAGCCAGAAGCCCAAAGCTCGGATGCACCGTTCCAACAATTCTACACAACGTTTGAGAGTCTCGTGTCGAAACTCAGTGCACCGTTGGCATTTGCGGGACTACCTCTGACAGTCGCTGCAGCATCCAAGCCACCACCCGCTCCCTCTCAAATTCCTCCTAAAGCCCCGAAAGCTGTGTCCCGCCCAACACCAGCAGCACCATTAGTCGATTACTCACAGCTCATCTCCCGGGCAGCCCTACGTGCGGTTTCGGGCACCGGCAATAACCCGTCCAACCCATCGGAGTCATTTTACGTCGTCCCTACCACCGGAGGCACGATTTCCTATGCCGAAATCATGTCCCGTGCTGAGCGAGAAGAGGCTCGTGCTGGTCTTCGTGCACATGGTCACCGCCGCCAGCCTTCCAATCTCTCAAATATCTCCGAGGACGATTTCGTCGATGCACAAAGTACGATACTTCCAGCGCCGGGCAACGCACCTCTAAGCCGCTTTGCCAGAGCCCGTGGAGTTGCTGATGAGATTAAAGTGAACGGCAAAACGATGGAAGAACTCGCGTTAGAGAATCAAGCACTCAAACACCTCTCTGACACGCTTTCCAGGAGATTGCACGTCTTTGAAATGTCCGCCCAGACTTCCTCTGCAGCACTGGCCCAGAGCATCCGCTCCCTCCACAATCGCTCGCCCATGCTCTCACCCGAGAATTCGCGTGGCAAGACCATTAGTGGGAAAATGGGACTGGACAGTGGTGGGATGGTTGGCATCGGTAACAGTGGCGGAGGGGGAAATCGTGACACAACGCAACGCAGAATAGCAGAATTGGAAGAAATTCTTCGCAAGAGTGATGCCAGGGCAAGGAAACGGGAAGAAGAGAATGTCAAGTTGAAAGAGACCATCACCAAGTATCGAGAGAAATGGGACAGTCTGAAGGCAGGAGCCAAAGCGAGAAGGGCACGCGAAAGGGCTGGCAAGCCAGGCAACGACGACAAGCCCGGCACTGGCGAGGAGACCACTACGGAAGGAGGCGAAGACGAATCCGCCGCGGGTGGCTGAGACCCAAGCGAAGCAGAAGAGGTTCCAGCTGCAAAGTCAGCATGGTTGTGGTCAAGATCGCTGAGCTGAAGAAACAAAACCAGCACAGTAATGGTGACGCAAGATGCGAGTCCACGGACAAAACTTGCAACGTGCAGTGCTGGGCAGTGCTGGGCAGTGCTACGCCGTGGTCTGATATGAACATATACAAATTTGTACAGAGGGATCCGATACTCCTCGACACGATATATGCTAAATGAGATAATGCCACGATGAACGAACACACCAAATGGAATGCGGGACTCGACATTGTCCGACAGGCTTTCATCCCTCGGCTTCCGAGTCACACCAATTACTTGAGATCAGACTGGCTTTCGTGACCAAAACCATCGTATATGTACTTGAAAGTAAATCTCAATATTGACTCGACATGCTCCGTACGAAAGATGGGGTATTATATACTAGCATTACTCTACAATAAGACGATTCCTTTCCCCATCATGAAGCTGTTCTTACCTCTCCGTTGCACTACCCCTGGTGTCATCGCCATCATCATCTGCAGGCTCGGTTCGAAGTCCCGGTCCAGTTTTCCCTTTACCGTGACCCTCATTCTGCTTCCGACCGGAAGAGTGACGACTCATCATCCCGCTCAAGGTCTCGCTCAACGCCCGTAGTCTTGTTTTCCGCTTGCCAATATCGCTGTCTCCCTCCAAAGCCAGGTCCGCCTCGACTCCATCACCTCCTTGAGCCCCTGCCGGCCTCGCCTCGTGCGTCTGTGCACGGCTTAGATCCTGAGCGCTGTCAGCGCTTCGGTTTTGCCAGTGCATGTTCAATGCTGCTAGCGGATCGAAGCCGTCAGTGTCTTCGGTTACAGCAACGGTTCGTCGTCGGTCGTCAATGGAGTGCCGCTCAGAACGGGATCGGCGAAGCGCAGCGCGTACGGAGCGGGGCGACCCTTCGCCTTTCAGCAGTGAATCTGCCACCAGGGCGCTGAGCGAGTTTGAAAGAGGGGGCAAAAGGGGCCCTGGGACGGGAATAAGGCGCGAAATACTTCCCCTAGAACCGCGAGCGAGAAAACTAGGGGCGGGAGAGTTGTCGTCTGGTGTAGGTCTAGTGGAGCGGTCTGGGCTGGGTGGTCGAGGAGACGCTGATGGTTTCGAAGGTGTTTCTGGCTCTGCAGGGGACGAAGCGGAGCGTTGAAGGGGTCTTGATGTGGCAGGGGTGTAGAAGGGTGTGGCATGCTCACGTGCCCCACTAACTTCAGGCGTTAGAGGTGGCAGTGAAGAGTCGATCTGCTCGGCGAAAGAGAGCCAGGGATTGGAAACAAGGTCGTCAGAAGGTTCAGCAGGCGTAACAGAGATTGAGGGCAGAACTGAGGACGCATCTGATGATCGTCGCGGCGTGCGTGGCGTAGCAGTTGCAGCTTGGATTTGATCCGAATTAGAGACCACCGGATATCCGTCCGTCTGTGCGGGCGTCGGCTTTGGTGCATCACGCCTCAATGGCGTCCGCTCATCCACCTCGTCTGCCTCCTCATCGAGAAGCTGTATCGTCTCCTCCTCATCTCTAGCTGTTTCTCCAGCTTCACCTATCTCGTGACGTTGGCTCGTGATGAGGTATACGCCAAAGAAGGTCAAAAGGCATCCAATGACAAATTTAATGGCCTTGTCCAATGTAGTATGTTCAAAATCTCGGTACAGCACCGCCGAGCCAATAATGACGGAAAGAGTGAAGAGTACAAATTGTGTCGGTATAACCTGCGTCGAATCGTAGTTCTGCAAAGCACGATTCAGATATCGAATCTGCATGAGCGCTGAGGCAACAAGGACAACCACAAGGAAGTAGAAGATGGCAAAAGTAAACGCCTTGTAAAGGGACACCGACAAAAGCGACGAGACGCCTTTGGTGGAGAGCGCAGTGTAGCCTCCACACAACGCCACTAGACCAAGGTCGACAAGGATGGTCTTACGGCCATATCGTGGCTCTGCATACATCAGAGCCCCAATGAGCACCACGGTGATGATGACGTAGAGGAGGAATTCCCATCTCTTTATGGTCTTCCATAGTTCACCGGGTCCAAATTTGGCCTCACTGCTTCTGGCGGATAGCACGACGGTGACAGCGCCAGCAATTGCAACCAAGACTCCGTATAGATCGCGTCGACGGAACCGTTCCTTGAGCATGAGTGGGGCAATTAAACAATTTGAGATCAAGGCGACAACACCCAAAGGACTGACAATGGACGCGGGAGCGAAGCCATAGGCAAGAAAGTTCCCCGCCTCGCCAATGATCATCAGCACAAGACCGAACCACCAGTATGGCGACCTGAGATAGGACGCTCTCTCAACGTCGTTGGTTGCGTCTTTCTCTCGGCGATGGTCATGCTGAGCGGGTCCCAGAGATGGCTGCAGAGTCTCCTGAGAGGAACGTTGCGCTGATTCACTTGGTTCTTCCTCTACACTTCTTTTATGATTGGGTATCTCGAGGTTTTTCCTTCTTCGCTCCTCTGCGATCTCTTCTTGTTCTTCGTCAGCAATCCCGGGCCGATGTCCAGAAGCAGTGTGTCCATTCGCGAAGGATTTTCGGCATTCGGAGTACTCGCGGTCTATGAGGATGTGCGCATATCTCTGGGTGTTCAGAGCAAAGGAGATGAGGAGATTTCCCACAATTGCCGTAACAATGCCGATGAAGGACGACCACTTTTCATAGCCGGCGCCGGGTTGCGACCCATTTTCAGGGGTAAAGAGATACAGTGTCGTTGTCGGGTAGGCATTGACCGTGGAAGAAGTAATGGGTATGTGCATTGGGAAAGGGAGTGTGCGTCGGGTCAACCAAGTCGATTATCTGCAGGACGAGTCTGGGAACGGCCGGAAAAATGGCGCAGATCCTGTCGGAAGTCGAGGTAGCCAACAGGCAGATTGAGGAGCGAGGGCGCTTCATCTAAGGACATCAGCGTGTCCATATGAATGATACAAGGTGTGCCATTATGGAAAAAGTCAGAGCCATCACGGGCTCAGTGCTTGGAAACAAGGAAGATGGAGAAAAAGGCCTTTGGAGTAGTCGTGGTACGGGCGCAGCGGGTGGGTATAGTCGTATGCAAGGTGTACGTCGTTGTGCAGCAAGAAGGGGACTTGGCGGCACAAGTACGGAGGAGTAGTCAGATGATAGTGCAAAATCTCACATAAAATCCATTGGGACTTGCCGCTTTTAAGCTTCAATTGCGCTTAACTCGACTTCTTCAACAGCACGCTCATTGCTTCCATTCATGTCAAAGTCATGCATGCCTAGGTATCTATCGAGTCTCTGCCAGCAACCCTAGCAGAAATGAATGATGCTACTGCCGTTGTTGAGATTGACAGCTATATGCTTGGTGTGTCGATATCGGTCTTGAGCACGGCTCCAATAGCGACTGCGTTCCAGCGGCCATCCAGTCTTTGTCGGCAGTAGGAGAGGAAGCCACGAGAACTTCGCCGTTCTGGTAGTTCCTGGAAAACTCTGGGGCTGGTGCAGGGAAGTATTTCGTCTCTTTTTGAAGAGGAAGAATGTGATTTCGATCGTGGCGAGGATTAAGGGCAAGCCAGCGCCAAATGTGACGCCAATGGCCAACTTGTCAGTTTCATCCAGCCCCGGGGAGGCGGCTGAGGCGGTCACTAGGGTTTTCGGGGACTCAGACAAGGAGGTGATTGAAGAAATGGAGGGTGAGGAAGTAGTGCTGGACGTGGTAGGTGGTTGTGACGTGGATCCCGTGGACGTCGTGGTCAGTACATCATCTTGCAGATAGATGACAACGTCAGCCGTATCGAAGGGGTCCAATATCAGTTAAGAGGAAGGATTGGCGTCGGCAGGATTGTCAAGGTAGGAGTAAGTGCCGACTATCCATGAAATTCCTTGCGGATCGAACGCGCTGAATGAGGCTCTAATTCCATGAGATTTGGGCCTACGTACTCACAGATGAAGGCTTACACTGTACGCCCTCACTTTGTGGTTAGTCTCCGTTGGAATCACCAACACTCGATACAGTTTACATTCTCGATTCGAGTCGCGAAGTGTTGGCACCATCCTGGTGGATTTGAATCAATTCTAGCACCGACCGAACTGCTCGCACCGGCATTTTTTCAGAGGGATACAGTGCACGGCTGCTTGTCCAAATATAACATGCCAGAGGTACTCGAAGACACGTCCACTTATATCATCATCTAGTGGCGTATCAAGCAGCCACTGACGGTAATGCTCGTAATCCGCCTTGCTGCGCTTCAGAGCCTGCGTTTTCGATATCGCAAATTGTGAACAACAGGGCTGGGCGATAACTTTGGGTATGTCCGTATAATTCCCCCCGAACATGTATGGCCATGCTTCCCTCATAGCGTGCTCCGCAGTGCGGCGATCGTCTTGTCGGTCAACTTGTATTTCCGCTGGACAACCCGGATCAGGAACGCAGCGCATATTAGCATAACCATTATCTTCGAGGTATTTCAGCCTCAAAGACCTGATAGAATTGATTTGGTTGTGATTCTGACTATCCGTATGCCATGCTGCAGGCCAGCCTTGCAGATGGGGGTGGACGAAGACCATGTACGCGGGAAGAACATCATAGTGGTCGATGATGAAAGTAAGATAAGCCATAGCCTCTCTGCCTTTATTAAGTGGTGGATGGAGCACTCCTTCCCGTGGGTCGTCCATATAGTAGATGGCTTGTTTCCAACTGAGGAAGCATTCTCGTCAGCATCCATGCAGCCATCTAGACGATACTACGTAACATACTCTTGAAGATTGTCAAAGACCCAATCGACATCTTCGCCGCGGACCTTTGCCAGAATCACCGCTTTGTCTTCTGCCTTGGGACCCGAGTAGATCCATCCTTTGGAATTGCTGGGCTTATTGGACGTGCTGGACTTGTCGGACCTTTGGCCGAATTGAAATATAAGGGAACCGTCGACCCTCCACCCGCAGAGCGACCTTAAGGCGACTATAACCAAGATCGTAACCACAGATAAAAGGCGAGAATGTGGCTTCGAAATCAACATCGGGAGATGAAAGCTGAGCTCAGCGGTTGCTTCGTGACTGCAGTGAACACGGAAGATATCGTACTGCCGAGGATGAGTAAGGAAAGTTGAGAAGGCAGACAATTGGCGTCCAGCACGCGGCAAGTAAAGACAACGTTGTTTTCTGCGGCTGGATAGTTGACTCGCGAATCCGCCGATCTTTTTTGTATTCTGGAACATATTGCTGCAAGGGCCCACAGGTTATGTCAAACCTCCGACAGTGCTCAAGAGATTAACATAGAGAAAATGTTGGCCTTTAGGCAACAGAACTAGGCTCTCGTTTACGATCACCAGTTGGAATGGTCGTATAGAACAATCTCTGCCCCGCCTGGAAAGGCAACAAAATCGTCCTACCAAGTAGGTCTAATAATAGTCATCCTACTCAACAAAGTCGGTTATTTCGCACTGAACCCGTTGGCAGCTGGGAAATACCTCCACAAACGTCAGGATCGCACTTCCAGAGTACATGCTATCAACTTTGCCAGACCGATTAGAGATGATCTCAGCGCTTGTTTGCGATTTGAGCGGCGTGGATAGCGCCCACTAGCCTTGTGCCTATTGTGCACACGACTGACCAATAACCTGGGGAGCCTGCTCCTCTGGGGGCACTAGGCACCCACTAACGGCTCTTGCTCCCCAAAACAGTAAGGGAAATTACCAAATTTGGTTGCACGACTAGTCATGCTAATCTACCTATCCATCAACAAGACTCAAGAGTCGCTCTTATGAACAACTTGTGATTTTACATTGAAAATTGCTGCGTCATGGCATCTGATGGATAAATCTAGCGTTCTCGTTGTGTGCTTTCTCAGGGTCGAGGTAGAAAGCGCAATCAGAAAGACACAAAGGTAGATAGTGACTGACGCGAGATCGTCGACGTTGAAAAGATATTCGTCGATGCCAATATTGGAAATTGCTCCCATGGTCGAGAAGCCTCCGTCGGCATGTACTCGCCAACTGCATTTTTTTCGTCTTCGATCTTCCGAGGCATATCCGAGGGGTTGTGCCAGCTAACCCGTGACTTCACTTCAATCAGGCCCAATTTGCATAACTTCCAAGCAATCTGCAGCTTGATGTCGTATAGGTGAGTATGTTTCGATCTCATCAGGGACAAAATTCGCCAGGTAGCGGGGTCGTTCTGGCAAAGGCCAGGAAGGCCGGAACTCACGGTGCTAGCGTATATGCTATGCTTGGAAAGCACAATAAGACGTTGCCGGTAGACATGAGACTTTGCGAATGTTGCCATGAGGAAATATTTAGAGCACTGGCGTCTAGGAGCAAGCTGTTCTGCGTCAAGTTGCGCAACCTGAGACAGGGAGGACACGTATGAACATACTTGTGCCCCTTTCAGGACCGGCGCAGCCAAGCTTCGCCCGGCAGGCCACATAACTGAACAATGCAAGGAGTGCCCGTCCTACACATGCATGCCTGTTTCACCCTGTTTGTTGTAGCGTACCGAGGTGCGGGTACACTGCGTCTGGGACCAGTGTCCTTCGACTCCTCGTCATAACAACATGCTTCGCGGCGCGAGGTGATATTCAGCATTGCCGATGGAAGATATGTCCAGATTATATTCCAGGAGCTTATTACGAACGGCGATCGTAGCTGGGGTTATCATTGCGATCTTCCTATTATATGAACTACTGCCCTCTTCAACAGATGCCCCTCTCACTGTCAAAAGTAGCTTCGACTGGTCCACGTACATTTACCGACATCCGCTAAAATCCATCACTCCTCTTCCGACAGGAAAGCCCCACTCGTTTCCTCCCGTCCAATACAAATTTCGGCGAGAGTCAATACCCGCAGCTGTACAGCGAAGATCACGCCAGCAATCGATACTGAAAGCATTCAACAAATGTTGGCAGAGCTACAAAGCTCATGCCTGGCTGCAAGATGAACTACGGCCAATCTCTGCAAAGAGTAAGAATACCCTTGGTGGATGGGCAGCCACACTAGTCGACTCTCTAGACACTCTCTGGATAATGGGTCTCAAGGAAGAGTTCTATGAAGCCGTCGAGGCGGCTGCAGGTATTGACTGGGCGAGAACGCCAGACACCTCATGCAACATGTTCGAGACCAATATCAGACATTTGGGCGGCTTACTGGCAGCGTTTGACCTGAGTCAGGAGCCAGCTCTATTGGCAAAGGCTGTTGAGCTCGGGGACATGCTCTACGCCGGGTTCGATACTCCAAACCATGTATCTCCTTTCTGGCTTGATTTTGAGAAGGCCAAAACTGGTCAACTATCTGCAGATGACCACCAAAGCTCGGCTGCGGTAGGCTCGTTCGCACTTGAGTTCACTCGGCTTTCTCAGATTACTGGAGATCACAAATACTACGATGCCATCACGCGGGTGACCCTTATGTTTATCGAGCATCAAGCGACAACTCAATTACCGGGTATGTGGCCAACATTCGTGAATGCTCGCGACCAGACCTTCGTCGAGAATACCTTCACTTTGGGAGCCCTAGCAGATTCCCTCTACGACTACTTGCCCAAGATGCATTACCTCCTGGGTGGCCTAGAGCCAGCATATGAGAAAGCTTATAGAGACTCTATGACCGCTGCGATCGAGCACCTTCTGTTTAGACCGATGCTCCCAAACAATACAGACATCCTAGTTGCCGGCTCCGCAACCGTCGTGGCTGGGAAGCCTACCCTCAAACCAGAAGGTCAGCACTTGAGCTGCTTTACAGGTGGAATGTTCATCCTAGGAGGAAAGCTCTTTTCGCTCCCGGAGCACGTCGACATTGGTACGAAATTGACACAAGGTTGTATTTATGCGTACAATGCATTTCCAACCGGTATCATGCCGGAGATCTTTCAAATGCGGCCCTGTCCATCGCCCGATGCATGCGAATGGAACGGGGACGGGGCTTCCGAGTTACTACCAGCAGGGTTTGTTTCGGTCTCCGATCGATCATACCTTCTTCGTCCAGAGGCTCTTGAAAGTGTGTTCATACTCTACCGCACAACTGGAGATCCAGAATTACTAGAGGCCGCATGGAGAATGTTCGAGTCTATCCAGGCTGCCACAGAGACCGAATACGGTAACGCAGCGATTGATGATGTGACTGTAACTGGCAAGCCTTCACAAAAGGACTCAATGGAGGTGAGATGTGTCCCATAACTTCCAGACTCCGACCACTGCTGAGAATTCTTTAGAGCTTCTGGCTTGCAGAAACGCTGAAGTATCTGTATCTCATTTTCTCGCCACCTGATCTCATCAGCCTAGATGACTACGTCCTGAACACCGAGGCACATCCATTTAAGCGTCCAAAATGAAATGCTCACCGGCCATCAGGAAGTCAGACTGGTCAATATTATGATGCCTTCAAGAGATGAGAAAACGCGACTGGCAGGCGCGGCTCATCTTTACTCGAGTTCGCGAAGCACGCCCGCTCGTGATCCGTGTGCCGAATCACTCAAGAACGCAAACCTCAGTCTAACAGGAGTATTTTTGCATTGATCCAGGAGGGCAGAGCTGTGCGACGGAAGTGAGAACAATGTCCGACTGACAGATAGTGGTGTCTAGACGAAGGGTAAAGTCATGCTCTCAGTGTTGAGATCGGAACTCATCCAAGTCAACATATTGAGTATAATTGGGCGTTAATGGCGAACCGCGCCTCGACCCACGTATATTTATCACGCATCAATAGTAGCACCCAAGCACTTAGGTATCTTTGGAGAGCCGGGTCTGGATACCAAATGAGAGCATAGGGCGGCATTCGGCTCGTCCCAGATCTGGTAGACATGCAAAAGAGTATAAATCGGCGAAATGATCTTCCGAGCCTCTGATCTGACTTCTGTAGACTTTCAATTTTGCCTGGCGCATATTCACTAATGGAACCTGTCGACGCGCCACGAGGCCAGTACAACAACATATCGTGACATTTCACAGACAAAATTTCCTGGTCGGCTTCTGCCTTGTTCCCTTTTCCTGCTCTTCCTCTCATCGACTGATCCATTTCGCCGCCATGGATCGTAGCCTCGACGAAACAATCGCCGAACGCCAGGTCCGTTTCTACGCCGTTCCTGCCATTGCCGTCCATGCTGATGACCACCAAGAAGGCGGAGACTCGCTCTCGCAGAGGCCCTCCACCGCAACAGCGCCGTAGAGAATACAACTATCCCCGCGATGGCGTCAGAAAGGTATGCGTCACGTCAAGTCCCTTACGTCTTCAGAAGATCTGACCCCCATGCATTTAGGTCCGAACATCCTCTCCTCTCCTCTAGTACCCGCCTGTCCAGCCAGTACGATTGATCGCCGCATCATCTCGAAACACCTCCCATGTGTTGCTCCGACAATTCGACGCGCTTCAGGCCAGGGACAGTTTGACAGACAGCTAACCTAGATCTTGCCCTTCTACAGTCTGCCAGAGATGATCGCGCGAACTTGGATAAGTACGGAATACGCATGGGCTGCGAAAAGGCGGGACTAAAGCGTTGGTAGTGACTGGGTTCACGACCGGTACGATGACGAACCAGACAGTATGTAGCATGGCAAAAAGATACAATGGGGAAAGCGATTGATGGTGGAAGCAGGCCGCCGCTACGATCGACCGAGGGAAGGCAATCACCGTCGTGATGATGATCGCTCGCCAGAACGCGACAGGTAAGATCGGGCTGTCATGGATTGTTGGACCAGGCTGATGGGTCAGAAAACCCCCTCCAGCTAAGCTCAGAGTTGACAACTTGCATTACGACCTGACGGAGGATGATATTTGGGTATGTCAATTCAAATCCCTCCAGGACTTCAAGTTTTGACATACTATAGGACCTCTTCCAACGCATTGCTCCTGTGAAGGAAGCCCGACTACGCTATGACCGCGCTGGCCGCTCCGAAGGGATTGCTTTTGTCACATATGAAAACGTCACTCATGCAAGAGCCGCCATCCGCGAATTCGACGGTGCCAATGCGAAAGGACAGCCAATTCATCTCACACTCCTTCCTCTTCCGAGACGAGACAACCCTTTTGACCGCGTGGAGAATCCAAAAAGCCTTTTTGATCGGATCGAGGCGCCGGCGAACCGTAGCCGACGACGAAGCGAAAGTCCGATGGAAGAGCTAGATGAAGAGCGAAGAAACCGCCGTGCGCCACGACGAGGAGGCCCAAGAGACCGCAGGAGCGATACCACCAAACCAGCTCCAGAAAATATTGATCGCTACGTCCCAGGCCAGCGCGACAGCCGAAGTTCAAGTCATCGCGGAGGGCGGAGACCGGGTGAGCGGAGGGAGCGTGCTGGCAGAGACGGAGAGGGACATAAATTGGTGAACGGCAGGCCTCGAAAGACTGCAGAAGAACTCGATGCAGAAATGGACGACTATTGGGGGAATGCCAATCCCCACGAAGAAACCTCCGGCGGTGCTGCTCCGGCGGCGCAGGAAGCTCAGCCCACAGCCGGAGATGACATCGACATGATTGAATAAGGATGACTGTCCGGATCCAAAAAGGGGCAAATCTGTACAAGTAGATCCTATGCGGAGTGGAATGGGTGGGCTGATCTTCTGAAGCCTGAGGAAAAGACATGAGAGGAAAGGACAATTCCCAGACGAAATTGAAATCAAGACTCTTAAATTCTGTGGAAAACCTTGAATCTTCCCCTCCCCGGCTTGAGACTCTATTTGAAAGGGTCTCCTCGTCTAACCCACCTTCGACAGTACGAAATCTTCAACCGCCTTCATCCCCTCCTCGGCACCACTCCCTGTCACGCCCTTTGGGAACATGATGTATCCATGAGGCGCGCCTGGCACGATCTTAACCACCGACTCCGCACCGGCCATCAACCACTTCATACTCATGAACATTGTGTCGTCCAGAAGGCAGTCCTCCGTCCCGCACGTGAAGAGGGCAGGCGGCAACTTCTCCCTCAGCGGCTCCAGATTGGCGTATAGCGGGGATACTGACGGATGTCTCTTCTCCTCGTGGGTCATGCCGGGGAGAAAGACGTCGATGTAGTGGTCCATCAGGTCCTGATCCAGGACCAATATCTGCGGTCGTTGAAAATTGTACACTTGTGGGGTCCATACCATCGAGTAACAGCCGAAGTGCAACAGGAGCCCTTTGAAGCGAAAATCCGAGTACTTTGGGTGGTGATGTTGTAGAAGGTGAAGAGTGACGAGCATGCTAAGATGTCCACCGGCGGACTCTCCGCCCACGAAACCTAACGGGACTCCAAACTGGGACTCGGCGTTGTCAATCAACCATTCCGCGACATCGAAGCAGTCGTGGGGTCCAGCGGGATATGGATCCTCGGGCGCGAGACGGTAGCCGACCGATATACATAAGACGCCCGTAGTGTCCGCAATCTCCTGTAATGCGGGATCTTGCGACTTTTCGTCCTGCAGAACCCAGCCGCCGCCGTGGATGTGGAGGAATACCGATTTAACAGGTTTCCCGTTCTGAGGGCGGAGGATCCGACAGGGAATGGTACGGCCAGCGTCCCGGCTCGGGATGGTGAAGTCCTCCGCGGTGTCGAGATAGACCGCTTTAGGAAGAGGTGTCTCCCCAGCGGCGCGCATTTCGCGGTAGCGTTTGGCACCGACCTGTTTTGCAGAAAGAGATTGTTGAGGTTGGTACGGGTGCTGGTCCAGGACAACTACGGAGGGTCCGTAGGGAAGAGCAGGAGGCAACAGGGGCAGGACATGGGATATTCCCTCGCATGAAAACTCACCTCGTACCATTTGGGCCCATGTGCCATAATATCCATCAGTTTCTGGTTGAACGCTTTTGTCTCTTCTGAAATGGCGGTTGGGTGAAACTTGCTGGATTCGAGGATAACAGCATTATGGGCATCCATCTTTGGGACTTGATGTGGTGCTGGAGGGCTAGAGGACAGATCTTCTGAGGACGTAATGGGCTCGTCAATTGTAAACAGAAGGAATATGTCGGTGCTTGCGAAGGACTTTCACCTCCTCAAGACGGTGGAATGGATTGAAGTGGACTTCTCCACTTGAAGGATGATCGGCGCAGGAGCCGAGGACATCTCCATACGAGTCGGATCATGGGTTGAATCCCCGACTGCCATGAGGGCGGTGCTCTGCAGAGGGACCGAGAGTCTGCAGGCTGCCTCTCTTCTTTGTGTGGGTGGTAATTGTAAAAGGATCGCGCTATGGTAATATACACATGGATAGAAGGTGAAAAAACGCATGCACGTGCTAGGCAAAGCCATGTGCATAATGGGCAGTCATGCTCCTCCGTGGAATGCCGTTGAAGGTACTTCGGGGCATAGACGCTGCAAGTGCAGCTGGCTTCGCCTCTGAATTTTGCTCTGCCATGGCCGTATACAAGGCAGCATCATCTTGTATTTGATAAAATTATCGCAGCTTCAGGGACGACCGCCCTCAAACGCCCCGCAATGGATGAGGGTGCACTCAAAGACTATCTCCCGGCATCCTTCGGAGCATCGGGAGGTGAATTAGACATCGAGGCCCAGATGGAGACGGCGAGGAGGAAAGTGAATGGTCTGCCTGAGCCCAAGGACAAGGCTTCACCCAGCTCAAAAGCCGCCAGCGACTCGGACGACGACTCTGACGACGACTCGGAAGATGAAGACGACTACCCTGTCTCGCACGAGATCGTCTTCAAAGCTCACGATCGTGCTGTTACCACAATCTCGTTGGATCCGTCTGGATCCCGGATGATCACCGGCTCAACAGACTGCACAGTCAAGCTATATGACTTTGCTTCCATGGCGCCCAATACTTTACGAGCCTTCAAATCGGTCGACCCTACATTCACAAAGGGCTCAGCCGCTTCTGAGACTCACCCGGTGCATACTGCCAAGTTCAACCCAAACTCACCGAGTCAGGTTCTCGTGGTCTCAGCCACTCCTCAAGCCAGGATACTATCCCGCGACGGCGAAACGCTGACCGAGTTCGTCAAGGGTGACATGTACCTCCGCGACATGAACATGACCAAGGGCCACATAAGCGAAATCACCTGTGGCACATGGCATCCTTCTGCATATGACCTCTGCGTGACCGCCGGAACGGACAGCACCCTGCGTATCTGGGACGTGAATGTGCGGAATAAACAGAAAGAGGTCATCGTCCATAAGTCGAAGCTTGCAGGTTCAGCTGGGCGAAGTCGAATGACTGCTGTTGCGTGGGGCAGTCAAGTCGAAGGGGGAAATAGTCTTCTTGTTGCTACTGCGCTCGATGGCTCTCTGCTCATGTGGGGAGGAGACGGGCCTCACCACAGGCCCAGTGGCGAGGTCACCAATGCCCATACTAGCAACTCTTGGACTAGCGGTATCGACATCAGTGCGGATGGGCGACTGGTTGTCACAAGGGGTGGTGATGACACCATCAAGCTATGGGATACACGCAAATTCAAACAGCCCGTCAATTCTGCAACTCACACCTCGACATCAAGCCAGTACCCGACCTCGAACATCTTGTTCGCTCCGAACGCGTCCTCCATTATTACTGGTTCTGAGACCGGAGACCTTTGCATTCTCAATCCCGCAACACTGAAACCGGACCTTGTTACCCCAATCACCCCCGGATCACCCCTGATTAGCGTCCTTTGGCATGATAAACTGAACCAAATCATCACCGGCAGTGCCAACGCCGAAACACACGTCCTTTTCAATCCCAAAATCTCGTCAAAAGGCGCGGTAATGGTCATGTCCAAGCCGCCGAAGCGTCGCCATATAGATGATGATCCGACCCTCACCACAGACATGTCTCAGGGGGTATCGAGCGACGCGATCATCAACCCAGGGACCGCCAGCGAGGCCATCCAGGGGAGCACATTTGCATCGAGACACCCAACCATCGGACTCACCGCGTCAGGAAAATCCCGGGACCCGAGGAGGCCACATATCCCGGCAACCACGCCATTCGCTAAGAGCCAACCTGACGAGCGACATATCAAAGAACGGATCCCGCTGAGCACCATGAGGGAAGAAGACCCAAGAGAAGCCCTTCTCAGGTACGCCGACAAGGCAGAGAAGGACCCTATGTTTACGAAAGCATGGAAAACCACGCAGCCCAAGACCATTTATGCAGAGTTAAGTGATGAGGAAGAAGAGGCAGGACCACAGAAGAAGAAGCAGAGGACGTAACGGCTTGTCTCCGCGAGACACATGAATCATCATTTCACCTGGAGGACTACGACCAAAACATATCGAGACAACTTTTCGAGAATCCCAGAAACCCTCCGTTGGAAAATCAAAAGAAATGGCCGAACCCAAACTACACAGGCTCGCCCCCAAAAAACATCTAATATACAGGTCAAGCGGCTAAAGGCGAGAGCGATCTTCATCTTCGAATCGGTGAATATGCAAGACGCCTTCAAACTTCCTTCGCTGGCTTGCCAGTAATGGCTTCCATAACTCCCTTGCGCGATGGGTGGACAAGACGCTTGATACCCATCCAGGGAGTATTCATTGGGGACTCGCCCGTGTAAATCAGGGTGTCGTACAAGAAGCCGCCGAAGGTGCATCCAATGAAGGGGCAGATCATCGGAACCTGGAAATTTCCTTGTCAGTGTTCTGCCCGGACATGCCTGAAATAGAAGGATATACCCAGAAATAGTACCCTCCCGCGCTCCACACTTCATGCCCATAGCCTACAAAATAGGTGAACAATCTGGGCCCAAAGTCTCGAGCCAGGTTAATGGCATAGCCGGTCTCCCAACCCAGCGTGGCCCCAATGCCAAAGATCAAGAAGAACAACCCCAAGGGAACCATAATGCCCGCTCCCAAGTTCGCATCGTCTTTCAAGGCAAAGATGACGAATACCAGCACCGAGCTCGAGATGATCTCGGAAAATACCTGACCCGTCTTTGTCAGGAATGGCTGCGGGTAGGTGCAGAAGACGCCCGCAGTGGCATGGTCCGAGAAACCTGGGACGGTGCGGATCGAAGCGCCACCTTCATACGCATCGATCGCGGACTTGTAGTTGCCGTAGATGACGGCCGCGCCGCAAAAACACCCTAGCACCTGTGCTGCAGCGTATATCGGGAACTTATACCAGGGAAACTTGCGATACAGGCAGTTGACCCATGTGATTGCGGGATTTAAATGGCCTCCTGCACAGCCTGCGACGTAGACGCCCAGCATGACGCCGATACCCCATCTGTTCGACCGAAAAGATCAGCAAATCTGCCACCTCGTTGAGAGAGTTGCGGGCTTTTTTTGACACGAAGGTGGCGCCAACGAGGTCCCAGAAAGGTAGACAGTGACGGATTTGGAAGCAAGAGGGAATGAGACAAAGGCAAACCACTCACCCCCAGGAAATAGACTGATACTCGCCCTTGTTCTGACTGCTTTGGGGCAACTTGGGATTCGCACTCAACGTGACCTGGGCGACGCTCCCGTCCCCAAACAGAATCATGATGAAAGTGCCCATGAACTCGGCGAAGGGGTCTCTCAGATGGTGTCTGATGCGGCTCCACAACAGGTTCTTATGGTGCTGGTAATCTTCCTCGGCCTCGGTATACTTCAGGGCGTTGTCGATGGGCGGACCGTGCTCCTGGTGGTACGGGTAGGGCGCGTCTGGGTTCGGGTCCATGCTCCGCGCATTTTGCTCCTGGTCGTGTTCGCGGTGAGCAAACGTAACTTCGTCCGAGGCCGGTTCCGAGGATGAGGAGCCGGGAGCGCGCGTGTGGGGGATGTGGAAGGGATGTTCTTTTTGTTTTTCAAGATGATCCATGGTGGAACAGAGGTTTCAGGCTTGCGCGTTTTGTCTAGGATGAGGCTGTAGGAGCATATGGGGATGAAAGGCTAAGGGGAGGGGATTCAGGGAGGGTTCCTGATGGAACCGCGAAATCTTTGATCTCCTATATATGACTTCAGTCACTTGTCGGCTTCGTATCACCTACCTCTGAATGCGCTCTTAAGGCCGAATGTGCCCATCAGATGACAAGCTCACTATTGTGGTCCGGAAACCTAGCATGTAGTAGCCGATAGAAAAAGTCGCAAAAATGGGCTTGACGGGGTACTACCTCGCGCTGCAGGGGTGTAGGTCCACCATCTCATGCGCGGGAAGCCCCCCCGTTTTTCTATTCACGCTACGGCTATTGGTAAGATGTCTCCCTGGCATCTTCTCGGCGCTGGGTAGTTGGTGGCTCGCTGCTCGGGGCACCTCCTCTGGCGCGGGGAGCAAGGGCTAACAGTCGTGGTCAGCTTCATCATAGCAATTGCGAAATGCGCATGGAAATCCCAGCAAGGAGAAAGGACACCGTTTGAACCGATCGCTGATGATGCAGATCGACGTCAGTGGCAATGGCATTCCTGCGCGGAGTGGAGATGGATGTTCGCACTCAAACAGACCAAGCGCAGCGCAAGATGAGGTTCGATTGGGCCTCCCAGACGTCATCTCATGCCCAGCCGATCCATCGCAAAGGGCGGAGGAATGCCAAGACCATATGGACATGGAGGGGATCGGCGCAGTGTCTGTGGACGAGCTTCGGAGGTCTCATTAGCCTGCGGGGGCGGAGGATGGGTGAATTTGATCGCTGATGGCAATCGAACGGACAAACACCAATAAAGGCAGAGATTGACTTGATGGGACAAATGCGGTGAGGGGGGGTTCTCTCTCGGTTCCTCGTGTTGATGGTGCCCCGAATGCTCTGCCGCTTGGGCGATCACAGGCGTTGGGAGATGTTCTCGTATTGCAGTGCCGAAACCCCAGTCCTTTGCACCCAGTGTTGATTACCGTCGTAGTCTATACCCTGTCAGCTTGGTACGATGATGATGGGTTCACTGCTGTTTCTAGCGGCGAGCCCTTTCATTTTTCTATCCATCAGCCAATAGTGCTTGCTTCGTAGAGAAGAAGTTTGATGACATCGCTCGGATTTGTGTGGAGGAGGATCGGAAGGATGAGGGGCGCCCTCAGCACTCGCATTGCAATTCCGGAGACGACGTCGATTTTGCCATGGAAACAGTGTCGAGATGCGGGTGTCTCTTCGCTCTGTCGATGCCGACCACTGGACCGACCACGGACATGACGTCAAGTCGCTGCGAGAGATATGAGAGACAGTAGCAAGTGAGTGCCTGATCGATCCCCTCGGCTGTGTCGAGGTCTAGTCAGGGGCCAATGGGTTCCTCTCCGTGGTAGGGAGGTAAGGTTCGACTTGTGACAACGAATATCTCGACCGAACCTAGCTGTAAAAGTTACTGTGTACCTGTACGGGAGTGAAAAACCCTACCTCGACGAGCACAGCGGCGCGGAAAGTGGCTGGTCTACATCGAGCCGCACAATCAGTCGAATCTTTGTGAATCCGACTGGTGCAGGATTTCCCTCGGGATCTTTGATGCCCATTGTACCGCGAAAGTCGAGATCCCCTTCTACTGTGATCTTTATCAGCACGTGATGATAAGAGACCCCCTCGCCTTCACTCAGCCACGCACCAGCACCGAACTTGGTCAATAGCTCCTTTCCATCTGTTCATTTCGGTGCCACGGAGATCACGTTGACCAATTCAGCGTCAAAAATATCACATCTCGGAAAAGGTCGCTGTGTGTCTTGAACGGGATGGGGTTCACTCAATGACAAACCACTGCATTGGCGCGTCCTCCTGACGGTCTGATGGAAGCTTCAGAGCCTCCACTATTGTCGGATGAGGGGTAAAGAGAGCAAATATTACACCCGATTCATTTTGCTGAACCGCTCAAACGCCGCAGTTTGGAGTCCATTTCTTGTGGCATTGTCGTCTCTCTGCTCGGACTGTATTCTCTGGGCTCTGTGGCAGCACTGACAGCCTCATTAGTGACTGTTTGCGAAATTCTCGACGGCGACAACAACCTCTCCACGGCGAAAAGGTGGAGCCTCGATATCTGCGTCCGTCCCTCCGCTCGCTTCCACTCTCACCATGTCCGACGCTGCAACTAGAGCAGCAGAGACTCTCCGCTCGAAACAGAAGCCCCTGAAAGACAAATACCGATCCGACCCTTCCTCCGCTCTGGTTACTTTATCCTCCAGCGGCACTCTTGACCCTACCTCAACGAGCCTAACATGTTCGCTCTCGACGAGCACAGCGGCGCGGAAAGTGGCTGGTCTACATCGAGCCGCAGGTGGAGAAGGGTTTGATGCATCGGGTGAATTGTGCTCGGGAGACATGCTGCTCGAATCGTTGGTGGCGTGCTTTGGTGTCACCGTTCGCGCAGTGGCCACGAGTCTGGGGATTCCGATCAACAATGGAACAATCACAGTAGAAGGGGATCTCGACTTTCGCGGTACAATGGGCATCAAAGATCCCGAGGGAAATCCTGCACCAGTCGGATTCACAAAGATTAGACTGATTGTGCGGCTCGATGTCGACGAGGAGCACAAGTCAAAGGTGAACAAACTGATCGAGCTGAGTGAGAGGTATTGTGTGGTTCTACAAACGTTAAAGGGAGGTGTCAATGTCGACACCCAACTGGGGCACGTCGGCAACGTGGTCCCTGATGCACGAAAGGACGAGGACGAGACTGTCAATCAAGGCAAGGGGGAAGGCATGTCCGACATTCCGCCCAATGAAGCTGTACTCAAGGTGAACTGAGCATCTTGCCAGTCGCTATCAAGTGAATTGGAGCCATCCGCACCCTCAGAGCCTGCAACAAGCTCAAACAGGAGCTTCAATGGTGCATCGGGCATTCTTCCTCGGACAGTGGGCGGCGCAGGATTCGATGCTGTATACGAGTACGACGCTACTCATGATGCCGGCAGGTGTCTCGCGGACTTGCTGATATCCTCGTAGACTTTGTCATTGTTGCTTAGCTGCTTCAAGCTGGTGGTCCGTTCCCCTTTAGTTTGAGCTTGGTGTGGCTGTGTGGCTGTGCGTGTGGCCGTTGACCTCCACATTACCCAATGGCTGTGCGAATCTCTATCACCTTCTGTGGCTGTGTCGCCGTCTCCAGCCACGATATTAATTCTAACCGAACTGCTTCTCTTCTCCATCCATCCATCAGGCCACCAGCCGGCTTCAGCTGCCATCAAACAAGGCTGCCTGCTCCTGCATACCTCTGCGACTCGTATTGTCCCTAACTTCTATCCGATCGTCTATAAGTATCCGGGTCCTCGAGCGCAGAAACGTCTCAGATTGACCTCAACCACCTTCATTCGGCGCACCTACAGCCTTGAGGGATCAAAGAATAGACGACTTGACGCCGCCGGAGGATTGCCGACCTGAACACGATGTCGGGTCAAGACTACTACAACACTCAATACCCTCCTGAGCAGCACGGCTACAGCAACACCGGGGAACAAGGCTATCAGCAATGGCAACCTCCATCTGGGCCCCCTCACGGCTACGGTGACCAGTCCTACAATCAAGGCTATGATCAGAATAGACCATATGACTATGCATCTCCGCCACCCCAAGACTACCAGCAGCCCTACGGTCATCATGGAGGTTATCAAGCCCCAGATGAACAATATACCCATCAGTCAAATCAATATACTTCCCCGCCACCCGACCATTCTTATCCTCAATCCAATTACCCCTCTCAGCCCCCTGACTATGGTTACGGCGATCAGGCTCACCGTGGCTACTCGCCTCATCCCCCTCCTGCCCAAAGCCAATATGAGACTTTCACGCCACCACCGGGCCCGCCACCATCTCACATGGGGGGAGCTTACCCTCCGCAACCCGGTGCGCCTCTTGACCCCAATGACCCAACCTCTCAGGATCGCGGCCTCATGGGCGCCGTAGCTGGAGGCGCACTAGGAGCCTACGGCGGCCATAAAGTGCACCATGGCTTTCTCGGTGCGGTAGGAGGCGCCATAGCCGGCTCCATGGCGGAGGACGCGCTCAAGAAGCACAAGAAGGAGAAGAAGAAGCTCCAGCGCCCAGCGGGGCTTCGTCGAGATTCTTCCTCGTCCAGCTCGTCCTCCTCGAGCAGCAGTTCCTCGGACGACGAGAAGAAGAAAAAGAAGAAATACGGCTTGGCGGCCGCGGGTGTGGGTGTGGCAGGCACAGCCGCGTACGGGATGCACCAGCATCAAAAACAGCAGCAGCAGCAGCAGCAGCAGCAGCAGGGGCACGACGCGGCCCATCCGATGCGCGGCAACTTCTCCGCCTCGGCCAACAGCATCACCTTGGACAGGGACTACGACCTCATCGCCTCCTGCACCAACGTGCACGGCGAGCACAAGCTCTCCTCCATCTCACTGAACAACTGCCTCACCAACTCGCACGGACACTTCGCGTGGCATCGCGGCGGCAACTTCGGCGCCAGCGCGCGGAATGTCAGGTTAATAGAGAATGGCAGGATTCTCGAAGCCGAGCTGGGCACGGGCGACGGGAGATGGAACAGGGCTTGGGTCCGGCTTGACGAGCGCATCAGCAACAATGACGGGGAGTTGATCTTTCTGGACTAGGTCTTGCGCATCCAAAACGCCGAAAGCATGGGACTGTGGAGGGAGATCATGCTGTGAATGCGGGCTGGGAGATGGAAGATGTCTGACGATGATGAATATGAATTCTTCATTTAAACCACCCCCCTTTTTTTCCCTTGAATATCAGTTCAATGTCATTGCCACTTTCCTGACCGAGGAGGTCAACGGAGAATCAGCGGCTGAGCAACAGCGGATTTCAGTTCGGTGTGCTGGGGTTGTGCATAAAGTCGCCACGCCGCCCCAAGTCGGCCTTTCCCGCGTCACAACACTGCACTGATCCTCAATAAGAAATGCAGAAGGGGGGCCATAGAGGCAAACGAGTCTCCCACACAGGATGGCGTGCCTCGTATACCGCGTATCGAGTACTCAGCTCCAATTTTCACCTCTCTTGGTCAAGGTGCCTACATATGTACTCCGTAGAGAGAGAGAGAGAGAGAGAGAGAGAGAGAGAGAGAGAGAGAGAGAGAGCCCCACCTGCCGAGACAAGACGAGGCTGCATTTTCAGGGATTTGCTTGGCATCAAACCCATCGATGGATTGATCACTTGAAGAAGGGGAACCAGTCTGCCAGGAGACAATCAACCAATGCATCTCCTTGCAATGGACAAGATAAAGAACGGCCAGACCTCACGTGCAACAAGCAGACAGAACTTGATAGAAGGAGATCTATTTCTATTCTAATATCTCTCACTTTCATGCAGGATGACACCCACCGTTCCCTTCGTCTAAAGTCATATACTCCTATTTATACAGACAAGAAGAAACCCAACGAACTTTCCTGAGAACATAACTCACGCTCAGACTCCTCTTTTCTCCACGCTCTCTTCTCTCCTCCCTCGAGCCCCGGGGGAGGGGGAGGAGGGGTTTGACAAGAGAGATTAGCGTCCATGCTAGTCTCGATCCTCTTCGTCCATTCGAGCCGCGTGTTTTTGGATATTGACCGGTACCGAAGTCATCAGGTCCAGGTCTCTGTTCCTGCTCGGGTTGTCCAATTGACCCCCGTGTGGCACGGTCAGAACCACCAATGGCAACGGTCCTTGCCAGCAGATGTGCACAGAATATTGAAATTTCAGGACGCCACCAGAGAACGTCTTCGACCTCTTTACCGAGACCGCCTTAGCTGAGGTGGTCACAGTGGCAAGCCTTGCCCGCAACTCATTCAAGTTGAGAGCGGGCAGCCTCCGCCGCCTCATATTCAGCTCGATGGACATCCTCCACATAGTACGAGGTGCATCCCTCGGCGTTGGTGAAAGATTGCGGAGAAACGGGCGCCGCCGCTAATGCAGCTGCCCCATTGCCTGCGAAACGCGGGTCCACCGGCGACATGGGTGCCGTTGGGGCAGGTTGGGCCACTCCAGCTGTTGCAGGCTGGGGCGCGTTGACACCGGGCTGCGACAGAGGGGGTTGAGGTTGGACTTGGAGCGTAGGGACGCTCAAATGGCCAACAGGTCTTGTCACCCCCGGGTATTGCTCCAGCATCTCTGCGATCCATTGGTCGTGGGTCTTGTTGTCGACGTCCGAGATGATTACATCTCTCGCCTGGCCTTTAAGCCACCAGGCAGGATCCAGAGCTGTGGGAACCTGGCGATAGTCTTCTGGACCATTGCCGAGCCCGCGCCGGAGCGCCAAAGTCTGCATGCGCTTGCGGAGTTCGAGGACGACCATCTGGTGGTCGGACGGGATAGGTACGGGCATAGCATATCCGCCCAAGAAGTAATCAATTGGGAGTCCGCTGTCGACAAAACCAGCGACGGATTTGTCGTTGTTGAGAACAGGTTTGAGAAGGCGATTGTTCGGAACGTCAACAGTCATACAAGTGTTGAGCAACAACTGCTCACGAGTCTTCTTGGCCATCAGGTCGACTTCCATCGCAGTGGGATACTGGCGGCTCGCGCTGAACGGCGGAGCCTGGAGATATTCCCTGAATCGGAGACGTCGCATGTTGAACGTGTTGACTTGTGGCATCTTTGTTCCAGGAGGCAGGTGAACGCGAGCCATGATATCGCTGACCTCAACTCGAGGGTCGAGACGAAGCCACAACTCCATAAACATCCCAGATACATTGTGGGCTATCCATCTGGGCAAGTGGCTGAAATACCTCAGATGTCTTCCTTTATTGTCTAGTTCGATCTGATTGGTTGCTTGGTTTACAAGCAGAGGAACCACGACACCGTTCAATGTGCTCGGGTAAGGTTGCAATTGAAATAGTATTGGATGCAGATTGGTCTCTGAGAGCATGTGGAATGGATGAGCCGAATGCTGGCCGTTCGGCGGCCGGGGCGGGACCGCCTGAGTAATTGATTTCACATCCGCGGTTGGGTCATAGCCGAGAGCGTAGTCGGGGAATGGTTGTTGCGGTGGAGGGTTCGACATGGTGGTAGGGATGGTGTTTGGACCCGGAGCAACGACACCCGGAGCATTGACACTGAGAGACTTTGAGAGTTGTGACTGAGCAAGTGTGGATGCCATCTTTGGTTGTCGTTCTTGACCGTTATTGGGACAGAAGATAGGCGATAGGACTGGGTTCAGTGTAGAAGGGAATGGATAGCGCCAAGTAGACCTTCTCTGTTGCGGAGGATAAAGATCGAAGCTGATGTCGAGGTATTGCGGAGTGACAAGTCAAACTGGATTCGCAGCGAGTATTTAAACAAGGAAAGGTAGCCTCAGCGATCGAAGTAGTTGTCGAACCAGCAGACGTATTTCCAGTAAAGCCTTTCTTTCGACCTTTGTTGCCAGACACAAAACTGCGAAAGGCCTTATTGTGCCAGCTGTGCTTTGAGTCTGGTTGCTTCAAAAAGCCCGACAAAGGCTGAAGGCTGATTCAAGACCGCACCCTGGCGACCGAACTCTTTGTTCAATAGTTGTGCGACTTAATCTCGAATCTCGATCCCCCGACCTGGTTCCATCCTCGTGGGGTAAACGCACCTCTTTCTTGCTAACTCCCTGTCTCATTGTCTTCCTCGAAAGATTGATCGATGCCAGTTGAGAAGACCGGCCCATTGTCCTTGAGACTATTAGCAGTCCCGTACATAGATCTCCATAGAACAAAGGTTATTCCAACCTATTCTGTCATCCGCATTGACTGGCTGAAGAATAAAGCAGTCCGTACCAGACATTGCTGGCGCGATGGCATCTTCGGCCGGCCGCACGCCTCGAAGCACCTAAGGCTCTCGTAGACATATATAATATAGTATTCGGCGCATTTGGGCTTTGGTATTGGCTGAAATGGGAAATAGTGCAGCCTCAATAGCCTTATGACACCTTCCCTGAATCGAGTCATCCTGGACAAATTGGGTCGCAAGTGACTATTCACTGGGATGCTGATTGACCGAGGCAGTCAGTATCACCAGCAGTCACTGCTGAGGAGACCCTGACGATGTTCAAATGGTCGAGCTCATGTCGGCTTCCCACCAACGGCCAAAGTGTCCCAGCCATGTTTGCGAAAATGGCCTTGCACAGTGCAGTTTGAGCTTGTTGCAGACTCAATGCAGCAACTTGGCCTAGTCGTTCTCTCGTTCGTATTCGTTTTCTTGGTTCGTGTGTCCGCGCACTCCGCTAAGTCTCGGGCCTTCAAGTTTCGACAATTGAGACTCCGTCCAGCAAGGCCAGGCACATGGTGGACGGCCCTTTAATGCTCACTACAGTCTTGTGGCATGTGTTCCAAACCCAGAAAGTGGCAGCCATAGCGATACGAAGGTGCGGGACTGGAATTCATACGCTAATCGACCAAGACAGAATCACCAAAGCTATGATGTTGCTTGTTGCGATCACTTCTCTTCGCCAAATGGATAGTTGAACTTCAAAAGGCCGTTGAGGCCGCCCACCCAGCCGTCATCTCCATCGGCGCCTGCACTGATCGTTCGCATTATGCAGGGGATGCCGCCGGTGAAGGCCCCTGCGTCGGTTGTAATCTCCTCGGCCGAGACTCGAACTTCTGTTCCGACACCAATGCCTTGTGTACGCCTCATGCCATCGATACTGACGTCGACCTCTCGACCTCTGTTCTTGTCACTCAATTTCAAGGTGATGGGGGTGGTAGATGGCAGAACCAGAGGGCGGAAACTCAGGCTCCGCGGACAGATTGGTGTCAACAACAAGGAGGGAACCAGGGGATGAACGATACTCCCGCCAGTGCTCAGGCTGTATGCTGTGCTCCCAGTAGGCGTGGAAACAATCATGCCATCGGCGACCGCCTCGGTGAGGAATCTGCCGCCCACGTAAACATTGACAATTGCAAGATGAGGGTCTCGACCTCTATGTATGATGACCTCGTTCATCGCATACATGTCGTCGGAGAAGCCTCCATTACTGCTGAGGCGATTGCCGTTTGCATCGAAGACGCCAACTTTTAGACGTTGTCGAACCAAAACCCTTGCGCCTCTTTCAGGGCCCATCGATTTACCACGTACAGACGACCAGCCTGTGTAATCATTGGAGCAGTCAAAGTCGTTCGAGCCTTCACCTTCAATGACGGCGTGGCGCTCAGAAGCAGCACCTGACATGTACACTTCGCGAATGGCGCGTTTATATTCGGAAAACTTCCATTCACTCAAAAACCCGAGAGTACCCATACTGAAGGACAGGATGGGGGGCACATGGGAGGAGGTGGCGAACAGGGATGCTGCATGCAAGATGGTCCCATCACCACCGAAGGTGACAACAAGATCGACCTTGTCTTGATATTGTAAGTGTGAGTGATCGGATTCTGGCAGAGTAAAGTGCCGTCCTAGAAGCTCTTCCCCAATCCCAGCGGAGACTCGGGGCTCGACCACGATATTTACACCGGGATAGGTCGATACGACATGTCTGGTAAAGTCCAAAAGAGCATCGGTTGTTGCGTCCGAGCAGTCCTTTTTGATCAGCAAAAGATTCCGGGGTGGTTTCGACCATTCAAGACAAAGAAGTTCCTTTGCCGGGGTGTCCTTGAGACGAAATGTTCTCTTGGACGGGAGATCATTCAGCGAGTGACTGTTTGCTTGCGGTAGAGTTGAATAAGAGGCGCGGGCGCGCCCAGCTGAAGATAGGATAGGATTCAAGGTCATTCTCAGTCGGCGTGCATCGCTGAAAAGTGTAGTGGTGGCATATCTTGTTCTGGCCAGGAGACGTGATGTTGTTTGGATACCAAGACAGATCTTGGCAGAGGACGTTGTCGCCATGATCTCGTCTATTTGTATCCGCAATTGGGAGGTCAGATGATGCGTTGAAAGAGAAGGCTAGGTGGTCTGATTCTGCCATGGATCGTCGCGGTGGGCACGAGATGAGATCTTGGAAGGTGAAGATTAGCACATGGGTTCACAGAAAAGAACAATCCGCGTCTATCTGACCCTCCCGGTCATTCCACACAATGGCATCAGTCAGCCAGACCAAGGATGTACGAAGATGAACAAGGCCCTGCATGAGAAAGAGAGATAAAGGTATCTGGTGACGATGTTTGTGGTGTTTGACGTTGTTCATTATTGCCTCGCACGTGACATGCATCAATCACGTGCACAGATGCCACTGCTTAGTCACCGCCCGGGCTAGAGAGCCACCTACCTGTACTCCGTACAAGTAGAGCTCCGGGGTGCAATTGGGCCACTAGGCTTCCCCTAACAGGCCCATTGTGTCCGGAAATAGGCGGCAATGGTCTCCTCTCGATGCTCTAAGGGTCACCGCCTTGCGCGTGCTAGTTGCCTAGATCTTGGGCATCCCACCTGCACTTAGTAATATGCTGGGGTGCCGACATCCACCGCCCTGACCTTCACTCCGGCCCATTCCAGACCTGCAGATCGGTAACCACTAGGTACAGACGACATCAGCACCAATGGAACGTCTGCCTGTTGGATGAACTGTCGTTTGACACAAAATTCACAATTCTTACAATTCCCACCTTCCGACTCTTTGATTGTCCACCTTTGGCCATCCTTCCTCTCTATGAATCTAACCATTTCCTAAGATCATTCTTGGGTATACCTATCGCTGCCTATTGCCAGCGTCGATGGCGCTTCTGTTGCCTACTGCCCACGTCCTCGTTGCTTAGTGCTGACGAACCTTTCAATGACAGTCACAGCAGTATAGCCGTAACACATCCTTGAACGTATCCCTTACCCGCCCACAGGCGAACCATGGCGACCGAAGACCATTCCCTCCGAAAGCGCATTCCTCAATCCTCACCAGCGGTCGAGTCCGGCTTTGGTCTAGAGAATGGCAGCATCCCTACTGGGGAGAAACCGCATCCAGCGGGCGAAGTCAAATACAGTGTCCTGAGCCAAGTACTTCGTGCACTTCTTCTGCTGACCTGGTTCAATTGTGGTGCGGTCTGCATCAATGTCACTCAATTTCTCGGGGCACCGCTATATTGGATAAACAAAGACTACTATTATGCATACATGGCGTTGACAAAACAATCGTTTGCTATCATGGGAATTGCAGGAACACGTTGGTTCTCCCCCACGAAAGTGCGTGTGAGTTGGGACAAAGATCTACGAGGGCAGTTCCGCAAAACTTCAGCCGGAAGGCTCGAGACGGCATTCCCTGAACGGCTGGTGTATATTTCCAATCATCAGGTGTACACTGAGTGGCTATACCTCTGGTGGATTGCCTACACCAGTAGGATGCATGGGCACATCTTCATCATTCTTAAAGAGTCGCTGAAGTACGTGCCCGTCTTAGGCCCGGGCATGATGTTTTACGGCTTCATTTTTATGGCACGCAAGTGGATTTCGGACAAGCCCCGCCTGAAGCACCGACTCGAAAAACTCAAGACTCGACACAGTGGCCCCATGTCTGGCTCGGATGGACTGGACCCTATGTGGCTGTTGATTTTCCCTGAAGGCACCAACCTCTCTCAAAATATGAAGCAGGGAAGTGCCAAGTGGGCTGCAAAACAAGGTATACCGGACATGAAGCACCAGCTTCTGCCGCGGAGCACTGGTCTTTTGTTCTGTCTCCAGGAATTGCAGGGCACAATCGAATGGGTCTACGACTGCACAATTGCTTACGAAGGCACACCGTCAGTGCATGCGGTTTCTTGCTTGTGTCAGGATCGAAAAGCTAACAGGGCTGCAGGAAAGGGGGTTTCGCCCCCGACATTTTCACGATTCGGTCCACGTATTTGCAGGGTCGACCGCCGAAGAGTGTCAACATGTACTGGCGTCGGTTCGCCATGTCTTCGATTCCGCTCTCAGATGCCAAGGAGTTTGAGCTTTGGCTGATCGAACGCTGGCGAGAGAAGGACGAGATGTTGGAGCAATGGTACAACACGGGACGCTTCCCCTCGGACGCGGCCTCTGCCGATGCTAAGCACGGAGTGTCCGAGGATGGCTTCATTGAAACAGAAATGACGCTCAACAACTGGATGGAAATCGGCCAGATTTATGTGGTGCTGGCCGCGGCTGCACTAGTGGTCAATGTGGTGGTCAAGTTTTTTGGGATGTTTAGGAGGCTGAAATAATTGGCTGGGGAAGTGATGTCTGGCTGGAAATGGCGTTGGACAGAACCAGGGCGGTGAACATGGGGCACCACTTTGCATAGGACTGGGACTGGGGCGAAGAAGGCCGATTGTTTGGATGCATTGGGACAAGGGATGATAGAACAATTGGCTGGTGTTGACCATCGCATGTCCACTGCTTCCAAGGGCGAACGGGATGGGATTCAAGCGGGCCATGGTGGGCGGCCAGGTATTTGCCAGGAGCTACTGGGTGATAGATAGACAATGGGCACGGCATGGTTGCTTGATTGCTGAAAGACATGTTCCTGATTCCTGGCGTTCACATCCCCCCTTAGGAATGTTAGGATACCCCATAAGTACCTCGTACTGGCAACAGAAAGTCCTGAACAGGGAAACAGTCCAACGGCACCGTTCGTCCTCAACCATGTCAATGGGACCATGGGACCCTCGTCGTCCCGCTGGATGCTTAGAAGAGATTACCTAGAATCAATGTATTCTACTCGTACCCTCCCTTCAGCTCTCCACTATCAAGCCATCCCCAGCGCCCCTTGGGAAATGCAATGCCAAGGCTTGGCGGGAAACCGAGGCCCGATCTCCGACTCCCGCGCTTTGTTTCCGCCCCTTCGCCAGTGGGAGATCTACTCGTACTACCACTACTACTATTCAAGCAAGCTCTCAAGTTCAACTGCTTATTTGACTTTCCGCCTAAAATTGTCCTTGCTAGGTCTCTAGGTGAACCCGTTGAACCCGTCCCCTGACCATCACCTTGCTAGTTGGCGCCCTATTCATGCGAGATTGACATAATCCAGGATTGAGCAACCAGGCCTTGTCCCTTTCCCTGCTCTGCCGTTAGCTTACACCGCGAAGCGAAAGTCTCTTACCATCCTCCCATGTCAAGATCGCATCCTACAATCACGGATATGCTAGGGCCTGGGAGAAGAGAGAAAAAGCTTGATCCAATGTCATGATACTCGCGACGAGGGACAGGACTCGGCGAACAAGAAGGAACACTCGGACAAAAGGCCACGAATACACTATTAACACTGTGGCAGAGCACCAGTCTCTGCATCTCGATCGGGACACCGTGCCGAGCACTCTGCGATCAACCTACCATCCCTTAAAAGAGTTGCTCCATCAACTTCGTCAAATGTTTCAGCCTCACACGCATCTATTCCCTTGTGGACACTCTCAGCACATGTGCCCCGGTTTTGCCATGACTTGTTAGGGGTACCATATGGCTTTTGTCGAGGTCCTCCTGTCCTCCGACAGCCGGCGAGTCCATTTCAAAAATCAGTGACACTTTCCGGCCAGAAAAGAGTTTCTATGCTAGTTACTCGGACTTATTAATAATTAGGTCAAAGGTAAGAATCATCAGGATATTTGCTGTACCCTTGATCCCAGTACTCATCTTATGGGCTACTAATATCTGATCTGACTGACGCCTCTCCCCTATTGAGTGGCAGTCGCTACATTCTCGGATGGCGTCTGTTCTGTGTCAGAATGTGCCACTGAAAGGAGTGGTTGTGAAACCTGTACCATGTTATCGGAGTTGGGTGAGCTGAAAATGGGCACTAGACCATATTTCAGTAATATCCACTATCTCGCAGGGACATTGGTAGGCTCGAGCTTCACAGGGTCAAATTTTCAATCTCGCTTTGTCCCAACAAAACCGGTTGTTGATGGCTCACTGAGCCTTGGGCCTCAAAATACGCGGGGTACTGGCCATCCTATTACAATGGAGGTTAGAACAGCAGGTCAAATCGTTCTTTGCCGTCCCAATGGGCCTCCGCCACGTCCATTTTCGTCGATATCTTAGTTTGCAATTGACTAACCGCCTCGAGGATTACGGAGTACCGAGAATTCGCTGAACACTAAAGGTGTCTGGACCCGATTGAGCAGACAACGGTGGCGTCCAGGGAAGACAACAGAATCAGCATCAGGCAGCCAATCCTTCTCCCTTTCACTCGAAACTCCCCTGTTCTCCTTGTTGAAAGGGGGCTCACAACGATTCTAGCCAGTGAGGAGCACTTCCGAGGTTGCCCATATGTTCCCCGGTACATGTGGTTCGGAGGCGGCGCTGCAAGGGGCTCAAGGGGAGAAAGAGGAAATGTGAGATTCTTCATTCCATGAGGCTGACAGGAAGATGAGCTGAAATTTGTGTACGCTTAGATATAATATCCTGATTCCCTCAAAAGGTCTCGATGTATTCTCCGGAAACTTTGGGACACTCGTGAGCTGCAGCACAGAAGTGTACACTTTGATCACCCTTTGCCATCCGACTTCCATCAATAGAGTCTCGGTCTGCAGCTCTCCGACCAGGATTGTCAAGCACCATGGCTCCTCCAGCACCCAAACCCCAGATCCCAACGACGTTCAGCGGACCCATGCAGGTCATCGGTGCCGGCCTCCCTCGCTGCGCCACCACCACCCTGAAAGAAATGCTCGAGGACAAAACGCTGCTCGACGTCGGACCGACCATGCACATGAATCGCTGCCTCTCTTCACCCGCGAACATGCGCCTCCTCTACGACGCCCTCCGCGAAGAGGACACGCAGAGACGCCGGGCCATCCTGTACAAACTCTTCGCCGGGTGCGCCGCCACGGCCGATTTCCCGGGCCATCTGTTCATCGAGGACCTGATCGAGATGTATCCCGACGCCAAAGTGATGCTCAACATCCGCAAGGGCGGCGCCGACGACTGGGAAGCCAGCATGAAGTCGACCATCGCTCCGTTCATGAGCTGGCGATACCGGGTGGCCTGCTTCTGGAGCGTCCCAGACTACTGGCACTACCAGTGCGAGGTCGAATGGCAGCGGTTCTGCAAGGACAGGTTTGGCGCCGACAGCTTCTGGAGCAAAGAGGTGTACGACAAGCACAATGCGTGGGTGGTGAAACTGTGTCAGGACAAAGGCCGAGAGGTCCTTCTCTGGGAGCCCGCCATGGGCTGGACTCCCGTGTGTGAGTTCTTGGGCAAAAAGGAGCCCGACGCCGGCGTCCCGAGAACCAACGACCGGGGCAAGATGGAGAAGGTCGTCAGCTGGAGGATTAGCCTGGGGTTGAAGCTCTGGGTGAGCAGGATCTGTGTGCCAGTCGCCATCTCTGTCCTCGGCGGGTATGGAGTGGTGAGGGCGATGCAAGTGTGAACGGACTCGGGCGTCGCAGAAAGAATGCAAATGTCCTTAACCCTTTTCCTTTGTCGACACTATTTGGGGAGTTGGCAAACCGCCCCCCCCCCCGGGGGGGGGGGGGGGGGAGGAAGTGGGGGTGCCTGCGGTGTCCCACGGCTGTCTCGGTACTCGGCCATTTTCTGGTTTTATGGACCCCCTTGTTTTGAGAATAGTCGCTAGTTGGATGTGAATAAAGAAGAGTGTCTATCGGTGACAACTGTATTAGTATTACCCTAAACATCCAGGCTCCCCAGAACCCATCGCCGCTCGTCAAGCTCAAGATCATGACTGTTTACACATCAACCCGGGAATCAGTGCGGTTGCGTACATGACCGCCGTGATGGGCATCAGCTCGGCCATGCGGCCCTGCATCTTCTTCGTCGGCACGGGCACCAGCCCTGCTTCTTCCCACGCCCTGCAAATCAGGTCGGGGAGCGCGCGGATCTCGGCGTCGACCAGTTCGTCCTCGCGGCACAGTCCGTCCTCGTCGGTGCCGCTGGAGAGCGCGGCCTTGACACCGAGCGCAGTCCCGAATTCGCGGAACGCCAGGCGTCGGCCGACCGGCTGGTCAAAGTAATCGTTCTCCAGCAGCTGTTTGACGCAGCCAATCGCGCGGGAGGTCAGGTTGTTCGCCCACTCCTCCTCGGGCGTGAACCAGTGCGCCGTCCACAGCGTCATGCCCAGGTCCAATGTGTCCGCCGAGGCGTAGTCCCGAAGCTTCTTGTCGACAATCCTCTTGAAGAGCGAGACCTCTTCGCCCAGGACCTCCGGGTCGTCGGGATTCGTGGATTGGAGGAGCTTGTACGTGACGTAGCCGTCGACCGGGTCGAGGTTACCCTCGGACATGACGAGGGGCCGCGAGAGGTCCATGCTGAGTTTCCAGAACATGCGCGGCCGGTGTGACTCGGTGTTGGACATGAAGTGAGGGAGGATCGCCTTTGCCATGGAGATGGCTTGGTCGTTGTACCATCTGTTCCCACTCACCAAGCTCATGCGGTTGAGGGCGAACATCCACACCGTGAGGTAGTGGAAGTACTGGCCATCGCCATCGGGCCCAGATTCGTCGTGTTTCCCGATCCGAAGGCCGCCGTTGAGGGGGTGCTGGTCTGTTGCGCCAGGCAGGCGGGATTTGCCGTTCCGCGTGTAACCCAAGATGTTGTGGACGGTGGCGATGAGATTCTGGGCGAAGGTGAGGTAGCGCTCCTCCTCGGTGAGCTGATACAGCGTCAGGAAGTTGACGACGGCGAACCCGTCCGTCCAGAGATAGCGGCCTCGATGGCCCTCGGCGGCCGGAGGAGGTACCCATTTGGAGAGATTCTGGTCTGTCGTTTTCGGTAAAGGCCCATAGATGGACTCCATGGCCAAGAGGAACTTGGGGATATTTGCTTTGTCGTCGGATACCATGGTGGGTGGTTTGTCCATGGTAGGATGATTCGTCGCAGTAGAGGATGTTGGCTGGAGGTAAAACTTACGAATTTGAGGTCTTTTTGGGGCGCGAGAGATGGCAAGATACTGTGCGCATTGATATATCGACAAACGAGGACGGACGAGCATCAAACAAGTCAAGCCGGTGAATGCCTCTGGCTCATGAATAGTAGACTGAGCACAATGCCTCCCTGTGGGTGATGGGTGAGCGACCTCCGTCAATACTGGATACTTCTTGTAGAAGAGGGAGAGCAGCGACAAATCTTCCAGTGGTTCTGTGATGGTATGAGCAGCGATGATGTATTTTTATGGATGGATCTGCAAGTGTCATGCCACATACATCTGGAGAGGTGTGCCACATGTCACAAGGTTCGAGGTAACAAGTCGTTCAGTCGCCCAGATTGGTATATATGGGTGGAGACTGAACTTACCACAGTCACGTATGTGATTGGCTCCTCAAGTCGGAAGGAGGTGAGTTTATCCGAGTCACCGAAAGGGGGAAGCACAGTGCCGCATTGTGCAATATTGGCGGTCTTGGCACTGGTGCCCCTCACTGTGATGGCGATATGCATCATGCAGCCCCTCATTCCAGGTTCAATTGCTTCATCGTACATTGTGCCCGCTTGTAGGAGGCGGAGGCTTCGTTCTTCCTTAACTCCACCGGCCTCTGATTACCTCCCTGGTTCCTTCTTTCGTGAAAACTCTTCCGGCTTCCATCTTCTCAAAACGGTCGTCATCATCTTTGCTTCACTTTGGTACACGCTGTAACACCCAATTCTCTCTGTACAATCACAATCCAAGTCGCCAAAATGGTCAAAGCAGGTGAGTCCTTCTCCAATCCCCCGGATCAGGGTTCTACGGGTTGTCCCGACCATGATTCCCGGTCTCTCAGCCATCAATCAGTCCGGCCAGAGCACATCTCCATCTCCCTGGAGACTGCAGTCGGCCCAGCTCATCCCATCCGCGCCCTGTTTCATGAATCAACCCTCACTGACACTTCCTCTTCTTAGTTGCTGTCATCCGTGGAGACTCCAAGATCACCGGCCAGGTGACCTTCGAGCAGACTTCCGAGTCGTCTCCCACCACCATCACCTGGGACATCCAGGGCCACGACCCGAACGCTGAGCGTGGTATGCACGTGCACCAATTCGGTGACAACACCAACGGCTGCACCAGCGCTGGTCCTCACTGTACGTCCACCTGCCATGTCGGCTCCTTGGGGCCTCAAGAGGAAGAGTGAACACACAAGGTCGATATACTGATGTCGAATATGCTCCTAGACAACCCACACGGCAAGACCCACGGCGCCCCGACTGATCAGGAACGACACGTTGGTGATCTGGGTAACATTAAGACCGATGCTCAGGGCAATGCCAAAGGCAGCGTCAGCGACAGCTTCGTCAAGCTGATTGGCGAGCACAGCGTTCTCGGCGTACGTATATCCAGAAAGAACATCCCTCTTAGCAGCTTTCCCCAAGATCTGTTCTCATGTACACGCCAATGTCTTTCGTTGATCATAAACTAATATGGCTGACAGCGAACCATCGTCGTCCACGCGGGCACTGATGACCTCGGCAAGGGCGGGAATGAAGAGAGCAAGAAGACGGGCAACGCGGGTCCTCGACCTGCTTGCGGGGTCATTGGCATTGCCGCATGAATGACATGAAAACAAGACGATCACCCGAAGCACCATGTCACCATGTCCGATCGGAACCAACATCGGACTCCCCAACCCCAGATGAAACTGCAGGAGGAAATCTTGAAGACATGATATTCGACGACCGGGACGAACGCGCATATGTAAGGATCTCGAGATTCGAACAAGATTGACGGTGACATGGAACGGCTTCTGTGTGTCAAAGTTTCAACAAAAGTGGCTTTTCGGCTATCTTCGTGTACGCAGTAAATGATCCCATACATAGATAGCAAAAACCTACAAGCACTTGCGGCATCCACGATCAACAAACATGTTCCGTCCAAGGTTATCATTATATACTCTCTCTGTAGGGGTATTTTTCCGTACGGCATTAAAATGCCAACCGCACAACAACCTGGCTCCAGAACATCCGAGGGCACAATGAAGAACCGCACGCCGCTCCCTCAAGAAATGCAGACCAGACTTCCAAGATGAGCCTCCATAGGCAAATTGTGAAAACTTTCCGGGCATTGGAATCGCTGCTTCGGTCTCCCAGCACCATTACAGCAGTTAGCGGTTGGGCTGGAGAAAACCCGTGCCATAACCATGGGCGCAGTCAGGCCAGAGCCCCAACACCCCTCGCCGATGAGCTTAGAAACAGCCGCAGCTTTCCATTCTTCACCTCTCCACAAAATCTCGAGATCGTGCTGGAGTTGGATTAAACTTCCGTGGCGGTCACAAATCTCTCTATAACCGGACGCTCGCTCTCTCCATCCCTCTTTCCCGCCTCTGAAATCGTCAATTTCTGGGCCTCGATTGCCAGTCCTTTACTGGCGTCGCTCGACACAAATACTTCGGGGTTTCCTTCCCCGGGACCTGTGGTATGGCCATTCATATGACCGTTGGCGGTAGGAGGGATGGCCGAAATTGATTCTTGGGCCAGTTTCTCTTCGATGGCGGCCGTCATGGCGATGGAGTGGGCTGGAAGAGGACCGGGATCGGGTTGGGAGGGTGGATGAGGAAGCGGTTGTGATGCGGATTCCGGTTGTGACTGCGGCGGTGCTGACGACGGTGTTGCTGTCTGTGATGCTTGCGCAGGGCGATCTGAATTCGTTTGAGTTGCTATCAGGTTCGCAACTGTAGCTCCTCCGGTTGCAGCCACTGCAGCCTCTTCAGCTTCATGATGCGGCGACGCAGTTCCATTGGGCACTGGTGTCTTCCCACCTGAAGATACCTTTTTTTCCGGGTGAACGGGGAATTCTGTATAATCCGCTGCATAGACAACTGGTTTCATCTTCTCAATGTCTACGGTCGGCCGTCTGAGTTTGCCCTTTTCAGACCCAACGGGTACTCTCTGCCCGTCGAGCCAAAGGCAAGGCCCCCTTACCCAGCCTTTATTCCCGTCTTTTTCCAGAGCTGTACGAGTCTCGTCGTCCAGATGCGGCAGATCACCCCAGTCCCAGTTGAGATCACCGCCGTACCGTTTTGGAAAGTCCTTTGTATCCATAAATTTGGCCAAGGTGGGTTTCACGTCATTTTTGCTGAGGATGAAGATCTTGGAGACAGTTACAGGATCGAACCAACGTTTGATCCAACCCCAGACGGTGGGAAAGAATGCAGGGGCGCCAATTATCTGATCACAATTAGCTCTTCTTGCCTGCCGAACTCACAGGGGTGTATTCGCTCACAAAAATTCTGTCTAGAGTCTCGGGATAATGTGCGGTTGCTAAAATAGAGGCATCCTGCATGTGCGCCTTTAGATTCCAGAACTGCGTCAATCCTACACCCGAAATATCGACAATGTTCGTAGAGTTCGTTACGGGCACTTCAGGATTCGGTCTCTCGAGCGTGGAAACGAGGGGGAGGACGAAGTTGAGCAGGTTCTGGTATAGGGCGAACAGAGGCAGAAGTTTGGCGGGTGTAGCGAGATTTTTGTGGTTCGGAAGGCTGTCCTTGTAGGCCTGCGAGTCTTTCTGGTATCTCTGCACATTTTTGCTGTCAAGGCCCTTGATCACGTAGACGTAGATGGGAATCCCTCGTTTGTCCCGGTGGCCGGTCCATTGGGGATACTGTAGTTTTGAAAACCAACAGTCAGATATCCGGCGTGCATCTCAGTGCGCGGTTGCGATCGACGCCGTTGGCTTACCATTAGCCGTGCCTTCTCATACGCCTCGATATCAAAGTTGTCGTATAGCTCTTCTACCCGCTGCTCTTTCAGCCATTGTTCCGTCTCTGTGAACTGCCCGATTGCACCTTGAACATCGAACTTCCGGGCGCGCAAGTATCGGCTGTCATGATGGACAAGTCAGCGGGGAACCAACACGTCGGTAGCACATGAACCAAGATGACATCGTACAGAAGAGTTCCATCATCGTGGGTGGGCTTGCCATTGACGCCATCGGGCGACCACCATCCCCCTTCTCGCAGTCGGTCCTTGAACTCATGGAGCTTTTGTTCTTGAATAGGATTTAAATGATTGAGGGTGCCGGTTAGAGGGTCTGCAGTGGTGGTTCTTGTCAAGGTCGGATGGGCATGCGTGCCCACAGAATGATCCGAATGATGCGACTTTTGCGATTGACCGGTCAGGGTTCTGTAGAGGTTGCTCATCTCGGGTTCGAGGGTTGTTGCGAAGTAGCCAAGGAAATAATAGGACAGTCCAACGACTGGATGTTCAGGCTGCGGACGGAGACTCGGAGATTCGACGACAGAGTACAAATGACAGGGACCTCTAGGTGTGTAGCGACGTTGGACAGCTTCTAAGGGAGGGATCAAGGATGTTGGATATCAATAATTCATTATAGTAGGAAGAATGGTATAATGATGCAGTTGACAGCTGCTACACCGCAGGACAAGATGTGTGATATTAGGCGTGCCGACAGATTTCAAGGGAAGCCATTTGCTCAAGAGACCCTCTTTTTGCCCATGATCAAAATTATCTTAGCGACCGAACGGGCTGGCCGGAACGAACGCCCAAGATGGCCCAGGAGACGGGAAATGCAGGGGGAGGAGAATAGCGATGACCGTGGTGATGGCATGAAGGCACCAAAGGGGACAAATCTGATTGAGCTGGAAGGGGAATCGCTGATATCATCCTGCCACCTGCGGCCCCTGCAAACTGCGGCCTCGCCCAGCCTGCGCTCCTGGCCTCCTGGCCTCCTGCACACACTGCATCATCCACCTTATTCCTCTCTTGTGCAGCGTCTATCCAGTGTCCAAGCAGCATCCACAGCCTTTGCCACCTCCAGAACCGACTCGCCTAACCTCGTACAGACTTCGGCTACTCCTTTGCTGGTCCCTACCCGCCCTCGCCGCCTCGATCCCAGCTGGGTGCCCAGTTCATTCTCCCCAATCGGCGACTCGGAGGGCGAAGGGCATAAAATGGTCCCGAGTCACGGCTTGCGGGCGCATACATCGGCCGAGAAGCTGGAGCTGCAGGACTTCAACACCCACTATTTCATCCCTAAGGCATTCAAAATGTGGACGAAACAATGATCCGAGTCATTTTCCTCTGAGCACCCCATGTGTGACAACGATTAACTCTATTTTGGACCCTTTTTCGTCTTTGCCGGGCTCGTGGAAGCTTGCTCGCACTCGATGATTATGATGACACTGATTACTCCTGTTCTGATGGGCTCTGGTGACGCTGGTGGCTCCTCTCGTCGGCTCTTTCGACGTGATACATTCACTTCTTTACTACTGACATGGCCAAAAATACCCATGGACTGGCCCACGTACTCTATCAACCATCAACCTCCACAGCGCACGCTTCAGAGAGGGTGTGCGAGACCTCGATCGCCTCGGCTCCCCGCCGCTTCCTCCTGCTACGCTACCTCTTTGATGTGTCTACAGCCTCTCGATGTGCACTCGATCACCCTGTGCCACTTACGAGTACCATACGGGTTGCGACCGAGTGCACACCGACCAGACACCCACGTTCCCCGGTTTCAATTGGATCAAATATCCACCCTTGTCAGCTGAAGTAATGCTCGAAGTCGCGTCAAGTAAGCATGACCCGTTTATGGAATGCGTTGACCGACTATTCAACCACCCCTAAGATAGCCGACGAGGCTGCCCGTGCCCGGAGAAGTGATTAGCAACCTCGTTTTCAAGCCCTTCCTCCTCGTACATTCGTATTTTGGAAACCCCATAGCGGAATGAAATGGACGCGGTGTCGGCTCGAATATCCTTTAACATTCAAGTACTCGCATATTGTCTCCTAGGTCCATACGTATCGTTGCCGGTGCGAGAGAATTCTGGTACTCACCTTGTCGAATTTCGAGAAGGTCGATACAAATCCCGCCTTAATGGTGTCCTAGGGAGCCGCGGACGCACTGATCTAGAATAATAATGGCATCGCCTGTGCTCTTTCAGTATGTAATGTCTGAGTAGCCCATTTGCTGGTGAAGGCGTGTTGCAGCTTCTACTCAGATGGCCAAAAATGTTCAAATAACATGTCAAGATCAACGGTGAACCATAGGCGCTGCCAGCGCAACGCTAGCTCCACCTCCAACCCGGCTGTCATAGCACTGCACCTCAATTGCACCCTTCTTCGTACGCACTCAACCGCTTCCTCAACTGCCCATCCCACCGGAACACCCCAGCTACCTCCTCTTTGTTCATTAGGCACCCTCTCAGCTCCTCCTGCAGTTCCGAAAGCCGAGTTTGCGATGGCCAAACCCGTCTGGCAAGGCAATCACCCCGTCCGTCAAATCAATGCCACACGACCGTTCTACAGATTCTGCGCCACAGGATTAGGAGCTGCAATGTGGTTCTTTGTAAGTTCCAACCCGACGCCCGTCGAGTTTCGCAAGTGCCCAAGCTGACAATGAGGTGTAGCTGTTTTACAGAGCGAAGCAGGATGGACCTGCGTTACTTGGATTGAAGCACCCTTGGGACCACTAGAAATGCAATGGAAGGGGCGTGCGGATCAACAGATGATCACCATGGGATGAACGAAGCAGAGAAAATGCCGTGAAGCACCGGGACAGGAAGAGGAGAAGAGGCGGGTGAAGTCGAAAGGCCACGGCTGTCCGGACGAAACATCGAAGCTCGGGAACAAGCGCGACGCAAACAGCCACCCCATTGTATATACGGCTGCTAAGCATGGACCGGCGTTACTCCATGGGAAACAAGATCAAGAGTGCTCTATGCGACGGTCCTGGGAAAGGAGGGAATCAAAGCATACACTGTTTTTCGCGGCGCTAGAGCCTGCCTCTACCCACAAGACCAGTCCAATAAATACATATGTGTAAGAGATTTGAAGGCTAATGAACAGCAATCTCTCCATCAACCGTCTTCGTTGCACGCTTCTTCCTCTGTTCTCTTCTTCAGTGTCTTTTCACACGAAAAAAGACACATCGACAAAATCCCAGTTATATCGTGTCTCGATTCTCGCCGTTCAGGAACCTGCACCAACCATACGCTTCCTCGCCGTTAAAAAAGCCCGAGCTTGCCCTTCCTCACTCACAGTCGCTTCGCCTTTTGCAATAGCCATATACCCTAGGATGGGCAATTCAGCGCCTCGGCTGAATGCTGAGGACTCGCTTGTAGTAATAGCCAAGTGCGGCAACGCCCACTCTAGCTACCGTTGCCACCTGCGTCCGTGACAGATTCTTAAATCCTGGTCCCCTATCCGCCTCGAGCTACAGTACTGTAAGGTCGTCTGCGTGAAAAGGTGGCTGCGGTAAGATTGGCAGAGGACCGGTTCGGTGAGCGGCATATGGCACACTCGAGGTGATGTCCTGGTGGGATGGTACAGGCGCTTGGATACAGTACACAAAGTGTAGGTATAACTGCCGTACAAAATGGCACAGGCCAAACGAATTAGTAGAGTTCTCCTCCTTTCATTTGGTAGCTCTTTATTCTTTTTATTCTAACCCGATCGATGTGCATGCATACAGCCCTCTATGTACTGATCTGGATATCTTCCGCAATGAGCTTATACTGCTTTCTCTTTTTCGGGTGTCCGGGTCTCAACCTCGATTTGAGCCGTCCAATGTATTTCGCCAGCAGAGGAAAAAGATATTGCTCCGCTAGATAGGCAATGGCAAACCCAGCCACAGCCAACACCAGCAGGAAGACTTCATAGTCCGCTGCCATCTCCGTCAGGTCCATGAAATTCGCCACCCATTTGGCAGGGTCGAGAAGCATGTATAAGGAAATCAGGAGCGCCGTCACGATCGTCACGCAGAAGGGCACATTCGTCCCCAGGGACTGTCGGAATGGTGGCCCGACGCTGAGAACAACACTGGAAAGTGTATACTGGAAGCAGGACGCCAAAAACAAGGCGGTATTTTGAGAGTTGTCGACGTTGGACTTTTCCTTGTCCAGTCGTGGTGGTATATACCAAGGTTGTTGTTGGACCGTCTCGAACACGACGAGTTGAACAAGTACCGAAAGCACGATCTGACCCAGCAGCGGCGTCAAAACCTTTCGTGATACAAGGCTTGCGGTAGGACGCTTCTTGCTCAGAACCGGATAGGCGCCAGTCCAGCCCATGAATATTGCCAGTGGCAAGATCAACGCAAGGTCGATGAAGAGGAACTGGAAATCTCCCAGGTTCGAAGCCGACGCATATAGGAAGCTGACAGACGTGAACTGAATGGCCGAGTACAAGCTCATGTACTTGAAGCAGCAGAAACTGGTTACTAAAGCAGCACGGCCTTCCTTGATCAGGGCGGGTACGCAGGAAATATCGAAAATATGGCTGGTGAATGGGGCAGCGACAGATGCCTCAGCTTCTGACAGTGAGACACCAACGTCTGCAGCCTTGAGTGCACCGCAGTCGTTTGCACCGTCACCACAAAACCCACAGCAGTAGTCGATGCTCTGTAGCTTCTCTACAAGCTCGTGCTTCTCATCTGGAGACATTCGAGCGAAGACTGCCCCTTTGACGAGCATCCGTTGCAACACCTCTGTGGATCCAAAATCAATGATCCAGCGGAAAGCATCGCCAGTGACTGCCAGTGTATAATCGCCGATGGCGATTGCATCATATGGGGCTGCATTGTCGTCTTCGGCTGGCAGCGGCTGAGGCAGCAAAGTATATTCATCAAGTTGATAGATTTGATTGTCGACACTTTCCCAGCAGATGCGTGCTTTGCCATCCATCTTGTCACCCTCAATGAAATGAGGTACAAAGCAGTGTGCATTACGATCAATGATGCCACACTCTCTCGCCACGCTGATAGCAGTGAGGATGTTGTCTCCTGTACACATGACATTTCGGATTTTGGCTTCGTTCAGTTCTTCAATGATCTCAGTCGTGATTTCCTTGAGCTTGTTTTCGAAAATTATGAAGCCGATTAGCGAAAGACGTGATTCGGCTTCGGACCGTTCCATGTTCTGTACGTCGTCCCAGCTGAGTCTCGAAATATATTTCGAGGCGCAGGCGATAACTCGGAATCCTTTATGGGTGTAGTAGTTCAGTAGGTCGTCAAAATCATCAGGAATGCTTGATGCAGTGCAGATGTCCTTCATGACTTCTGGTGCCCCTTTGACGTAGATATTGACACCTGGATCACAATGTTGCCGCACAATGACACTGGCTCGTCTCAGATGCGAGACGAATTCGAACGAACGCAGGATGCCCAGTTCGACGCGCACCGGGTTCTCATTATCCTGAGAGTCTTCCAAATCATACTCGAAGCCATGTGGAGGACGTGCCACGCTTGGCGCTGTCTGGTGTGTTCCAGGCTCGATAAAGTGGCTCGTGTTACGGGAACCCTCTTCGAATGACCATTCGGTAAATTGGAACATCTTGAGATCGAGCGGGTCGCCAATCAATTCGTCCTCGACCAGCCGAAGGGAATGGCATGTGGCCATTGTGTAGAGCATATTTTTATTGACTCGGTAGTCGACCGTTGGATCACGATCGTAGGAAGCTGGGGGAAGAAGCTCACGCGCCTCCTCCAGGATGTCCCCAAAGCGTATTTCCGGATGTTGCACAAGTCGTACACCGAGAACATCAAGGCCATCTTCCGTCAAAGTCCCCGTCTTGTCGAAACACACGACGTCCAACTTTCCAGCAACATTGACTCTTTGCGGGCTGATGCAGAAAATCTGTAGTTTTCTGAGTCGAGCCAAGGCGAAATTCGTGCCGATAGTCAAAGTAGCCGGGAGAGCGGGAGGCACTACGATTGTGATGAGATCCAGTGCCCTGACAATGATCAGATGCCAGGCGAGTCCCAACTTGACAAAATTGATGAATGAAGCAATGAACCCGACCGCCGCGATGATGCCCATCACCGAAATGTACCGGAAAGAGTCACGGTAGAACCTGAAGCCTGATGGCTTAGGGAAGAGCATGGACCGGACTAGAGCACCTTTGGTTGTGTTGAATCCAGTACGGACAACCATAGCAAGGGCAACAGCTTCGTCGTCCTCGGTATCCTGCGGTCGCCTTGCACGAATGATTTTCGTGCCGCAGAAAAGAAAGTGACGGGCTACACTTGGGTGGATTGACGTTGCGCCTAGATCAACGTAGGGCAGAGCCTCGTCGGTGATAGGAATTTTTGATACAGGAATAGATTCGCCTACGCAATCAGCTTGGAGATAGGCAATTGTCCCTGGAGCTTACCGGTAAGCATGCTTTCATTGATGATGCAATCGCCTGCAAGGAGCAGACTGTCACAAGGAAGTTGTGACAGAGAGGGATCAGAGACCTCATATACGTCGCCAGGGACAAGTTCACTCGACAGCGCGGAACGCCCTACACCAGCGTTAGTACAGACTTAGTTCTAATGCCACAAGTGCTTACAAAAGCCATTGCGGAGAACACGAACGTCGCACTCAAAGCGCGAGATTTCTCTCAGTCGTCGCATTGTCTGCAAGCCCATCAGCATCTCCGTCGATCCAAGCCACAATCACAAGAACGCGTACCGAACGAGTCTCCACAACAGTAGTGGTAATGGAGAAGACGGAGATCACAAAGATTGCCGCGGCATAGTAGTAGTACTCGTCCAATGACCAGAGGATGAGGCTGGCGACCTGGAAGATGTAAAAGGGGTGAAAAGCCTTGCCCAAAGTCAGCGCTCGAAGGATAATTGGATCTAGGAGCAGCAAACCTCATCGAGCAGCAATTCTGGAATAGTCTTCTGTTGGATCTCAATCATATTCTTTCCAAAGACTTGATCTCTCGGGTCTCTTTCTTCGGTGTCAAGACCCTCCCGAAGGGCTTTCACCGACACCCATTGTGGATCCCACCAGTCGTTGTTCAAGACGAATTTATCCTCAACCGGGTAGTACAAGAGCCTCATGTATCTATAATCCAGATACCGTAGGCGCCGCAACTCGGCGTCGTTGTCGTAGTGATATCCATTGAGATTTTCCTTGCCAGAGCGTGTGAAAACTGATGACATGGGATGGCCATAGTCCTCAGAAACCACATAATGAACCGTGAATTCGCCCCATTGATTCTGAGATTTCTTAGCCTTCTTCTTGGGACGCGGTCGCTCTGGGCCATAGCTCACCTCTACGACAACCCAAGAGCACTTTCTGAGGGGTGCTGAAGATCCAATGAGAGATATGCGCCACCGAGGCACCCAGCGAAAGACCAGATAGCCGATACCCGCTGTCAAGGTGCAGATGGCCAGATAGGTCAGATAGCCTACAGTGGACGTCGTAAATCCAGCTATGGCCATGGTCAGATCCTCATTCTCAATGTATAATTTTTGGCTAAAGTTGCCGCCGTCCTCGTGTTTCTGTGTGTCACTTCTCGCCGAATCGTGTCTGTGGAGGAGCGGCTGGTCGACCGACGTTCGGTATCTGCTTGAACTCTTGCGGTGGGATGTGGTAGGCTCAAGGCCAGCCTCCAGGTCTCGGTCCTCATTATGTATGTGGCCCTGCTCTTCGTCGCTTTCAACAGCCTCTTCGTCTGAGAAGACATTCGGTGATTCTTGGTCTTGCTCGGTAAAGTATGTGAAGGAACTGATCGACCCAGCTCGCCTTCTGGGCACCCTGTACGCGAATCCCGTCACGGAGGAGGGCACTGATTCCGCTAGACAACGAAGTCAGGGCACATCCACCACGCGACCTCAGCTGGGCGAAGGACTTACAGATGGGCCCAGAAAACACATCAGTGGTCGACATCTCCACATCGCTGACTATGCTTGCAGTACTCAAGTTGGAATCTCTTCGGTGCATTCTCCCTGCGCTCGAGCTCCTCCTTCGCGAGGGGCGTCGAGGAGCGCCTTCATGATGCGCGTTGCTGTCCATGGTGTGAAGTGCCACAGGCACAATGCCGACGCGCTTCTCAACTCATCCTTGATTCAGAGTATATGAGGGTGACATTGGGTGATGGCTCGTTTGGTGCAGCTACGCAATACAGATATCGATCTGGATTTGAATTGGGGGCCAACATGGGGAGGGATGATGCAGCGATGATGCGGGCAGAAGTTTTCCGTAGCCTTTCCAGACTCAATCGCGCCCACTACCCAGTGCACTGTCTCTACCATTTGTACTCAAAATAAGCCAACAACTACGGCTGATTGATGGTTACGGAGTACTACACGTAGTCAATACGCCCTCTTCCATAGTAAGCCATCTCGAACATCTGCTGTAGACCTAGAACCGCTTCACTGATTTTTGGCGACGGTCACCTCAAGCAAGGCCTAGCGCGCCCAACTGGTGATACGGTGCAGCGGCACTGCACTAGTTCCCCCACCAGCAAAGCGTGGGACTCGGAGGCAAAACTGATTTATTGCTGTGCATTTCACGCGGCCTGGCCAAAATTCTTCAATCCTTCCATTATTCCACTTTCTCTGCTCCTGCCAACCTCGTTCTTTCCGGAAGAAAGGAACGCTCTTCTTCAAACTCCCCTGAGAACCGTTTTCGGAGAGTCTCCTGGATAGCCACGGAACCGCTAGCTGAAAAGCTCTGAAAGGCCCAACGTCAACTCAACGTTTGTATTTCTCACTCAACAAGCCCCGGAACCCTACCTCAGACTGCACCCGTTGAATCAAGAGCAAAATGGCGGAAATACCCAAGGCTCGAAACCTGACCGCGCCTACGCCGCAGAACAGTACGTCTTGACCGTTTGCTGGATGATGAATGTTGCTCACAGTCCTCCAGCGCCTGCATCTAATGCGCCGATTTCCTCACACGCCACTGCCCCTAACGTGAGCTCTATTGCTGAAGGTGAGAAACTGCAAAACTCGTCGACTCCGACATCGAGTTAACCTATTCACAGAGGATCTCGATCGTGTTACCGCCGCCTCGATATTTGCAAAGAACCCCGCTCTTGTCTCCATGATGCAGCAAAAGCTCGATTCCCTCGTTGGCCGATCTTCAGGATACATCGAGTCCTTGCCGGCTCCCGTCCGCCGTCGGGTTACAGGACTGAAGGGCATTCAAAAGGACCACGCAAAACTGGAGTCAGAATTCCAAGAAGAAGTCCTCCAGCTCGAAAAGAAATACTTTGCCAAGTTCACTCCGCTCTACGAAAAGCGTGCTGCCATTGTCAACGGCAAGGCGGAGCCTACCGAAGAAGAAGTTGAGGCTGGCAAAGCCGAGGAGGAGGAGGAAGAGCCCGAAGAAGATGCGGTCAAGGAGGACGAGAAGACAACTACAGAGGACGTGAAGGGTATCCCTGAATTCTGGCTTTCTGCCATGAAGAATCAGAACTCGCTTGCTGAGCTTATCACGGCCCGAGACGAAGAAGCTCTCCGCTGCTTGACCGACATCCGCATGGAATACCTCGATCGCCCTGGTTTCCGCTTGATCTTCGAGTTCGCTCCCAATGATTTATTCACCAACAAGACCATTTCAAAAACATACTACTACCGAGAGGAGAGCGGCTATGGGGGCGACTTCATCTATGATCACGCCGAGGGCGATACCATTGACTGGAAAGCGGGCAAGGATCTTACTGTCCGCATTGAGAGCAAGAAGCAGAGAAACAAGAGTGAGCCAACTTCTGACTTTTGGACGTCGACAATCGCTGACAAGTAGAATAGACACCAAGCAGACCCGAGTCATCAAGAAGACTGTTCCTACCGAGTCTTTCTTCAACTTTTTCTCGCCACCCGTTGCCCCGACGGAGGAAGATGAGGTCGCTTCAGACATCGAAGAGCGCCTCGAGCTTGACTATCAGCTGGGCGAGGACATCAAAGAGAAGCTTATTCCTCGTGCCATTGACTGGTTCACTGGTGAGGCATTGGCCTTTGAGGAGTTTGATGATGACGAAGACGCCGAGTTCGACGACGAAGATGACGAAGATGACGAGGATGAGGAAGAAGCCGAGTCTGACGAAGACGACGAAGAAGAGGGTGGGAAACCTCGGTCTCAGCAAACTTCAGAATGTAAGAATCAGTAAATGGAGCCGGGCAACCCTCTGGTGATTCTACAAACTGGGCAGATGTGCTTTGTGGGCAGCAGGCGAGCGGGTCTATGGGATGTTGTTGACAGCAGCAGATCGGAAGGGTACGGTTTCAATACTTGGGATCAGGTCCCGGGTTGACCCGCTCCAAGCATAATGGGCGTTCTGAGAATGATGCTGTGATGATCGATTCGTCGATAATAGGTGGAAGGACACAGTGGGCGACTCCAGGCCAGCGGCGTCCTTCTACGACTACTCCCTACATGAATTTGTGGCTTCCAATGTTCAAGACGGCGTTCATGGGTATCATCACAACAGAGAAGAGCAACAGATTTTCTTTTAGTCAGTGAAAATGCGAGTCCAGTATCCCTTTGGACAACAGCAATATCTTCAAGCAGGAGGTTGGCATGGGCGACAAAACAAAAATACTGAATTTGGTTCGTGGATTCGGTACGTTTGCGTAGACTCGTAGGTACTCATCTTTCTGCCTGCCACTAAGATCGCTGTAATGTCCCGGTTTAGGCCATCCGGGGGAAGATCTCGTGGAAGACGCAAGGAAGGCTGCCACAAGCGTCTCGGACCAACCCTTGAGGATGCAGATATTATTATGTTGGTGGGAAAAAAAGGGGTTGCCACCTTGTCAGGCCCATCAGCGCTGAGCGTGCGTGGGCGGACAATTTCTGAAGGGCCTGGGTGGGTGCCAGGGGCATCAGGATGAAGCTCGCGCTTGAGTCGAAGCGGAAAGGCGCCAGATGGCGAGAGGCCCGCAGGAACAACAGCGACGGCCGTTTGGTCCCTTTGGCTCTGGTGCGGGCTTGGGGCTGCTGAGGCTAGTGAGGCCCAGCTGGTGTCGGTGCTGGTGCTGGTGCTGGCGCTGGTGCTTGGAGCGCATGGGGGAAGCGCGTCTCGTTGGAAGACCCGAGTCCCTGAGAAACTTTCTGACATCTCGCAAGTCAACTGAGTGTCCCCCAAGAATTCACAGCCGCACCTCAACCCGAAGACCGTTATTGTGGACAGTCAGGACGACATCTCATCCGCATTACTTTGATCCCATCTCTCATCTCTGACCGAGAAATACTGCACGCATCTTTATTTCTCGTCGCTCCTTTCCACGCCGGGAGAGGCCAGAATCCCCCCCCCGTGCGTGTCTGAACACGTCTTCCCTCCCACAGACTCTCCTCCCAGTCTCCGAATACATGGCTACCCTCATCTCGGACAGTTGAAAATCCTATCCCTACCTCCATCAGTAACCGCCCACGATGGCGAGCTGGGAGATTGGCACTCGGGCCTGGTTCCCCAACCAGTCCGAGGGCTTCATCCCCGGTGAGCTCGCGGAGAGAAAAGCTCTAGGTGATGGCAAGATCGCCCTCGTCTTCACCCTCTCCGATGAGTCCAAGCAGACAATCGAGACCACCGAGACTGCCCTCCTCGATACCCACAATGCTTCCTTACCTCCCTTGATGAACCCTCCCATGTTCGAGGCGGCCGAAGACTTGACCAACCTGTCCCATCTGAACGAGCCGGCCATCCTACAGGCAATCAAGCTCCGATATGCGCAGAAAGAAATCTACACGTACAGTGGGATCGTGCTGATAGCGACCAACCCTTTTGCACGGGTGGACTCTCTGTACGTCCCTCAGATGGTGCAGGTGTACGCAGGCAAGCAAAGAGCATCACAAGCGCCCCATCTGTTTGCCATCGCGGAGGAGGCATACACAGATATGTTGCGGGACTCACGGAATCAAACGGTCGTCGTCTCCGGTGAGTCGGGTGCCGGAAAAACAGTCAGTGCCAAATACATCATGCGGTACTTTGCAACTCGAGGAGCCCCAGGACAGGCCAGCAAGGGGACCAAGACGAGAGCAGATGCCATCAGTGAGACCGAAGAGCAAATCCTGGCTACAAATCCGGTCATGGAAGCCTTTGGCAATGCAAAAACGACGAGAAACGACAATTCTTCACGATTTGGAAAATACATTGAAATCATGTTTGATCAGAACACCGACATCATTGGTGCCCGGATAAGGACATATTTGCTTGAACGTTCACGACTTGTCTTTCAGCCATTGAAGGAGAGAAACTACCATATTTTCTACCAACTTGTAGCCGGAGCGACGGAAGATGAAAAACAAGAGTTGGGTTTGTTGCCTGTGGAAGAGTTCGACTATCTGAATCAAGGCAATGAGCCCACGATCGATGGCGTCGACGACGCCGCCGAATTTGCAGCTACAAGGAAGTCCTTGACTACGATCAACGTTTCCGAAGCCACTCAAAAGGAGATCTTCCGGGTTCTCGCCGCTCTCCTGCACATTGGAAATATCAAAATCACCGCCACACGCTCAGACTCGACCCTCTCCGCCAGCGAGCCTTCGCTGGTTCGGGCCTGCAGCATATTGGGCATTGACGCGACAGATTTTGCCAAATGGACGGTCAAGAAGCAGCTCATCACGCGCGGGGAGAAAATCACCTCCAATCTCACGCAGCAACAGGCCACTGTTGTGCGCGACTCCGTGGCCAAGTTCATCTACTCTAGCCTGTTCGACTGGCTGGTGGAGACCATTAACCACGGTCTCGCGACTGAGGATGTCCTCCAACGGCTGAATACTTTCATTGGCGTGCTTGATATTTACGGCTTTGAACATTTTGCAAAGAACTCCTTCGAGCAATTTTGCATCAATTACGCCAACGAGAAGCTCCAGCAGGAATTCAATCAGCATGTATTCAAACTTGAACAGGAAGAATACATGCGTGAAGAGATCGACTGGACCTTTATTGATTTTTCAGATAATCAGCCCTGTATCGATCTTATTGAAGGGAAACTCGGTATTTTGTCTCTTCTGGACGAGGAATCTCGACTGCCCATGGGCTCGGACGAACAATTTGTCACCAAACTGCATCATCATTTTGCAGCAGACAAGCAAAAATTCTACAAGAAGCCCAGATTTGGCAAGTCAGCATTTACAGTTTGTCATTATGCCCTCGATGTTACTTACGAGTCGGACGGCTTCATCGACAAGAACCGCGACACTGTGCCGGATGAGCAGATGGAAGTGCTTAAGAAGTCTACAAATGCCTTCTTGGTTGACGTGCTGGATGTTGCAGCAGCGGTGAGAGAAAAAGACACCGCCCAGACATCTTCGAAAACCGTTGCCCCCGGGGGCGGACGCCGAGTTGGTGTCGCTGTTAATCGCAAACCTACTCTGGGAGGCATCTTCAAGAGCTCTCTCATTGAACTCATGCAAACCATCAACTCCACCGATGCGCACTACATTCGATGTATCAAACCCAACGAGGCAAAAGTCTCATGGAAGTTTGAAGGGCCCATGGTGTTGAGCCAGCTGCGGGCCTGTGGTGTTTTGGAAACCGTCCGCATCAGTACTGCCGGTTATCCTACACGATGGACGTACGAAGAATTTGCTCTCAGGTACTACATGTTGTGCCGTTCGAATGAATGGACAACCGAGATCCGTACGATGGCGCAGAACATTCTTGTCAAAGCCCTTGGAAAGACCGCCCACGAAAAATCCGACAAGTACCAACTTGGTCTGACCAAGATTTTCTTCCGAGCAGGCATGTTGGCCTTTTTGGAGAACCTTCGTTCAGCTCGTTTGAAGGAATGTGCCATTATGATCCAGAAGAACTTGCGCGCCAAATACTACCGGCACAAATACCTCGACGCCAGACAGTCAATCCTCAACTTCCAAGCAGCTACCCGCGCATTCTTGGCTCGAAGGAAAACCGAGGAAACAAGGCGGAACAAGGCGGCGACAGACATCCAAAGAGTGTGGCGAGGGCAAAAAGTGCGCAAAGAATATATTCGAATCAGAAACGATGTCATTCTGTTCGAATCAATTGCCAAAGGCTATCTTTGCAGGAAAAATATCCTGGAAACTCGCATTGGGAATGCCGCGGTCGTCATCCAAAGAGCTTTCCGTTCGTGGCGAGCATTACGTGCCTGGAGGCAATATCGCAGAAAGGTGGTCATTGTACAGAACTTATGGCGTGGCAGAGTCGCCAGGCGCGACTATAAGAAGATGCGTGAAGAGGCTCGTGATCTCAAACAGATCTCCTACAAACTGGAGAACAAGGTCGTGGAGCTTACGCAGTCTCTTGGTGCGCTCAAGCGAGAGAACAAGGGCTTGGTTTCCCAACTGGAGAATTACGAGAATCAGCTAAAATCTTGGAGGTCGAGACACAATGCGTTGGAGACGCGGTCGCGCGAACTTCAAAGTGAGGCGAACCAGGCTGGTATCGTAGCAGCGCGCTTATCTGCCTTGGAGGAAGAGCACGCCAAATTGCAAGCCAGCCATGATGAACATATGGGTAACGCGAAGAGACTGCAGGAAGAAGAGCGCAAGCTTCGGGAGTCACTGAAGGTTTCCAACACAGAGCTCGAGACATTGCGACAATCAGTATCCACACATGAAAGTGAGAGAGGCACTCTGCGACAACAGATCAACGAACTGCAGGATCAGCTTGAGATTGCCCGACGGGCGCCACCTCCACCCGCCACGAACGGTGTCAACGGTGAGTATACCAATGGCACGTCTCAGCTCGCGAACGGCCTGATCAACCTCGTTTCTTCTAAGAAGCCTCTCAAGCGGCGTAGTGCAGGGGCTGCTGAACGGAGTGAACTCGACAGGTATAGCGCTGCATACAGCGCCCGTCCTGTTTCGATGGCGATCGACTCTCATACCAAGACGCTCTCTGGTTCTACGTTCAATCCTGGTTTGGACAGTGTCGAGATGGAGCTTGAGAACCTCCTTGCTCAGGAAGAAGAACTCAACGATGAAGTCACTATGGGTCTCATCCGAGGCATCAAGATCCCTCAACCAGGTGCCAATCCTGCCCCTACAGACAAAGAGGTTCTGTTCCCTTCGTACCTCATCAATCTGGTCACGTCCGAGATGTGGAACAACGGCTTCGTCAAGGAATCGGAGCGCTTCCTAGCCAACGTCATGCAGTCCATCCAGCAAGAAGTCATGCAACACGAAGGCGACGAAGCTATCAATCCCGGGGCATTCTGGTTGTCCAACGTGCATGAGATGCTGTCCTTTGTCTTCCTCGCCGAAGACTGGTATGAGGCGCAAAAGACCGACAACTACGAGTACGACCGGTTACTTGAGATTGTCAAGCACGATCTGGAATCTCTCGAGTTCAACATCTATCATACCTGGATGAAAGTGCTGAAGAAGAAGCTGCACAAGATGATTGTGCCCGCCATCATCGAATCACAGTCGCTGCCTGGTTTCGTCACCAATGAAAGCAACCGCTTCTTGGGCAAATTGCTACCATCGAATAATACTCCCGCGTATAGCATGGACAACCTCCTCAGCCTCCTGAACAACGTCTTCAAGGCCATGAAAGCGTACTATCTCGAAGACAGCATTATCACGCAAACGGTGACTGAACTGCTTCGTCTTGTGGGTGTGACCGCCTTCAATGATCTGCTTATGCGTCGCAACTTCTTGTCGTGGAAACGCGGTTTGCAAATCAACTACAACATCACTCGTATCGAAGAGTGGTGCAAGTCCCACGACATGCCCGAGGGGACTCTTCAACTCGAGCATCTCATGCAGGCCACCAAGTTACTCCAGCTCAAGAAAGCCACTCTCAACGACATCGAAATCATCCAGGATATCTGCTGGATGTTGTCGCCCAATCAAATCCAGAAGTTGCTCAACCAATACCTCGTCGCCGATTATGAACAGCCCATTAATGGTGAAATCATGAAAGCTGTTGCGTCGAGGGTTACAGAGAAGAGCGATGTCCTGTTGCTAGCTCCTGTGGACATGGAAGACAGTGGACCCTATGAGATTGCTGAGCCAAGAGTCATCACTGCGCTGGAGACGTATACTCCATCATGTAAGTATTCCCCCGGCCTCTTAACCTTTTGCGAGCCCGTTTGAGGCGATGCCACTCAGGCTATTCATCGATCGTACTGACATGGGAATCAAACAGGGCTCCAGACACCTCGTCTCAAACGCCTGGCGGAAATCGTCTCCGCTCAAGCCATGGCTCAGCAAGAACAAGGAGGCCTTCCCGAGGGGGCGATCGGTGACTCTGAAGCTATGATGGCACAGTGAAATGGTCGACTTGATTCCGCCACAGGGCTGGGATAATCTTGGTCGCGGAAGCGAGAATCAAAAGCAACGTTTCTGATGATTGCACGTGGAAGGGACAACCGACTAATCCATGAGTGGTTGGCGTCTATGGCCTAGACATTGGTCGAGGAAGAAGCAAGCTAGAGCAAGGACCCTCATCGCCGGCGTCTTGGTCGGCAAAGAAGCAAAGTCGAGGAAGGCTCAGGCGAGTAATTATACACACCTTTTTGGGCATAGCACTGCGGAGTTTACTAGAGCACTTGGGCTTCCCGTGCTTCTTGCAGAGGAATTGCTAATTTGGGCGCGGCGTTTCTGCGGTCTCTGACCATGTCAATGTTAATGTCAAGGCGGAGCTGGACACACATGGGACCAGACTCGGTTCGACCTTGTTTTGGTTCTCTCCGTCTTTCCCACCCCCATTTGTTTTATTTCTGCCATGTAGACACCCCGCGGCAGTGGAACGTCGACATTTCGGATACAAGTAATGTGCAATGTTGGAGCGGACGTGTTCTTCACTAAGGAGGAGATTTAGTCACGTTAGTCCAATGCATGGTTGTAAATCAGTGGCGGCCTACCAAAGAGCATGATCCCATTGGGAGTATCACCGGTTTCCTTAAAGTCCACAAAAGGCTGACCTCCAAGCCTACTGACCCGAGGCTGGCGTGGCAGTGAGTGGGCTTCGAGTCGCAGTGCTATATCGCAGATGTCTTGGTCCTCTTGTTAGTTAGTTGTCTTGACCATTTTTGGCTCAACTTGCAGACCACACATCGTGCGATCCTCCAGCTTGTGCCAGTTGTCACAAAAAGGAGTGTCTCAACGGCATTTTATCCCAAATAGAAAAGGAAATTAACATTTTCTTTGGGCTTCTCTGCAAGAACTTTTCATCAAGTATAGGTTGTCGAGGAATTTTTGTGGGTGTGAGGGCAAGCATGGATATATGATTTGGAAAAGCACAAATCCTCCCGCAATCGACCACAGGATGTGGAAAACAGGGCTTCCCGTTCGCTCAGCCGTACTTAAGCCACATGCCGATCAGTTAGTACTACCGTGGGTGACCAGGTGGGAATCCTGATTGTTGATTGTTTTTGCTTTTTTGTTTTTCTGTGGCGTGCATGGTGAGTGCTTCTGTTGCAAATACTGTCTCACCCCAGTCACCATCCATCATTTAATCAATTAGTCAATTGACCAACGCTTTCGCTTGCCTCAAGATGTTGCGAGCGGAAGACTTTTTGGCGAGAGTTAAAAAGGGGGGGACGGGGGGCGTTGTGGCTGTGGACCAATCAGGGTCTTCCTCCGGCATCTCAGCCAATCATCATAGCTGGGCTCGTTGGCTTCCATCTCTACCCGTAAGAGATAAGGCTGTAATACTCCGTACCTGGACTCACACGTCTATTGCGGTGGAGTCGGTCCCCGCTCTAACCATGGGCCTCTGGGACAAGCTGGCCCAATTCGACAGATGTGGAGCAACTTGTCGTACGGGATGAAGTGTAGTCGACAGCACACAGAGCTTTTGTCGTGAAATTCACATTCTGCTCGCAGCCGAGGAAGTTTGCTTCATCCTTCCCCAACGACAGGGTCGTTGTAACCTAGGTAACGATGCAAACGGGCAGGGCTTGAACTCCTGAATGCGCCAGACCTCGTGATCAACGCCACGCAAACCCATCTAAGTTTTTAGTACTCTATTGTACAATGAGCGTCTTGTAACATGCGTGCCACTCCAAGCGAAGTGGTCGTTCGCCAAATACCTCCCCCCAGCGCAAGGGGGCTCAGCCACAGTTCCCCAAAACGCAACTTAGAAGTCCTTTCGCAGGTCCGGCGATTTCCAGGTCGCCTTCAAGAGGACCCGGATGTCATCGCGCCAGAAGAACTTCTGCCCCAGAGACTCCAAGTCCCACCACTCCCAGTCCCGAAGCTCCGGCAATGCCTTGCGCATCTCGGACAACAGCCGCGACCCTTCGGGGGACAGCTCGGGAGAATTCTGCGCCATCGCCCAAGAATCGATCGCCACAAGCCAGATCCAAATCAAGCAGTCCCGCTCGGTGCGGGAGTTGGACACCCTGAACTTCGGCAGTCGAGCTGTCAACTGCGTCGTGGCCGAATGGTAGATGCACGCCTTCGGCCGCAAGCGATTGGCGCGATTGGCACAGTAGCGAAACAAAGCGAGGCAGATCATCTTCTCCAGCGAGGGTCCCCCAGGCCCTTCAGGGGTTCTGAACGCTGTGCAGGCATCCCAGAAATTCCATGCTTGGCCCGCTACAGGCCGGTAGACTTTTGACTTTTCCTCGCCTTGTTTTTCCTTGTAGGCTGGATCCTGCGGGCCCCAGTCCCGCTTGATGCTGATTCTGTTGATGATTTGGAGAGTCTCAGATGAGAGCGCTCCTGCTCTCGCGAGGTTCCGAAACCCGCACGGGAGTTTCTCAGTTATCTTCACATCATCTTCGTATCGAAAACGAGGAGCTCGTCGTATAGCCAGCTTCGTTGTGAGAGGCTGGCTAAGCGGTGAGTCGGACGGCTGGTCTCCGGAGAGGGATAGAAGTCTGAATGAACAGGGTCAGTCGCAGCCGATCCCAGCGCAGGAGACGCGCCCTCTGAGCAGGGAGGCAGGACGAGCACTTACACTGTCAAGGTTGCCCGAGCTGAACTGTCAACCCCCAAGCGACTGACGCCGCCTCGTGAGGCCACCATTTGGTCGACCTGGGCTCTATGTGCCTTGAAAGCTGCTTCATTTCCAAGACCTCTCTCGAACATTGCCAGGTACAGGATTGTCAGGATGGCACCGTCGTCCGCCCGAGCGTTGGGTTTCGCCAGCCTGGCTCTCAACTTGGACATTGCATGTCCTGCATGGATGAAGGCATCTTGTGGCAAGGGAGATCCCGGACATGCGATTGCTGTGTGAGCAACTTTCGTCAGGCCAAGTAGTACGTGAAAGAAGTCCTCGTATTTGGCCATATTCTCGAGCACCCAGTGCCCGTAAACGTTGACGACATTGAAGGCTTCGTTGATTGAGGCAACTGTGACCAACGATCAGCGGTGCTCGAGGGCTCATTCATATCTACTTGGCCAATTCTCTCTTTGTTCTTGCTGTGAAAGGGACAACCCACCCGTTGGCATGACATAGTGTATTACTGGACTCGTGTTAAATCGCCGTATTTCGTGACAGGATAGACTCTTTCACTTACGGAAGTCGATGGCGAGGGAGGCTCCGTGACGGTCGCTTCCAGAAATACAATCGAATGGATCAACTCGTGCCCCCCTTGTCCAATGCCATGGATTTGAAGATATCAATTCGGTCTCGGGCTTGGCCGGTTGTGCCAGTGAGCCGGCTCGAACCCTGTCGAGCTCAGCCTTGGAGTCGTCGTTGTCTGCCACCACGAGTTGCCCAACATTTATCTTCTTAATCTCTTGGTCCTCTTCCATCAACAGCTGCTCCACGCGTATTCGAGGCGAGTACGAACAAGGACGCTCTCCATCGCACGATGGATTCCATCCGTTCGGCTTGCTCGAAGCTGTGCTGGTGCGGTGTCTGAGATAATTCGGATATGTTGGCGCTGACCAGCAATGCTTGCTCAAGACAATGGTGTTGGCATTGTTTCGATGCCTGAACTTGGCTGCGTGTGAGCGTGCTTTGGACCGAAGGAGCTCATAGTCGTTTCGAGACCGACTTTTGTCGGGGACGTAGGGGATGTATGATAAGTGAAGGGGCATGGTCGCTCAGAGGAAAGTTCGTGGTCCCAGTGCAATTTGGGGCAAGACCTGAAGTTTTGGACAATACTTCTCAGGACACCGTCAGTCACCAGAGATGATCTCGAAGAAATCTTTCTCCGTCTTCCTGGTCGATGAGGGTTTATCCATACTAATACAGCTAAGGACAGAGAAACAAGGCAGTACGGTCCCTCAGCCGAGGAGGAAATCTCTCCACCGTAATAGTGCTAGAACCATTGTGAGAAAAAGCTTGGATAGGTGAAGCTCTTCGCTAGGAGGATCTCGCCGAAGGATTGAGGAGGATGCCCGGACGAATGAGCTCGACAGTCGTGGTTCTACCCCAGAGAACGAGCTGATGCACCGTCGCTGTGAAAGGCACTCGATTGGTGCTCTTGTTCGACCATCTTCTGAAGTTCGGCACACGGCATCTCTGATACGCTGCAACCTCCTTCTTTATCAGGCCATAACTCTGCAAACAGCGAGGGGGAAGCTGCCGCCCGCTCTCAGTGATCACCAGAGAACCAAATGGCAGTCTCGAGAGCCATTTCTAAGGCCGGAAGGAGGCGGTTGGGACTTAGTAATCGCCTAGTCACTCGCACGTGCGTTGCGCAATCAAAAGAAAGGCCATCATCGAGGTGACTGAATCTCAACCTTCTCCATGCTATGTGCTGTAACATATAAGTCATGGCAGCTATAGTAGGAGAGGAGCAATCGCCGATCACCTGAGGTACACAAGACTGGTTGCTGGCAGATGGTGACACCAAGAGATTCTTCTCCAAGCCCTGCCTCATCAACGAAGGCTTAGGTTAGTGAGGCGGCCCTGCCCGTTCCACCTAGCCAGGCAGGGGTCTCTTCTGGAGAGCCTAATCGGGCACGATAAGCTGCCTTTTTGGCAGTCGTCGGGTGCAATTCTGTGGAAAACTGTACCTAATCTCCTCGCCCCCCCTGCACCACCACAGGGGAGGATGCGATGTCCAGCCCCGGGATAATCCCATTCCTGCCGACAGCCAGTTGTGATGGGTTGCTCGAGTCAAGGCAGAGGGAAACATCTTTTCATGTCATGTACCGGTCAACAGCTCACCTTGCTTTTCTCGGTCGGTCTCTTAGCTTATGGATTTATGTGTTTCCGTGCTACCAAGGCTATGATGAGACGTAACAGGAAGACTACGCCGGTGCGAAGGCGAGCGCGGTGCAGAAAACCCCGGGTTAATTTGGTTGATCAGGCTGAATCCATGGTGGTTTGCACTTTTAGCATTATAGGCCCTGCAACTATGCCATTGGTGACACTGTCTTTGACGGTGATGCGAAGCAAATTTGTCAGACGGAAGCGAGGTCCAAGCAAGCCAACATTGCCCCATGTCTGGTGAATATGGATTCCTGCGGCGAGAGACATGCCTCAAGTGGGCTGAGGTTTGCAGTGGGAGACTTGTGCCGGAACAGCCTTCGAAGAGTGGGCTGTGGTTGGTTCACGCCAGACAACAAGGGCTGGGCCTGGCCTCGTTCTTGTTTCAACATGGACTGAGAGTCGATCGGGGTTCTAGTCTTGTTTTGAGTACTGGCCGGCCCAGCATGCGGTCTTTCTCAACTTCGTGTAACCCTCGTTGCCATTAACACTTCCTTCCTTCATCTTTGAGAGCCGAGAAGGGTTGAGCCTCAGCCCTGCTGCCACGCGCCTTGTTTCTGCGTGGATGCGGCATGGTCTTTTCTCGATGTTGGGTTGGATGGCGTGCAGCAATAGGGTTGAGACCTAAGGCGCACTCAGCATCACGCAGGGCTGTGATGGGCTTTCACCGCCCTTTTTCACCGGCAAGGCAAAAGAGTGCGGACATG